CTCCCGCCCCTCTCCCTCGTGGACGACCCCCCCCCGGTAGCCCCCCTCCCTCCTCCTGGTCCCGCTCCCTCAGGTGTGTCTCAGGTAGACCCACCCCCCTTGGTTTGGCCTTTGGAGGTCTCCTCCGACACCTCTGGCCCAGCTGAGGGGGCTGACCCGACTCCTGCTGCCACTGTGACCCCTCGCCGCTCTGCACGCTTGACGGTCCCGCCTGGGTTTCAGCCTCGACCGTCTTCACCGCCGCAGCAGCCTCTCACTGTGGACTCTGGTGCTGCAGGAGGTGGTACCACTGGAGGTGCTGGGTCTGGGGGTGCTGGGACTGGGGGTGCTGAGTGTCCTCTAAGTACAGGAGGTACTGGTACTGGTGGTCCCGCTACGAGTCGCCAGGAGGCTCTCTCGCCCGAGCGGCTTCGCGAGTGGGCGGTCCAGTGGGGTAGCCCTGGTGGTGGAGCTAGCCATCTTAGAGCGGGAGGTGCTGGGGCTGCTGGAGCTGGAGGTGCTGGCACTGCTGGAGCTGGAGGGTCTGCTGCTGGTGGTTCTGGGGTTGCTCGTACTGGTGGCACTAGTGCGCGTCGGCAGGAGACTCTCTCGCCGGAGCGGCTTCGCGAGTGGGCTGTACAGTGGGGCAGCCCTGGTGGTGGAGCTAGCCGTGCTCGCTCTCCTAGAGCTGGATGTACTGGAGGTGCTATTGCTGTGGGTACTGCTGCGGGCAGTCCTGGTGGTGGCGCTGGGCGTGCTGGAGCTGCAGGTTCTGGAGGTACTCGACCTGGAGGTGCTAGTACTGGTGTTCCTGGTACTGGAGGCACAGGTGCTGCTGGAGGTGCTGGAGGTGCGGGTTCTAGAGGTACTAGCCCTGGAGGTGCTGGTGCTGGTGTTCCTGGTACTGGAGGCACAGGAGCTGCTGTAGGTGCTGGAGGTTCTAGAGGTACTAGCCCTGGAGGTGCTAGTGCTGGTGTTCCTGATACTGGAGGCACAGGAGCTGCTGGAGGTGCTGGTGGTGCAGGAGGTGCTACTGGAGGTGCTACTGGAGGTAGTGCTGGAGGTACTGGAGTTAGTGGTGCTCGTCGGCAGGAGTCGCTCTCGCCGCTGCAGCTTCGCGAGTGGGCTGTTCGTTGGGGCAGTCCCGGTGGTGGAGCTGGAGGCACTGGTTCTGGGGGTGCTGTTGCTACTGGAGCTGGAGGTTCTGGGGGTGCGACTACTCAACCGCAGCCGTCTGCGCTTAGTCGCCTTCTCAGTCTCCCGCCTGCTGCTACTGAGTTCCCCGTTCCTGGCACTACTCCCCCGTTACTGTTCCCACCGCTACTGCCTGGCTCCCCGCTGCCTGCTCCTGCTCCTCACACTGAGGTGACTGCGTCCCTGACTGCGCGTCGTGAGCCTGAGACTCATGCTTCCACTCCTGAGCGCCGTGAGCCTGAGACTAGAGCTTCTGTCCCTGCTCGTGCTCGGCGTGTTCGTCGTCCTCGTGCTCCGGCTGTACCGGGCACTCACGATATGGCACTCCGTCCTTCTTCTGTTCCACAACGTGTTGTCCTACCGTCGCCTCCTGCGTCCTCTCTTCCGCACGTTCCTGACCCTGAGTCTGACCTTGTCCGTGCTACCAGTCTGACTGTCACTCGTCTCCTTGCCACAGTTGTGACTGACCCTTCCTTTGAGCTTGTTGACTTTGCCGCTTTGTGCCGCCTTGACTACGCTGCGAGTCTTGTTTTTGACTCTTCCTGTCCTCCGTCCGTCGGGGGTGAGCTTGCCCTTGGCAGTGACGTCCTTGAGGACAGGCAGTTTGAGCTTGAGAGCCTCGCGGCCGCTGCACCGCATCTCGCGTCCACGCTACTTTGCCCTAAGGGAGACCCAGATGCACCAGACATCCCGACCCCACCCACTTACGCAGAGGCGATCACGGGTCCATACTCCTCTCAGTGGCAGATAGCCATGGACGCAGAGATGGCTTCCTGGAAGTCCACAGGCACCTACGTCGACGAGTTCCCCCACCTGGGGCGAACATAGTCGATGGCATGTGGATTTTCAGGGTGAAGCGGCCGCCGGGTTCTCCGCCTGCCTTCAAGGCGTGTTACGTTGCTCGAGGCTTCAGTCAGCGTGAGGGGGTCGACTTCTTTCAGACCTTCTCCCCCACCCCGAAGATGACCACTCTTCGGGTGCTACTGCACGTTGCAGCACAGCGCGACTACGAGCTGCACTCCCTCGACTTCTCGACAGCCTTCTTGCAGGGTAGCCTTCACGAGGCTATCTGGTTGCGCCGTCCACGTGGCTTCACTGGGTCGTTTCCTGAGGGTACCCAGTGGAGTCTTCGGCGACCAGTCTACGGCCTCCGACAGGCACCCCGCGAGTGGCATGTCAAACTGAGGACTACACTTGCGGCTCTTGGCTTCGCTCCCTCGACTGCTGTCCCTTCGCTGTTTCTGCGCACAGACACTTCTCTGCCGCCGTTCTACGTTCTCGTGTACGTTGTCGACTTGGGTTTTGCTACTGCTGACACTGAGGCTCTGGCCTTGGTGAAGGCGGAGCTGCAGAAGAGACACACTTGCACTGACCTGGGTGAGCTGCGGAGCTACCTTGGCTTGCAGATCACCCGGGACAGAGCACGCCGCACCATCACCCTCACTCAGTCACACATGGTGCAGCAGGTCCTTCAGCGCTTCGACTTCACGTGGTCCTCGCCACAGCCCACTCCTCAGTCTACCGGCCACTCGCTCTCAGCTCCACCTTCGGACGAGTCCGTAGAGCCGAGTGGTCCGTACCCAGAGCTTGTGGGTTGCCTCATGTACCTGATGACGTGCACATGACCTGACCTCGCGTACCCTCTCAGCCTCCTGGCTCGCTACGTGGCTCCCGGTAGACATCGAAAGATGCACTGGGATGCTGCGAAGAGGGTATTGCGTTACTTGTGCAGCATATCGGGCATGAGGCTCGTGCTTGGAGGACGGGGTTCAGTTGTTCTCACTGGTCACTCAGACGCTTCTTGGGCTGACGACCAGACGACTCACCGGTTGACACAGGGGTACAGTTTCAGCCTCGGCACTGGTTCTGTCTCGTGGAGGTCCACTCGCTCTTCTTCTGTACTTAGTTCCAGCTGTGAGGCCGAGATCTACGCTGGGGCTATGGCTGCACAGGAGCTCCGGTGGCTGACCTACCTGCTGACCGACTTGGGTGAGCGGCCTCGTTCTCCTCCAGTTCTGTACGTCGACAACAATGCCATGATTGCCTTGTGTCAGGACCAGAGACTGGAGCACAGATTGAAGCACATTGCTCTCCGTTACTTCCTCACGCGAGAGCTGCAGCAGCGTGGTCAGCTTCGTCTTGCTTACGTGGCCACTCGGGCCAACACTGCTGATGTTTTCACCAAGGCCCTTGGGTCTAGTGATCATCAGCGTTTCTGCACTGCTCTTGGGCTTGTGCCCACTCTGCCTCACTTGCTTGTCTCTTGATCTTGCTCTTGTTGTACACTGATATATATGAGTATATCTGCATGCTTACACTTGCTAGGGTGTGATCAGTGTACTGCTCTTGTTCTTATAAACTCTGCATGTGAACTGGCCTTGTGGCCGCTTGCTTGTGCTCAGAATGCGTGGTGATCTTGAGATCCACCCTGAGCTTTGTTTTTCTTTGCTTCTTCTCTTGACTGGTCTAATGACCCGTTGTTGTCCCTCACTTTGCCTATGGGGGAGTGTCAAAACATGTTTATATCATGTTAGTATTGTTAGGCTGTAGTGGGTTACTCCCTATGGGGTCCACCCCTTTGTTAGGGTTGCTACTTGTACCACTCATCCTGCCTTAGTCCACCATTCCTGTTTCCATACTTTGACAGTATTCATGCGAGTCATCCCTCTGCGCGTCCAGGAATGAATGAGAGTGTTACGATATGAAATTCAATGAGAAGGCATTCATGTATGCTGCAGGAGCCGACTCTACCGAGTACGAAGTCGAGGAGTCAGAAGAGTCGAAGCGACACCAGCAACCGTCAGACCAAGACTGATGCAGGCAGAAACATTTGAACTGAAAAGAGCGGTAACTGGTTTGAAACGGGTTCCCGCGCCGCACGGTTTGAACTTCGCTGCAATAAGAGAATGTACCCCTTAGAGTACATGGCTAGTCTAGGTTGTTTATATTCTTTGTATTTCCTATATAAACCCGATGTATGCATGCTTTTATATTTTCAGTTATTTACATTCACTGTGACCTGAGGTCAACACTTCCGCTGCAACAACTCAACTTGCGGTCAACCCTGAGACGATCCTTCGCTAAGACCTGATTAGGATTGTAAAAAATCTCGAGTCGCTCTCGCACCTTTCGGCACACTTCCCAGCCTCTTTCAACCGAAGGTTCTCTCCCATACTAGTAATCCTCATTAGGATGGGTCCTAGAAGTGCCTAAATTGAAGTACCCTACACAACCATTCTAAGTTAATAACAGGACGTTCTACATCGTATCAAGCCTCATTGTGCCGCGTCCAGACTGTCTTTTGCTAGCGTGTGTACGGTGCAGTGTTGTCAGTCATAAAGTGGATTCGGTCGTTGGGATTCCAACCAACCAATGTGGAGGCTGGAATTCCAACCAACCAATGTGAAGGAGGTTGGAATTCCAACAACCAATGTGAAGGAGGTTCGGTTGAGGTTCGGCTGATTCAAATCGCATATGTCTTTTTGCGGGGGTGGTTGACCACAAAAGTTGTCCACCACAAATGATCACCACTTGCTAGCGGCTCTTTATTCCGTCAAACGCGCTGCTACCTAATCTACGTAGCGAGTTAAACGCTCCAGTTTAATCGCCCTACGTATCGAGTTAAACGCTGTATTTTAATCGCCCTACGTTTCGAGTTAAACGCTCTAGTTTGATCGCCCTTCGTAACGAGTTAAACGCTATAGTTTGATCGCCCTACGTAGCGAGTTAAACGCTATAGTCTAATCGTCCTACGTATCGAGTTAAACGCTGTAGCTTAATCGCCCTACGTAGCGAGTTAGACGCTAGAGTTTAATTGCCAGGTAGGGATGCGTTACACCACATTTCACCGCTCCCCCCTTCCCTCCCTCCCTCCCCCTCTCCTTCGGCCACCTCCCTCCTCTTCTTCCTTCCTCCCGGGGAATCTACGCCAATTCGCGCTCGTTGCTGCTAGCGCGCGCCCCTCTCCAGCCCCTCCGCGCCAAGCAGCGCATATCCGCTCTACCGCCATGATCAGTGGCGGAGCCTCCGCCCTCCCCTCCGCGGGGCCCTCCGCGGGGCCCTCCGCGGGACTCCCCCCGCATCCGCAGCAGGAGCACCCCGCGCTTATCCCTGGCCCCGCGCCCGCACACGCAGACGCGACTCCAGCAGCAGCCGCTTCCGCCTCTGCCTCCGCCGTAGGCATGGACGCGGGCGCGAGCGGAAGGGGGGAGAATGCCCTGACGGCGTTGAATCCGGTGGTGGCGGGACTGGCGGCGTCGCGCACGGCGCAGCTGACGGACGCGGCGCGGGCGCTCAAGGCGCAGGGCGTTCCGCTGATCGAGCTGGCCGCGGGGGAGCCGGATTTCGACACCCCTAAGGAGATTGTCGAGGTGAGAGGGGGGATGAGCGGGGTGAGCGGGTGAGGGGAATGGGAACCTGGGAAAATGGAGCCGGATTTCGACACCCCCAAGGAAATTGTTGAGGTGAGGAAAAGAGAGGAACGTGGGATTGCGACAAGGAACGAGCGGTATGGGAATAAAGGAAGTGAGGGCACGGCGAGTGGGTGGGAGTGCAGAGGGGGAGGGAGGGGGCGCTCAAGACGCAGGGCATTCCGCTGATCGAGCTGGCCGCAGGGGAGCCGGATTTCGACACCCCCAAGGAAATTGTCGAGGTGAGGGGGGTGATAGGGATGAGGGGGAGAGGGGGGAAGGTGGGGAAAGGGGGGAAGGGGAGCGAGCAGGCGAGGAGCGCAATGAGAGGGAGGCCCCTAAAGAGATTGTCGAGGTTGAGGGAGGGACGAGGGGGTGAGCAGGTGAGGGGAGTGGGAAACTAAGAAATTGGAGGCGGCGAAAAAAAGCGGTGGGAGTAAGGCGCGTGAGCGCAAAGCGGGAGGGGTAGGGCGCTCAAGGCGCAGGGCGTTTCGCTGATCTTGGTGGTCGCGTGGGGGACCTTATTTCGACACCTTAAGGAGATTGTTGAGGTGAGTGAGATGGGAGGGGGAGGAGTGGGGTGAGGAGGCGAGTGGGTGGGAGTGCAATGAGAGGGAGGGCGAGGGCGTTCCGCTGATCGTGGTGGCCTGTGAGGGACCCGGTTCCGATACCCTCAAGGAGGTGAGGAGGGTGAGGGGACAAGAGCGATAGAGGGGAATGGGAACACGGAGAGAGGGAGAGAGGGGAACGAGCGAGGGTAGCGAGTGGGATGGGAACACAGAGAACGGGAGTGAGGAACAAGCGAGGGTAGCGAGTGGGATGGGAACACAGAGGAGAACGGGAGTGAGGAACAAGTGAGGGTAGCGAGTGGGATGGGAACACACAGAACGGGAGTGAGGAACAAGCGACGGTAGCGAGTGGGATGGGAACACAGAGAACGGGAGTGAGGAACAAGCGAGGGTAGCGAGTGGGATGGGAACGCAGAGAACGGGAGTGAGAACGGGAGCGAGGGTGCAAATTATAGAGGAAGAGGACGCTTGAGGCGCAGGGCGTTCCGCTGTTTGGATTGGCCGCGGGAAAACCGGATTTGAGACCCCCAACCTAGGAAAGTTGTGAGGCTACTTCTGAAATGGGGTGAGTCGATGGAGAGTATTTTCAAGGCGATGCAGTCCGCATTGTTCGAAGCAGTGGAGGAGGAGTGTGAAGGTGCTTCGGAGGAAGGAGGCACTCGCTCAGGCATTGTGGAGTCGGCAAGCGGATGTCAGGCTCGTCTGGAAACATTATGCGACGACTTGAAGAAGCTGATCTTGGACCTTCAGAAGGGGCAGAAGGTAGCCGCCCAGATCTGGCACCAGCTGCACGAAGCGAAGATGTCGTTGAACGGGTGGACATTCCCTGGCGTCTGTCGCTTCGACCACCGCTGCAAGACCCAAGAGCAATTTCGAGTCCCTGGCGAATCCAAAGGCAGTATCGGAACGTGGGAGATCCATTCAGAGGCGTCGTTTGCTGCTGCCAGGAAGGCGATTTCTTTGCGCCAAGTTCATCTTTGAGTGGAAGCATCACACTGCGGAGCGTGGGGGGGCGGAACTGGAGAGTGGGTGGAAGCAGCCGTATGAAGAGTTTCTTGGAAGGGCTCTGATGAGGAAGCTGCAGAGGGTCACGAAACAACAGTCGCGGATGACTATCAAAACATACACCTGAAAAAATAGAATATTGAAGAGATTGAAAGGAATAGCGAGGAGAACCCATCAAGGAGACGTGGCCCACTGTGTTGAACGCTCGGCTACTGAAAGAGATTGCGCGTTAAATCAAGAGGTTGCTCGTCCCTTTTCCTCTTATTTTTACGCGCAACATCTTTCAGTAGCCGAGCGTTCAACACAGTGGGTCATGTCTCCTTGATGGGTTCTCCTCGCCATTCCTCTCATCTCAACCCCTTCAATTATTTTATTTTCAGGTGTATGCTTTGATGGCCATCCGCGCCTGCTGTTTCGTGACCCTCTGCAGCTTCCTCATCAGAGCCCTTCCAAGAAACTCTTCATACGCCTGCTTCCACCCACTCTCCAGTTCCGTCCCCCCACGCTCCGCCGTGTGATGCTTCCACTCAAAGATGAACTTGGCGCAAAGAATCGCCTTCCTGGAAGCAGCAAACGACGCCTCTGAATGGCTCTCCCACGTTACGAGATTGCCTTTGGATTCGCCAGGAACTCGAAATTGCTCTTGGGTCTTGCAGCGGTGGTCGAAGCGACAGACGCCATGGAATGTCCACCCGTTCAGCAACATCTTCGCTTCGTACAGCTGGTGCCAGATCTGGGCGGCTACCTTCTGCCCCTTCTGAAGGTCCAAGATCAGCTTCTTCAAGTCGTCGCAGAATGTTTCCAGACGAGTCTGCCATCCGCTTGCCGACTCCACAATGCCTGAACGAGTGCCTCCTTCCTCCGAAGCACCTTCACACTCCTCCTCCACTGCTTCGAACAGTGCGGACTTCCTCGCCTTGAAAATACTCTCCATCGGCGGGGGAAAGCAGGATCGTGGGGGGAAGCGAAGGGGGAGGGCAGAGCAGGAAGGGAGGGCGATGGGATGGGAGGGCATGTGCGAGTATGGAGCAGGGAATCGTTACAAGCAATACCCCGCTACAATCACACTCACTACACCCACCAGGCAGGAGTGTCAACCCTACGGCAGGTCTTCACGAACAAGCTACGCACCCAACCAGGATAACCACACCTATACGTGTGCAACGGGGCGGGCTTCTTGGCTCGGCTCGTCCACACCTTATCCCCCACCAGGCAGGAGTTTCGGCTATGCGGCAGGGCTTCACACGCTACTTGCCCAATCAGCATAGCCATTCCCTCCCCCTACCCTTCATTCACCATACATACTGCTGCAACCCCTTCCTTTCCCCACCTGATTCACCAGGCGGGAGTGGAGGGTCTGCGGCAGGGCTTCACACGCTATGCACCCAACCAGGGCACTCTGGAGCTACGAGCGGCCATCTGTGAGAAGCTCAAGAGTGAGTGGTGGCATGGCTCATTGGTGGTTAAAGTTAACAGAATGGGCTGGGGGTGGGGCAGGGGGTGAGGTAGTGATGGTCAATTTGAATCAAACCATGGGTCGGTGCCCAACCAGGGCGCTCTGGAGCTCAGAGTGGCCATTTGTGAGATACTCAAGAGTGAGTTGGGGGCGTGTGAGGGTGAACAGTGGTTGCTTGCGTAATGGTTGAATGCTGGTCACGTGATGGGCATTGGCCACGCTGTGAGCAGATGCCCAACCAGGGCACTCTGGAGCTCAGAGTGGCCATTTGTGAGATACTCAAGAGTGAGTTGGGGGCGTGTGAGGGTGAACAGTGGTTGCTTGCGTAATGGTTGAATGCTGGTCACGTGATGGGCATTGGCCACGCTGTGAGCAGATGCCCAACCAGGGCACTCTGGAGCTCAGAGTGGCCATTTGTGAGATACTCAAGAGTGAGTTGTTGCGTGGCCTATTCTCGAAAAATGGGCTGACCAACTCGCCGGACGACATGGTGGTGATGGTGAGCAACGGCACCTCACTCCTCTGTGATCCTTCCTTCCTTCCTCTCCTCCTTTCTTTCCCTTCCCCTCCCTCCCCACAGCTGAGAACGGTCTGACCGACTCGCCAGAGGAAGTGGTGGTGAGCAACGGAGCCAAGCAGGTCCTCTTGTGCCTCTCCTCACTCCTTCCTCCCGCCTCTCCTTTGTCCATCCCTTCCTCTTTCAGCCGAGAAGGGGCTCAGTTACTCGCCAGAGGACGTGGTGGTGAGCAACGGCGCAAAGCAGGCCGTCTATGGTCCTCGTCTCCCTCCCCACTCCCCCCTGTGTTCCTTCCCTCTCTCCCTTCCCTTCCCACCCCTCACCCCTCACAGCGGAGAACGGGCTGACCTACTCGCCAGAGGAAGTGATGGTGAGCAACGGAGCCAAGCAGGCCGTGTTTCAAGGGGTGATGGCCACGTGCAGTCCGGGGGACGAGGTGAGGTGGGGGAGCATTGAGAGGGAGAGGGGATAGGATAGGTGGGGTAAGCTGTGAGAGTGGCTCACCCACCCATCCCATGTGCCCATCCAGCCAAGCAGGCCACCCACCCATGTTCCGGGGGAAGAGGTGAGGTGGGTGGGTGGTGAGGTGAGGGCCAAGCAGGCCACCCATCCATGTTCCAAGGGGTGATGGCCACATGCAGGCCGGGGGACGAGGTGAGGTGGGGGATTGACATGGCATGGCGGCGCACTGGTGGCCAAGCTGTGAGAGTGACTGACCCTGGTGCTCATCAGCCAGGCAGGGTGTCGTCCAGGCTGTTATGGCCACATGCAGGCCGGGGGACGAGGTGAGGTGGGGGATTGACATGGCATGGCGGCGCACTGGTGGCCAAGCTGTGAGAGTGACTGACCCTGGTGCTCATCAGCCAGGCAGGGTGTCGTCCAGGCTGTTATGGCCACATGCAGGCCGGGGGACGAGGTGAGGTGGGGGATTGACATGGCATGGCGGCGCACTGGTGGCCAAGCTGTGAGAGTGACTGACCCTGGTGCTCATCAGCCAGGCAGGGTGTCGTCCAGGCTGTTATGGCCACATGCAGGCCGGGGGACGAGGTGAGGTGGGGGATTGACATGGCATGGCGGCGCACTGGTGGCCAAGCTGTGAGAGTGACTGACCCTGGTGCTCATCAGCCAGGCAGGGTGTCGTCCAGGCTGTTATGGCCACATGCAGGCCGGGGGACGAGGTGAGGTGGGGGATTGACATGGCATGGCGGCGCACTGGTGGCCAAGCTGTGAGAGTGACTGACCCTGGTGCTCATCAGCCAGGCAGGGTGTCGTCCAGGCTGTTATGGCCACATGCAGGCCGGGGGACGAGGTGAGGTGGGGGATTGACATGGCATGGCGGCGCACTGGTGGCCAAGCTGTGAGAGTGACTGACCCTGGTGCTCATCAGCCAGGCAGGGTGTCGTCCAGGCTGTTATGGCCACATGCAGGCCGGGGGACGAGGTGAGGTGGGGGATTGACATGGCATGGCGGCGCACTGGTGGCCAAGCTGTGAGAGTGACTGACCCTGGTGCTCATCAGCCAGGCAGGGTGTCGTCCAGGCTGTTATGGCCACATGCAGGCCGGGGGACGAGGTGAGGTGGGGGATTGACATGGCATGGCGGCGCACTGGTTGCCAAGCTGTGAGAGTGACTGACCCTGGTGCTCATCAGCCAGGCAGGGTGTCGTCCAGGCTGTTATGGCCACATGCAGGCCGGGGGACGAGGTGAGGTGGGGGATTGACATGGCATGGCGGCGCACTGGTGGCCAAGCTGTGAGAGTGACTGACCCTGGTGCTCATCAGCCAGGCAGGGTGTCGTCCAGGCTGTTATGGCCACATGCAGGCCGGGGGACGAGGTGAGGTGGGGGATTGACATGGCATGGCGGCGCACTGGTGGCCAAGCTGTGAGAGTGACTGACCCTGGTGCTCATCAGCCAGGCAGGGTGTCGTCCAGGCTGTTATGGCCACATGCAGGCCGGGGGACGAGGTGAGGTGGGGGATTGACATGGCATGGCGGCGCACTGGTGGCCAAGCTGTGAGAGTGACTGACCCTGGTGCTCATCAGCCAGGCAGGGTGTCGTCCAGGCTGTTATGGCCACATGCAGGCCGGGGGACGAGGTGAGGTGGGGGATTGACATGGCATGGCGGCGCACTGGTGGCCAAGCTGTGAGAGTGACTGACCCTGGTGCTCATCAGCCAGGCAGGGTGTCGTCCAGGCTGTTATGGCCACATGCAGGCCGGGGGACGAGGTGAGGTGGGGGATTGACATGGCATGGCGGCGCACTGGTGGCCAAGCTGTGAGAGTGACTGACCCTGGTGCTCATCAGCCAGGCAGGGTGTCGTCCAGGCTGTTATGGCCACATGCAGGCCGGGGGACGAGGTGAGGTGGGGGATTGACATGGCATGGCGGCGCACTGGTGGCCAAGCTGTGAGAGTGACTGACCCTGGTGCTCATCAGCCAGGCAGGGTGTCGTCCAGGCTGTTATGGCCACATGCAGGCCGGGGGACGAGGTGAGGTGGGGGATTGACATGGCATGGCGGCGCACTGGTGGCCAAGCTGTGAGAGTGACTGACCCTGGTGCTCATCAGCCAGGCAGGGTGTCGTCCAGGCTGTTATGGCCACATGCAGGCCGGGGGACGAGGTGAGGTGGGGGATTGACATGGCATGGCGGCGCACTGGTGGCCAAGCTGTGAGAGTGACTGACCCTGGTGCTCATCAGCCAGGCAGGGTGTCGTCCAGGCTGTTATGGCCACATGCAGGCCGGGGGACGAGGTGAGGTGGGGGATTGACATGGCATGGCGGCGCACTGGTGGCCAAGCTGTGAGAGTGACTGACCCTGGTGCTCATCAGCCAGGCAGGGTGTCGTCCAGGCTGTTATGGCCACATGCAGGCCGGGGGACGAGGTGAGGTGGGGGATTGACATGGCATGGCGGCGCACTGGTGGCCAAGCTGTGAGAGTGACTGACCCTGGTGCTCATCAGCCAGGCAGGGTGTCGTCCAGGCTGTTATGGCCACATGCAGGCCGGGGGACGAGGTGAGGTGGGGGATTGACATGGCATGGCGGCGCACTGGTGGCCAAGCTGTGAGAGTGACTGACCCTGGTGCTCATCAGCCAGGCAGGGTGTCGTCCAGGCTGTTATGGCCACATGCAGGCCGGGGGACGAGGTGAGGTGGGGGATTGACATGGCATGGCGGCGCACTGGTGGCCAAGCTGTGAGAGTGACTGACCCTGGTGCTCATCAGCCAGGCAGGGTGTCGTCCAGGCTGTTATGGCCACATGCAGGCCGGGGGACGAGGTGAGGTGGGGGATTGACATGGCATGGCGGCGCACTGGTGGCCAAGCTGTGAGAGTGACTGACCCTGGTGCTCATCAGCCAGGCAGGGTGTCGTCCAGGCTGTTATGGCCACATGCAGGCCGGGGGACGAGGTGAGGTGGGGGATTGACATGGCATGGCGGCGCACTGGTGGCCAAGCTGTGAGAGTGACTGACCCTGGTGCTCATCAGCCAGGCAGGGTGTCGTCCAGGCTGTTATGGCCACATGCAGGCCGGGGGACGAGGTGAGGTGGGGGATTGACATGGCATGGCGGCGCACTGGTGGCCAAGCTGTGAGAGTGACTGACCCTGGTGCTCATCAGCCAGGCAGGGTGTCGTCCAGGCTGTTATGGCCACATGCAGGCCGGGGGACGAGGTGAGGTGGGGGATTGACATGGCATGGCGGCGCACTGGTGGCCAAGCTGTGAGAGTGACTGACCCTGGTGCTCATCAGCCAGGCAGGGTGTCGTCCAGGCTGTTATGGCCACATGCAGGCCGGGGGACGAGGTGAGGTGGGGGATTGACATGGCATGGCGGCGCACTGGTGGCCAAGCTGTGAGAGTGACTGACCCTGGTGCTCATCAGCCAGGCAGGGTGTCGTCCAGGCTGTTATGGCCACATGCAGGCCGGGGGACGAGGTGAGGTGGGGGATTGACATGGCATGGCGGCGCACTGGTGGCCAAGCTGTGAGAGTGACTGACCCTGGTGCTCATCAGCCAGGCAGGGTGTCGTCCAGGCTGTTATGGCCACATGCAGGCCGGGGGACGAGGTGAGGTGGGGGATTGACATGGCATGGCGGCGCACTGGTGGCCAAGCTGTGAGAGTGACTGACCCTGGTGCTCATCAGCCAGGCAGGGTGTCGTCCAGGCTGTTATGGCCACATGCAGGCCGGGGGACGAGGTGAGGTGGGGGATTGACATGGCATGGCGGCGCACTGGTGGCCAAGCTGTGAGAGTGACTGACCCTGGTGCTCATCAGCCAGGCAGGGTGTCGTCCAGGCTGTTATGGCCACATGCAGGCCGGGGGACGAGGTGAGGTGGGGGATTGACATGGCATGGCGGCGCACTGGTGGCCAAGCTGTGAGAGTGACTGACCCTGGTGCTCATCAGCCAGGCAGGGTGTCGTCCAGGCTGTTATGGCCACATGCAGGCCGGGGGACGAGGTGAGGTGGGGGATTGACATGGCATGGCGGCGCACTGGTGGCCAAGCTGTGAGAGTGACTGACCCTGGTGCTCATCAGCCAGGCAGGGTGTCGTCCAGGCTGTTATGGCCACATGCAGGCCGGGGGACGAGGTGAGGTGGGGGATTGACATGGCATGGCGGCGCACTGGTGGCCAAGCTGTGAGAGTGACTGACCCTGGTGCTCATCAGCCAGGCAGGGTGTCGTCCAGGCTGTTATGGCCACATGCAGGCCGGGGGACGAGGTGAGGTGGGGGATTGACATGGCATGGCGGCGCACTGGTGGCCAAGCTGTGAGAGTGACTGACCCTGGTGCTCATCAGCCAGGCAGGGTGTCGTCCAGGCTGTTATGGCCACATGCAGGCCGGGGGACGAGGTGAGGTGGGGGATTGACATGGCATGGCGGCGCACTGGTGGCCAAGCTGTGAGAGTGACTGACCCTGGTGCTCATCAGCCAGGCAGGGTGTCGTCCAGGCTGTTATGGCCACATGCAGGCCGGGGGACGAGGTGAGGTGGGGGATTGACATGGCATGGCGGCGCACTGGTGGCCAAGCTGTGAGAGTGACTGACCCTGGTGCTCATCAGCCAGGCAGGGTGTCGTCCAGGCTGTTATGGCCACATGCAGGCCGGGGGACGAGGTGAGGTGGGGGATTGACATGGCATGGCGGCGCACTGGTGGCCAAGCTGTGAGAGTGACTGACCCTGGTGCTCATCAGCCAGGCAGGGTGTCGTCCAGGCTGTTATGGCCACATGCAGGCCGGGGGACGAGGTGAGGTGGGGGATTGACATGGCATGGCGGCGCACTGGTGGCCAAGCTGTGAGAGTGACTGACCCTGGTGCTCATCAGCCAGGCAGGGTGTCGTCCAGGCTGTTATGGCCACATGCAGGCCGGGGGACGAGGTGAGGTGGGGGATTGACATGGCATGGCGGCGCACTGGTGGCCAAGCTGTGAGAGTGACTGACCCTGGTGCTCATCAGCCAGGCAGGGTGTCGTCCAGGCTGTTATGGCCACATGCAGGCCGGGGGACGAGGTGAGGTGGGGGATTGACATGGCATGGCGGCGCACTGGTGGCCAAGCTGTGAGAGTGACTGACCCTGGTGCTCATCAGCCAGGCAGGGTGTCGTCCAGGCTGTTATGGCCACATGCAGGCCGGGGGACGAGGTGAGGTGGGGGATTGACATGGCATGGCGGCGCACTGGTGGCCAAGCTGTGAGAGTGACTGACCCTGGTGCTCATCAGCCAGGCAGGGTGTCGTCCAGGCTGTTATGGCCACATGCAGGCCGGGGGACGAGGTGAGGTGGGGGATTGACATGGCATGGCGGCGCACTGGTGGCCAAGCTGTGAGAGTGACTGACCCTGGTGCTCATCAGCCAGGCAGGGTGTCGTCCAGGCTGTTATGGCCACATGCAGGCCGGGGGACGAGGTGAGGTGGGGGATTGACATGGCATGGCGGCGCACTGGTGGCCAAGCTGTGAGAGTGACTGACCCTGGTGCTCATCAGCCAGGCAGGGTGTCGTCCAGGCTGTTATGGCCACATGCAGGCCGGGGGACGAGGTGAGGTGGGGGATTGACATGGCATGGCGGCGCACTGGTGGCCAAGCTGTGAGAGTGACTGACCCTGGTGCTCATCAGCCAGGCAGGGTGTCGTCCAGGCTGTTATGGCCACATGCAGGCCGGGGGACGAGGTGAGGTGGGGGATTGACATGGCATGGCGGCGCACTGGTGGCCAAGCTGTGAGAGTGACTGACCCTGGTGCTCATCAGCCAGGCAGGGTGTCGTCCAGGCTGTTATGGCCACATGCAGGCCGGGGGACGAGGTGAGGTGGGGGATTGACATGGCATGGCGGCGCACTGGTGGCCAAGCTGTGAGAGTGACTGACCCTGGTGCTCATCAGCCAGGCAGGGTGTCGTCCAGGCTGTTATGGCCACATGCAGGCCGGGGGACGAGGTGAGGTGGGGGATTGACATGGCATGGCGGCGCACTGGTGGCCAAGCTGTGAGAGTGACTGACCCTGGTGCTCATCAGCCAGGCAGGGTGTCGTCCAGGCTGTTATGGCCACATGCAGGCCGGGGGACGAGGTGAGGTGGGGGATTGACATGGCATGGCGGCGCACTGGTGGCCAAGCTGTGAGAGTGACTGACCCTGGTGCTCATCAGCCAGGCAGGGTGTCGTCCAGGCTGTTATGGCCACATGCAGGCCGGGGGACGAGGTGAGGTGGGGGATTGACATGGCATGGCGGCGCACTGGTGGCCAAGCTGTGAGAGTGACTGACCCTGGTGCTCATCAGCCAGGCAGGGTGTCGTCCAGGCTGTTATGGCCACATGCAGGCCGGGGGACGAGGTGAGGTGGGGGATTGACATGGCATGGCGGCGCACTGGTGGCCAAGCTGTGAGAGTGACTGACCCTGGTGCTCATCAGCCAGGCAGGGTGTCGTCCAGGCTGTTATGGCCACATGCAGGCCGGGGGACGAGGTGAGGTGGGGGATTGACATGGCATGGCGGCGCACTGGTGGCCAAGCTGTGAGAGTGACTGACCCTGGTGCTCATCAGCCAGGCAGGGTGTCGTCCAGGCTGTTATGGCCACATGCAGGCCGGGGGACGAGGTGAGGTGGGGGATTGACATGGCATGGCGGCGCACTGGTGGCCAAGCTGTGAGAGTGACTGACCCTGGTGCTCATCAGCCAGGCAGGGTGTCGTCCAGGCTGTTATGGCCACATGCAGGCCGGGGGACGAGGTGAGGTGGGGGATTGACATGGCATGGCGGCGCACTGGTGGCCAAGCTGTGAGAGTGACTGACCCTGGTGCTCATCAGCCAGGCAGGGTGTCGTCCAGGCTGTTATGGCCACATGCAGGCCGGGGGACGAGGTGAGGTGGGGGATTGACATGGCATGGCGGCGCACTGGTGGCCAAGCTGTGAGAGTGACTGACCCTGGTGCTCATCAGCCAGGCAGGGTGTCGTCCAGGCTGTTATGGCCACATGCAGGCCGGGGGACGAGGTGAGGTGGGGGATTGACATGGCATGGCGGCGCACTGGTGGCCAAGCTGTGAGAGTGACTGACCCTGGTGCTCATCAGCCAGGCAGGGTGTCGTCCAGGCTGTTATGGCCACATGCAGGCCGGGGGACGAGGTGAGGTGGGGGATTGACATGGCATGGCGGCGCACTGGTGGCCAAGCTGTGAGAGTGACTGACCCTGGTGCTCATCAGCCAGGCAGGGTGTCGTCCAGGCTGTTATGGCCACATGCAGGCCGGGGGACGAGGTGAGGTGGGGGATTGACATGGCATGGCGGCGCACTGGTGGCCAAGCTGTGAGAGTGACTGACCCTGGTGCTCATCAGCCAGGCAGGGTGTCGTCCAGGCTGTTATGGCCACATGCAGGCCGGGGGACGAGGTGAGAGTGGACGAAGAGAGTGAGAGGAAGGATCGTATGACTCACTGGAACAAGGTGAGGGATGAATGTGCGTGGGTAGAAGGGTGAATAAAATCAAACCCCACATCAACCAAGCAAGCCGTGTTCCAGGCTGTTATGGCGACATGCAGGCCAGGGGACGAGGTGAGGGGGGGGGGGATGACTGGAATGGGGAATCGTGTGGCGCTGTGAGAGGGGAGATAGGTGGCCATGGGCGAAGCTGTGAGAGGGGAGATAGGTGGCCATGGGCGAAGCTGTGAGAGGGGAGATAGGTGGCCATGGGCGAAGCTGTGAGAGGGGAGATAGGTGGCCATGGCCGAAGCTGTGAGAGGGGAGATAGGTGGCCATGGGCGAAGCTGTGGGAGTGATTGACCCTCTAGTGCTCACTAACCAAGCAAGCCGTGTTCCAGGCTGTTATGGCTAGGCCGGCTGGTGTTTTTGAGAATTCTCGCAAACACCATGGAACGGAACGATGTGTGACCTCGCTTGGCCCCTATCTCTCGCCTAGAGTGTTCTTTGAGAATTCTTTGAGAGTGTTTTTTGAGAATTCTTTGAGAGTGATTTTTGAGAATTCTTTGAGAGCGTTTTTTGAGAATTCTTTGAGAGTGTTTTTTGAGAATTCTTTGAGAGTGTTTTTTGAGAATTCTTTGAGAGTGTTTTTTGAGAATTCTTTGAGAGCGTTTTTTGAGAATTCTTTGAGAGTGTTTTTTTAGAATTCTTTGAGAGCGTTTTTTGAGAATTCTTTGAGAGTGTTTTTTGAGAATTCTTTGAGAGTGTTTTTTTAGAATTCTTTGACAGTGTTTTTTGAGAATTATCAAAAAACTCTCGCCTACGCTTCTTCCACCACCACCCCCCCCTCCCTCCCCTCCCCTCCCCCCCCCTTCTCCTCTCCTCCTTTCCCCTCCTCCCCTCTCCCTTCTCCCTCCCTCGTCATGATCCCAGCGCCCATAGTATTTCTGAGTTGACTCAAAGGTATCGTGTGTGACAATGGCTGGCCGGAGATGATATATTTAGAAGACTGGAAATCACGTTTGGCTGGCTGGGTGTTTTTGAGAATTCTTGAAAACACCCAGGAACGATCTGGCCCCTTCTTCCAACACCCACCCCAGGTCATCATCCCAGCGCCCTACTGGGTATCCTACCCTGAGATGGCTCGCCTACTGGAGCCATACCACACTCGTCAGCATTCATGCTGTCACTGCCACAGGACATGCTGACTCCCGCTTTGCCCTCTCTCCCCCCTGCACTTGCCTCTTCCGCATCCCCCCTCTCTCTCAGGTCATCGTCCCAGCGCCCTACTGGGTATCCTACCCCGAGATGGCTCGCCTCGTGGGAGCAACACCCGTCATCCTCCCCACCACCACGGCCCACTCCTTCCTCCTAGCCCCCTCCGCTCTGCAAGCCGCCCTCACCCCCGCCTCGCGCCTCCTCATCCTCTGCTCGCCCTCCAACCCCACCGGAGCCGTCTACTCGCCAGAGCAGCTGCAAGAATTGGCTGAAGTGGTGGCCCAACATCCCCGATTGCTGGTAAGTCCTTTGCTAGGTGCTTTGTACTCCTTCCATCCCGCCCACCTTCCCTCCAACCCCACCGGAGCTGTCTACTCCTCCCAGCAGCTGCAGGAATTGGCACAAATGGTGACCCAACACCCTCGATTGAAGGTGAGTGCGACACCCATATAAGGACGGAGAGGATGTAATGTGCATCAGTCTCACAGTCCCTTCTCATCTTCTGCTCACCCTCCAACCCACTGGGGCTTTCTACTCGCCGCCGCGCCGCAGTAGCTGCACGATATTGCACAAGTGGTGCCCCAACACCCTCAGCTATTGGTGAGCACGGGATTTTCCGAGTCAACTTGGAAGGCTGCTGCTCAGTGCTAATCTCGGTGTGTGATGCGCCTTCCCTCCCTCCCTAGTAGTACCCCCTCCAACACCACCGGAGCTGTGTACTCGCCGCAGCAGCAGCCGCAACTTCTGGCTGAGTTGGTGGGTGCATGCAAGAAACCCCCTGGGCTGCTGCTGAGCTCTTTCCGTCGGCTTGACGGCCTCGACGACCCGGCCTCACCAGGCCAAAGAGCCGGACCAGACCAAAGAGCCGGACCGGACCCAACAAGGCCGTCTGCTCAAGCGTACCCTGGGCTGCTGCTGAGCTGAGTTCTTTCCTTGGTCTCTTCCATCCATCCACACAGGTACTAGCAGATGAGATCTACAAGCATATAATCTACGCTGCCTGGAGATTCTGACAGTCTCCATGCTTTTAATTTCGTGCCTTTCCGTTCCCTAAATTTCTGTCATGTCTTTCCGTGCCTTTAATTTCTCTCTCAATCGCCCCTCTGCTTCCCCATACACACAGATGCTAGCAGACGAGATCTACGAGCACATCATCTACCCGCCAGCTGTAGTCATTCCATCCCACGCCATGCATTGCCATGCATCACACACCACACCCCCCCCTGCACCCCCCACGCGCACAGGTGCTAGCAGACGAGATCTACGAGCACATCATCTACCCGCCAGCTTTAGTCATTCCATCCCATGCCATGCATTGCCATGCATCACACACCACACCCCCCCCTGCACCCCCCATGCACACAGGTGCTAGCAGACGAGATCTACGAGCACATCATCTACCCGCCAGCTCGGCACGTGAGCTTCGCTTCTCTTCCGGGCATGTGGGAGCGTACACTCACAGTCAACGGCTTCTCCAAGGTATGGCACTCGCAGAGCTGTCTCATCTCAGGGCACTCTCCGATCACTCTTGAAGAGCACACAACCCATTGATGTTCAGCCACTCCCCCCTGCACGTGGGAGCACGCACTCACAGTGAATGGGTTCTCCAGGGTGAGTGATTAGCACTTCTAAGGTGAGTCGTAATGAGCGCACTCCCTTTTGGTTGGTCATTGGCCGATACTCGGCATGTGGGAGCGCACGCACGCACACTCAGTCAACGGCTTCTCCACGGTAATCGTGGGAACGAACACTTAGAACACTCTCCCAGGCAATCAATTGGCTGCACACGGTGAATAATGAATAAAGAACAGCACAGCCCATCAGCCACTACCCGGCGTCTTTTTCTCTTCCCCTTCTGCCCCTCTCTTTCTTGACCTCCCCCTTATCCACTCTTCCCTCTTCTCTCCCTCACAGGCATTCGCCATGACAGGCTGGCGCCTTGGCTATCTCGCAGCTCCCAAGCCGTTTGCTCCATCCACCCTCCTCTCTTTTTCCCTCCCCCCCTTTCTTCCCCCCTCCCCCCACACCCATCCCCCTCCCTTTACCCCCACTACCTCCTCCCCTCCTCACAGGCCTTCGCCATGACAGGCTGGCGCCTGGGCTATCTCGCGGCTCCCAAGCCCTTTGCGGCAGCGGCCAACCGCATTCAGAGCCAGGTGGGCCTGAGAGGGGTTGGGAGGGGTTGTGTGGGGTTGCGAGATGAGAATAACTCTAGTTTAGCCAGTTGTAGCAGCGGCCAACCACATCCAGAGCCAGATGCGGTGGGGGGGGGGGGGTGGGAGGCGTTGCGAGGGGCTGGGAGGGGCTGGGAGGAGATGGGAGGGGATGGGAGGGGATGGGAGAAGTAAGGACGGCTGAGGTGCATTGGAGGCACTATGTAGACCTCCCATGCTCTTTGCTTCGCAGCTCCCCACTTTTCCTCACACCGTCACACTCCACTCTCACACCCATTCCCCCTGCTCTGCTCGCTGCTCTCCTCGTGCATTACACTCTTTACACACTCACACTACTCTCACCTCCTCACACACGCACTCCACTCTGGCACCCATTGCCAAACCACCCCTTCCCATGCCACTCCGCTCGTTGTTCCCCTCGCGCCCTTAGTCGTGTGCCATTGTAACAAGGTGACTTTTGAGTCGACTCAAAAGACACCCATTGCCAAACCACCCCTTCCCATGCCACTCCGCTCGCCGCTCCCCTCGCGCCCTTAGTCTGGTCTCACGCACCCTCTTACTCAAACCACGTCTGTTTTGAAAGTTCTCAAGAGTGGCTCATTCAGAGCCAGACGGCATTCCAAAGGTTGTTTTTTTAGGCGCCTCTAAAATCAAGAGTGGCTCGTTCAGAGGGCGGCTCATTGAGAGGGCGGCACCGTCAGCATTCCAACTGGGCCCACGTGGCTGGTCCAATGCACCCCACATTTGCTTCCCAAGCCCCCCTCCACCCCCCCCTCCCCCACCACCCGCTCCACCCCTGCTCCCCCAGACCATGTCACGAGCCAGCAGCATCGCTCAAAAGGCAGTTGTAGCAGAGTTTCAACTGTGCCCGTGTAGGGGCTCTTTGCTCTCAACTCACCCCCTTCGTTCGCCCCTTCTCCCTCACCTCAATCACACACCCTCATCAGACCACGTCAGGAGCCAGCAGCATCGCCCAAAAGGCAGCCATGGCAGCGTTTGAGCTGGGGCCGTGCGGGGGCGCTACAGTGGCAGCGATGGTGGAGGCGTTCAGAAGGCGGCGAGACATGCTGGCGGCCCGGCTGGAGAATATTGCTGGCATTAGGCTGGCAGTACCCCAGGTAAGGGAGTGTTATGAAGCGCCTCAGAATGTGTGGGGGCGACACGGAACATGCGTATGGGGGGCCCACAGTGGCAGCGATGGTGGCAGCATTCAGGAGGCGGCGAGACATGCTGGTGGCCCGGCTGGAGAAGATAGATGGAATCAAGCTGGCCGTGCCTCAGGTAAGGGGGTTCTGTGAAGCATGTCACAACATGTCTGTGGGGGTTGGGGAGGGCGAGACAGTGGCAGCGATGGTGGAGGCGTTCAGGAGGAGGCGAAAGATTCTGGTGGCTCGGCTGGAGAAGATTGATTGAGTCAAGCTGGCAGTACCCCAGGTAAGGGAGGATTCTGAGGGATGTGTGGGGGCGACACGGAACATGTGTATGGGGGGGGGCACAGTGGCAGCGATGGTGGCGGCGTTCAGGAGGCGGAGAGACATGCTGGTGGTCGCCTGGAGCGCCTCAAAATACACCTCAAAATACACCTCAAAATACACCTAGATGGAATCAAACTGGCCGTGCCACACAGGTAAGAAAGCTTTTCTTCTCCCAACTCATACACCCCTTCCTCGCCTCACGTCACCCCAGGGGGGCTCTCTACCTCTTCCCACACGTCTCCTCCTTCCCAGCTTACCCTTCGTCCAGCTCCCATGTCCCACCCCTCCCACGTCACCCCTCTCATCTCTCCCACACCACCAACACCAGGGGGGCTTCTATCTCTTCCCGGACGTCTCCTCCTACGACCGCTTTCAGTTCACCTCTCTCCACTCCCTGTCACCCTCTCACCCCTCTCACCCCTCTCACCCCTCTCATCCCTTCCGCATCACCCCTCCCACCCTTCCACCATCAACCCCAGGGAGCGTTCTATCTCTTCCTTCCCAGATGTCTCCTCTTTCTACGACCACTTTTTCCCTTCTTCTCTCTCCACCATTCCCAACCTTTACCACTCCTGCCACCCCTCTCACCTCTCCCACACCAGGGAGCGTTCTACCTCTTCCCGGACGTCTCCTCTTTCTACGGCCGCTCGGGCCCGGGGTTTGGGCCAATCACGGACAGCGAGTCAATGTGCCGATATTTGCTGGAGCGGGGGCAGGTGAGAGTAGCTGCTGTGACTGTCAGGGGCTCAGACAGGGGCATGACGTGCAATTGCGGGGGTGTGGGGGTTTGGCCCGATCATGGACAGCGTGTAGATGTGCCGATTCCTGCTAGAGAGGGGGCAGGTGAGACTGTAGGTGCATGTGCCGAAACCGTCTCTACCGACTGGTTCTGCACTCACACATGTGGCGTATTTGGGGCGATCACAGACAGCGAGTCGATGTGCTGGAGCGGGGGCAGGTGAGAGTATTGCTGTGACTGTCAGGGGTTCACACAGGCATGCTGTGCAATTGCGGGGGTGTAGGAGTTTGGCCGATCCAGACAGCGAGTCGATGTGCATGTGCCGATGCTTGTCGATGTGCCGGTACCTGAGAGGGGGCAGGTGAGACCGAGGGTCCACTGAAGGGATGCTTGCAGGGATGATTGCAGGGAGGAGTTTGATATTGCTGTCAAACTTGTGAGACTAGGGGGATGGTTGCACTAGGTTTATGGCTGGGATGAGTTTTGGTGAGTGCTTGGTTGTGGAGGAGACACAACAATCCACGTGATAAAAGAGTGGTTTTGAGACATCTCAACAGCCCAATGTATGTTTTCGTGCGCATCACCTTCTCGTGCACACTAACGTGCTCTTCTCATCTCGTCACCTTGCACGACCATCTCGGTCCGATCGATACCAGCACTCGTGTATGCAATCATGCATGTACCTCACCCACGCACATGCATTCTACACCATTTGAGAACGTCCATTGCTTGTTGTCGTCCTAATTTTCCGCTCCTCTCAATGTATTCAGGTGGCGCTGGTTCCGGGAGAGGCCTTCGGAGCTCCCGAATGCATCCGAATATCGTATGCGGCAGCCGATGAAGTGCTATTACAAGCCATGGACAGGATTGAGAAGGCTCTGGCCGAAATTGAATAGTACCGTGAAGTTTTAACTGTGTATCAAGGAAGGTAGAAGTGGTTATAGACCTAATTAGGCATCTTTTGGTGCCCTCCAAGGCTTTTGTATTGGCATCGGGAAGTACTACATAATGCTAGTCCGTACGATGTTGAAGGTTGGTGTTTTTCACGAGATTCTATCGAGACCTATGGCTGACCGAGAACAAGCGGGAGTGCCAAATGACTTGAAAAATAACGTCATCTGCGAGTCGATTTCGAGGTGCTACACCGTCTGCTGATGATTTACCATACCCCCAAAAGCCCGCACATTTCAATGACTGTAATTGCAAGTGGAAACCAAAGTCTGCCCGCACATTTCACTCTCCGATACAGTATTCCCTTGAATTTCCCACTTGCGATTGCGGCGCACACACCCCCAACCCAACCCAAGGACCTCGGGTTTGTCTGATGAAGGACGCACTTCACAACAACCAGCGGTCCTATTTTTTCGCCGCCCACTCACACTCTCTGCTCCTAGCGCTAGGCTCGAGACTAGAACCTAGCGTCTATGATTAACTAGCGTGTCGCACCTTGAAACGACTTCGCTATTTATAGCGTCGGTCGTACGTCGTTGTGCGCGGTGACGAATAAGTCGCGGCGCGATGGCGATCGATCCCGATGAGATCCAGGTCGGCCCGAAGGCGTCCATATTCGTCGTGCTTGCGACGCTAGCGCTGGGCGCTGGTGCATGCACGCTGGGCCTCCTCGCTATGCTCATCCCCTCTTCTGTGAGTCGCACGCGGCGCGCCGTCGTTAACCGCTCAGTACCGCTCATTACCGCTCATTACCGCTCATTACCGCTCATTATCGTAGCATCTCGTAAGATGCGGCCTCGGCCTCGTCGCAATGCTGTTCCCTTCTTCGGCGAATAACGCGCAGTATGATAGCCAAAGCCGTCCGTTAAATATAGTCGTCGTGGTTACCCTACTAGCCTGCCCGTCGTTAACCGCTCATTACCTCTTGTTATCGTAGCAGCTCGCAAATGCGGCCTCGGCATCCTCGTTATAAATCTCCGGTCAACGCTTTTAGGCGACATCCCCTCACCTTTTGGTGTCACTTAACGGCGGGGGGAACCGACCCTTTTCTCTGAAGCCCGCTCGCACGAGACACGCGTTTTGCTTGCTTGGCGCCGTTCCGTCGGCATTAGGTCAAAATAGCTTGTCAGCTTTGTCGTTGCGACGCACATTTTGTTTCGCGTTTAGAATTCATGGTTCAAACGGAAGCATTTCGGACGCCGACTGCCCCTCACGTTTGCATTAGGTCGTACGAGACTGTGTTCCGTTGGTAGCTGCGACGCACATAGCAATGTTGCTGTGACGCACATTTCGTTTCACGTTCAGTCGTATTGATTATTTGTTTTCTAGGAAACTTCCTAGAAGCCAATATTACATTGCATTTGCAGTAGGTCAAAACCGTGTGCCGGTTTTGTCGGTATCGTTGCTGGTGCGAGTCCGCACCGCACATTTCGCGTCACGTTCATCCCTAGTACCTTCCTTGCTCACGCCGTTTTCGTTATTGAGTTTCCGATGCAGCTTAGAAGGTTTTGAGAGCGTCGCGCGTTAATTCTAAGGTGCTGGTAACGTTAACTTACTTCTTACCCCTTCCCTCTCGCCAATGTAGCTGCTTTCAGTACCTTCCAAACCGAGTGTGACCACAAGGTTGACATGTGGTTACCAAATTACCCTTCAAGCGTGTCCTCCTTTTTCACTCAACACTCAACAGCATGACTGCCAGCTTGAAGAACCACATAACAATGCGGTTACCAAGTTACTGGTCAAGCATGCTCACGTTTTGACTCAGCAGCTCGATGGCGCTCATCACTCCTCCCTCTCGCCTTTCCTCCTCCCTCTCGTCTTTCCTCCTCCACTGGATCCCCCGCTAAGCACCTCTGCTTCCTCCCCCATCTCCACCCCCCCTCGGACCCCCCCCTTCCCTTCCTCCCCTTCCACTTCATCCGCACTACCCTCTTCCCCCCAGCATCCCCTCTTCCCGACTGAGGCGAACGTGAGCGAAGTGTTACAATGCGGTTACCAGTCAAAACCCTCTGCTTCCACACCGTCAACCTTCCCCACACCAAACGCACTTCCCTTCCCTCCCCCCCCCCCCCCCCCCCCCCACCTCGCCCCCACGCAGGCGTACACAGTGCCTCCAGAGGCGAACGTGAGCCAAGTGCTGGAATGCGGTTACCAGTCAAGCACAGCGACGCAGTTTGGAATCATAGGAGGCATGCTGCTGGCTGCTACAGCGTTGATCTCTGTTTTCCCCCTCGTCTTAACCCACTGCTTTAACACCCGTCCGCCTTCCCCACAACCACCCACCCCCTCTTCTCCATTCACCTCTCCCCCATGCAGACGTACACAGTGCCGCCAGAGGCGAACGTGAGCCAAGTGCTGGACTGCGGTTACCAGTCGAGCACCGCGACGTTGTTTGGAATCATAGGAGGCATGCTGCTGGCGGCGGGGATGGCGCTCATCTCCGTGCTGGGCGGCTGCGTGTGCTGTGTCACCATCCAGTACGCCCACGGGCAGGCGCTGAAAGTCAGCATCGTGTGTTACACGCTTGCATGGTGAGTGAAAACAGCACTACACACTTGTACGGTGAGAGCAGTGAGAGCACGCAAGCCTGCCAGCCAAACAACCCTCCCTCCGTGCTGGGCGGCTGTGTGTGCTGTGTGACCATCCAGTATGCGCACGGGCAGGCGCTCAAAGTCAGCATCGTGTGCTACACGCTCGCATGGTGAGAGCAGTGAGAGCAAGCAGCCTACCCCTTTGCATGGTGAGAGAGAGCAAGCATGCAAGCAGGCCTGCAAGCCAACCATCCCCTCCGTGCTGGGTGGCTGTGTGTGCTGTGTGACCATCCAGTAATGTTGAGTTTACTTTTGAGAATTCTCAGAAGTAAACTCAACATAGCAGTGAGAGCAAGCAGACCTGCCAGCCAACCATCCCTCCCTCCCTCCGTGCTGGGCGGCTGTGTGTGCTGTGTGACTATCCAGTACGCCCACGGGCAGACCCTCAAAGTCAGCATCGTGTGTTACACACTCTTGCATGGTGAGAGGAAGCAACTTACCCCCTTGCATGGTGAGAAAGAGTAACGCTGCATCCTTGCGTGGTGGTGAGAACAAACAACGGGAGCACTCTTGCAGGGTGGCATTCTTCCCGCAGGAGGCCTGTCTCACGGTACTTGGCTCTCTTGATTAAACAACTACCACAAGTCACGTTTTGAGTCGACTCAAAACAAGGAGGCCTGTCTCACAGTGGTTGGCTCTCTTGATTGAACAACCACCACAAGTCACCATGAGCCCCCTCTCTTCCAATCCCCTCCTTTCTCCTTTCTCCTCTCCTTCTCTCCTCCTCTCCTCCTCTCCTCCTCTCCTCCTCTCCTCCTCTCCTCTCTGGGCTTCCGGGCTGGCGCTCTCCCTAGCGGACGTGTGTCTCATGTCGGAAGGCTCTCCTCCCCAACTGACATAGTCCCAAACATGTCCTTGCACTTCACTGCTGCCTCTCCCTTCACCTCCAGGCTGGCGCTCTCCCTAGCGGACGTGTGTCTCATGTCGGAAGGCTCTCTCAACAGCTATCACAAGGCGGTCACCCTTCCAGCCCCCTCTACTCAACCACCTGACCCTCTTCTCACACTCCCTTCCACCCCTCCCTCTTTGCCCCCAGGGCGGCCTTCTTCCTAGCAGAGGTGTGCCTCATGTCGGGGGGCTCGCTCAACAACTACCGCAAGTGTCTCGTTTCCCCTCCTCTCCTCTCTCTTCACATGCAGGGTGGCATTCTTCCTAGCGGAGGTGTGTCCCATGTCGGGAGGCTCGCTCAACAACTATCACAAGGCGGTCACCCCCGACCTGCTCCTTCATTCTGTAACCCGACTCTCTTCCATCCCTCTCCTCTCTTCTTCTGCAGGGCGGCCTTCTTCCTAGCGGAGGTGTGTCTCATGTCGGGGGGCTCCCTCAACAACTACCACAAGTCGGTCACCAACTATCAGTACGACTACCAGCTGCGCACGTGCTACCAGCTCAAGACCACCACCTATATCGGTACGTGCTGAATGCTGAGTGCTGTGTGCTAAGAGTACACTCAAGAGTATATTCATTAAGCTGAGGAGTGATCCCCAGTGCTGAGGAGTCACCAACTATCAGTACGACTATCAGCTGCGCACGTACGTGCTACCAGCTCAAGACCACCACCTACATTGGTATGTGCCATGTCATCTACCTGGCTTACTGTGTCTTGTCGTGCCTGTTGGGTTGGTTGTCACCAACTATCAGTACGACTACCAGCTGCGCACGCACGTGCTACCAGCTCAAGGCCTCCACCTACATTGGTATGTTACGTTCCGTGTGTTTTGAAAGCCATGATGGCAGTGCTGTGCTGACGGTGGTATTCGTCTATTATTGGCATATTTCAGGCGCTGACGGTGGTGTTTGCAGTGCTCTACTATGGGCAAGCACACACAAGTCCTCGCTCTGTACCCCCCCCTTCCCCCCACCATCTAACACCCCGGTCTCCTCCCCCGCCCTCCCTCCCCTTGCAGTGGGGCGGTGATGTCGATACTGACGGTGGTGCTCGCAGTGCTGTACTACGGGCAAGCACAGAACCCTGTCCTGTCCTTATTCCCCATTCAACGCCCCTACCCCCCCCAACAACGTGGAGTGGGAGCAGTGATGTCGATACTGACGGTGGTGCTCGCAGTGCTGTACTACGGGCAAGCACAGAACCCTGTCCTGTCCTTATTCCCCATTCAACGCCCCTACCCCCCCCAACAACGTGGAGTGGGAGCAGTGATGTCGATACTGACGGTGGTGCTCGCAGTGCTGTACTACGGGCAAGCACAGAACCCTGTCCTGTCCTTATTCCCCATTCAACGCCCCTACCCCCCCCAACAACGTGGAGTGGGAGCAGTGATGTCGATACTGACGGTGGTGCTCGCAGTGCTGTACTACGGGCAAGCACAGAACCCTGTCCTGTCCTTATTCCCCATTCAACGCCCCTACCCCCCCCAACAACGTGCAGTGGGAGCGGTGATGTCGATACTGACGGTGGTGCTCGCAGTGCTGTACTACGGGCAAGCACAGAACCCTGTCCTGTCCTTATTCCCCATTCAACGCCCCTACCCCCCCCAACAACGTGCAGTGGGAGCGGTGATGTCGATACTGACGGTGGTATTTGCAGTGCTGTACTACGGGCAAGCGCAGAAGTCCAAGTACGAGGCGTGGGTGGAGCAGGGCGCTCCCACCCCGCGCCTCTACTCCCTCGAAACCATGAAGAGCTTTGTCATTGCCGGCCCTGCTCGTGCCGGCCCGTTGAAATCGGAAGATGATGACGATGATGATGATGATGATATGGGGGATGAGGAGGAAGAGGAGTACGATGTGTTTGATGAGGGGGAAGAGGAGGAGGATGATGATGACACGCGGCCGCTCAACCCGCGGAGGAATGATGATGACGACGATGATGATAATGATGGTAATCGCCATCATTGATTGGGGACATGTTCGGTGCATGGTAGATGATATTGGTTGCTTTTTGGGCGCCTCGGAAGGAAAGGGGTGTGATGTGTTTGAGGAGGATGAGGAGGAGGATGAGGAGGAGGATGACACAAGGCCGCTTAACCCGAGGAGGCATGGTGATGATGATGATGATGACCATGATGGGAATCGTGCGCATTGATTGTTGAGGCGCCTCAAAGGAGGATTTGGATGATACGCGGCCACTCAACCCACGCAGGCATGATGAAGATGATGATGGTGGAAGTAGTTGTGCGCATTGATGTGGAGTGTGAAAGAAATACGGTATATGGTATTTGATTTACTCTGGGTGCCTCAGAGGCAAGGGGTTGTGCTGTGTTTGAGGAGGATGATATGGGGGACGAGGAGGACGAGGATGACGCGCGGTCGCTCAACCCGCATAGACATTATGACGCCGACGACGATGGTGATTGTTCGTGTGATGTGTTTGATGAGGTGGAATGTTATAGACTACCACCCCACCCACCACCACTAACGTCAACCCTTGCAGGCATATTGACAGCTATAATTATTCAGGCAGAAGACCGCGAAGAAAACTGTCCCTTGTGAGCATTTCCATATGCCAATAACGAAATGTGCTCAATGGCCATTTGAGTGTAGCATGTAGTCAGTTGATGAGATACTGCACATTCACCTCTTCAATACATTCATTTACAGAATCCACATTATAAAAAACAACACCACTTCATTACAAGCCAGTTACACTTCCACATGCAATATTGTAGTGCAATGCTTCACAGAGAAGAATAGGCACCGCTCTACACCTATCCCAGGCTCTCTTAAACATGTCGCCAAATAAATATTCAAACTCTCAAGCTGCCCAATAATCTTTGCACGCCATTTCTGGGCGAGCGGCTTGGGAAATGCCACGAGTAACTGGCATGCGGGCTGCAAAGATTTGTCCTTCAGTTGCTTGGAGAGTGCTGGAAGGTCAGATCCGTCCAAGGAAAACTGCTCCATTACAAAAAGGTGAGGTCAGAGAAAGAAAATGGTTGAAAGAGGAGGCAAGAAAGAGCGGAGTGAGGGGAGGAGGGGGCGGGGGGTCTCGGGTGGGGAGAAGGCGAGTTTTGGTAAGATTGAAGTGGAATCTGGACAACGTTTTGCAAGTTATGAACCTTTTGGCGTAACAGCCAAGCAATGCTTGAAGCGTAATGCATGATGCCGTAAGTTCATATCTTGCACGTGTGGGGTGGCCTTTTAGAGGCAAAAAAATAAATAAAAATAGGTGGTGGGCAACAATTGTTTTGCCCACTTTGAAACACTCGTCAGCAGCAGCACACACCTTAATGACGTGAGCAGGAGCAGCAGTGGGAGAGGAGGGCAGCGCATGCACTGAGAGGCCCGGAAGGAGCGAGGGGAGGTGTGACTCCCACCACCCTGCAGTCCAAGGGAGGGGTGTCCTGGGGGAGGTGGAATACACCACGCTGTAGAGATATGGACAGAGGGGTGAGGGGTGGGGCATGGGGGGATATTTAAAGGGTTGAAGGGCGTTGGTGGGTAGTAGAAAGGACATTTTGTCTGATAAGGCTCAAAACTCGACTCCCACCACCCTGCAGTCCAGGGGAGATGGGTCCTGGGGGAGGTGGAATACACCATGCTGTAGAGATATGGACACAGGGCAGGGGTGAGGGATGGGGAGATGGGTTGGGGAATAGGGGAACGGGGTGAGGGACTGGGGGTGCATTTGGAGGGATATGGCGACCCCCACCACCCTGCAGTCCAGGGGAGGGGGGTCCTGGGGGAGGTGGATAGGACCACGCTATAGGAATATGGACCAAGGGGAGAGGGGTAGAGAGATGGGGTGAGGGATGTGCAGAAATGAGGAATACTTTTGAGTCGACTCCCACCACCACCCCCCCGGCAGGAGGGGTGGGTCCTGGGGAAGGTGGAAAGGATCATGCTGCAGAGATATGGACAGAGGGGTGAGGGGTTGAGACATGGGGTGAGGGATGGTGTGAGGGATGGTGTGAGGGATGGTGTGAGGGATGCGGTGTCATGTGGAAGGGTGGGGAAATGTGGGGAAAACTCAAGTTGAAATATCAATTTGAGAAATCAAGTTGAGAAATCAAGTTGAGAATTCCGAGTATAAGAATCATAATGAATGATGTACAACGGATTAGGAGACCTTAGGGCTACACGGAACGTGACGATTTCAAAAGCAGGTTCGGTATACCTGTTAGGAGTGATAACAGCGAGGGCTGTAGGGAAGGACATGCCATAGGAGCCAACAATAGATATCTTCCAGAGTTCAAAAGGGCTATACAGAATGTGACTGTATCAAAAGGTGGTCAAAATTACCTGTTAGGAGTGATAACAGCGAGGGCCGTGGGAAAGGACATTCCGTAGCAGCCCACTAGGGATACCTTGCCGAGTAGTGATCGCACACAGATGGCAGCAGCGGGAGGGGCGCTCCAGTTGGCTGCTTGGCGCTGGAGCTGATAGGGGCAGGCAGGGAGGGGGGGAGGAGCAGGAAGGGGGGAAGGGGGGGGTGGAGGGAGTAGGTTGGGAAATGCAACAACCCAGTATGAGGCAACTAGGGATATCTTGCCAAGGAGCGATTGCACACAGATGGCGGAAGGGGGAGGGGCGCTCCAGTTGGCTGCTTGGTGCTGAAGCTGAAAGGGGGGGGATGGGTAGGGAGAAAGGGGAAAGCGGATGAGCCAACAAGGAATATCTTGCCAAGTAGTGATCGCACACAGACGGCGGAAGGGGGAGGGGCGCTCCAGTTGGCTGTCTGGCGCTGGAGCTGGTAGGGGAAAGAGGGAGAGGGAAGGAATAAGAGGAAGAGGATGAGAGGGTTGAAAGCATAAACCAATAAGAACCAGAAATGGATATCTTGCCCAGGAGTGATCACACACACATGGCAGAAGGAGAGGGGCGCTCCAGTTGTCCGTCTGGCGCTGAAGCTTATAGGGGGAGGAAGGATAGGGAAGGAAGGGGTAAGAGGATGAGGGGAGAAAGGAGCGCGGTCGTGGAGAGAAACGAGGGAGAATGGAGAAGGGGGAAGGGAGAAGGGAGAGGGGAGGGAGGAGCGGCAGAGGGGAGATGAGAGGAGGGAAAGAAGAGAGGGCAGTTGTTGGAAATTGGAACTAAGATTCTGTGAATTATCTTCAAGTCCCATAGACCATCGGCCCACCCAGTCCACCTACCACACGCGTTTAGAACACTGTATATCGTCCAGATCTAGTCTGCTGCACGCTGAGAATTATGTCAGAAGACAGTCCCACATGCCATCAACCCACCCAGCCCATCTACCACATACCAAAATCATTTCCTGAGGCGCCTCAGAAATAGACGACTCAAAAATACATACCAAAATCACCCACCTCCCTTCCCCAATTTCCCTGCACTAAAAATCCCTCACCTGTCCCATCAGCTGCACGCATTGCTTCAGATTGGTGGACGAAATAGCCCGTCGCATCCCGGCCAATCGCGAGCCAGCAGCGGCGTCATAGTTGTCGGTCCAGGCGAGCTCCCAGGGGTGGGAGGTGTCGCATAGCTGTATGCTTTCAGTGCCCATGTTGAGAGGATGGGCTGAGGGGGAGAGGATCCGGTTTGAAGCAGGCGCCCAAGCGATGTGTGAAAGGGCCTGCAATGCAAGTGGGGAAGGGAAGGAGAATCAGCACAGCAGCAGCATCGTAGTTGTTGGTCCAGGCGAGCTGGTGGGACCAGCAACAACTACGATGCTGTTGTGGGACCAGCAAAGTGTTCATATCGTTGGCTGAGGGGGAGTGGATCCAGTTGGAGGCCGGCGCAAAGGCCATGTGGGAGAGGGCCTGAAGGGGGGCGGGAAGGGCGAGGGACAGTACAAGGGAACAGAGCAAGAAGGATCGTATTTGTTAGTCCAGGCGAGGTCCCAGGGGTGGGAGGTGTGGAAGAGCTGTATGCCGTCACTACCAGAGCAGAGTTGAGCGGATGGGCTGTGAGTGAGAGGGAGACGATCCGGTTAGATTCAGGCGCCCAAGCGATATGTGAAAGGGCCTGCAAGCGGGGAGGGGTAGGAGAATCATCACAGCAGCAGCGTCGTAGTTATCAGCCCAGGCGAGCTCCCAGGGGTCACATAGGTCTATGCTACTACCAGTGTTGAGGGGGCTGGGTGAGGGGGAGCGGATCCAGCTGGAGGCAGGTGAAAAGGGCCTGTTGGGGGGGTGGAAAGGGAAGGGGAGAGTAACGCCTTATTTGTTTCCAGCCGTGCGCAAAGAGAGGAAAAGGGAAGGGACAGGGGGAGGAGGAGTAGCAAGCGTCATGGTTGTGAGGACAGGCGAGCTCCCAGAGGTGGGTGGTGACTCAGAGATGTGTGCTCTGACTGCCAGTGTTGAGCAGATGGGCTGAGGGGGAGCGAATCCTGTTGGAGGCAGGCTCAAAGGCCATATGGGAGAGTGCCTGCAGGGAAAAAAGGGGAGGGACGGGATGAAAGCTTTGTTCAGATGATTAGCCCAGGGGAGCTCCCAGGGGTGGGTGGTGCCGCAGAGCTATATGCTCCCAGTGCCAGTGTTGAGCGGATGGGCTGACGGAGAGGGAGAGGATCCAACTGGAGGCAGGCGCAAAGGCAATGTGGGAGAGGGCCTGGGAGGAACGGATGGGGGACGGAGAGGGGTAGCACGAGGGAAGGAAGGTAGGAGATGGGTAGTCTTAGATAGAGAAAGCGGCAAGCATTGTGGTTGTTGGCCCAGGTGGCCTCCCAGGTGGCCTCCCAGGTGGCCTCCCAGGTGACCTCCCAGGTGGCCTCCCAGGTGGACGGACGTGCGTCAGGGCCAGCATTTCTTGTTGCAGGCGCATTTTAGAACTCGGACAGCAGCCGTTTCTTTACAAGTCAATAACGAAACCCATACTTGTGATTGTCTTACCTCTAGACCACTGTTCTTGGGCGTGCACGGCCAACACTTGGCGCCGTTCAGGTTGCCACGTGACTGTAACGAAGCCACCAGCACCTCCCCATGCACTCAGTATCACACTCTTGCCTCAAGACAAGTGTAGGTGGGTGTGCAGGGCTAACGCCTCGCCCCCATTAGATCAACACGTGCCTGCGACAAAACCACCAGGTCTACTCTCTGTAGTTTTCGTCCTCCTTTAGTTGTTGTGCTGGACATTCTCTTACCTCTAGACCACTGTATGTATGGGTGTGCAGGGCCAACACTTGGCACCGTTCAGGTTGCCACGTGACTGTAACGAACAAAGCCACCGGCACCTCCCCCTGATTTTGTGTTCTTACCTCCAGGCCCGTGTATTTGGGCGTGCAAGGCCAGCCCTTCGCTCCATTCAGATTGGCGCGTGACTGTAACGAGGCCACCAGCACCTCCCCCTGCCGCCCGTGCTTGTACGTCTGGTGGCTCACGATGCACAGCGGCCAATCAGCTCGCGCCACGTGGACGCCTGTGGATTCTGTATGGGCCTTGAGGGTTGCCTCTGGGGAGAGGTTGCTGTGGGGGTGGAGAGAAGAGGGAGGTTGAAGGGAAGGGAGGAGACAAGCGAAGAAGAAGGGACTAGCAAGAAGTCTGGATTGAGTCCTTTTGTGTTACCCCCTCATTATTCAGACACCCCACCCCCACGCACCTGAGGCCTGCTTTCACGAGTTCTTGAATGGAGGAAAGCCGCGAGAGAACCTTCCGGGCAGCTTCCAGAGAACCCATTCCAAAGGCGTCGTTGATTCCACTGTAGTCCGAACCAAACGGCACTACCCACTCCTCCTCCTCCTGCTCCTGCTGCTGACTCTCTGCATCTACACTTGTATTTTTTGTCGAGTTTGTTTCCTCTTTCGCTCCCTTTGCTACCACTGCAGACTCCCCTCGCTCCGCTGCCCCCTCGCTTGCAGCAGTGGCATCACCAGCGCCAGCACCAGCAGCACCAGCAGCACCAGCAGGTAGAGAGTTTGCGGTGGTGTTAGGAAGCGAAGGGGGGAAGGCGGAGGAGAGGGAAGGAGGGGCGGACCAGTAGGAGTCGAGGCGCGAGTGTATGAGACGGTGGAAAGGAGGCGAGGAGGGGTGGTGGTGCTGGTAGTTGTCGATCAGGGAGAGGCAGGAGGAGAGAAGTTGTAAGTACTGCAGTTGAGGCTGCACAAGGGAAGCAGGGAAAGGGGGGAAAGAAGAGAGGGCGGGAGTGTATGAGGAGGTGAAATGGCGGCGAGGATGGGTGGTGGCGCTGGTAGTTGTCAATCAGGGAGAGGCAGGAAGAGAGAAATTGTAAGTACTGCAGCTGAGGCTGCACGGAAGAAACAGGGGAGGGGGCGCAAGCAGGGAGGGAGGGAGTGGATGAGGGGGTGGAAGGGAGGTGAGGAGGAGTGGTGGCGCTGGTGGTTGTCGATTAGGGAGAGGCACGACAAGAGAAGTCGTAGGTACTGCAGCTGCGGCTGCAGAGGGAGGGAGGGAGTGGATGAGGGGGTGGAAGGGTGGCGAGGACCATGAAAGCTCACAACAGAACAGAGACTAGAGATTTAAGCATAAACGAACCTGACTTTTGAGACGTCTCAAAAGAGGACCATGAGAACTCGCAACAGAGACTAGAGATCTAAAAATAAACGCACCTGCATGCTTCGAGCTGTTGTGTTGTTGTAGAGCTTGCTGTCTCCCACCACCTCCTCACCGTCCACCCACACACTCCCACCCATCTCCACCGCACCCAACTCCACCTCCCCTTCCCACGCACTCTCCGCATCGACCCCCTCTTTTAGGTTCCGCCCTAACCCTCCCGCTAGTCCCTCTCCCTGTTCTCCCGATCCGCCCTGTCCCCCAAATTCCCCAGATCCCCCATCTCTCCCCTTTCCCAGCCCCCATTGCAGCGCCCATAGCTTGTGGCTATGCTCGTCCAGAGGAGCTACGAGGAACAGGACCGGGTGGTACGGATGCAGGCTCGGCAGCAGCCGAGCGACGATGCTAGGCCCGGTGAGCTCGAAGTCACGCGCCGAACCAGTGAGGCAAACGGCAGTGCGGGTGGTGGGGTTGGCCGCTTGGATTGTAGATGGCTCGGAGGCTTGTTGCTGCTGAGTGAGGGAGGAGGGAGGGCAGGAGGGAGGGAGCAAGGAGAGCAACACAATGTGAGACAGACTGCTTTGCAGGTGGTGGGGGAAGGCTCTGAGGCTTGTTGCTGCTGAGTGGGGGAGGGAGGGGGGGATGGAGAAAGGGGAGCAACACAATGTGAGTGAGACAGGCTGCAGTGCGGGTGGTGGGGTTGGGTGCTTGGGTTGTAGATGGCTCGGAGGCTTGTTGCTGCTGAGGGAGGGAGGAGGGAGGGAGGGAGCAAAGAGAGCAGCACCATGTGAGGCAGACTGCAGTGCTGGTGGTGGGGGTGGGCGCTTTGATGGCGGAGTCCCGGAGGGCTCTGTGGTTTGCTGCTGCTGCTGCTGCTGAGGGAAGGAGGAAGGAAGGAGGGAGGGAGGGAAGGAGGGAGGGAACAAGGGGAGCAGCACAATGTGAGGCAGACTGCAGTGTGGGTGGTGGGGGAGCGGGCGCTTGGAGGGTGTGGGGATCCGACGCTTGTTGCTTCTGAGAGAAGGTGGTGGGGAGGGAGGGAGAGAGGGACCGAAGCAGTGAGGCGGGCAGCAGTGCGGCCGGTGGGGGTGGGCGCTTGGAGGCGGGAGGGCTCTGAGGCTTGTTGTGTCTGGCTGGGGAATGGAGGGAAGGAGCACGAGGGCTATGCGGGAGATGAAGACGGAACGCACGGCACAATGCAGTTGCGGTAACTTGGTTATTGCAGCAGCACCACCTCACTACTCTCGCCACTTGTTGACTGGAACCAGCCCGAGAGAGCAGCTAGATGGCGCGGTTGTGAAGCGAGACCCATGAGAGGGATTGGGGGAAATGCAGTGAGGTGGAAGGAAACATACAACAATGCAGCTTATGAGAATTCTGGTGTTACTTTTCAGAATTCTCAGAAGTAACACCAAAGACGCGAGCCGGAAAGAAAAAACATACAATGCACAGGTGTGATTTGAGTCGACTCAACACTTACTGGAGCAGCGACAGCTCAGTACTTACAGCTTGTTGCGTGGAAGCATCCAGAGACAGCAACTGACTCGCATGCTTGCGAAGCGAGGACCACGAGAGGAATTGGGGAGACTTGGAGGCGGAAGCGGAGGGGTGAGACTGGAGTGAAGTGGAGAAGAGAGAGGAGAAGGATGAGGGCGATGAGGAGGAGGAGGTGGAGGAAGAAGCGGAGGAGGCGGATGTGAGAGACGCGATGAGGGCAGCTCTAGCCGCTGGTGAGGAGAGAACACCCAGAGACTCTGGTGATGATGTCTGGTGGACGAGGGGAGCGGAAGGAGGGTAGTAGAGAGGAAATTGTTATATTCTGGGATCCAAAAAAAAAAACAAAAAAAAACAAAAAAAAAACTATTGGAGAGGAGAGAACACCCAGAGACTCTGGTGATGATGTCTGACGAGGTCAGAGTGGTGAGGTGAGGCTTATGGTCAGAAGCCTCATAAGCAGCTCTAGGCGCTGTTGGTGAGGAGAGAAGACCCAGGGACTCTGGCGACGCTGTCTGCTGGCGGGGGGGAAAGAAGAGGAATGTAATACACTTCTCATGAGCTGCAGCCATTTTCTGCACAACGTGTTTTTTTAGCTCGTCGTGCTCCTCACCGTTCCGCTCAACATTGACCACTTCAGGGTGAGATCTTCTCACCTGAGTGCACGAAGCGCGTTCAAACGTCGTCGTTTCCGCAGCTCGCCGCCGTGTATGCCGCTTTTGTTTGCTCGTCGTCCTTACGGCCTCACTTATCCGATGAGTCTTGATGAACTTTTGGTCGAGAAATATAGCCCTATCGGGTGAGGATGAAGCAATTTGGATGGCAATTCCGATTGCGGAAAGCACTTTCGGGTGAAACTGAAGCATTTCTGGGTGAAGCACTTATGAAGCCTGCGATATTTTTAAATTAGTAGCACCGATGAAATCTCATTCTCACCCGAAAATGGTCCATGTTGAGCGGAACCGTGAGGAGCACGACGAGCGCTACGGCCGCTGCGACTCGCAAACAGCTGCAGTGATGCGGCACGCACGAACGCGACGACGAGGAATGCAGCTCCTTGCGCGGCGACAGTACGTCGTGAACCCATGACGATTCAGAGTCTGCGTTCCACGACGAATCGGAGTCGTACTTTCCGTCGCTCGGAAACGCGCTTTCGTCAGGCGTGATCTTCAGAGTGCAATCGTACGGCTCATCGCTGCAGTTTTTCTGGGATTCCAACGGTCCTGATTCCATTGCAACCATAATCTCGCCAGAAGAATCGGCTTTTTGTCGAAATATTGATCTAACACTGTGCGTGATAAAGCTGGACGCGAAAGTGTGATAAACTAGAGATTGAGTCGTCCTTTCCTCTGCTTGACACACCGGATTTTGTAAATTCACCCCCCCTGTGACTCACGTCCCTTTTCTGTACTAGCGAAGGAGAAAATTATAGCGCGGAACAGTGTGTTACCCCTGAGATTGCGAACGTGCACGTTTTTGTCGTATTTTAACTGCCAGCTCGCGTGCAAAAGTAGGTGAAGCAACGAAATAACCTCGCTACTATTCTGGTCCAGGTGACGGCAACTCTTTTGTGTTGAAGTACAAGCCTCAAGAAATGCTTGGAGAAGACGACAACCACTTATCAGAATACACGTAATCAGCTTATCGGGAATTTCTGAATCCATCCCCCCCCCAATGTCTGTGGGAAAATCGTGGTGCAGGAGGGCTGCCATAGGAATTGCACTTCTCCACCTCGCACCGCTTTCTCAAAATTTTCAAGGCTCGACGAACTCAGTGCGAGAAAGGTGATTGTTTCGCCAACACATGTCGAGGTGTATTGCACGCATGGCGACACTTTGTTAGCTGTCACCACCGCCACACAATCACCATCCCCAGGGCGCCTATTTGTGGCAATGCCAAGATAGCCAATCACGGGCCGTGACTGTGGTGACAGCGGGGCGGGGGTTGGTGAAATATCACTCGATACAAAATAACTTCAACACAAGTACAATCTAGTATCATTGAGGTACGTCTTGGACCCTAAAAAGCAATCAACTCAGCGTGATAAGGTGATAAGGTGTGCTGATGTTTCATCCTACTGCCATTATTTTCCTCGGGCAAGTTATCATGCATAAATGTCAGTAAGTACGCAATCATGAGCACCTAACATAGATATACTATTGTATGCACCAAATGCCTTCAAAGTAGCATTATTTGTGAAGGGCTACATGGTACGTGGCAACACATGCAGATACCTACATGTACTGTATATCACAACACGGCGAAAGAGAAGGGCCTACGGTGGGACTAATTATCTCGTAATAAAAAGGCTCAACACAACACAGCTCCTATATTGACTCCCATAGCCCAGTCTGGCCCAGTGTCATAAAGTTGCATCTCTACCATACAAAAACAAAACTGTACTTCACAACAAATCTTGACATCATGAATAAAAAAAAGTTTGATTCTCTACTCCAAGAAGTAACCGGAGATGAAGAACATGAATGCGACTCCGATAGACCCCCAGATGAGAAGCCCTTTCTGAGCCGATGTCAGTGAGTTGCCTCCCAACCCATAAGCCTGGTTCTGGGCAAACCCGGCTAGCTCCTTGCTCAGGCTGCCGAATGAAGAAGGTGCCGACCCACACGTGGGGCACAGCCAGTCCTCAGGGAGCTCCTTGAGGGATACGCCTGGGGGGACAACCGGGGAGAGGAGAAGCGCGAAGGGAGTAGGGAGCAGACGTTGAGGGAGGGGGTAGAGAAGGAATTGACCCCCAGATGAGAAGGCCCATTCTGATCCGAGGTGAGGGAGTTGCCTCCCAACCCATAGGCCTGGTTCTGGGCGAACCCGGCTAGCTCCTTGCTCAGGCTGCCGAATGAACCGGGCGCCAACCCACACGTGGGGCACAGCCAGTCGTCAGGGAGCTCCTTGAGGGATACACCTGGGGTAGGGATTGGGGAGTGGAGTGAAGCGGACATTGGTGGCACATCATTTCCCCCAGCTAGCTCTCCTTGCTCAGGCTGCCGAATGAACCGGACGCCGACCCACACGTTGGGCACACCCAGTTGTCAGGGAGGGAGCTCCGTGAGAGCCACACTTGGGGGGGTCCGGGAGAAACAGGGGAGGGGAGGAAGAAACAGGGTGCATACTAGTCATCCCAATTGCTAACCGGGCTAGCTCCTTGCAGTGAAAAAATCTCTGCAGCCGAGTCAGAACTGCAAGCAAGTTATTTCACGGAACTAGGGCAACCACAGCTAGATGACATGCGACCGAGGTGCAATACTAGCCCAAAGCAGTGGCGTTATTGGATGTCTCAGATCTGCAACTATCTCAATTGGGATGTCAGCTCAGGTGCAGCAGCAATACTCACCTGGAGCAATGGGATAAACTGGGTCGCCCTTGAATTGATCGTAGATATACCCACACGACTTGCACTCCCACTTGCCCGTGTTGATCACTGCAAACTTCTCCTCTGCAGGGGGGGGGGGGGGACACATGAACACACACATCGGGGGAAATGGAGGTGAGGTGGGTGGGTGGGAGGGAGGAGGGTACAGGAATATATGGGGCAGGTGCCTACAAGCCACACGACTTTAGGACTTTTGAGTCAACTCAAAAGTCATATGCTTTGCATTCCCACTTGCCCGTATTCCCCACTGCAAACCTCCTCCTCTGCTGTATGACGAACGCATGGGAGGAAGGACGGGAAGGGGCAAGCAGTATGAGAAGCAGGTCTGATTGGTTAGTCGACTACACTGTGGTCGCTTGCCACTGATTTTGAGTCGACTCAAAAGTATTCCCCACTGCAAACCTCCTCCTCTGCAGTATGACGAACTTGCGGGAGGAAGGGCCGGAAGGGGCAAGCAGTAAGAGAAACAAGTCTGATTGGTTAGTTGACTACACTATGTAGGTTTGCTGCTGTTGGTCCCTGCGACTGTTAGCTTTTCATTTTATGACAGCGGAGGCTGCGCAACCCTCCCTCGCACTATAACGCCCGCAAACAGGGATGGGGTGGTGAGTGTGGAGGGGAAAGGGCACCGAACAGAGAGTATGAATGACAATCCGAAAGGAAAGGGGCGGTAAGGACAGTATTTGCAGGCAGCGGTTGCAGGCAGCGGCAGCTCGGACGCACAAGCATATTCGTTCACGTATGGTTTCTGGGGGCACACGAGCACCTGGTTTCTACTTCGTTTGCCACTACTACCAAAAACGCGTTCCACCTAAGAGTATATTCTACCCTGGAGGCTGGCGGAGTATTGCGACGTCTCAAAACGCGTTCCACCTCGTAGTATGATCCACCCTGGAAGCTGGCGGATGATACCCTTCTGCCTTTGGCGTTTCAGCATAGAAACGCATATCGCCGCTGCTGCTCTACTCGTACCAGCCTTAGAGCCAGCCCCTACACACCGTGCCACGCTCACCTTCTCGTTTAATGCGCGCGGCGGTTTCGGCAGCGGCGGCTGCAGCGCCTTCCTCGTCCGCTGTCGCTCTCACCGCCACATGCCGGTGCCTGGCCCTGCATTGCTGCTGCTGCTGCCTGGATGCCTGACAGAAAATCTCAGATGCAGAAAATGTAAGGAGGCGAAACCAGGGGATAGAGAGGACGAGGAGGGAGGGAGGAGGGAGTGGGGAGGAGATGAGGGGGGAAAAGGGGGTTAACATGCGACACGTTGAAGATCGGCATTCAGGAGGTCAATGAGAAACAAAAACTACTGATTAGTCTGTCTGAAACGTGACATATGTCAGCACAGAGACGGAACGACGAACGACTTGGTAAGGATGGCCAGTAGCAGGGATGTGATCCTGAGTAAGAACTGATTCGCCTGCTTGACACGCAGAATCGATTCGACTACTTGATACAAATTAAGCCAGGGTGGAGGTGCGGGGTGCTGTAACGTACAAGCAGTGGTAACCCGAGTGGTTTCGCTGACACCTGTCGCAGCGAGGTTGAGGGATATGTTGGGAAATAGTAAGGGTGAAGGAGGGTGCATTAGTAAAAAATGGTGCCTCGATTTTATATTTTCAGCGTATACTAATTCCGCCAAATATCCCAACAGAGAAGCTGTCGAAGTTACGCAGGAAAGCAACAGGCTTGCTGAAAGTCAAGAGCAGCTGGTTGCAAATATTATCAGCCAATGGTGTGTGCAAAATTGTTTTTTTACAACTGCGATATTGTAAAATGTGAAAACATTTCACTCAGTCGTTCAAACAGATAACTTGATTTCCTCATTCATCAGCATTCTCAAGCGACTAACCGCGTTGGATGAGCGCGAGGACAGGCTGGCAGTAGGAGCCACGCAAGTAGTTGCCACGTGGCTGGCAAGAGCAGCTGCCGACGCCATCCTAATAGTTTCTGCTATAATATATGACGCAGATCACGTGGAATGGTGGATATTGCCAAATACCACAAAAGTACGCGACGGAGGCTCGGTGGTCACTTATTTGGCAAGAGGGAGGAACGGAATGACAATTGGTGGTACTGTACTAGTTGCTTGATAGGAGCTCGCGAGTAATGAACTGTGTAGGTGCTGTACGTCTTCTTGTGGTATATTTCCTAGGTACTGTAATGTGCAATGGATTCTGAGAAACGCGAGGGCGACATTCGCAACGTGCGTTGCGACGGTAATAGTGCAGCATGCGAAGACGAATATCCCAAGGGCTGAGATGGAAGGTACCGTGGCTGAATGTTTTGTGGCCACGTGGAGAAATGTAACTAGGGGGATCTCCGATGGGATTGACGCACCGAGATTCGTGAGGCAGGTGTAAGGCCAGGTTCGTATTGTGCACGTGTCGGTAACTGGTGACGTGGATCCTCATTGATTCCACGTCTGTTGACTTCAATTCGTGGGCTAGGGTGATCCACCTCCCACGCCAGTCAGCAGCAAACTTTGGAATTGGAAGGTTCGCCAGACGCCGCGTCGCAACTTGTGAAAATATCGGGATAAGAAGCGGAAGCAGTTCATTGAATAAGAAAGGCTTAGGGAATGCGAACAATATGCTTCAATAATACCAAGCACCAATAACAATGTGGTTCGAAAATGTGGTTAAATCTAGGCTCGCTTGCGCTTGCCTCCAGATTTTTTCGCCTGCAATGTGATTCCTTGCTGTTCTTTCATCGGCTTCTTACTCGCCCCCTCCTGCTTCCCCACAAGTTTTTGCTTTTGCTTTCCCTTGCCCTTGCCCTTTTTCAGAGCCTGCTTGTTTATCTCCTGCAGCTGCTGCTCCTTCAACCTTATGCCGTCATCCTCCCATACGGCTCCCCACCCAGAAACACCAGCACCACCACCGCTGCTACTGCTCTGACCTGATCGTACACTAATAGGGAATGCGTTCCCACCGACTGTAACACCACCTTTACTTGCTCCTCCCTTGTTCGAAGCTACACTCCCACCTCCTCCAGAAGCATTTCTGGCATCAGTACTAACTCTTGTGAGAGGTTTCTTAGATTTTTCAGAAACTCCCACTCGGCCTCCTCCCTTGGCCTTTCGCACCACTGCCGTCCATCCCTCCCCTCCTTCCTCCTCTTGCCTGTGCGCTACAGCCGCAGCAGCAGCTGTAGCAGACGCAGCAGATGCAGCTACAGCAGCAGAAAGAGAAGCGGCAGAACCAGGAGGTGTAACACCGGTGGTAACCGCATCACCAGGTGTAACAGTAGCAGCTCCAGGAATGGTTGTCGCAGGTGCGGCGGCAAGAGATGAAGGAGCAGAGAAGGGGGAGGAGCCGGGAGAGTAGAGGAAGGAGAGTGAGGAGAAGAGCGAGGAGAGGAGGGCCGTGTCCGGAGGAGATGGAGGTACCGCTGCCTGTGATGCGGTGGGAGAGACGGGGGGGGAGGGGGGAGGAAGAGGGGTTGCAACAGCGGGGAAGAGAGAGGACTGATGTGTTGGTGGAAAGCAAGCAGGCGAGAGAGGAGAAGTGAGAGGAGAGGAGGGCCGTGTTCGGAGGAGAGGGAGGGGTTAATACCTGTGATGGGTTGTGGGTGAAAGAGAGAGGATGGAATGGAAGGATTGAAACCCAAAGAGATAACACCGGCGATTACTGCATTCCTAGTGTCAGCAATGGTAGTGTCAGCAATGGTAGTGTCTAATTTTGAGGCGCCTTAAAACTAGCGATTACCGCATTCCTAGTGTCAGCAATGGTAGTGTCTGCCGGACTGGTTGCAGCAGGTGCGGTGGGAAGAGGAGAAGACACAACATGGGAGGAGTAACTAGAAGCGGAGGAAGGAGAGGGAGGAGAAGATGTAGGATAGAAGGGGAGGCCTTGGGAGGATAATCACTTTCCAAAATCAGTCACTGGTGGCTTCCCAACCAAGCGTGTTGACGTAGTTGGTTCGGTGCTGCTGGTCGCGTTTGGTGATAGGCAGCAGTGACTGATTTTGTGGTATCCATAGTGATGTGGATAGGCAGCAGATTGCGTTCGCAGTGGTGTCGATAGGTGCATCGTTACACGAACGAACGATATACATATATATATATAGTAGATGTCTACAGACTTAAAGACATACTTGTGGTGTAGGTGATGCTGTGGATAGGTGGATCGTTACACACGACCGCTGCTGCTGGTTCTGCTGCCTCCTTGCCTCTGCACGAGCCAGAAGCTTTCTGAGAAGAGAAAAAAAAAAGAAGCAAGAATTGGTGAGATCCCATAGTTACAGCAAGTGCTGTTTAGGCAAGACAGCTTCAGCATTGGCGTGCGTGCGTGCGGTTCAGCTCACAAGCGCAAGCAAACCAAAGCCAGCGGATACCCCCTCCTCTACCAAGGTGACTTTGAGTCGACTCAACTGGGGCTCGATTGGAACCAAAGCCAGCGGATACCCCCTACCATCGGTTGAATGATAGTTGGTGCTTACAGCTATAGCCAAAATACATGCCAAAGGTTGACCCGATTACAAACAGTCTTCTTTCTTCAGAGCAGTTACACTAGGCACTTTTAGTTAACTCCAAGTACACTTACTTGGGATTGACAGTCAAGATAATGCGGATCTGATGACGTGTCAGCCCCGCCAGTGCCAGCAAGGCTGCCACGTCAGCAGGCCTTTTCAGCTGCCGTGCTGATGTGGCACCACAGGATAGTATCAAGCTCTTGCCACGTGTCACCTCAGAGACCTCCTGTCATGGGGGACGGAAAGATTATGAAAAAACAATTTGTTTCGATACAATATCCAAGCTGCGAGAGAAACAGAAAGTATATAGCCTCACATTGATTGATGCCCTGTATGTAGCAAGGGTGCTGCTCTGCAACTAAGGAACGGAGTGGTCTTTGAGATATCTGAAAGAAAGTAAATCACCTCACCCTGATGCCCTGTAACAAGGGTGTCAGTAACGAGCGGTCCTTCAAGGCAGGTCCGTAGCAGAACTCAAACACCCGACCGGCCTGGGAGAGAATGGCAGGCATGGGACACATGGCAGGCATGGGACACATGGCAGGCATGGGACACATGGCAGCATGGGACACATGGCAGCATGGGACACATGGCAGGCATGGGACACATGGCAGGCATGGGACACATGGCAAGCATGGGACACATGGCAGCATGGGACACATGGCAGCATGGGACACATGGCAGGCATGGGACACATGGCAGGCGTGGGACACATGGCAGGCATGGGACACATGGCAGGCATGGGACACATGGCAGGCATGGGACACATGGCAGCATGGGACACATGGCAGCATGGGACACATGGCAGGCATGGGACACATGGCAGGCATGGGACACTTGGCAGGCATGGGACACATGGCAGGCATGGGACACATGGCAGGCATGGGACACATGGCAGGCATGGGACACATGGCAGGCATGGGACACATGGCAGCATGGGACACATGGCAGGCATGGGACACATGGCAGGCATGGGACACATGGCAGGCATGGGACACATGGCAGGCATGGGACACATGGCAGCATGGGACACGTGGTAGGCATGGGACACATGGTAGGCATGGGACACATGGCTGGCAGGCATGGCTCTTATTCAAGAAAAATAAAACAAAACAACAGAGTCAAGTGAACTCACATGACATGACATCGTGACACGAGCAAACGGGTCAGCAGCGGAGCATATGCATGGCACTCACATGATGCATGGCACTCACATGATGCATGGCACTCACATGATGCATGGCACTCACATGATGCATGGCACTCACATGATGCATGGCACTCACATGATGCATGGCACTCACATGATGCATGGCACTCACATGATGCATGGCACTCACATGATGCATGGCACTCACATGATGCATGGCACTCACATGATGCATGGCACTCACATGATGCATGGCACTCACATGATGCATGGCACTCACATGATGCATGGCACTCACATGATGCATGGCACTCACATGATGCATGGCACTCACATGATGCATGGCACTCACATGATGCATGGCACTCACATGATGCATGGCACTCACATGATGCATGGCACTCACATGATGCATGGCACTCACATGATGCATGGCACTCACATGATGCATGGCACTCACATGATGCATGGCACTCACATGATGCATGGCACTCACATGATGCATGGCACTCACATGATGCATGGCACTCACATGATGCATGGCACTCAACCATGATGCATGGCACTCACATGATGCATGGCACTCACATGATGCATGGCACTCACATGATGCATGGCACTCACATGATGCATGGCACTCACATGATGCATGGCACTCACATGATGCATGGCACTCACATGATGCATGGCACTCACATGATGCATGGCACTCACATGATGCATGGCACTCACATGATGCATGGCACTCACATGATGCATGGCACTCACATGATGCATGGCACTCACATGATGCATGGCACTCACATGATGCATGGCACTCACATGATGCATGGCACTCACATGATGCATGGCACTCACATGATGCATGTGTGTGGGATAGAAACGGCAGAGCGGGTTGAAAGGACAAAAGACACAAACACACATGCATCACACACATACCTTCATCACCAAGTTGGTTGCGGCAAGGGATGGGCGGCGTAACAGAGCATTGCATGGCATGGATCGGTGTGGCATGAATTGGCATGGCATGTAATTGCACAATGTACTACACCAAATCACTTATATCAACACCATCACCACCATTACGATAAACCTATCACCACTCTCACCTGCATCACTGCTTTGACGGCGGCTGGGGAAGGGCGGCTTGGCGCGAAGCAGGACACGTCGAGGGAAACAATGTCTGCCTGTGAGAGAGAGTAAAGGGGTGGGGAGAGGAAGGGGGAGAACAAGGATGGGGGTGTGCAATGGAATAAAAGGTCGGCTTGGCACAAGGCGGGTCACATCAAGAGAAACAATGTCCGCCTGTGAAGTGAGCGAGGTGGGTTGGGATGAGGGGGATGGAAAAAGGAGAGGGAGAGGAAGAATGGGAGTGAGCTATGGAAGGGGGCAGTCAGGTTTGCACAAAGCGGGCCACATCGAGAGAAACACTGTCCGCCTGTGAGATAGAGTTAAGGGGTGGGAAGATGGAAGGGAATGGTCGGCTTGTTACGAGGTAGGACACATCGAGAGAAACACTGTCTTCCTGAGAGCGTGGTGGGTTTGGGATGAGGGGAAGGGACGGGGGGTGGCAGTCGGGTGTGCAATGGGGAGAGATGGAAGAGGGTAGTTGGGGAAGAGGGATGGGAAGCATTGTTGTGGGGGTGAGGGTGGAGAGGAGGAGGGGGGAGAGAAGAGAAGGGATGAAAGGAGTGGCAACACAAGGTGCAAGAGGGAATTTGATTGTCCCACACACGTTATACCTTGCTGTTGAAGCAGGCAGAAAGGAGCTGTTGCCATTCAGTGGCTCTAAAGCCGTTATATTCGATCCCCACCCCACCACCGAGGGCAGGCACTCTGAGAGTTAGCTTCACGCATCCACGCCCAGACACGCATCCCCACCACCGTGGGCACTGGGCAGGGCGCTCTGCTATTTGGCATCACGGTGCTTCACACACACACCCACACCCAGGCGCGCACACACATAACCACACCCAGACCCAGGCGCACACACCTTGCTGCTGAAGCAGGCTGAGAGGAAGCTGTCTCCATTCATTGGCTGCACGGCCGCCAGATCATATCCAATCCCCACCATTGTCGGCAATCGCTCTGCTATCACATCAGGGCCGCCCTCCTCCACCGCTGCTGTTATGCGGAGGAGCTGGGAGAACGACGGGCTATCGTCTAAAAGGGGCTTGCTTTGGGAAGCAGGGGTGAGAGAGGAGAGGGGGCGGAAGGGGAGCAGGGGTGAGAGAGGAGAGGGGGCGGAAGGGGAGCAGGGGTGAGAGAGGAGAGGGGGCGGAAGGGGAGCAGGGGTGAGGGAGGAGAGGGGGCGGAAGGGGAGCAGGGGGAAGGGATCGGGCAGTGATGGCATCAGGGCCTCCCTCGTCCACCGCTGCTGTTATGCGCGCGAGCTGGGAGAACGACGGGCTATCGTCTAAAAGGGGCTTGCTTTGGGAAGCAGGGGTGAGAGAGGAGAGGGGGCGGAAGGGGAACAGGGGGAAAGGATGGGCCTGTGATCGCATCAGGGGAGCATGAATGGATGAGGGCAAAGGGGAGAGACAGGGAAGGCAGGGAGTGGGGGATAGGTTAGTTAGTGCGCGCATCAGTACCACTCTCCTCTCCTCCTGCACCGCCGCTGCTGTCACGCGACGAGATGGGAAATAACGCCGGGGTGCAACGGGGCTCGGCTTGGCGAGTAGAGGTGAGTGGGGAGAAGGGGAGAGGGAGATAGGCCGAGGGATGGGTCAGCCATTGCATCAGAATTGACCCACTCTTTGTAAACCGCTGCTGCTGCTTTTGAGTAGACTCAAAAGTCACAGGGAGATAGGCCAAGGGATGGGTCAGCCAGCAATTGCATCAGAATCGCCCCACACATTGTAAACCGCTGCTGCTGCCACTCCCCCCCGCTCTCCTTTCCCCTCCCCCTCGTCCGCGCCCCCTCCCCCTCCCCGCTCCCCTCCCCTTCCCCGTCCCCCACCCCCCTCTCCCTCCCCTTCCCCCTCCCCATCTCCCTCTCCCCCCCGTCCCTGCCCTTCCCCCCCGGCGTACCTGTGCTCCTTTCAGCGCGAGTCGCACTCTCTCTCGAGTCGCTTGCAGAGTGTCCATCGCAACCGCCTTAACGCCGCACCGCTCGCGCGGCTCGACCTTCTCGTTGGGCCCCTTAAAGACGTTGAACGCGACGCCATGATATCCCAGCGCGACCGCCGTTCCCGCCCAATCGCGCTGATCTGTGAGCGACACGGAGCCTGCGATAGGTATGTTGGCTTCTAGGAACATACTCGACAGAAGGATAGACTGGTCAATACGAACCAGCCAGCGAAAACTGGTGCGACTACTGTTCGGGCGAGCTTCTCTAGAAGGTTAACGAAGGGAGGCGAGTCGGAGCGAATTAGAAGAGTAACAGTGCGAACATCGCTAGACCTGGTTGTGACAAGTGAAAACAAACGCGTTCAGCAGCACCCGCGAGGAACAGGGGAACTGAGGTGCGAGTGCAGGCGCTTTATAGCGAAAACGTTATCGTTTTGTCGCAAAACATGGTTACACGTAAGGCCGCGTCTCATTTCGTGCATTGGTTGTTTTGCTCGGTGCTATACGTTTAAACACGGTCTGAAACGATTTCAGGTTTCACCGATTTCACAATTCCGTGTGCAACACCCTTCCAATCAACCCAAATTGCTGAACTCAAGTTGAGCGATCAGCGAAACACTCGGGCTTGGCGATTGGCGAACACACCTATGTTGCGAGCGAACCACTCACGATTGGCCACTATTCCTGGACACATCAGGCGAAGCTTAACGAATCTGGTTACCATGTCTAGCTGCCTACCCAGCCGAGAAGCGCAACTTGTGAAAAATAGCCACGGCATGAAGGCTCGTTGGTGCTTGTGCCTCCCAGACTAAATCGCAACCTCACATGCGTAAAGAGGTAGGGGTAAGCACAGATCGCCAACGTCCAGTCTCATAGAGTTAGCTATTTTCGCCACAACCGCATGCTCTTATTACACGTGCTGCTAGGAGCTAGCATACATCATTACTTCTTGTTCAGGAATTTATTGGTTTCTTACGCGCTCATGTCGCACGATCGTCATTTCGCGCCTCCTTTTTCTTCCCATTTGCCCACTCTCTCGCGCACGCCTCTGCTTTTCCTGAGCTTGGCCGCCCTCCTCAGCGTCACATCCAGTACAGAAGCCGTCGATCCCGCTACTGTCACTGCATCCGAGGGAGGTGAATCCAGATTCGTCGATTCTAGACTAAATGAGTCCCTGGAATTCCGGCAATTGCGGCGAATCTTGACAGAATTCGACAAGTTCGGAGTCGATCCTCAAAACGATGACGACTCCCAAGCCGACACCGATCCTGATCCTCTCGTTCGGTACCCCGACGTGCCAGATTCCGAAGCTGACGTCAGCTCCTCCGCCTGGCAAACCCCGTTTCTCCGGCCCCAACGAATCCATCCCGCAGATCTCGCCGCCGAATGCGCTGAGATCGCGCCGGGATTCGACCCGGCGGTTCTCGCGGCGCGGGAATCTTTTGGGCCAATCACGACGCTGGACGAGCTAAAGCGGCTCGAGGACGGGCAACGCGTGCTCGTAGTAGCTCCGCGGCTCGGCCTCGGAAACACGCTGTGCAATTGGGTGTCTGCGTACATGTGGGCATTAATCTCCGGTCGCAGAATAGTCATTCTCCACGCGGGTAAATTTCACGGTGTGCTTGCTAGCACATGCGAGGCGTTTAAATGCGACTTCGACCATATATACCCCAAGAAGCTGTTAGATTCTAGGAAAGAATCGGGGAGCAGCAGGAGAAGACTTTCGAGATTCGCCGCGAATCGCGGAAAACGGAGGATCGAGTTGAGCAGCCGGGGAAGAGATACCGACGAGGATGGATCCGAGCCTGTATCCGAGCCTGGTACCGAGCCTGCAGGCCAGGCTCGGAGGCGGTTGGTGTTGCATCGGCGAAGGGGTCGGCGGAGCAAGGGGCAGCCGGGGTGGCAGGCGTACGAATGGGACGCGGACGACGCTGCGACGGATCCAGACGCGATGCTGTACGAATTCGAGAGTAACGTTACTTTCGCGACGGTTACCCACCCCACAGCCCGAGCCGCGCTGCAATGGACGGACAAGATCGTCTTCGCGTTTAGCTACGCGTTTTGGGACCACTGGTGGCTAAACGACAGGAGATTATCCCAATGCGCGTGCCGGGCTTTAAACCTCGGATCCTCCTCTCCGGATTTTCCGGAAAAGGTTTCTTGTAGGCCGGCAGCAGGAGGTGGGTACAGGTCAGCAGCCCTCCATGCCTTGCTGGCAGGCGGGCCCACTCTGGCGCTGAGTCAGACGATCCAAAATATCTTACGCAGGCACGAGCCGGATCCTGATAGGTTGAAGTTACCTCTGTCGCCTGCTGACGTGGCGGCTGCTGATTCGCCGCTGGAAATGGAGTTCGACGTGGGGCTGCACATACGGACAAGAACTGCCGTCCTGGAGCGACCAGACAGGCTGTTTGCTGAGTGTGAGGGGGCAGGGAGAGCGGAGGGGGAGAGCAAGGAGGAGTGTGAGAGGAGGCAAGTAGAGGAGGAGAGGCAGAAGCACAGGGAGCTATATCTCAACCCCCTCACATGGAAGTGTGTGGGGAGGTTGCTGACAGAACTAGGGGAGCAAGCAAGAGTGGGTAGCAGCAAGAGGGCCGGAGGAGCCGGTGTTGCTGGTAACCAGAATGGAGGGCAGGGGCGGGCGCTGTCTATCTTTCTTGCGACGGATAACGAGGCGTTACGTCCCGAGATGGTAACCAGATTGGCACCGTACGGTGTTGTATACTATAACGGAGCAGAAGTGGCACATGTAGGGGTTTCCACGGATAAGCACACGGGTCGGCTGCCGACAATGGCAGAGTTTTACCTGCTGGGAAAAAGCCACGTTATAGTGGAACTCGATAGCTACTTGAGCACGTTTTCGTATTTCGCGGGGCTGTTTGGGAACGGGAGTATAGTGTCGGTGCCTTATAAGGTGACGAGTATTAACCGGTGCTCGCATGTGCGACCGGCTCAGAAGGGATCGTGGAGGCGGGGGGATAGACGAGGGCAGTCCAGCAATTATTTTTTCACAGACCCGTGACCGTGAGAGAAGATGGGGAGAAGAGGTGGAGGAGAGGTGGAGGAGAGGTGGAGGAGAGGTGGAGGAGAGGTGGAGGAGAGGTGGAGGAGAGGTGGAGGAGAGGTGGAGGAGAGGTGGAGGAGAGGTGGAGGAGAGGTGGAGGAGAGGTGGAGGAGAGGTGGAGGAGAGGTGGAGGAGAGGTGGAGGAGAGGTGGAGGAGAGGTGGAGGAGAGGTGGAGGAGAGGTGGAGGAGATGTGGAGGAGAGGTGGAGGAGATGTGGAGGAGATGTGGAGGAGATGTGGAGAGGTGGAGGAGAGGTGGAGGAGAGGTGGAGGAGAGGTGGAGGAGAGGTGGAGGAGAGGTGGAGGAGATGGGGAAAGAGGGAAGAGGACAGCGGAATGATTTCTTCTTCACGGTCAAAGGAGAGGAGATGGAAGAGCAGGCAGGTGTTTGGGAACGGGAGTATAGTGTCGGTGCCTTATAAAGTGACGAGTATTAACCGGTGCTCGCATGTTCAACCGGCGCACAAGGGATCGTGGAGAGTCAAACAACTACTTCTTCACTGGCCTGTGATGGGGAGATGGGGGGGAGGGGAGGAGGAGATGGGGGAGGAGATGGGGGGGGATGCGGAGGGGATGGGGAGGTGGGATGCACAAGGGCAGTCCAACAACTACTTTTTTCACAGACCCCTGAGAGACGATGAGGTGGGGAGGAGATGGAGAGAGGATACTGAAAGCTGGAGGGGGGAGTTGGCAATACAGTGAGTGGGGAAGGAATGGTAAAACGGAAGAGGGGTTTGAGTCGGTGATCGTATGTGCGACTGGCTTAGAAGGGGTTTGGAGGAGTGGGGATGGACGAGGGCAGTCAACAACTTTATCAGACCCATGATGGGGAGGTGGAGACGTGGGGGGAAGATGGGAGGGGCAGTCAAACAACACTTTTCAACAGATGGGAGATGGAAGAGCGATACAGAGAGGGAGAGGGAGAGGAGTTGGAGGGGAGACGGGTCGGGAAGATGGATCGAGAGCGCAGGAATAGACTTGTAGAATCTGTTGGAGCAATGTTGCCAAGATTTTATGCCAGTGCCCAAAACTGAACAGAATCAATCAATCACTCTGACACCTGGTGTCACTGTACCATTCTGGCGTGTAAAATGGTATTCTCTTTTGCTGATTTGCCTGGGAACTCTTGTTTTCTCAGCCTACCAAAAAATCAGTCTAGGGGGTTGGAAGTTGGAACTGGCCCCTCATGGTGTTACGGACAATACCACATATTTGTAAGCACCAGGTTTTCACAGCACACCAGGTTATTGTGCGGTAAGTGTTTCAGGGCTGGAACTGATTTTAGAAAAGTTTTGCTTCTGGGCGGTTCATCAGGCCCTCCCACTTTCTTGCTCTCCCCCATCTCAGCCCTGCTGTGGCCCCTAGGGGCAACTGTCCAACCAAGGCTACAAGGAAAGAAGGCCATAGCATGGCACCACCAGCATAGCAGTTGCACTCTGATAGACCCACGAAAAAAACCCTTGGTCCCAGTGGTGATGTTTTTTCCCCTCCAAAACCGTGTCAGCCTTGGAGGCGCCTCAGAAGGCCAGGCAAACGACTCTTAGGTGCAGTGCAGCGGTGAAGTTTCTTCCAAAAAGAATACGCCAATACAAGAGCAGGAAGCCGTCCATGTCTCACACCTTCTTCACAATCTGCACCACATCCTCATCCTCCAACTCATGCTCCTGAAGCACCATAACGAGGAGGCCGAGAGGTGAGAAACAGGGTGGGAGGTGACAAGGGAGGGGTGAGGAGGAAGGGGACGGAAGCGGAGGATAGAGGTGGGAGCAAGATTGATTTGAGTGGCACAGTAGCAGACACCCAGCTCACACCTTCTCCACAATCTGCACAACATCCTCATCCTCTAACTCGTGCTCCTGCGGAACCAGGGAGGGACAGGAGCAATGGCAGAGGATGAGGATGGGGATGTTGGGCAGACAGATTGTGAAGAAGGTCTGGAGAGTGGGAGGCAGGGAGGGAAGGGAGAGAGGAGAGGGTGGAGGGTGGGAGGTTAGAGTGATACCAGAGAAGAAACTAGAGGACGGAGGGTGGGAGAATAAAGGGAAAGGGTTGGCACAAGCAGTGGAAGGGTGAGGGCAGTAGAAGTGCGAGGGGTCCCACCAAGTTGTGGTCCTATCAACTGCTTGTAAGGGGTCAACAGATTCCACGTTGAGCCAAGTTCATGAAGTTACAATACTCTCCCAACACAGCTTCGGGGACTGACTGAATAATTGAGCCAAGGTTAATTTCCCAACCCTTACTAGGGCAAGTCCCAGTTGTACGAAATTTGGGTGCTTATTCCCACCCAAGAAATCTAGTAAATGAGATGGTACAATAAGGATAAAACTCTTTCAGTGCCAACTCACCTTGCCTACTCGTTGTGGCTTGTGCTTGGCACTCGAACCCCATACAAGCGCACTGGTGGGAAGACAGCGACACAAACGGGGAGGGAAGGGGGGGGAGAGAGGAGAGCGAGAGTCGAGTTAACAGCAAAGAGGAGAAGTAGACTGCAACTTAGCGCCCACACCCGAGCAGTGGAGGACAGTGGGTGAGAGGGGAACATCCATGATCATCACAGAGTAAAGTAGAGAATAATGAGTGTGATTTACCTTTTTAAACTCACAAATGGTGAGTAAGACTGCCAGCCAGCTCGTTGTTTGAAGCTGGACTGCTTGCTAACCCACCCTGTTTGGCTCTCCATTTCAGGGTGCCCAACTCACTTTTGAACTGGCTGATTCACTATTTGAACTGCCCGACATTACTCACTATTTGAGCTGCCCGACTCACTATTTGAGCTGCCCGACAGGACTCACTATTTGAACTGCCCGACATGACTCACTATTTGAACTGCCCGACTCACTATTTGAACTGCCCGACTCACTATTTCAAGCTGCCCGACATGACTCACTATTTGAACTGCTTGGACATGTCCTTGTGGATGCGGTTGCAGAAGTCATCCACCGATACCGACTTGCCCGACAGAATCACCGGATCCTCGTAGTCCGGATTCGCCCCCCTTGGCTTCGTGTACACCCGCACGAGGTCAAGGTATTCCCACACCTTCTCCAGTAGCCCGTCCAGATTCCACTCCAAATGAGCACTGCACTCTCACATGTTCAGCAATATAAAGAAACAGGAGGGATGAGGAGGGAGGAGAACAGAGGAGGCAAGTGGTGAGCATGTGAGAGGGTCTGGAACCTCATAGTCCGGATTTTGCCCCCTTGGTGTACACACACGCACGAGATCAAGATGCTCCCACACCTTCTCCAGCAATCCGTCCAGATTCCACTCCAAGGGAGCACTGAGAGAGCACGCAGGGAAGAGAAGCTGCAGGGTGCTTTTGAGAATTCTCAAAAACAAGGCGCATCCACATGCTTTAATCGCACGGAAATAGCTCCCAACGGCTTGGTGGTGTACACTCGCACGAGGTCAAGGTACTCCCACACCTTCTCGAGTAGCCCGTCCAGATTCCACTCCCAGTGAGCACTGAGAAAAGAGGCAGGGAAGAGAGAAGGCACATGCATGATGCACATGATGCCATTTAATTGCGCTGAAATGGCTCCCTGCCGCTTGGTTGGTTGCAGCATGATCTGGTCGACCTTATACACACACACGGGATGTACACCCCTACAGCTGGCTGCCTCCCTCCCACGCTCCCATATTATACCCTCTATAAGCTGCTCCCTTACCCTCACAGTAGTAGACTAGCAGAACCTGACAGGGCAGTAGTGCGGCAGCTTATCCAGCACCTCCAGCTCCTCCAGAGTGATCTGGTCCACCTTATTCACGGCGTACACACACGGGATGTACACGCGGCTGCCCCTTATACCCTCTACAAGCTGCTCCCTTATGAGTAATAGTACCTGACAGGGCAGCAGCAGTACCTGACAGGGCAGTAGTGTGGCAGCTTATCCAGCACCTCCAGATCCTCCAACGTAATCTGGTCGACCTTATTGACGGCGTACACACACGGGATGTACACGCGGCTGCCCCTTATACCCTCTATAAGCTGCTCCCTTAATTTAACAGTAGTATTACCTGACAGGGCAGTAATGGGGCAGCTTGTCTAACACTTCCAGCTCCTCCAGTGTAATTTGATCGACCTTATTGACCGCATAAACACACGGGATGTACACGCGGCTGCCCTCAATCACGTCGATCAGATCGTCCACCGTTGCATCGTATCGCAGATGCACGTCCGCGTTGTGAATGCGGTACTCTGAGCACACGCCTACCTGCTTGCTGGCTTCCTTGCACACACACCCTCTCTCTCTCTCTCGTTCTCTCTCTTCCTCACCTGACAAACAGACCGAACCACAGACTGCCACCCCTCCTCTTCCTCACCTGACCGGGCAGTAATGGGGCAGCTTATCCAGCACTTCCAGCTCCTCCAGTGTAATTTGGTCGACCTTATTGACCGCATACACACACGGGATGTACACGCGGCTGCCCTCAATCACGTCGATCAGGTCGTCCACCGTTGCATCGTATCGCAGATGCACGTCCGCGTTGTGAATGCGGTACTCTGAGCACACCGCCTTGACAGTGTCCAGGTCCAGGTTGGTGACGCTGCACGCTGCTGTGATGCTGATGCCGCCCTTGTCCTTCCGCCTGAAGGTGAGATTTGGAGGTTCCTTGTTCAGCCTAAGGGGAAGAAGAGGGAGGGAGGAGGGAGAGAGGGAGAGGGGCGAACCGGAGGGAGAAAGGGAGGGAGAGGAGGGAGCGGAAGTGGGGTAAGTGAGGGGTGTTGTGTTGTGAATGCGGTACTCGGAGCACACGGCCTTGACGGTGTCCAGGTCCAGGTTGGTGACGCTGCACGCTGCTGTGATGCTGATGCCGCCCTTGTCCTTCTGCCTGAAGGTGAGGTTCGGAGGCTCCTTGTTCAGCCTGGGAGGAAGAAGAGGAGGGAGTGAGGGAGGGAGAGAGAGGGGGACGAAGGGGACGAAGAAGGGGAGGGAGGAGGGGAGGGAGAGGAGGGAGGGAAAGGAAGGAGGTTGAGTGAGGGAGGTGTGAATGCGGTACTCGGAGCACACCGCCTTGACGGTGTCCAGGTCTAGATTGGTGACGCTGCACGCTGCTGTGATGCTGATGCCGCCCTTGTCCTTCCTCCTGAAGGTGAGATTTGGAGGTTCCTTGTTCAGCCTGCCAGGGGGGGAAACGGCACCCCCCGTCGAGAAACGGGAGGGAGAGGGCGAGCGAGAAGGGAGGGGAGACGGGGAGGGAGGAGCGGAGGGAGAGGAGGGGGCGGGAGGGAGGGGGTGAGGGTGGGGTGGATGCGGTACTCGGAGCACACCGCCTTGACCGTGTCCAGGTCCAGGTTGGTGACGCTGCACGCTGCTGTGATGCTGATGCCGCCCTTGTCCTTCCTCCTGAAGGTGAGGTTCGGAGGCTCTTTGTTCAGCCTGGGAGAGGGGGGGAGAGAGGGAGGAGGACGGGCCGGGAGAGAGGGAGGTGAGAAAGGGAGGAGAAGGGGAGGGAGAGAGGGAGCGAAAGCGGAGCTTGACGGTTCCACCGAACCCACCTGACACCCGCTTGATGGCGCATCAACACACCCATGAGAATGCACGACAACAGACCTTGCGAAACTGGCAACAACCCAACCGAACCCAGCCCAACCCAACCCAACCCAACCCAACACAACACAACACAACACAATGCAAACTCGACTGAACCTGCTGGCACTCATGCTGTTGTCTCTTGCACGGCAACGCAACTCAACCCACCTGATACCAAACCCTTCAAGCTCCTTCTCAATCAGTCGCTTGTGCGTGATGGGCTTGATGGCATCCAACACGATCACAATGCAGTTGCACGTGCGGGCGGTCGAGATGACCTGATAGGATGGCAACAGAGAGGAGGGGGGAGCGGAGAGGGGGGAGGGGGGAGGGGGGGAGGGGGGAGGGGGGAGAGGAGGGGGGTGTGGGGAGGGGTTGAAGAGGGTGGGTGGAACGGGAGGGGGGTGGTGTGAGGGATGTCAAGCTCCGAAATTCATTCAGTCTCTTGTGTGTAACGGGATTAATGGCATGCAACACAATCACGATGCAGCTGCACGTGCGGGTCGTTAAAATGACCTATTGGAGTGGGGGAACCAGACAAAAGGAGAGGACCCTCCCTCCCCTCCCTCCCCTCCCTCCCTCGCTCCCTCCCTCGCTCCCTCCCTCGCTCCCTCCCTCGCTCCCTTTCTCCCTCCCTCCCTCCCTCCCTCCCTCCCTCACACCCCTTCTCACCTGCCTGCCTCGCCCCTTGCCGTCCTTGGCCCCCTCAATAATCCCGGGTAAGTCCAGAAGCTGCCATCCAGTAGTGACATATGCCACACACACACACAGGCACGACAAAAAAGGGTGGACGGAAGCATGATGATGACAGAGGAGGAAACGTAGGGGGGCTGAAATCAGTAGTGCGGGAGCAGCTAGTTCCAATCCAACAGTGCACGGCTGTTGTGAAATTGAATAGCACTTTGAGTAGCCCTTGCCCCTGCGCTGCACTCCAGTTTTGAGGCCCTACAAAGCATAATGAACACAGAGGAGGAAATGTAAGGGAGCCGAAAATCAGTAGTGCGGGGACAGCTAGTTCAAATCCAACAGCGCACGGCTATTGTGAGATTGAATAGCACTTTGAGCAGCCCTTGCCCCTGCGCTGCATTCCAGCATAATACGCACCTGGATCTTGGCTCCTCGGTAGCGAATGACACCCGGGATGCACGTGAGCGTTGTGAACTCGTACGATGCCACCTGCATGCAGGCGGGAGGTATGACAAGGAGGATAGGGGAGGGGGAGGACCGCGGGGGTGGGTGACGAGTTACAAGGTGCTGGAATAGAATAGCCACAGACAGGGATGCTCGTGAGCGTTGTGAACTTGCACGGGATGCCACCTGCATGCAGGTGGGAGGTGAGACGGCAGGCATTGAAATGCAATCAGGAAGCAGGAATTCTGCATCTGCTGCAGCAGCAGCAGCAGCAGCACCAGCTAATGTGCCTGTGAGTTTGCTCAAAAGCGACGACTTCCCCACTAAGGGAAAGACCAGAAGCCCCACTCGCAAATTGCCGCACTTCGTCACGTTAAATCCCTGCCCCCTGCTCCTACTCGGTTCACCAGCCTACCTCAGAGAATGTGCCTGTGAGCTCGTTTGAACGTGTCAACTTCCCGACCGAGGGGAAACTTACAAGTTCCACTCACAAGTCACCGCTCTTAGTCACGTCAAATACCTATTTCGCTGCTATTGTTCACGAGCCTACCTCCGAGAATGTGCCTGTCAGCTTGTTTGAAAGTGTCAACCAACTTCCCCACGGACGGGAATCCCACGAGCCCCACTCGTGAGTCGCCACCATTCTTCGCCACGTAACAGGTCGAACCCTTCCCTGCTCCTACTCCGTTCACTAGCCTACCTCCGAGAATGTGCCCGTTATTTTGTTCAAGAACGTCGATTTCCCCACGGACGGGAATCCCACGAGCCCCACTCGTGAGTCGCCGCTCTTTGTCACGTCAAAGCCCTCCCCTGCCCCTGCTCGGTTCAGCAACAGCAGCAGCAGCAGCAGCCTACCTCAGAGAATGTGCCTGTCAGCTTGTTTAGAAGCGTCGATTTTCCCACGGACGGGAAACCCACAAGCCCCACTCGCGAGTCCCCACTCTTCGTCACGTCGAACCCTTCCCCAGCTCCGCCTCCCTTGCCGCCCGAGGGCGTGAGGATCTCTCGCCGAAGCTTCGCCAGCTTGGCCTGCATTGGTGAGGGGAGAGGGAGAAGAGGGAGAAGATAGAAGAGGGTTCAAAGAACGAATCTTTGATATACGCTGAAGGATTGGAAAAAGAGTGTGAAAAAGGGCAAAACGGGGATTGTTTCGAAACACGGGGAGCAGCGCCGTGAAGCGACGTTGTCTTAAGATTCTGCGTGCAAACGGGTGAACCAGAACTATACTCGCATGCAGCCTCGCAATCGGTATCAGCTCACCTTTAGCAGGCCCAAGTGGTGCGCTGTTGCCTTGTTCTTCTGCGTGCGAGCCATCTGCAAGCATGAGAGTACAGGAGCGTAAGAGCACACCAGCACACGGAAAAAGATAGTTGGTACCTCATAATATACCATGCATGTACTTATCAACGTACTCGTAAACTCTCTCCTCTCTCACAGTAAGATTCGTTATTCACCCGCTCCGATGCTTCATTCACCTTCCGTCACGTCACGTCCAATTACTACTAATTCTCTCATTCAAAGCCCTTGAATCGGTGTGGAGCGAATCTCAAGATCCACATGTCCTCGATACAAGAGACGTCAATGCAGAGCAAACACGCACCTCATCTTCAATGTCTTTGATCTTCTGCGTAATGGTCCCCATGGCTGCCGGTCAACGGTCAACGACGGTTAACAACGGTTAACAGCGGACAACGACGGTTGACGACACCCAACGACGGCCAAAGACGGTTACCTTTTTCTTCCTAATCAACGACGTCCCTATCCAGCAATATCTAAGTTTCTGCGTTTGAGACAGACGAGTAGCCGAATCTAAGTATTTGCAAGTCGAATCGTTCACCAAGCAGGCCGTTACGTCACACAGATGCTCGCTTTGCTGCACGGCGGCTTCTGACGCAAACCACGACGAGAAGGTGTAACGCCGTTGCAACTACTGGCGCTTCCGGCTAACCGCAACCAGAACTTAATCCGCACGCCAGTAACCGCACCGCCAAAAACGTCGATCCGCGATCGTTTTCAACTGGCAAGTGGCTATTGAGTAATTATTCCAGGTCAGAGACACTGGAACTTTCAACGCTGATCGCACGTGTAATCTGCAGCACAGAAAGCTAGTTGCAGGGGGTGCGAGTCCCTCCGAGAACAGAAGCGGAGCTCCTACGAGACCAAGGCGCGGAAGTGAGCTAGAGGCGAGCTGGAAGCAAGCTCTACGAAAGGAAGGACACACGCACAGAATCCGACACGGCAATATTTAGAGAAGGTGGAAACTGAAGGCCAAAACCCTAATCTCCAGCTTTGGCTAGTGTGAAGGGGGGGACAAGGTGGGACAAGCTCCAGGCAAAGAGGGGATTTGGAATTCGCTACATATGCGCTTTAGAGAAATGCTTTCGTTTTCGAAGAATCGAGAAACGTGTCGATGGTACGTCGATTTTCACGTATACACTATTAAAATAGAGAGCTGAAACATGCCTAGGGCTAAAGATAACACATGTATTCACGCAACTATGCAGCATTTCGGCGATTGCACATTACATAAATGTCTGTAAGAACTTGGAAACGATATAAACCGTATATCTCCAAACCTCTTACAAATTAATAATCAAACCGCACACGCCAGAGCAACACATGTGGCTTTGCTCACACGATAGTGACAAAATCATAAATATTGAAATATTGTGAAGTTCTCTCCGTACCAGCAAAAATACCGTCACACCCATGTTCTACTAAACAGCGTCCACATTTCAGGCTGAAACCACTGAGAGGGAAACTGGAAGAACGGGTTTGTGAAGTCTGGGGTAGGGGCAGGGCAGGGAGAGGGAAAGACAAGTGCGGGATTGAGCACATAAGGTCATGCAGTGTGAATGTGGGAGCATGCATTATTTTTGTTGCACCCATGCATGCCTGTGTTTTGGCATGCTTGTTTCTATAGGAGTTTAGTGTGGTGATTATGTATAGAATAGGTGTGTATGTGTGCAAGTGTGCGCCTACAACTGTGTGCATGTGACAGTATGTGTCGGCGAAAAAAAAGGCAGCCAGGTGAAGAGAAACACTTCAAAAAAAAAAACCAAGGGACTTTCCCCAAATAACGCAACCACCTACCTTGGGAGCTGCTGCGTCCTATCTCATTCTGCCACGTGGCAGGAACAGGCAGCCTGTCGTCCCTGTAGCTTTCCACCCACTCCTCCACCGGTACTCTCCTCTCGGCCACCTCCATCAGCACAGCCAGGCACGCATTCACCTGTGATGGGGAGGAGGGGGGAGAACGAGAGAATGAATGGAGTGAAAAACATTTGTCCACCCACTCTTCCACTGGTACTCTCCTCTCAGCCACCTCCACCAGCACAGCCAGACACGCATTCACCTGTGATGGGGAGGAGGGGCAAGGAAAGGAGTTGCAATGAGGGAAGATGGCCTGTAATCCCTGTGGGGTTCCACGGTCCACCCACTCCTCCACCGCTACCCTCCTCTCTGCCACCTCCACCAGCACAGCCAAACATGCAATCACCTGTGGCGGGAGGGGAGGGGAGAGAGTCAACTCTTGTCGGCCCATCACTCTCCAACACCTATCAAGACATCTCAATCGCCCTTTCGCTCACCTCATGTGCTCTCTCCCGCAGCACCATGTGCGCTCCCATGAGAGGCAAGAAGCGCGCCACCCTTCCTAGACTCCTAGCGACCCTCTCGCCCAATGAAATGTGCGCAATCACGTCATCCCTGAAGATTGGGGGGGGCAAAGGGGAGGGGTGTGAGGGATGACGAGAGGGGAGGGTAGAGGGGGTGGGTGGGAGGGAGGCACGTGTGTGTGACCACATATAACCATGTGTAACCCCGTGGGAGGAGAAAGGTAAGAGGGAAGAGAGGATAGGAGAGAAGGCGAGAGGAAGTACCTGCTCTGGATGACGGCGGATAAAGGGAGCAGAGGAGAGGGAGAACCCTCACCGGTGGGGATGTGCGCGCTGCAGATCTCATCCACATCGTGTGGTGTGACGGAGTGTGTTTAAGCGCAGGGGAAGGTAAGATGGAAGAGAGGGAAGACAGGAAGTAAGTACCTGCCATGGATGATGGCTGTGGGGATGTGCGCACTGCAGATCTCATCCACATCGTGGCAAGTGGGGAGTGTGTTCAAGGAGCAAGGAAGAGTCGTGTTTTGAGTCGACTCAAAACGTGTAATGAGTCGTGTTTTGAGTCGACTCAAAACGTGTAATGAGTCGTGTTTTGAGTCGACTCAAAACGTGTAATGGGTCGTGTTTTGAGTCGACTCAAAACACGACAGATCTCATCCACATCGTGGCGAGTGGGGAGTGGGTTTAAGGAGCAAGGAAGAGAGGGAACAGGGAAAACGAAGAAAAGGGTAGCGAGAAAGCACCTGCCATGAATTACGGCAGTGGGGACGTGACGTGAGCGCTGCAGATCTCATCCACATCATGGCGAGTGGGGAGTGTGTTTAGGGAGCAGAGGAGACAGGTACAAGGGAAGTGGAAAGAGAAGGAAAGCAAGACGGAAGGGAGGGTAGGAGGGAGGGAAGGGAAGTACCTGCCATGGATAACAGAGGTGGGGATGTGCGCACTGCAGATCTCATCCACATCATGTGGTGTGAGGGAGTGCGGTTACAGAGGCGGTGAGGAGAAGGAAGGGGTAAGAGGGGGGACCAGAGGAGAGGGAGAACCCTCACCTCCCATGAATGACGGCGGTGGGGATGTGTGCGCTGCAGATCTCATCCACATCGTGTGGTGTGAGAGAGTGCGTCCAGCATGCATTCAGGTGCCCGTTCGCACCATGAGGTGTCTGCATGGCGGACGGTGCTGACAGCTCGCGCACATACTCCTGAGGAAGATGGGGAGATACAGGGCGTGTATGAGGGATGGAGTGCATTAAGCAGGTGAGGGGGTGGTTCCAGGACGCATTCAGATGCCCATTGGCACTGTGCGGTGTCTGCATGGCGGATGGAACTGGAAAGGGCAGGGATATCTTACACGCATCTGCTAGACTTAGCTTGTTCATGCCAGTACAGCCAGCGCAGCCACACTGTGTGCATGCCATACGTATGCCATACCATATGTATGCCATAGCCATGAGGTGTATTTTGAGGCGCCTCAAAATAATCAGTACAGGCAGCGCAGCCATACCATATGTATGCCATAGCCATGCCAATACACTTCAAGCTACCTCAAAAGCACACGCTAGACCTCACAAACAAGTACACGTCACTGCTAAAATACAAGCACACACTACAGGACACCCATACCATGGGTTGTCACAGAGAAAAGCTTTGTCACAGAGAGAAGCTTTGCCACAGAAACATGCAATGATCGCCACAGAGCCATACCTCTTCTGGTATGGCTAAAAAATTACAAGCACACACACTAGAGCCCATACCATGTGTAGAGCTTCTCTTTTGAGTCGACTAAAAAAAAACATTTTTTTAGTCGACTGGAAAGTCAAAAGTCACCTTTGAGTCGACTAAAAAAATTACAAGCACACACACTAGAGCCCATACCATGTGTAGAGCTTCTCTTCGCGACATGCCACTGCTTGCCTCCGTTTCCTCCATGTATTCCTGGCAGGGCAGAAGGGAATAGCCGAGAGGCACGCAGAGAACAAGTGAGAGAAGGCGATGCCTTGAGGCAAAGTTAGAGAGGCGCCTATATAAATAATCTCCTACACATGCCACTGCCTGCATCCATTTCCTCCATGTACTCCTGGCGGACAGGCAGAAGGGAAGAGCCGGGGAGCAAGCAGAAAACAAGGGAGGACGATCTGTTCAAGCGCCTCGTTTTTAAGATGCATAGATTCGAGACAAGCCACTGCTTGCCTGCGTTTCCTCCATGTACTCCTGGCAGGGCAGAAGGGAAAAGGCGGGAAGCAAGTAGAGAACAAGGGAGAGAAGGCGACCTTTGAGCGACTTTTTAGTCGCATAAATTCTGTTTTTGTCACAAGCCACTGCTTGCCTCCGTTTCCTCCATGTATTCCTGGCAGGCAGGTAGACGGGAAGAGCCGGGGAGAAGGGAGAAAAACAGGCGATGCTTGAGGCAATGCCTGAGGTGATGTATGAGGCGCCTACATAAATCCACTTCGTCACAAGCCACTGCTTGCCTGCGTTTCCTCCATGTACTCCTGGCAAGCAAGCAGAAGGGAAGAGCCATGGAGACGGCAGAGAACGAGGGTGAAAAGGGCGATGCTCTGTGGCAAGCCACTGCTTGCCTGCGTTTCCTCCATGTACCCCTGGCAAGCAAGCAGAAGGGAAGAGCCATGGAGCAAGCAGAAAACAAGGGAGGACGATCTGTTTAAGCGCCTCGTTTTTAAGATGCATAGATTCGAGACAAGCCACTGCTTGCCTGCGTTTCCTCCATGTACTCCTGGCAAGCAAGCAGAAGGGAAGAGCCATGGAGCAAGCAGAAAACAAGGGAGGACGATCTGTTTAAGCGCCTCGTTTTTAAGATGCATAGATTCGAGACAAGCCACTGCTTGCCTGCGTTTCCTCCATGTACTCCTGGCAAGCAAGCAGAAGGGAAGAGCCGTGGAGAACACGGGAAAAAAGGCAATGCTTTGAGGCGCCTACATAAATCCACTTCATGACAAGCCAACGCCATCCACTTTGGCTCTCCGTTCAAAGGCCCAGATGCTATGTTGCGGAAGACGCAAGACGCGTCTTGCGTCTAGCGTCTAGACGCAGCGTCTAGACGCTAGACGCTAGACGCACCTTTAGACGCTAGACGCTTGGGCCGAAATTTTTCGGTCAGCCCGAAAAAAAAAAAGCGCGCGCGCGAAATTGAATTTCGCGATTTCGAAGCGAAATTCAATTTCGCGACATTTGCACCCCCTCCCACCCATTTCGACCATAGAAACCAGCCCCCCAAGCAAATTTGTAAAGTCAATTCAAAGTCAATTCAAAGTCAATTCACCTGGGACAAGTGCGCGTCCAGGTCCACTTGAGCCCTGAGCTCCGGGGCACAGGGGTTTGGTTTGATTGAGGCGTCTAAATCGAATTGTGAGACATCTAAAAATTCACAGTCACCTCATCTGTGAGAAGTGTGTGTACAGGTCCACCTAAGCCCTCAGCTCTGGAGTACGGGGGTCAGGTTGGTGGGCTTCTGTGTCGGCTCAAAGTCACCTCACCTGGACCTTTTGAGAAATTTCAAATGTCACCTCACCTGTGAGAAGTGTGTGTCCAGATCCACCTGAGCCCTCAGCTCTGGAGTACGAGCGTTCGATTTGAGGGGGTTATACTCAGACGAAGAGCACAGCACAGGGGCTCAGTTGGGCCCCTCCCGTGTCGATTCAAGGTCAGTCACCTCACTCACCTGCGAGAAGTGCGTGTCCAGGTCCACTTGAGCCCTCAGCTCCGGGGTTCGAGCGTTTGGTTGGAGGGTGCTTGTAACATCCTCACATCGAGGGCTCAGATGTGCGGTTGGTGCCCTGTGCACGGACTCAGAGCCACCTCACCTGCGAGAAGTGTGTGTCCAGGTCCACCTGAGCCCGCAGTTCCGGGGTTCGAGCGTTCAACAGACGGTAGACAATGGAGAAGACACGCGAGTCCAGCTGGGGAGGTGGCGGGGAGGAAGGAAGGGGGGTTGGGAGGAAGGGAATGGCAGACATACATACACATCAGGAGACGAGGCGCCTCGAATATGTAGAAAGAACAGTGTTTGGTCACTCATCATTCGATCAACAACGGGGAAGACACAAGAGTCCAGCCGGGGTGATGTTGGGTGTGTGTGGGCGGAAGGGGGGGGAGAGGGGCGGGGACGGGGGGAGGGAAGGGGAGGTATGACATGCAGTGCAGAAGGTGAGGCCTACACAGGGGAGGAGAAAGTCGAAGCCACCCCCCCCCCCCCCCCCCCCCCCCCCCCCCCCCCCCCCCCCCCCCCCCCCCCCCCCCCCCCAATTGACACTGATGAGTGCAAAGAAGATGATTAGATGCTGCTGCTGCTGCTGCTGCCAGGTGTGTTTTGATGAGTATTTTTCTTGAATCACACCAAACCAAGGGGGGGTTAATGAGCCCCACACAAGGGTGGAGTGGTGAGGGGTGGTGAGGTGAGGAGTGGTGAGGAGGATTGGTGAGGAGGAGTGGTGAGGAGTGGTGAGGAGTGGTGAGGAGCCCTACACGGGGGAGAAGGTCGAAGCCCCCCCCGCTAACGCTGATGAGTGCAAGGGAGATGATTCTGTGTGATGCTGCTGCTGCCACCTTGCATGCTATCATGCCGCCTGGCGTGTCAAGAGGAGGGAGGCGAGGAAAGGAAAGAGGAGGAAAGGATGAGGGAGGGAGGATGGTGGGGAGGGAAGAGGGAAAGAGGGAGGGAGGGAGGGAGGTAAGGAAGAGAAACCAAAGGGGAGTGCAAGGAAGTAGATCACTCAGTGTAATTCTGATTAGTGCAAGGGAGATGAAACTGCCACATGGAGATGAACCCGACACAGGGAGATGAAACCGGCCGAACCATGGAGATGACCAGCTCATGGCAATGGACCAACTGACAAGAAACCAGCCTATGGAGACTAAACTGGCGCACGGAAATGAAACTGACACAGGGAGATGAAACGGGCACATGGACACGTAACTAATTCATGGAGATGAAACCGAACCAGGGAGATGAAACTGACCCATGGAATGGCCAACCAAGTGGAACCTGGTCCAGCCCAGATGATCCGCCAGGAACAGTGCATCTGCTGCCATCTCCTCCGTGCTAGGAGGGTGGGAGAGAGGGGGGGAGTGAGGGAGGGGGGGGGTACATTATACATAAGTATGCATCTGCTGCCATCCCTCCGTGCTGTGCAAAATGAAACGGGGGGGAAGTAGGGGAAACAACTGTGTAAAACAAGCATATACAGTTTTCTTGAACTCCAGCTTGTAAGAGCGCACGCACGCATGTACTCGCTGCTGCAGAGTGGAACAGAGAGCAGAGCAGAGCAGAGCAGAGCAGAGCACTCACGTGTAGTGTACTGGGTGGGGTCTGAGGGGCACGAGCTGTGCCCCACTCCCCGGTTGCCAAAGATGCACACCTCAATCCCACTCCTGCTGCTACCCCTTTGTGTCTCTTCCAGTGAGCGCACGACTAGCACAGCACAGAGAGCACTCACGTGTACTGGGTGGGATCGGTGGGGCATGAGCTGTGTGTGTCCCACTCCCCGGTTGTCAGACACACACACCACCTCCCTCCCACCCTCCCTCCGAGGGAGCACTCACGTGTACAGAGAGAAATCACATCACAGCACAGAGGGCACTCACGTGTACTGGGTGGGGTTTGAGGGGCACGAGCTGTGCCCCACTCCCCGGTTGTCAGACACACACACCACCTCCCTCCCAACCTCCCTCCGAGGGAGCACTCACGTGTACAGAGAGAAATCACATCACAGCACAGAGGGCACTCACGTGTACTGGGTGGGGTTTGAGGGGCACGAGCTGTGCCCCACTCCCCGGTTGTCAGACACACACACCACCTCCCTCCCACCCTCCCTCCGAGGGAGCACTCACGTGTACAGAGAGAAATCACATCACAGCACAGAGGGCACTCACGTGTACTGGGTGGGGTCTGAGGGGCACGAGCTGTGCCCCACTCCCCGGTTGTCAGACACACACACCACCTCCCTCCCAACCTCCCTCCGAGGGAGCACTCACGTGTACAGAGAGAAATCACATCACAGCACAGAGGGCACTCACGTGTACTGGGTGGGGTCTGAGGGGCACGAGCTGTGCCCCACTCCCCGGTTGTCAGACACACACACCACCTCCCTCCCACCCTCCCTCCGAGGGAGCACTCACGTGTACAGAGAGAAATCACATCACAGCACAGAGGGCACTCACGTGTACTGGGTGGGGTCTGAGGGGCACGAGCTGTGCCCCACTCCCCGGTTGTCAGACACACACACCACCTCCCTCCCACCCTCCCTCCGAGGGAGCACTCACGTGTACAGAGAGAAATCACATCACAGCACAGAGGGCACTCACGTGTACTGGGTGGGGTCTGAGGGGCACGAGCTGTGTCCCACTCCCCGGTTGTCAGACACACACACCACCTCCCTCCCACCCTCCCTCCGAGGGAGCACTCACGTGTACAGAGAGCAACCACATCACAGCACAGAGGGCACTCACGTGTACTGGGTGGGGTCTGAGGGGCACGAGCTGTGCCCCACTCCCCGATTGTCAAAGATGCACACCTCAATCCCACTCCTGCTGCCGCCCCCCCTCCCCCCCTCTCTCTTCTCCTCCGCCCCCCTCGCCTCCTCTCCCCTCTCCACCTCTTCTCTCTCCTCCCCTCCTTGCCGTTCCCTCAACTTTTTTTCTCCCTCACACCCATCGCCCACTCCTCTCTCGACTCCTTCCCCTTCCATCCGCCCCCCTCCCTTCCCATCCCTGCTCCCATTACAACAACGCTCCCCATTACCAAACTCCTCGTCGCCACCTCTCTCCTTCTCCTCATCATTCCCCTCCTCTCCCTTCTCCCCTTTCTCTTCCGCGCCCTCCTGCCGCCTCCCACCATTGGGAATACCCGTTCCCTCCCCAGTATCCCTTCTTTCGAGTCCACTCGACTCAAAAATAGACTCCTTGTGCCGCCCCCCACCATTGGGAACACCCGTGCCCGCCAGAGCTTTCACCTGGTACCGCCACGCAGCGTGACCAGAGGCGAGGCCTGAGAGGGAGGGAATAGAGGAAGGGAAAAGGGGAGAGGGAAAGGGAAAGCGACAGATCTAGTTGATTGTAGACACCTCCGCCCCCCGTTGGGAACACCTGTGCCCCGCCAGAGCATTCATCTGGTACCGCCACGCAGCATGGCCAGACGCGAGGCCTGAGAGGGAGGGAAAAAAGGGGAGAGGGAAAGGAGAAGCGACAGATCATGCTGATATAGACACCTTCCGCTGCTGGTGGGATTATCCGTGCCCGTCAGCCAGGCCAGTATACACCTCCTCCCTTCCTCCCACCATTGGGAACATCCGTGATGCTGCAGGTTGTTTTTGAGAATTCTCAAAAACAATCCGTGCCCGCCAGGCCAGTATACACCTCCTCCCTTCCTCCCACCATTGGGAACACCCGTGCCCACCAGAGCCTTCACCTGGAATCGCCACGCAGCGTGCCCAGAGGCGAGGCCTGGGAGGGAGGGAAAAAGGGAGAGGGAAGGCAGAAGCGACAGATCAGGTTGATTGATACCATCATATTGACAGTAGACACCCTCCCCTGCTGCTGGGAACACCCGCATTGACTTTCGAGTCGACTCATCAAATGTCAACCCCTGCTGGTAGGAATACCCGCGCCAGCCAGAGCCTTCACCTGGAATCGCCACGCAGCGTGCCCAGAGGCGAGGCCTGGGAGTTGGGTAAACAAGGGAGGGGGAAGGCGGCAGAAGCGAACAGATTAAGTTGATACTATCATGTTGAGAGTGGACGCCACCCCCTGCTGGTGAGAATATCCTTGCCTTCACCTGGGGATTTGCCAAGCAGCGTGCCCAGAGGCGACGCCTGAAAGGGAGGGGGAAGGGGGGGGGGGGGTGGTGCGGAAGAAATGTCACATTTGGGACTTCGGAGTGTATAGAACAAACACTTGAATACATTTTGAGACGGATGCAGAAAAACACTTCAGTTCGATACACGGACTGAAAGCACTTCGATACACGCACCCATTATCATAAGCACTTTCGTGTCTCCATGGCCGTACGTCTCGTAGAAAAGTCTCACTTTCTCGCCAGCCCCGTCATTCCCGCCGCCATTTCCGCCGCTCTCTGCGGCGCCTGATCCGCCGTTCTCCGCGGAGCTTTGGTCGTTACTGTGGCGATGGTGGTCCGGAACAATGCAGTACGGCATGTCGCCACGAGGCCCTGAATGCCGTGATAAGCCGTTCGACTTATCAGTGAGATGCAGGAGCGGGAATCCCAAGGTAGGGCAATGTCGTGAAGGCCTTTTTGTCTTCCCGCTTGGCTTGTCGTTTGGCCTCTCAGTGAAATGCAGTATCGGTAATCCCAAGGTTGGGAAAATGCCGGCTTGGCCTTTCGCTTGGCCTCTCAGTGAACTGCGGTGTCGCGAATCCCACGGCAGGGAAACGTCCAGTCGGCGTCGCGCTTGGGTTGTCAGTAGAATGCGGTATCGGGAGTCCCAAGGTAGAGACTTGAGTTTTGAGGCGCCTCAAAATAAGGTAGGGAAACGTCCAGTTGGCGTCGCGCTTGGCTTGCCAGTAAAATGCGGTATCGGGAGTCCCAAGATAGCGACGTGAGTGGCCGAGGCTAGCCGGAAGTACAGAAGATGTCTTTGGGACGTCTCTAGAGAGTCGCTCCGATAGTAAATGTGGCGAACCGATACACCGCCCGCGAAACGGATAGTGTCAGTGATGCTTACGAACCCCGCCGATAACCTTCAGTCCCGACTGCCGAAACGCATCATCTGTCTGTCCGTGGTGGCTCAGAGTGCGGAGTGTTGTGCTTTGCTTTGAGTTGGTCTTTGTGGCACGAAAGAAAGAGTGCTTGTTGTTCGTGTCAGGCAGAGAGGGGACTTCTAGAAATTACCCGTTATAGACGAACCCGGACTGTTGGCGAGTCGGCTGTAACAGGCAAGCTAAGACTCTTAAACATTCCATGTACGGCATGAGTATCATACCGTTAATGCTGTGGTATAGGGTAATTGAAGAATGAAACTGAGATTCATTCACTCATCATTTACCGTATGTCTTACTGAGTAGTCACAACTACACACAGTAATAACACTCCAAACAAGGGTCTACTCCTCCGCACCCAATCCCCAAAGCCACAATACACAGAAACACGACCCAATACAATGTCTTGAGAAAACATCATAAATTATGAGATGGTTGATTTGATGCCCTCTTACAAATATCAAAACTGAAGTAAAAACTAGAAGTCGTCAGAGTCGCTATCCCTACCGCTCTGGGTGCCACTCCGAGTCCCATCCTCCTTCCCCTTGCCCCAATTCGCCACAGGAGACTGCCCGAAAATCGGAGTCAAATAGATTGCAGCTGCCCCGGCAAGAAAACCAGCCCCATTTTTCAGCAGCGGCTCCAAATCGTCCGTCCGGGCAGTAATGGGCAGATACGAAAAAGCCACCACCAGCAGCAGCCACAGCGGGGAGAAAAGCAGCACCCACTGCCAAGAAGCCTCCACCTTCCCAGAAGGTTCCAAGCGGGCAGCAAAGCCGAAAACTATTCCGCCAAGGATTGCGGTAGAGAGAGTGATGAAGTAAAGGTCGTCTACTAGTCCGGGCACGTTGTTACAGCCCGAGGGCTTTAAGAGGCAGGTCTGCAGCGTGGCAACGGCTTCTTGGACTGCTCGTGTATCGCCCTGCTCTGCCACGTAGAATTGGTTGCCAAAGCTGGGGAAATGGGGAAGGGGAAGAGGAGAGAGGGGGGGAATAAGCTGCCGGAGGGCCCTGGTGTATTCCTGTTCTGCCACGTAAAACTGGTTACTAAAGCTGGGAGCAGCAAGGGGGGAGAGGGGAGGCGTGAGGAGTAGGGTGCTGGAGGGCTCTGGTGTCGCCCTACCCTGCCAAATAGAACTGATTGCTGCAGCTGGGTGACGGGAAGGAAGAGTGGAGAGGGAAGAGGGGAGCAGGGAGAGAAACGACGGAGGCCAAATGTAACCACATCTGGATGTGGGCAAGGAAAACACTGGCTTTGCAATGGTATTCTCTGACACAGCATCATCGAGGATGGGAATAAGAAAGGGAAAAGGCAGTGGAGGGGATAAGGGTAAGTGAGCAGGGTGGGGGGAATAGGGGTGATGGGCGGGTGGGAGAAAGAAAGTAGAGCCCTTTATATGGGTGAGCGACTACAGACCTATAATATGGGTTCTATATCAGTACCGGGATTGTAGCTCGATGAAGAACTGTCGTGGAAGCTTCTCCCTGACGGTGTCCCCTGCAAAGAAGTTGAGGATGTTGGGCGATGTGACGTCCGCCACCACCACTACCGTCCGGTCGTCGGGCTGAGATGCGAGTGTGACAGAAAGACAAGAAGTGCACATGATAGGAGGGAATAAAGGGTGAGTTGAGGATGTTGGCCGATGTGACGTCCGCCACCACCACTACCGTGCAGTCGTCGGGCTGAGAAGCCAGCAACGAACAGATGACACAAGGTAAGAACGGAGGGAATTGTAGGTGAGGTGAAAAAATGTTGGGTGATGCGACTACCCATACATGCCATGATGCTCGCACACTACCCATACCTTCTATCTCCGGGCTTCTCACCCCGCCTCCCTTACCTGCCACACCGCACGTAGGGCTTCTGTTTCGAACTGCTCAGGCTCATACCGAGTCAGCACACGCATACGCCATCCGTAGTCTCTCTCCAGATTCTCCAGCTGGCGAATCATAACCTCCCGTTTCCCGCCGCTCAAGAGCTGCGCTCCGTCAATCACGGGGCTCGCTCCTGCCATGCTGTCAGCTGCTGATTGGCTAACAGGAAAGCCAGTATCTGGTGCAGTTACACCTGCAGCTGCCATATCCGCGATTTGAGCAAGTGGTCCTGAGTATGACAGGGCTAGGGTTTGCTGGCTGTCCTGAGTCGTAGCGCCTGGGGAAAGTGACACGACAAGAGCGGATGATGGTACTGCTGCAAGATCAGCTGGCGCTTCTGCTGCTGCGGAAGCGTCTAAGGGAAAGGAGAGGAGGGTGACGACTGAAGCCGCTGTGAAGAGGAAGGTAGCGGCCATATTCGCAGATTGTCGCACGAGGTTGGCGACGGATTCGCCCAGAGGCGAGCTTCTGATTTTGCGAGAATCGACGGATGCTGACGATGGGAGGGTAAGGAGTGCATTCTGTGGCGAGAGAATGTTGGAGTATAGCGAGTTGGAACCATTAACGTGCGAAGGTACAGTCTGGCGCAGACTCGGCGCCTGACGCGACGCTCGAGCAGCCAACGCGACCTTCGCGAAACCACTGCGGATTGGCTGGAAACGGGCATGTTTTGGTGTAAAACGGGTGAAAATGTTGGATGAAGTCGAGCGGCGGGAGCACGCCTTGCGGAGGCAAATGCGATGGCCGTCCAGTGAAGGGAGCACCTGCCATTTAGCTGTCTCCGCTGAAGGCACTACGACAGCCATGGCAGCCATGATGAAATAGGAAGCTCCCAGATGGTGTGAGGTACACGAACACGAATTTCCATGACTGGATGCTACGTTTCTGAGGAGTAGATTTCTCTAACCGTTTAGAAAGCTACGGAATCGTCTTGTACCTCCCTGCAATGCAGGCAAAGGGCCCCGCTGACATGGCAGCTAATCCGACGTGCGAACTCGATGCGGTGTTGATACACTTCCAAATTTGTGCTACAAGAATGGCCTGCACTTGTGCCTTCCTTTCCAGCCAGAGTTGTTTGATCAAGGTTGTGCAAAAATACCATTGTGTCATAAAGTTAAGAACCTAAGGTTGGTGTGAATTCTCAATCCACAGCACCCAGCTTTGTCATTGTATCATCTGCCCAGGTAAGCTTGGAGCTGCCGACGAAGCTCATCATTCTCCTTCCGCATCTTCATCATTCTCTGCTTAATGGCATCAGCATGCCTGCTTGGCACTGCTTCACGAATTTGTTCCTCCATCTTCTGCCTAAATTCTTTCATCTGTTCTTGCAGCTGATTCTCAGCAAGAGAGCCTGCACACAGTTACTCCGTCACTCATGTATCCCACATGCCATCAGAGGGAAGAAAACGGCCAAGGTGACTTACATTTGTATTCAGCCATTGAAAGAGACTTCTCCAAAGACTTCCGTCGGGCCTCTTCGTCGTGAAGCTGGTTTCTCAGAGTCGCCAGCTCACTCTCATCTGCAACAAATCGTGATCAGCAGGCTGCGTCTGAACAGTCAACAATGCCACCCAAAGTGAACTTACACTTCACCCTTTGTGAGAATGCTAACTCCTTCATTTGTCTCTTTTCATGCTCGCCTTCACTGTTCTGCTGCTCCAACCTGTCCTCAAGAGTTACCACCATCGCCCATGCCTCGGAAAGCTCCTTTTCCAGGCTCCTGAAAAAACTGCCGTGTGAACACCTATGTTAAAAGTGGAAACGTGCAACAAACTTTTCCTTACAGTACTCGATTTTCAGCCATGGTTTTGGCTTGCGCTGCCCTGTCATCGACAGTGCTAAGCACGCCTTTCAACTCCTGAACATAGATTCCGGAGATAAGACGTGTTAAACAACAAGAAATATGTCACAAAGAGCAATGCGTACCTCCATCTTCAGGTCGTATTCCTTCTGCTGGTTTTTTAGCCGATCCTCAGCTTCTTCATACAGTTTGCGAAAGTGGAACTGGACGTATGAAAGACATTGTGATTGAAGTCGCAGCGGGAAGGCTATGGACCCTGTAAGGCAACAACTTACCTGTTGCTGAATAATCTCAAGTTCAGCTTGTCGAAGAGAACGCAACCTTTCCACTTCTGCCGAGTAAAAATATGTCAGAAAAAGAAGCAGCCAATCAGAGAAACAACCCAGTCGCGCTTACCATTCTGCAACATCAGCTCACGCTGTTCCGCTGCTTCTCTCCTGTACTCAGCGGACGCTAAGGCTGAACGCAAAACCTCCAGCTCAGACTGGCCCTTCTTGATTTCCTGCCGATGCAAAATGCATAGGCAGTAAAACTTTGTTTCTGTAAGCCCCAGTGCATTTTCATTTTAATAGAAAAACATACAATCTCGACAAGGCGAAGATCCCCATTGACAGCGATTATGCTCTCTCGTAACATGGATACTCCCGAGGAAGCGAAATGAGCTCGGGATGCTGGCAAGCAGGCCGTTGCGCTGTGAAAGTATGGTTCAGTCCGGACAGGCAGCACAAGAGATGGTTTTGGTGTTCAGTGGTGATGGGCACGAAATTGTTCCGTGGTTAAGATGCTCGATAAAGCGTAAGGTGAAGTCTCATTTTTGAAATCCTATCTCGGAATATGTTTAAAAGTATGCTACATGTAATATGAAACATAAGCATATAGATTCTTAAAAATGGTGTGTTCTTGAAAATTGTATGTTACATGATTTCTACATATAGGATACCAATCTATAACTCCGTATAACAAGTTTCTTACAGTATGATATGCAATCATGGGAAGGCGTTGGGATGTTATTTCAGCATTTTTTATACAATTCCCATGTAAGGCACACGCTTCCTTGTTGATAGTGAGATGCATTGTGAGAATTAAACCAAGATAAGGAAATCTCTAAAGATAGAAACATCACTGCACCCATTCATGTCCCGAGCTCCTCGACGCTCAGTCACACACAGAAATTCAGGCTACAGACCCAGAAACATCGAGGTCGAGTCACTGATTCTCATCATCATCGTCAGCCATGCGCGTCGAGCACGCCTTAGCGCTGCTCGTCTTCGCTGTCGCGGCGTGTCACGCTGCCGGCGCGGCTCGCAGAAGCGCTGTGTACGCCGACAGCAGCAGCAGCAGCGTCCACTTCGTGTCGCCAGATGAGGCCAGAGAGCTTCGCGAGGAGGTGAGACGAGCCTCCTCTTCGGCAGTCTAATTTCCGTTGCGCAATTCGTCGCATCCTTTGACAATTACGTAGCTGTGCAATCATTGGAGACCATCGGTGCTAGATTCTGCACTTTTGACTGACAACTGGAAGTATTCTGGCCATTATTAGCCACTCATCGAAGCGACGCTGTCTGAATTCGGGCATTCTCGGCCGAGATTTACATGTTGCTGCTAAACACCTTCTTTAAAATCGTTTTTTGGGTCATGTGGCAGGTCCGGGCCATGTTCTATCATGGCTATAACGGGTACATGCGTCATGCGTTCCCTCTGGATGAGCTTCGCCCTCGATCATGCAAAGGAGAGGATTCACTGGGTGGTTACACCCTCACGCTGGTCAGTCACTATCTCAGGTATCCGTCCTTGTGAGTCGACTCGATAGGGTCCTTTTGAAAACTAGTTGAAAAGTAGAGGATTCACTGGGTAGCTACACCCTTACGCTCTCAGGTATCCCTCCCTGTGAGTCTACTGGAAAGTAACATTTTCAAAGCAATTTAAAAGAAGGGAACTCACTGGGTGGCTTCACTACACCCTCACGCTCTCAGGTATCCCTCCTTGTGATTATACTGGAAAGTAACACTTTCAAAGCAATCCAAAAGAAGGGAATTCACTGGGTGGCTACTGAGACCCTGACATCGGTCAGAGTCTCTCTTGTGCCGGTCAGAGTCCCTCTGGTGCCGGTCCAAATTCCATGATAATGATGCTGTCATGCACTACTTGTTTTGCTTGCTGCTCATGCTGCTCTTGCGCCACTCCTACTCTTGCTGCTATGAACGGATCAATGGCGATATGTGTGCGTATTTTCTATACATTTCGCTGTGTGACTTGTGCGAATCGTTGCAACAGATAGACTCGCTGGATAGCCTGGCGTTGCTTGGCAACAAGACCGAGTTCGCCTCGGCGGTCAGATGGCTCTCTGCACACCTCAACTTCGACAAGGTGAGCGATTGATAACGTTATGTATGTGCAAATTCACATCACAGATTGACTCGCTGGATAGCCTGGCGTTGCTTGGCAACAAGACCGAATTCGCCTCGGCGGTCAGATGGCTCTCTGCACACCTCAACTTCGACAAGGTGAGCAGTTAATACCTTGCTGTCTTTTGTATTCTTTTCCCTCCGCGTTCTGTACCGCCACAGAACAAGACCGTGTCATTATTTGGGACCAACATCCGAGTCATGGGAGGGCTGCTATCAGCCCTGTCGCATGCATCACGATTCAGTGAGGGTATACATGCACGCTTGCTCCTGCCCTTCCGCTCCTCCCTTCCATTCTCCCCTTTCCGCCCCTCTTACCTGCCGCAGTACAATACCGTGTTTCTGTTTGAGACAAACATTCGAGTCATGGGCGGGCTGCTGTCGGTGATGTCGCCATGCATTGAGATGCCTCAGTAGGGTTACAATTTACACATGCATGCTTCCTCCCTCCCTTCCGTTCCTCCCTTTCCTCCCCCTGTTACCTGCCTCAGAACAAGACCGTGTCTCTGTTTGAGACGAACATTCGAGTCATGGGTGGGCTGCTGTCAGCACACCTCATTGCATCCGACCCTGCACTGGTAACCACACGTGCACTGGTAACCATGTATGCATTGGTACTTGGTAACAACCACACAACTTAGCTGTAAATAAGCTAAAAACATATGCACTGATAACCACACGTGCACTGGCAACCATGTATGCATTGGTAGTTGGTAACAACCACAATTTAGTTGTAGATAAGCTAAGCACATATGCGCTGGTAACCGCATGTGCACTGGTAACCGTTTCATTTTTGCCCTTATCGTCTCACTATCCGTGTCAAGTAGTGACATTGACCACACTTACCTACATCCTCTAGTTGCCCATCTCCCGTCTCCTTCCCCTCTCCCCCACAGGGCATGCAGGTGCCCGGATACGACAGCGAGCTGCTGAGGCTAGCAGAGGACCTTGGCAGGCACCTGCTGCCAGCTCTCAACATTCCCCATGTTAGCTTCTCTCCCTGCGCATATCCTTCCCTTCTCCCTGGTCCATCTCCCACAGGGCATGCAGGTGCCTGGATACGACAGCGAGCTGCTGAGGCTAGCAGAGGACCTTGGCATGCACCTGCTGCCTGCATGAAATAAACTCCTGTAAAAATACATCCGTACCTTTTCTCCTTGTTCCTCCCCCCCCCTTTTCTTTTTGCCCATGTCCTTTTGCCCTCCACTCACTCCCACAGGGAATGCAGGTGCCTGGATACGACAACGAGCTGCTGGGACTAGCAGAGGACCTTGGCATGCGCCTTCTGCCAACATTCCCCATCCCTACCTTCTCTTCCGGCCCATCCCCCACCTTTCCCGCCCTCACTCCCACAGGGCATGCAGGTGCCTGGATACGACAACGAGCTGTTGAGACTAGCAGAGGACCTGGGCAGGCGACTGCTGCCTGCATTCGACACACCAACAGGTGCGTTCCTTCAGAGGCCGTAGACCTCGTTTGAATCCCTGTAACCAGTGGCTTACACTTGAAGCACGCTTACACTTCTCTAAAACCTTTCAAGCATTGGTTACTTACTCTAGGCTGCAAATCTTCTTTGGATGCAATTCCATCATGGACTCCATTTCTGTGTTCCCCAGTCACTGGCCTCACATTCAATTCCCATTTCTGTGTCGTGTGTCTGTTCATGTCTTGTGTTCATCTCGTCGCCTTTGCTTTCCAGGCATCCCTTTTGGCTCTGTCAACCTGCGCCATGGGGTGCTGCGAGGGGAGAGCAAGGTGAGAGCTCTGATACCATGATCAGAGCAGGCAAGGTCAACGCTCCAATACTTTTGGGAAGTTTCAAAATTACCTGGCACATTGCGTACGGTCCATGACAACAAACATGTGGGTCACTTTTGAGAATTCTCAAAACATCCTTGTGAGAGATTTTTCTGAAGTCTCAAAACATGTGTGTCAACCAACCTGCCAAGGGCAAGTTGTGACATGAGTGGAGTACCGAGAGGGGAGAGCGCAATGATGAGTGATCTTGCCGTATAACGCCATGTCGTTCTGTCTCATGCCACATATCTTAAGGACATGCCATCCCACCTCCTGCTGTGAATTCCCATGCCATGCCACGCAGGTGACAGCAACAGCAGGTGGCGGCACACTTGCACTCGAGTTTGGCGTGCTCAGCCGCCTCACAGGCGATCCAGGCAAGTAGAAACTGGCCTCTCCCATGTGAATGAGCTTCCACGCGCAAGTGCTGCATGCACGGGCGCATGAGGTGCATGTTTTCTTGCCTGTCACAGTCAGGTAGCGGCACACTTGCACTCGGTTCGGTGTGCTCAGCCGTCTCACAGGCGATCCAGGCAAGTAGGCATGAAGCTTCATGTCTGAATGGGTGTGTCTGTACATGTGGATATGCTTTCGTGTGGGTCTGAACTCGTCTCAAGCGAATCTTTCCCAATACAGGTGCAACGCTGCGTTGGGGGGCAATGCAGGGGAATACAGGGAAGACGAATGAAGTTAATGTGGGTCACTGTTTGAGCATGCTTGACGCCCAACACTGGGAGGGTGTCGTAGGCTCAGCGCTCCTCCCTAGCCTTCTTGGGCTCATGGTGCGTACATACACATATTCACTTCTCCCCATCTTCTGAGCCGACTCAGAAGTCACTTCGTCATTTTGAGTCAACTCAAAATTAGCCGAGTGAATGCTGTGGGATGGGCGCACATACACTGCACATGTTCTCCTCTCCCCACCATCTCAATCTCTTCTCATCTGCTCCCTGTTTCCTTTGGCTTGGTATCCAACCCAGTGTTTGACAACATGGCATACAATGCATGGGCCTGTGGCTTCACATTCCCTCCACTCCATCCATCTCATCATCCGCCCTCTTTCCTTCCACTCTGCTTCTAAATCCCAGTGTTTGACGACGTGGCTCGCATTGCTGTGAGGGCTCTGTGGGCTGGGAGGTCCTCCCTTGTTGGGCTGCAACTAAGTTGGAAAAAACGCGTTTGGCGTTTTATACGCTAGCGTTTTAACGCTAGCGTATAAACGCCATACGCTTGTTGGGTTGTGTTATATACGCTCTGCAAACGCATGGCCGGGCAGGGTAAAAAAAGTTTTGGGCAGGGGGAAATTTGAGGTTAAGAGGTGGGGATGGGGGGAGGTGCAAAGCACCAGCAAAACCCATCCCTTATTTAGTAATTTCCAGATTTCAGTCATGCAACTTCCTACAACATCCCCCCACCCCACCTTCCACCTAACATCCTACACCCTCTATGGTACTACTGCCCCTCATTCCCACCATCCAACCGCCCTTCACCTAAGCATACTCGTCCTCAAGAATAGCATCCTCCCCCTCCTCCGCATCCTCACCCTCCTCCTCCACTGTGTAGCCTTCAGGAGTGAGAGGGTCCTCCATGTTCCCCGTGACGACCCCCTGGCCAGCAGGGACCGAGTACCAGTTGTGCACAACTTGCCAGTTGTGCGCAACATAGACTAGGTCCCTGCACTTCTGGGAGCCTAGGCGGTTGCGCCTTGCCGTGTGGACTGCGTCCCACACAGCCCAGTTTCTCTCGCATGCAGCCGCTGAAACTGGCTGCGAGAGCACACGACAAGCAAGCGTCGCGAGCTCGGGAAAGTCAGTGCCGTTCCAATTCCACCACTCAACGGCGCTCTGCGTCCCCTCCTTCACTGCCGCACGTTCAGCAATGGCCTGCGGCAGGCCAAAGCTTCCCTGCAGGGTCATGAACGCGGAAAGCCCCTCCTGCAGCACCACGGAAGCTCGGCGCTCCACGCCGTCCTTCCGAGTGATGGTGAGGTGGTCGTAGTGGGTCGTGATGTAGGTCTTCAGGACGCGCGTGCACTCAATGTCGCTCCTGAAGATCCCTTCTTCCTGGTTGACAGGATTCAGGATCCTGCCAACGACGTGCATGGGGCACGCGAGAGTCTCATCCCACCGCTTCTTCACGATGCGCGTGATGTCCCCCACCTCCCCCCTCGTCAGGAACCCGTCCGCCTGCTCGTCGAGGAGATCCTGCAGGTTCTCGGTGAGCTCGAGCATGTTGTCATAGATGCGGCCCATCATGCCCTTGGCCGTTGCATCCGTCGCGCGCATCATGACGAAGGGGACCTTCATGACGGCCGTGAAGAACTCCGCGAGCTTCCACCACGGCTCATCCATCACTTGCACGCGGAAGGCTTCCGCGCTCACTTTCCTTGCGCCAGTTGCCCAGCCACGCCACTCCTCACTCAGAACCATCTGCAGGAGGGAGAGGCGCACTTCACACAGGCGGGAGACCGCGATGAACTGCGTGCCGAAGCGCGTCCCCGCGGGCTTCAAGACCTGCTTCCCCTTCCCGCCGTTGACTTGTGGGCTGCGCAGGTAACCGCGCGTGAAGTGATGGTTCCGCACAAAATTGATGATCTCCGCCGCCCGGGAAACAATCTCCCTCGCCCACGACATCTTCCCAATGTCCTCCATCGTAAGGTCGAGGACATGGGTCGCACACGGAACCTGCTCGATGTGCGGGTATTCCGCGATGAGGGCACGGCACGCGGCGGCGTAGTTGGAGCCGCCATCCATGCAAAAGGCCACGATGTTGTCGGCCCCGACCTTCTTGATGATCGGGCGAAGAAGGTCGGCAATGTAACCGCCCGTCTTCTGCTCCATTTTCGTGTCTACGGACTCGACGAAGAAGGCCCCACTGTCATTGATGAGAAGTACGTTCGCCTGAGGACGGCCGCTGCCGTCCGTCATCATATCGCTCGCTATCGTAACGCCATCACGACGCCAGCTCGCCGCGACTGGAGCAAGCGCCACTTCAATGCGCTCGCGACACTTCTGGAGACCGGCACCACCGACGACGCGACGCTTCGGCGGGGTGTATCCAGCTCCCGCCCGCGCAATGCACGCGACTGCAATGCGCCAGAGGGGATGGTCGGCGTGATGTTCCGGCAGGCGCAGACCGGCGAAGAGAAGACACACTGCCTCGTCGGCGGACATCTTCGCGCAGGCGGCGTCGTCGCCATAGAAGTCTGTCATGCGAGACTTCTTCTCGCCATTGACCGCCGAGATTGCCGAAACCTCCGCGGTGCGCTTATTCTCCCGCCCCTTGTTCTTCTTCTCGTAAATCGCCTTCACGCCGTCCTTGGCCTCCTTGGGAGATTTGGAGCACAGGTGCACCTCACGGCGCCTCATCTTGGCCCAGCTGGTGATGTGCTGCGCAGCGCGGTACATTCCGCCCGTGAACTTGAGCTTGCAGTATTTGCAAACCTTGGTGGCGTGGTCGACATCGTCGCCGGGGGGCACTAAGAAGTGCTTGTAAACAGCGTGGTTACTGTCCATGCAGACCAATGAAGAGCTCGTAGCCTCAGCAGAAGTACTACAAGGCTCTGCAGTCGGGGTAGAACTTGGTGTTGCAGAACGATGGGGAGCCATGCTGGAAATGGAGCTAGAGGAAAGAAACTGAATGAATGACGAGAGGAAATGAGCTACATTTATGTTGAAGGGAGGGTGGGTTGAAGGCAAGATTGGTGAATATTAAGTTGGAAAGGGAAGTGGGAGTTGACAGGGTGTGGTGGTGTGTGAAGTGGTGAACAATTGTGGTGGGTGCGACTCGGCTTGGAAATTCAATTTTCAAGCCACTTTCGTGCTGTTCGAAACCCAACCCTCGCGTCGCCACGTTGCGAACGGAAACTCAAATTTTGATTTTTTTTTTTTGGGCTGCCCAACACTTTTCGAGCGTTTCTACACCAAAAACGCTGCGTTTGTTTTTTCGTAGCGTATAAACGCAAAACGCATAAGTACATTAGCGTTTTTTCCAACTTAGGGCTGCAAGCGGCACACATTGACGTCTTCCCAGCTTCCCATGTGCTTTCCCTTTTCTCCCCATCTGCCCTCTTTCCTTCCACTTGGTCTGACACCAGTGTTTGAGGACGTGGCGCGCAACGCAGTGAGGGCTCTGTGGGCGCGCAGGTCGTCCCTTGGGCTGCTGGTGGCGCATTTAGACATCTCCCCAACTTCCCAAGTGCTTTCAATTTTCTCCGCATCTACCCTGGTTCCTGTAATTGGTCTGGCTCCAGTCTTTGAGGACGTGGCGCGCAACTCAGTGAGGGGTCTGTGGGCGCGCAGGTCGTCCCTTGGGCTTCTAGGGGCGCATGTAGACATCTTCACGGGAGAGTGGACACACAAGGTGGGTCTGTAGTGCCCTGTAGTTGCTTTAACTGAGAGTACAGGTGACTAACTGTGGTCGTCCTTCGGGTTGTTGGGGGTATATATGGACACACAAGGTGGGCATGGAGAATTGAATTGATCCACTTTGGGTAGAATAACACAAGTGTACTAGGATTACAGAACGTACACTCAAAAGCATTCAATTCATGGCCTTCGAGAGAGCGTATAGACATTGTCACAGTGAATGTAGAAGTGGAAGCGAGTTTTTTTTTTTTTTGCGTTGAAATTTGGATCATACTGCAATCGAAAGAGTTTTATGCTTCAGAGAAGAGATGTAGGGATACGTGCACAACTTAGATCGTGTATGATTCGCCCCAAGCAATAAAATGCCATCTTTATTGGACCATGCTGTTGATATGACCAGTGTTATTCATACACCTACACATGTATCCAGCATTCAAACCGTGCCTATTGTCATAACATATGTAACATGTACTCTGTGTTTTGGCAGGATGCGGGGGTCGGAACCAGCATTGATTCGTTCTACGAGTACCTAATAAAGGTATGAAGCTGATGTGCATTTCAAAGTAGGGGGATGCCACATTTCGATCGAGTACACATTCTGTTTTGAGTGCAACATGTGTAACATGTACTTTGAAATGCACCTCACCTCACTCAAGATTACAAAATGACATGTGCAGCTCACTCACCTCTTGAGTGAGGTGCACATTCTCCAAGCAGCCTGTGATGGTTTTCGAGGCGCCTCAATATCTCTCTGTATGTATCCTGTTGCTGTTGTTTCCCCCTCCCACCAGGCACACATTCTATTTGGTGACTTTGAGTATCTGCACATCTTCAGTCCACTGCTGATAACTCTGAAGCGCTTAAAGAACCTCCTGATGTACTGCTGCTCTTTCCTCCACCTCCCACCAGGCGCACATTCTATTCGGCGACTTTGAGTATCTGCACATCTTCCAAGCAGCCTATGATGCCGTCATGACACACATATTTCATGACCCATGGTGAGTGGGAGGGGTCTAGCCTTGGGGCCAAGGGAGAGGTCTCGGGGCCAAGGCAGGGGTCTAGCCTTGGGGCCAGAGTCTACGTTTGAGGGGTCTCGAGGCCACAGGAGGGCCTTTGAGTATCTTTACATCTTTCAAGCAGCTTACGATGTGGTCATACATATCCCATGACCCATGGTGAGTGGTAGTGGCAGCACATGGGTATTCTGGTACATGGTTCTTCTGGGAAGGTGGGGATGGTAGTGTATGTGAGTGGGTGTGATTTCTCTTGTAATACGAGGTGGCTTTTGTATTGACTAAAAAATCATTCCCTTGTGGGTGGTACTGGCGGCACATGGATAAATCATTCCCTTGTGGTAAATGCTTTTTCTGAGGAGGTGGGTGGGTGTTAGTGGGTGTGACTCTTGTAGCACAAGATGTTGCCACCCTTACACAAGCACTTTTTGCATCCTCACACTTTCACAACCTCCCAAGTGTCAGTGTAACAAGGTGTTTTTTCACATCCTCACACTCAACCCCCCAAGAGTCACGTCAGTGACTACAATGAGACGGCATTGCTACTGAATCTTCTTCCTCTGCTGAGTTCCTCTGCAATGAGTACGAAGGTGGTCAGTGCTGCAGATCTCGTGTCAAGGATGGGTGTCTTTGGTTCACTTTTTAGATTTCTCCTAAGTGACACAAGCACAGCTCATATCTTGGTCACGAGAACGTCTGTGGCGAGTTTGAAGTTGCTACCACGAGGAATAACCACTGTAGTTGATGGAACCTTCCTCGCTCCACACATCACACCTCCAATCCAATCGTGCTGCCTCTCACCCTGTTGTGAGATGCAGCATGATCGGGTTGGAGATGTGATGTGTGGAGTGAGGAAGGTTCCTTCAACCAAGTACGCCTCAAGAACGCCTTTCACATCCTCCCACGTTCACATCCTCCCACGTTCACATCCTCCCACGTTCACATCCTCCCACGTTCACTTCTTCCCACGTTCACATCCTCCCACGTTCACATCCTCCCACGTTCACATCCTCCCACGTTCACATCCTCCCACGTTCACATCCTCCCACGTTCACATCCTCCCACGTTCACATCCTCCCACGTTCACATCCTCCCACGTTCACATCCTCCCACGTTCACATCCTCCCACGTTCACATCCTCCCACGTTCACATCCTCCCACGTTCACATCCTCCCACGTTCACATCCTCCCACGTTCACATCCTCCCACGTTCACATCCTCCCACGTTCACATCCTCCCACGTTCACATCCTCCCACGTTCACATCCTCACACCCTCACACGTCCCCTTCCAGCTCCACCTTCCAGGTACGTGCAGGTCAACATGGATGTGGCAGTCGTTGTCTGGGCTCTCTTCAACTCCTTGAAGCCATACATCACTCCGACCGAGGCTGCCTCACACGCACCTCTTCCCCTTGTTCCATCTCTCTCCCTGTCCCCGCCTCCCAGGTACGTGGAGGTCAACATGAACGTGGCCGTTGTTGTCTGGCCCCTCTTCAACCCATTGAAAGCCATACGCCAATACACCACACCACATACGCAACTCTCTTCCTCTCCCCCATCCCTTCCCTCGCCCAGGTACGTGGAGGTCAACACCAACGTGGCAATCGTCGTCTGGCCTCTCTTCAATTCACCAAAAGCCATAATCCTATACAGCACACCATTTATGCACCTCCTTTCCTCTTCCCGGTCCCCCATCCCCTCGCCCCCCAGATACATGGAGGTCAAAATGCATGTGGCAGTCGTCGTCTGGCCTCTCTTCAGCCTTGTCACAGCCATAACCCAATGCCGCACACCCTGTTCCCCTTCACGCCTCCTCTCTTCCCGTGCCCCATCTCCACCCCCTCCCAGGTACGTGGAGGTCAGCATGGACGTGGCAGTCGTTGTCTGGCCTCTCATAGTGTGTAACCATTCCTCTCTTACCTCTCACGGCTCACACCCTATTTCCCATCCGCCTCTCTCCCCCTCCACCTCCCAGGTACGTGGAGGTCAACATGGACGTGGCAGTGGTCGTCTGGCCTCTCTTCAGCCTATTCACACCCATACCTGTGTATGCCTCACACCCCAATCACCTTCACACCTCCCCCATCCCCTACCCTCCGCCTCCCAGGTACGTGGAGGTCAACATGGATGTGGCAGTGGTCGTCTGGCCTCTCTTCAACTCCCTCCAAGCTTTTTGGCCCGGATTGCAGGTGGGTACTCACTGAGTTGATGGGAGTAAGGCCTCCGCAGCCCACCGCTCCTCTTCTGACAAGTCTTCTGGCACGGAATGCAGTTACCGGGGTGGGGCTTGAAGGTCCGGGGGTGGGGCTTGCAGGTACTGGGATGGGGGCTGCAGGTACTGGGATGGGGGCTTGCAGGTACTGGATGGGGGCTTGCAGGTACTGGATGGGGGCTGCAGGTACTGTACTGGGATGGGGGCTGCAGGTACTTGGGGGGGCTGGGGGTTGAGACGTCTCTCTAGGCGAGGCTCCCACTGAGCCTTCCTCTCCCTATGGCGTTTTGAGGCGTCTCATAAACCGAGCGGCCCATTCACACTCACAGTGGGCTGGGCCTTGTTCACCCTATGGAAGCATTATGGCTTCACACTCTACCTGATTGATTCACTTGTATGCTTCTCACTTTACTCCTCACTCTCCCGCGCCACCCTCCCCCATCCACCCTTAGCAGGTCATGATTGGTGACATTGACCGTGCAGCTCGCTCCCACCCCGCCTTCTTCTCAGTGTGGCGGCGATACGGTTTCACCCCAGAGGGATTCAACCTGGCGCAGTCGGCCGTGCAACCACAGCGGACCTCGTACCCTCTCTTCCCTTCTTCTTCCCTCTTTCTCCCTGCCTCTCCATCAGGTCATGATTGGCGACATAGACCGCGCCGCTCACTCCCACCCCGCCTTCTTCTCAGTGTGGCGGCGATACGGGTTCACCCCAGAGGGATTCAACCTGGCGCAAACTGCCGTGCAACCACAGCGGACCTCGTACCCTCTCTTCCCTTCTTCTTCCCTGCCTCTCCAACAGGTCATGATTGGTGACATTGACCGCGCAGCTCGCTCCCACCGTGCCTTCTTCTCCGTCTGGCGGCGGTACGGGTTCACTCCGGAGGGATTCAACCTGGCGCAGTCAGCAGTGCAGCCGGGGCAGACCTCATACCCTCTGCGACCAGAGCTGGCAGAGAGCACGTACTGGCTGTATAAGGCCACCAGAGACCCCTTGTGAGTGTCTTTACATGCAACTGCTGGTACATGCAAGCAGCTGAACATCCACTCGTACCACCACACTCAGACCTCGTACCCACTGCAGTTGGAGGTGGCAGAGAGCACGTACTGGCTTTACAAGGCCACCAGAGACTTCTTGTGAGTGCCTCTCATAGAATCAGCTGGCGCAGTCAGCAGTGCAGCCGGGGCAGACCTCATACCCTTTCCAGTCAGAGCTCGCAGAGAACACGTACTGGCTGTACAAGGCCACCAGAGACCCCTTGTGAGTGCATCTATATACACCTGCTTGTACACCACACTCAGGCAAGCACCTGAACATACCCTCGTTCTACCACACTCAGACCTCGTACCCTCTCAGGCCAGAGCTGGCAGAGAGCACGTACTGGCTGTACAAGGCCACGCGAGACCCCTTGTGAGTGCGTTTATAGGCACATGCTCGTACACATGATCGCCAGCCTAGCTCTTTTCTAGATGTCGCAACACTTCTGACTCTTTCTGTCAGCCTCTCGCCGCCGCTTGCGTTTTTTCTCTGCAGCTATCTGGCTGTTTTAGCGACTTGGCTGCAGCCTGGTGTGTTGTATTTGCTTACTAGAAATCGAACACAAAGTGTGGCGCCAAGAAGAGACTGGCAGCAGAGGGGGCAGAATCCCAGCAGCAGCGAAGGGTGTGATTGGTACGCCATAACACGGGTGATCTACACCACAGAGGAACTTCAAAAGGAAAGAAGCATGCAGCGCATGGAATCGTTCGTGTGACTCTTTTTGGTGCACGAGGAAATTGAGTTAATACGATGATGGTCTGGTAAAAGAAGGCTCAAGAACGGGACATGGAGTCAAGTGGAAACTGGGGTACTCACACCAATTTCCTGTTAGAGGAGTGGGTGCGTGTTCAAACTGCAAAGGCGGCGCTGGAGATGCAGCCTCGATGATCAGGCAACAACAAAGGCGGATCATTAGGAGCCGCATCTCCAGCGACTTTGCAGTTTGAACAGGCGCCCACTCTTCCGGCAGGAAATTGGTGTGAGTACCTCAGTTTCCTCTTGACTCCATGTCCCCGTTCTTGAGCCTTTTTCACCAGACCATCGTCGCTTTCTTGTTTTCTGTATGAAATCAATCTCCTCGTGCACCAAAAAGGGTCACACGAACGATTCCATGCGCTACATGCTTCTTTCCTTACATCTTTTATTTTGTGGCTCCTCTGTGTAGATCGCCCGTGTTATGGCATACAAATAACACAATCTTCTTGCACATTGATCTGGTTGCTGCACCCCTTGCACGACGGGGACTCGTCTGTGTCTCGCTCCTTGCTGCCAGTCTTGTATCAGCACCTTGCTTTGATTGGCCTCTGCAAGATCCCGCACCCTACGCTGCTGCTAGAAATCCTGCACACTTCGTTGCAAACACAACATGGCAGTTCTACCACTTTTTGCCACACAATGTTGCTTCTCTGCATGACGCTTTCGAGAATTTATGTAGTAAAATATATATAAATGCAGCTATTGTAGCTATCTGTGTATTGGTGGTTATTTCCCCCCTAGCATGTAGCAAAAAAATAATCTTGATATTTAAAATATCAGAAACTCTTATCAGAAACGTATTGGTGGATATTTTCCCCCTATCAGAAACTCTATCCCTCCTGCCGTTTTTTTCCTGCACCCACTGCTATTCTGCAGCTACCTGGCCGTTGGGAGGGACATGGTTGCTAGCCTGGCGCTGACGCGCTGCCGATGTGGCTACTGCCACGTCAGCGACGTCGAGACACATGCCCTGGACGACCACATGGAGAGCTTCTTCCTCTCGGAAACTGTGAGCCCGCTTCCTTAAAACCCAAATATGCAACCCTATACCCTGAAACCGTCTTGAACCTGAAAACAAATGAGCCTGTCACTTAAACCCAACCCCAAACCCCTCTAAATCTGCAACTGTAAAACCCTAAGCCTGAGGTGAGCTTTCTACCCCAAACCCAAAACCCCAACTTGAAACCACATGGGTTGAAACACACACGTGCTTCTGGACGACCACACGGAGAGGTTCTTCTTCTCAGAAACAGTGACCCAAACATGCATGCAACCCTAAACCTGGGACCCTTCTGAACCTGAGAAACAGTGAGCTTGTCTCCCTTCTTACATCTGGAGAGCCTGCTGTGAGTCTGTCTGTGTGATGACGTGTCACTATGAACACACTAGAACCATCGTGTGTTGAGGCTCGTGTCCCTAAATACTGTAGACTGTCCAGGGTGTTGAGGCCTTGAATAAACATTTCCTGGACTATGATCAAAATAGTTTTTTTTTTCAATCAAAGTTGCTGAATGAACCCTTCAAAGGAAATAGCATATATGTATATAAATTAATAAAAATCACAATCATGCAAGTTGAAGCCCTGTGTGCTGATGGAAACGCCCTGCTGTGCTCACAATTCCACTCTATTCGCCCTGAACATTCTGACTTCGAAGGAAGGTCCTTCTCTAAACACGTTTCTCAAATAGCAGTAGTGACTTGAAAGATCGCTCCCTGGCATCCAAAAGTGAAGTACTTGTCCTGTCGCTTCTAATCCTTGTTGTTCCAGCCGTTTCTTTTCTAGAATCGCATCCAATCCACTCTCCTCCTCACAAATCCCGTTGTTTTTCACCCATGCCGCTCACCCTTTTCAGGTGAAGTACCTGTATCTTCTCTTTGACTTGGCTTTGGGAGGAGACAACATCATGGACAACGGGCCGTACCAGTGAGTCTAGCTCCTCCCATCCCATCCGCACTCCTCCCATCCTCACTCCTCCCATCCGCACTCCTCCCTTCATCGCTCCTCCGATCTCACTCTCCCGTGCCCCTCTCAAGTACCTGTATCTGCTCTTTGACTTGGCCTTGGGAGGCGACAGCATCATGGACAACGGCCCTACCAGTGAGTCTCACTCACCTGCCTTGTCACTGAGTCTCTCTCACCTAGACATGAGCAACGGGCGAACACCAAACGTGTTCGCCCGAACGTCCCCGAACAGTTTAATTGGGCGAACCGAACATGTTCGGTTCGCCCGAACATTATTTTCACATTTTGCATGTTTGGTGTTTGGTTAGTGTGGGCGAACATGTTTACTGTTCGCCGAACATCTACATGTTCGGCCAATTCCGAACATGTTTGGTGTTCGAAAATAAGGACTTAGCAGATTCTGTGACTTAACAGATTTCACCACCCCTGTTTCATGCAATTAAGTACAACAACACCTGCCCATACATGTTTAGGGGGTGGGGAACACGGGGGAACACGGTTTTCTGTTTTTTCAGGTCTGTAGTCGTTTACAAATCTTCCTGTTAAGAATGTAAGTTACTTAAAAAACGACTAATTAACCTAGGTTACCATAAGTAACCATTAAGTTGGGTGGAAATGGGCTGGATATGAGCCTACTGCTCCTTACTGCTGTGTACTTAACCTAAAAAGGTAGATCGAGGTCGAAATGACCTCGATCTATGCTTTCCGTAGGACTTGCATCCAACCAGCGCGACAAATGTCGCGCTGGTTTTTTTTCAAACATCTAATGTTCGGAAAAGCGGGGAAACAAACCGAACATGTTTGGTGTTTGGGAATTTTCCCTTATAACTTTTCGAACACCGAACATGTTCGGGGCGAACGCCGAACATGTTTGGGCGAACCTTTTTTACAAAAAAAGCGGGTCGAACATGTTCAAAACGAACATGTTCGACCCGAACGTGTTTGAGGTTTGGAAAAGTGCTCATGTCTACTCTCACCTGCCTTGTCACTGAGTCTCTCTCACCTGCCTTGTCACTGAGTCTCTCTCACCTGCCTTGTCACTGAGTCTAACCTGCCTTGTCACTGAGTCTAACCTGCCTTGTCACTGAGTCTAACTTGCCTTGTCACTGAGTCTCTCTCACCTGCCTTGTCACTGAGTCTAACTTGCCTTGTCACTGAGTCTAACTCGCTTTGTCACTGAGTCTAACTTGCCTTGTCACTGAGTCTAACTTGCCTTGTCACTGAGTCTAACTTGCCTTGTCACTGAGTCTAACTTGCCTTGTCACTGAGTCTAACTTGCCTTGTCACTGAGTCTAACTTGCCTTGTCACTGAGTCTAACTTGCCTTGTCACTGAGTCTCTCTCACCTGCCTTGTCAGTGAGTCTAACTTGCCATTTACATGTTGACACTGGAGGGTCAACTTCTCCCTCTGACTCTCGAGATCTCCTTCCCCTCAGAGCACTGCTCCAACCTCAACAGCTTCTGTGCACCCCCCAGCCCAGACTTGCACTTACCATTCCCCCATATCCATCCCCATCCTGACTCCTGATTCCTCTTTTCCTTTGGAGCCTTGCTTCTACGTCAACTGCTTCTGAGCTCCGCCCCAAGCCAAACCTAGATTTCGCCGTTTCCCCATACCCATCCCCACCCATCCCCACCGATCTCCACCCCTCCTTCCCTCTCTCCCCCCATCAGGTATGTGTTAACAACAGAGGGTCATCTGCTCCCTCTGACTCCTGAAATCTCTTTTCCCTCGGAGCACTGCTCCTATCTCAACAGCTTCTGTGCCCCACCCCAAGCTAGCAGTTGCCGGGTTCAAGAGGAGGGTGCTGGGGAGGGTGGGTTGGGGGAAGGGGGAGGTGCAGCTGGGGAAGGGAGCGACTGGTTGGGAGAGGTGGAAGGGGATGAGGAGGGAGAGGGACAGGGTAAGTCGGGAGAGGGGGGAGGGAGGGGTGGGGAAGAACGGTTGAAGGGAGAGGTTACGAAGGAGGAAAAAGGCAGCGCTAGTAGTAGTAGTGGTGGTGGTGGTGCCGATGCCAATGCAGATACCACAGGCCGTGATGGCAAGGCTGCAGGAATGGAGACGGGAATGAGTGGGGATATGCAGAAACAGCAGGAGGAGATTGATCCAAATGTGGAAGTGATTGCGAAAGGGAAGACATGGGTACTGACTCGTAATAAAGGGATAGAAAAGACAGATTCTTCTAGCCCTCTCTCAGGGTCACCCTCTGCTGCTGATCCTCACTCAAGCAGCAGTGACAGCAGCAGCAGTGCTGCTATAACTGGCACCAGTGGCAGTGCTAGTGGCAATGGTGGTGCTATAGAAGACGATGGGGAGGAGGAGGCAGAGGAGGAGGAGGTGGAGGATGAGGAGGAAGAGGAAGAGGAGGAGAGCGAGGGAGTGACGGGAGGCCAGCATGAGAGGAGGACAGGTTCGCATGACGTGTCGGAACAGTTTGATACGTACAGAGATTTGCAGGTGCGTGCACACACACACACACACACACACACACACACACACACACACACACACACACACGCGCGCGCGCGCGCGCGCGTGCGCGTGCAAGCATGACATGTCTGGACAGTTTGATATGTACAGAGATTTGCAGGTGCGTGATTCAATGCAACCCTTTGTCTCTCTCAAATGGTCCTTTGTATAATGTCGGCCACAGTTACATGCAAACGGGCAAGAACAAATGTGGACAGCTACTTGAAGCTACGGCATGCAAATGTTCTACCACCTCCTACAGTCCTCTTCTCCCTTTTTTTTTCAGAAAAAAACACACACGCGTGCACGCGCGTGCACGCACGCACACACACACACGCACACGCACGCTCACGTGCGCGTGCACACACACACACACACACACACACACACACACACGCATACAACCACAAATTGCTTTACCCTGTTTTTTTCCCTTTGTGCCCTCTAGCTAAAAACGACCCGTGTTTTGTTTGCTAGACTTCCATCTCTCAAACAAAAATGGGTGCATTCAATGTTGGAAGCGCGGTAAGGTCTCAGAATGTTTTTCTATAGAACCTTACAGGCGTCTTCCAGCTATTTATTCCTATATATCTCAACGAACAAGCCGTCGACGCTTCCGTTTGCCCAGGGCGACGCAGCGTCAACAAGCGTCGCAGCGTCGCAGGTGACCGACGGGCAGAAAAAAAACTAAAACTCTCTCGAATGGAATGGATTCATCAACCGTAAACACCATCCGCAAGGTGTTCAAAGGTTGATGCCTCCCATGTTTGCATGCCTTTCCCCATGGGTTTTAGTTTTTCTTGCCCCGGGCAGCAAGCTTCCTGGGCGGAGTCAGTTGTCCGTTGATCTCAGATCTATACTACGGTGTCCTTTACGGTGTTAATTTCGACAGTTTCCTACCTTGCGAATTGGTTTTGCTAAGGGAATTATATTCTCTTCTACTGTTGACCGCTTGCAGGGATTCTGTCAAGGTATTTCTATATGGAGAAGATTGGGAATTCCTGGGCTCTGATCCACGCTCTCAAATTTCAGCGTTTTTACTCTGGTTCAGCCTATTCTTCTAGTGAATTTTTATGCTTGCCTCTTCTTTGTAATTCCAGCGTACATTTGCTGTCAAGCTGTGACAGCAATGATTCATCCACCCTGAAACCAATATACTCTCACCCCCGATGTGATGCTGTAGTAGGGTAGATACCAACTTTCCATTCAGAGCAGAAATGGCATAAGATGGAAATTGTACCAAACACCATGACTGCGGATGGATTGCAATAAGACGTTCCACTGCAGTGGTGCCATGGTGGTATCCATATAATGACTATTCTAATTCTAAAGCAATTAACAGACCAGCTAGGTCATCTACAAAGCAGCCATACGAAGCATGAGAGGCACCACCAGGGAATCGGTGTAGTGAAACCAATGAGGCTTCAAGAGCTTGACCTGAGAGTTTAGATGAGACCTGAAAACCAGAACCCACACATAAGCTGTAATTAAGGGTGTACGGAAGGCAGCTAGTACCATAATCCTCGAACTCGTTGAGAGAACAAGAAACCTTTTCACTTCATAGGCCTTGCACATCATGTGCACCAGATGTCTGTTGCGTCATGGCGAATAATCGAACTTCCAAGAAACAGCGGGCCAACCTGTTGACTGATTTCCACTTGCGTGGAGTAGGGCTTCCCCAGGGGGTTTCCCCGTTACGGGAAGTCACCTGCAAGCCAGTCAACGGGGATGACTCACGGCATCAGGTAACCAGTAAAACATGGACATGTAAACAAGACAGACCGCTAGTCTAGTAGCTTATATATATGAAAAAACCCGTTCTGGAATGTCTCGTCGCAGAATGCCGCGTCGCAGAATGCCGCTGAGATTTGTGAAGGAACGCCGTCAGGAGGAGGACGTTATGAATCAATGAAGCCCGTCTTCTGAAGGATAGCCGTTCGCACGCGAGCCAGATCCCTTCCTCGTAACGTCCCTCCAACTCCTTCGTGTACCGAGAAACACATTGACGGGGATATATTCCTTGCTGCAAGCTCGTGCGGCGGAACCATGGCGTCATCAGCGTCGTTCTCGGGATCGTCGTTCATCGTCCAACGAGAGGGCTTCGACGATCTGCCTGTTATTTTACTCCAGTCAGGAACGTTCACAGGAGCGGAAGCACGGTGATGACCTTGGGAAAGCCGCGACTTTAAATGATCAAGGTGGTTGTGAACGGTTGGGATAACGACTGGATTCAATCCAGTCGGCTTGACAATGTCTCCAGCAGGACGTTGTCCGAAGGAACTTATGTCTGATGATATAATAGCGAGACCTTGAGCCTGGCTTGAAAAAAAACCAGTTGAAGAGCTCGCGTCTGCTTCAGCCCTAAGGCGCATTGACGGTAGACCTTGATCGTGTAACGAAACCCTGGCAACTCCGTCGGTTAAGCTGTCAGAATCCGTTACCGACCAAATGTCTTCTTCCGTGAAGTCGTCGCCAGAAGCCTGTACGCAAGAGGACGGCGGGATCGAGCCTAACAGAGTCGATCCGTTCTGGAGGCGGTTTCCGTGGTTGGACGACCCTAATCCAGAAGCAGTCATTCCTAAAACGACTTGACTTGAAAGCGGAGAAGGGTGTGTAAACATCTTGGATGTTTGGTTGCCAGAAGAGCCTGGACAAAGGTAGGCCTAGCTCTGTTGGCCTGGTACCCAAGAAGCCTAGGCCAAAAAATCACACCACGGCCAACAGCTGTAAGAGTGGCTGTTAGAAATGAGGTAGCTAACAACCAGAGCAGGGAAATGTAGGGAGGAGATGGAAGGGAAGGAACCGAAAGGACAGAAACCGCAGCTCTCTCCTGTACCCCCCAACCCAACCCAACAAGAGGTGGGTGGGGATGGGGGAGGTGAAAGGGGAAGAGGGGGAAGGAGAAGAGCACCAGCAGCAGGGCACGTGCCCTGCTCAGTACAGCACGGTAGGTGGGTGAGACGGGGGTTGGGAAGAAAGAAGGGGAGACGGCGGAGAGGGGGTAGGACGGGGGAAGGGGAGGGGTTAGAGGGAAGGAGAAGGGAAAGGAGCGGAAGGTGAAGGGGGAGGTGGGGTGGGTGGGGAGGGAGGGTGGGCGGGGAGAAATCCGGTGCGAACTGTGCGTGCCGGGGATTTTATTTTTGAGCCATCCGTGCCTGAAATCTTGGGGCGAAGCCTCAAATCCGGTGTATTTGTTATGACAAGTCGCCTTGTTTCTCCATCCAACGACCTGTCGCTCAAAGTTTGTTTTGATCCCGCAAATCCGCGTCACATCCCCTAGCTTCTGGAACCTGCGGGCTGCCAGCTTGATGGTCCCTCAACACTTATAACCACCTCGCTTCCACTCTAGAAAATATAGCTTCTTCTCAGGGTAGATTTCTTGGAAGAACCGAGCACGCAACTGCCCTGAAACCAAACCCTGCCAAATTTCTGGTGTACAGAACACGGCACGAGTGCTGTACAGTAAAGTATTCGGATGAATATGCAGCGTCATTCGAGCAGTTTTAGGTAACGGCTCTGTACAATTATGGACTTCCAAGTCCAATGTTGTTACAAGCTAATTAGTCTTATGTGTATACCACTAGTACTGAACCAGCTCTACTAGCATCAGTGCCAAAGATACAGACACCAGTAAAAGTAATAAAACAAAGGATTCACAGTACAATGCCACGCAGTTTCATCTACATTAGTGGAAAGGCCCATTTCCTCTTCCCTTTCCTGCGTGCACCAACTGACAGTGGTCCCCTGAAACCGATTCACTTGAGCGTCGTCTCTGATTTACCTGAGAGATCACCTGGGGCTTCACCTGAGCCTCCTCAACATCTGAGACACAAGCAGTATGCCTGCGATTAAGCCCCCTGGCACCTCGTCTCTCTTCAAACCTCATTCTCTGACCACCACAGCCAGATTTCGAAGGGCTGGCAGCTGCGAGGGAAGGGGCGGCTGTAGCAGCTGCTACAGCACGTGCGGCTGAGGTGAGAGGTTTTCTGGAAACAGGCAAAGTGGCACTGCGAAGGCACACATCTAGATCTGTAGCATAGCTCATGCCGTAACCTGGAGAGGCCAGTACAGCTGCCCGTGCAGAGGGAGAGCCGGCTGTAGAGGCTGTAGCGGCAGTGAGTGCTTGTCTGGAGACAGGCAACGTTGCACTGCGAAGGCAAATGTCTGAATCTGTAGCACAGCTCGTGCCATGAGCGGCTGTAGCGGCTGTAGCAGCTACAGCAGCCCTGGCGGCAGCAGTGAGTGCTTGTCTGGAGATAGGAAGAGAGGTGGAGCCATGTGGGGTGTATGAGAGGGAAGCAGAGGAGGTAGTAAGACCAGGGGCACCAGAGACACCACCAGCAGCAGTAGCGGCAGCGGCAGCAGCAGCAGGGGCGGAACAGGGGCCTAGAAGGGGGGCTAATGGAGAGGGGCGGGGGCTGCATAAGGGAGAGGGATGGGGACTATGAGTGGGAGAAGTATGGGTGCTGTATGTGGTTGAAATGCGGGGGCTGCATAAAGGAGAGGAGTGGGGGCTGTGCGTGGGACCGGGACGGGGGCTGCATAAGGGGGAGCGATGAGGACTGTGTGTGAGAGAAGAATGGGGGCTGTACAAGGTGCAGGGGCGGGGGCTGCATAGGGGAGAGGGGTGTGGGGAGCTTAAGGGAGAGGGGCGGGGGGTGGATGAAGGAGAGGAGCGGGGGCTGTGTGTGGGACCGGGACAGGGGCTGCATAAGGGGGAGCGATGAAGACTATGTGTGGGAGAAGAATGGGGGCTACATAAGGGAGAGAGATGGGGCCTGGATATGGGAGGAGAGTGGGGACTGTATGAGGGAGGGGGACTGCTTGAGCGAGAGGGGCACGGGCTGCATGTAGGACTGCCTTGTGCAACGTTGATCGCTACTGGGCTTTGTTGAAGCTTAAGAATGGCACGTCCCTGCGCACCGTTGACCACTGCTGTTCTGCCACGTGGACTCACTGCCGCAGTGCCACGTGGACTCACTGCCCCAGTGCCACGTGGACTCACTGCCCAGTGCCACGTGGACTCACTGCCCCAGTGCCACGTGGACTCACTGCCCCAGTGCCACGTGGACTCACTGCCCCAGTGCCACGTGGACTCACTGCCCCAGTGCCACGTGGACTCACTGCCCCAGTGCCACTCTTCATCCCAATCCCACCTCCACTCTCACACCCTCTCCCACCTCCACCTGTACCTGCTGCAGCTCCTGCCTTGGGAAGGCTTGTCTGGGGGAGGTATAACCTGGCGCTTTGACTTGCAAGCTTCGTGCCGTCCATCCCTGCTGCACCTCCACCTGTAGTTGCTGCAGCTCCTCCCTTGGGAAGGCTCAACTGGGGAAGGTACAACCTGACGCTTTGACTCGCAGGCCTCATGCTGTCTATGCCTGCTGCCTTGGGAAGGTTCACCTGGGGGAGGCTCAGCCTGGCACTCTGGCCAGCAAGCTTTGTACCTGGTGCCCTGGGAAGGTTCAACTGGGGAGGGTTCAGCCTGGCGCTCTGGCTGGCAAGCTTTGTGCCTGCCGCCCTGGGAGGGTTCACCTGGGGAAGGTAGAGCCTGGCGCTCTGGCTTGCAAGCTTTGTGCCTGCGGCTCTGGGAGGGTTCACCTGGGGAAGGTAGAGCCTGGCGCTCTGGCTGGCAGGTCTCATGCCGTGTACGCCTGCGAGTCTAGGCACTGTGAGTCGGGGTCTCCTTCTCGTGCGCTGCTCCCTTGTGACCACTATGCTGTCCGAATGTGGGAACACCGGCACTCGCACATCTTGCTCCTCTTCCTCCTCCTCCTCCTCTTCCTCCTCCTCCTCTTATTCCTCCTCCTCCTCCTCTTCTAGAGACGACTCAAGACTCTGAACTTTCGCCACAACTATGCTGTCAGAATGCGGAAACACGGGCACTCGCACATCTTGCTCCTCTTCCTCTTCCTCGTCCACCTCCTCTTGATCCGCTTCCTCATCCTCGTCTCCTTTGCCGTATGCCCCTGTGACCACTCCCCGAAGCTTTGCAACTGAGAGGCTGTCAGAGTGAACAAACCGCCTTGCATGTGGGGGAGGAGCAGCAGAGGCGAAAGCACTTGAATTTCCACCTGGAAATTCGTCTGAATGTTCGCCTGAATTTTCACCTAAAGTTGCGCTCGTGGAATGGCCTGTCCTCCTTTTAAGCCGGTTCACAGCTAAGCTATCAGAATGCACCAACCTCCTTCGCCAAGAAGCCCCTTTCTCCTTATCCAAGCCTTCCAACTCCTCCTCCCCGTCTTCGTCATTTACATCTTCCAATTCCTCATCCCCCTTTTCCCCTCTTTCTTCCGGTACCAACTTCTCGCTCCCGCTCCCCCTTTCCTCCCACTCATCCTCATTGCACTCCTCCACATGTTCCTCTCCCACCACTTCCTCTTCCTCTCCCACCACTTCCTCTTCCTCTCCCACCACTTCCTCTTCCTCTCCCACCACTTCCTCTTCCTCTCCCACCACTTCCTCTTCCTCTCCCACCACTTCCTCTTCCTCTCCCACCACTTCCTCTTCCTCTCCCACCACTTCCTCTTCCTCTCCCACCACTTCCTCTTCCTCTCCCACCACTTCCTCTTCCTCTCCCACCACTTCCTCTTCCTCTCCCACCACTTCCTCTTCCTCTCCCACCACTTCCTCTTCCTCTCCCACCACTTCCTCTTCCTCTCCCACCACTTCCTCTTCCTCTCCCACCACTTCCTCTTCCTCTCCCACCACTTCCTCTTCCTCTCCCACCACTTCCTCTTCCTCTCCCACCACTTCCTCTTCCTCTCCCACCACTTCCTCTTCCTCTCCCACCACTTCCTCTTCCTCTCCCACCACTTCCTCTTCCTCTCCCACCACTTCCTCTTCCTCTCCCACCACTTCCTCTTCCTCTCCCACCACTTCCTCTTCCTCTCCCACCACTTCCTCTTCCTCTCCCACCACTTCCTCTTCCTCTCCCACCACTTCCTCTTCCTCTCCCACCACTTCCTCTTCCTCTCCCACCACTTCCTCTTCCTCTCCCACCACTTCCTCTTCCTCTCCCACCACTTCCTCTTCCTCTCCCACCACTTCCTCTTCCTCTCCCACCACTTCCTCTTCCTCTCCCACCACTTCCTCTTCCTCTCCCACCACTTCCTCTTCCTCTCCCACCACTTCCTCTTCCTCTCCCACCACTTCCTCTTCCTCTCCCACCACTTCCTCTTCCTCTCCCACCACTTCCTCTTCCTCTCCCACCACTTCCTCTTCCTCTCCCACCACTTCCTCTTCCTCTCCCACCACTTCCTCTTCCTCTCCCACCACTTCCTCTTCCTCTCCCACCACTTCCTCTTCCTCTCCCACCACTTCCTCTTCCTCTCCCACCACTTCCTCTTCCTCTCCCACCACTTCCTCTTCCTCTCCCACCACTTCCTCTTCCTCTCCCACCACTTCCTCTTCCTCTCCCACCACTTCCTCTTCCTCTCCCACCACTTCCTCTTCCTCTCCCACCACTTCCTCTTCCTCTCCCACCACTTCCTCTTCCTCTCCCACCACTTCCTCTTCCTCTCCCACCACTTCCTCTTCCTCTCCCACCACTTCCTCTTCCTCTCCCACCACTTCCTCTTCCTCTCCCACCACTTCCTCTTCCTCTCCCACCACTTCCTCTTCCTCTCCCACCACTTCCTCTTCCTCTCCCACCACTTCCTCTTCCTCTCCCACCACTTCCTCTTCCTCTCCCACCACTTCCTCTTCCTCTCCCACCACTTCCTCTTCCTCTCCCACCACTTCCTCTTCCTCGTCCACCTCCTCTTGATCCGCTTCCTCATCCTCGTCTCCTTTGCCGTATGCCCCTGTGACCACTCCCCGAAGCTTTGCAACTGAGAGGCTGTCAGAGTGAACAAACCGCCTTGCATGTGGGGGAGGAGCAGCAGAGGCGAAAGCACTTGAATTTCCACCTGGAAATTCGTCTGAATGTTCGCCTGAATTTTCACCTAAAGTTGCGCTCGTGGAATGGCCTGTCCTCCTTTTAAGCCGGTTCACAGCTAAGCTATCAGAATGCACCAACCTCCTTCGCCAAGAAGCCCCTTTCTCCTTATCCAAGCCTTCCAACTCCTCCTCCCCGTCTTCGTCATTTACATCTTCCAATTCCTCATCCCCCTTTTCCCCTCTTTCTTCCGGTACCAACTTCTCGCTCCCGCTCCCCCTTTCCTCCCACTCATCCTCATTGCACTCCTCCACATGTTCCTCTCCCACCACTTCCTCTTCCTCTCCCACCACTTCCTCTTCCTCTCCCACCACTTCCTCTTCCTCTCCCACCACTTCCTCTTCCTCTCCCACCACTTCCTCTTCCTCTCCCACCACTTCCTCTTCCTCTCCCACCACTTCCTCTTCCTCTCCCACCACTTCCTCTTCCTCTCCCACCACTTCCTCTTCCTCTCCCACCACTTCCTCTTCCTCTCCCACCACTTCCTCTTCCTCTCCCACCAATTCCTCTTCCTCTCCCACCACTTCCTCTTCCTCTCCCACCACTTCCTCTTCCTCTCCCACCACTTCCTCTTCCTCTCCCACCACTTCCTCTTCCTCTCCCACCACTTCCTCTTCCTCTCCCACCACTTCCTCTTCCTCTCCCACCACTTCCTCTTCCTCTCCCACCACTTCCTCTTCCTCTCCCACCACTTCCTCTTCCTCTCCCACCACTTCCTCTTCCTCTCCCACCACTTCCTCTTCCTCTCCCACCACTTCCTCTTCCTCTCCCACCACTTCCTCTTCCTCTCCCACCACTTCCTCTTCCTCTCCCACCACTTCCTCTTCCTCTCCCACCACTTCCTCTTCCTCTCCCACCACTTCCTCTTCCTCTCCCACCACTTCCTCTTCCTCTCCCACCACTTCCTCTTCCTCTCCCACCACTTCCTCTTCCTCTCCCACCACTTCCTCTTCCTCTCCCACCACTTCCTCTTCCTCTCCCACCACTTCCTCTTCCTCTCCCACCACTTCCTCTTCCTCTCCCACCACTTCCTCTTCCTCTCCCACCACTTCCTCTTCCTCTCCCACCACTTCCTCTTCCTCTCCCACCACTTCCTCTTCCTCTCCCACCACTTCCTCTTCCTCTCCCACCACTTCCTCTTCCTCTCCCACCACTTCCTCTTCCTCTCCCACCACTTCCTCTTCCTCTCCCACCACTTCCTCTTCCTCTCCCCACTCCTTCTCTCCCACCACTTCCTCTTCCTCTCCCACCACTTCCTCTTCCTCTCCCACCACTTCCTCTTCCTCTCCCACCACTTCCTCTTCCTCTCCCACCACTTCCTCTTCCTCTCCCACCACTTCCTCTTCCTCTCCCACCACTTCCTCTTCCTCTCCCACCACTTCCTCTTCCTCTCCCACCACTTCCTCTTCCTCTCCCACCACTTCCTCTTCCTCTCCCACCACTTCCTCTTCCTCTCCCACCACTTCCTCTTCCTCTCCCACCACTTCCTCTTCCTCTCCCACCACTTCCTCTTCCTCTCCCACCACTTCCTCTTCCTCTCCCACCACTTCCTCTTCCTCTCCCACCACTTCCTCTTCCTCTCCCACCACTTCCTCTTCCTCTCCCACCACTTCCTCTTCCTCTCCCACCACTTCCTCTTCCTCTCCCACCACTTCCTCTTCCTCTCCCACCACTTCCGCTTCCTCTCCCACCACTTCCGCTTCCTCTCCCACCACTTCCGCTTCCTCTCCCACCACTTCCTCTTCCTCTCCCACCACTTCCTCTTCCTCTCCCACCACTTCCTCTTCCTCTCCCACCACTTCCTCTTCCTCTCCCACCACTTCCTCTTCCTCTCCCACCACTTCCTCTTCCTCTCCCACCACTTCCTCTTCCTCTCCCACCACTTCCTCTTCCTCTCCCACCACTTCCTCTTCCTCTCCCACCACTTCCTCTTCCTCTCCCACCACTTCCTCTTCCTCTCCCACCACTTCCTCTTCCTCTCCCACCACTTCCTCTTCCTCTCCCACCACTTCCTCTTCCTCTCCCACCACTTCCTCTTCCTCTCCCACCACTTCCTCTTCCTCTCCCACCACTTCCTCTTCCTCTCCCACCACTTCCTCTTCCTCTCCCACCACTTCCTCTTCCTCTCCCACCACTTCCTCTTCCTCTCCCACCACTTCCTCTTCCTCTCCCACCACTTCCTCTTCCTCTCCCACCACTTCCTCTTCCTCTCCCACCACTTCCTCTTCCTCTCCCACCACTTCCTCTTCGTCTCCCACCACTTCCTCTTCCTCTCCCACCACTTCCTCTTCCTCTCCCACCACTTCCTCTTCCTCTCCCACCACTTCCTCTTCCTCTCCCACCACTTCCTCTTCCTCTCCCACCACTTCCTCTTCCTCTCCCACCACTTCCTCTTCCTCTCCCACCACTTCCTCTTCCTCTCCCACCACTTCCTCTTCCTCTCCCACCACTTCATCTTCCTCTCCCACCACTTCCTCTTCCTCTCCCACCACTTCCTCTTCCTCGATTTCAGCCATCCTCGTTTCAGGCTTCCCCACTCTTTTCCGTTGTAGCACCATGCTGACCGAGTGTATCAACTTGCAAAACCCTAAACTTGTCCCTCCAGTTCCCTTTCCATCCTCATCCTCATCCTTCTCTTCTTCTCCCTCCTCCTCTCCCTCCCATGTCTCAATCTTTCCATCCGTTCCTGCTCTCTTCCGGTGCAGCATCACGCTGTCAGAGTGCATCAGCCTGCGAAACCCTAAAACTGCTGATCCATCGCCTTCCTCTCCCTCCTCTTCTACCCCTTCCTCTCCCTCCTCTTCTGCCCCTTCCTCTCCCTCCTCTTCTGCCCCTTCCTCTCCCTCCTCGTCTGCCCTGTCTTCCTCGTCTCCTCCGCCATCATTCCCCCATCCGCCTTCAACCACTCCCAACCTTTCCTCACCTTTCAACCCCACCAACCCTTCTGCCCTCCACCCTTCTCTCCCATATCCTCGCTCTCCCTCGTCGTCCTCCTCCTCCCCCTTGTCCTCTTTTCCTTCATCTCTGCGTAAATCAGCACCAGAGTCTTCTAATAATCTCTTTCGCCTGATCACCACACTATCAGCAAACCACACCAAGGGAACACCAACCCCCGCTTCCCCCTCCTCTTCCCTATCCCATTCTTCCTCTTCCTCCTCCTCTTCCTCCTTGTTCTCGCCCTCTTGCTGTTTCCCGCCCTCCTCCGCTTCTTCCCCTGACTCCCCTATAAACACTTGCGCACACTGTTTGTGAATGTAATATTTTGGCTGTAGGGAAATCGTCACATTGTCAGCAATTTTTCCTCCACAAACCGTCACACCCACAACTCCCCGCTCTTCACAACCATCTGCCTCAAACTCCTTGCTCTCTTCCCCAAACTTCCCCCCCACTTCCCCTTCCCCCGCGCCTTCCCTTTCCCCTCCCCCTTGCCCTTTCCCCGCGTAGGAGTCAACCGTTTCCCCGTCGAATCCCGTTACCCTTCCTGCTTCCCCACTTCCCCCTTCCGCTAAGTCCCTATGTCTGTGCGCCTGCTGCGCCTGGTATTCCCCCCATTCCGCTTCTCCCCGTTCCGCTTCCCCCCCAACTTTTGTTTCCGCACCGAATTCACGTGATCGGGTAACGAAGTTTTCGTCCCAAATGACAGATTCTCCATACTCTCGCCACGGCGCTAGCGAGTCCCTCGCCGAGCTGAAACCTTCTCGCAAATCTTTGACACTGGCAGCGAAACTCGAGCATCCTGTGTCCTTTTGAGGCACCGTGAACGATCGGAACTCCGAGGGTTGCGAAACGCGAGGCGACAGGAGGTGCGACAGGCGAGAGTAGGATGTTCCCGCGGGCGACAGACTCGTGTGCGAAATACCACGCGGCGAAACCGCACTGGCGATAAAAGACGACAGAACGGACCGACCGGGCTGGGACGAAATACCCGATAAGTTGAAGTTACCACTAACGTCATTAGGGTTTCTGCTGCTGCTTCTATCCAAATCAATGCTGCTGCCACAGCCAAAACTGCTGTTACTACTACCACTGCCACTGATGCTTCTGCTGCTGCCGTTCCCTCCGTGGTTTGCGTTACCCCTGTGATTGACGGCGATAGAGCTGCTATAAGTGAAGTTGCAATTCCCAGCGCTCGTCCTAACTTGCGGCGACGCCAACAGCGTTTGCGACAGACGCGATTGGATCCGAGGCGTTGCAGCCGAACTCGACGGCTGGGGCTGTTGATTCCAACGACCGAGGCTGCTACTACGGCGAGTATCCTTATTACCACTTGGAGTATTAGTACTTGAACCATTAATACTTGAACTATCAGAACTTAAACTTGATCTAGGGGACTGGATTCCATGTGATGATGGTTCCGTTGGCCTCGTTCCAGGACGCTGCACCAGAGGAGCAATCATCCCAGACTCGAAGCTTCCGCCTCCCTTGCCGATGCTGCCAACGATTCCGCGTAGATCTGCGCTGCCGCTTCGCCGTACACGCATGGGAAGTTTCTGACCGTTGATCTTGCTAACGTTTCCCATTTCTCCAGCGGGTTCGTTCCCCCGGCTGCTGACGCCGTCAACGCCTGCGGCTTCTCCGGATCCCCACTTCCCCCCGCTCGCTCTCCCGAGTGCTCCGCCGTTGCTTACGAGCCGCACATTCACGTCAATTCGCGCGGCAATGGAAGGGGTTTGGACCGGAGAATCGAGCCGCGAAAGCGAACGCGCGCGTTGGTGGCCTGCGGCGGCGCGCTGTTGCGAGTTCATCTCCGCGGCGTGCGCGCGCGGCGTCGCTTGCGCGCTTCGTCCTTGCGCCGCTTGCGGAAGCTCATGCCCACGCGAATCCCGCTTCCCCCATGGACCCTCGTGGTTTGACGCAAGGGGACTGTTGCAAGCGCTCGAACCGCGACTGTCCATACTCAATCTGCTGTCTATTCCGGAACGTCTTTCGCTTCCTAAATTGCTCAGTGCGGGCGCAAACCCGCGACGCGGCGGGAGGCCTCTGGGAGTAGACGACGCGCTGCCACTGCGGCTTCCCCCGCAGCTTCCCCCGCTGCTTCTCGGACTGCATCCTCCGCTGTTGCTAATACCGCGAGGTGACGTCAGCGGGCTGCGCTGCTGACTCGGCGGCGGTTGTCGACGTGGCAACTGCAGCCGCGGGTCCTCGCCAGTGGAATGGCGACGCTTGGGGAGTTGGAGGCGAGGCGCGTCGAGCGAGTGGCGGCGCGCGTGATGCGCGGGTAGGCTCACTTGTGACTGTAACGAAGCCTTCAGTAAGGAGCCTCTTTGAGATGCTACTAGCTGCAATTGACGGTTTACCGGTGGATTCACAGCAGGTGGGCCACGACACCTCGCGGAATCCCGGCTGTTCGCGGAGTCTTGGTTTGCGAAATCCCAGCCCGTGGTAACATTGTTACTGCTGCCGTCGGCAACACTGCTGCTGCTGCTGCTGCTGCCAGTAGGATATCTGTACATAGGGATGTCCCCCTCGTTAAAAGAACCCGTCACTCCAGGGTATTCCACTTCCGACATGCTCATATGCCTCCGCTAGGCATCATTCGTGTTCGCACTTGCCGTCCCACGTCGCCGTTACTCGCGCCTGGGAACGAACATGAGCCCCTGGGTGTTGCCGAAGCTAAGCTTGTCGGTGTTGACGAACCCGTGCCGCGGCTTAGTGTTGACGAGCCTGAGCTTCTTGGTGTTGACGAGCCGCGTTTCGGTGACGAGTTTCCGTCTCCTCCCCAATCCCGCCCACCTTGCTGCCGCGGCATGATTCCACGCGGGGAGCGGGCGCACGCGGCGGCGGCGCCAACCTGGCGCACTGCACATGACAAGCGCGCAGCGGCGCCAGGTGCCTGATTTTCCGCGACCTCATGCTCAAATGAGTCACGGAAATCCCCGTCATGAAAATCCTTGTTATTGTTTTCGTGCTCGCCGACTTGAAACTCGGTGTCCCGAATATTAGCATAGAGATCAGGTATCGTCAGGGAAGGAATCCGAGCACTCGAGGTTCGTAACTCGGCCCTGGACCCCGCGACTCCATAGTCGCTGTTTGTACGGTGCACGTCCAGCATGCTCGCACGAGGGAGACTGTCTTTCTGTGAGGTAATAGAAATTATCTACGCTGAGACGCGGTACGCTAATTCGCTGGTGAATAATGAGTTTATACAGCGTCGGCTGCATAGAGCTTTGAAATCAGCGAAGCGATTTCACAACGTCGTTTTCACAAAACCCAAGTCTGGAACTCTCAAGTGAAGATTAGTATGATTCGAGGCGAGACGAGGAGATGTCGAGTAGAGAGGAGTGGATGGTGAGACGAGACGAGACGAGACGAGACGAGACTAGACGAGCGAGGCTGATTGGAGGGAAGATATTATTATCCACAATCTGTACAATTGATGCCCAACCAGTGCACGCGAATTTGCCTTGCGCCGGATGGAAACGCTGCACCCGAGGTTGTTTCCCCAGCCTGTTGCTCCCACGTTATAAGCGCGTCGCGTGGTTATCAACCAATAGTAACGAACAGACCGAGGTCAAGCAGAAGAGACTGAAGTCAAATAAGGTAACAGATCTTGTTTATAAGCACCTGCGAATCCTTTTTAGCTAGCTGCGAATTGACGAAACTTATGCGACATGCTCGTTACAGCTTATACGCCCCCTTCACAAGGCAACCGGGAGGGGCTCAAACAGGCATCAATTGTACAGAGCAGCGCTGCAAAATCGTGTTTCGCGGAACCTATCGACCACTATCCACCATGCCGCCTTGCCGCGGGAGGCTAGTTTTAAATCTCACACCTGAAAGATCAGACAGGCAGGTGAACGCCCAGTCGACGACAGGCAGAAATCACGAACGAGCTGGAATGATATGATCGGACTCCACGCGACGATGACACACAACACAACACGGGCCATGGCTTGTGTACAGAGTGCCGCAGGCGTGCAACAGAAAGTATCTGACGCCTAACGACAAAGCTCGCCAACAAGGGGGTGACCTCCAGGTCGCTTTCAGCTCGTACCGATCCTGATTTCGTTTGGTTTGTTTCCTTGCTTCCGAAGGGACTTCGGGAGCAACTAGGCATGTGACAGGCTAATTCGTTTCTTTGGATACGCCCTTCACCATAAAGAGGGGAACCGGGTCTTGGAGGGGGACAGGAAGAAAACTACACCCTAATGCTCACTCAACCGCCCACTCTGAACACGCCCACTGCCACTCCATACGCCCAGTGGTCGACATTCACAGCCAACGGCCCGCGCGTTACTAGCCCACGACAAAACTAAGATATTCTTGACCTCGAATAAGTTATTCGAGTTTCCCAGACAAGACACGCTGGGCTACCCAGATACAGTCCCATTCTCCCCGTAGCGAGCGCGTGCTCGAAAGAGGAGCACAGAGAAAGATGGGGAACGGGACTGACATGGGCATCAGGTGTATGCATCACCGACTCGCGCGATGCGGGATGGTGTGGAATCACAGAACTCAGGCCGCCTCGAGCCTTGATTAATGCGGACCTGAGGCGTGTTTTTCGTGCCACTCTCACCGCCATTCCAGTTGATGCCTGTTTGAGCCCCTCCCGGTTGCCTTGTGAAGGGGGCGTATAAGCTGTATCGTGCATTTCGCATAATTTTCGTCAATTCGCAGCTAGCTAAAAAGGATTCGCAGGTGCTTATATTAAGTATCTGTAACCTTATCCGTTGACATTTTGACTTCAGTCTCTTTAGTTTGACTTCGGTCTGTTCGTTACTATTGGTCCATAACCACGCGACGCGCTTGTATCGTGGGTGCAACAGGCTGGGGAAAAGACCTCGGGTGCAGCATTTCCATCCGGTGCAGGGCAAATTCGCGTGCACTGGTTGGGCATCATGTGTAGTGCACGTGGTTTGACTGGCTGACTGAAAGGGGGGGACCTTCCAATCCAATCCAGAGTTTCGGGCAGAAGCCCTTCCGGGGGGCCTATTGTTGAGCATGTGGGCAGCTGCGGCCAGAGGACTCAACTCAACCACCCTAAAAATCTTGGAGCCAAGACCCCCTTGTTCGTATTGGGTGTGAACAGTGTTCCGGCCAGTCATCGCGAGACCCGCTAATGGGTAGCGCATTCATGTCCCGCAAAACCGAGACAGCATGAATCTAAAAATAACCTTAACAATTATTGTCAGCCAAGAATGAAAAACACAAGAAATTGTTCGGCAATGCCATTCGGTCGTTTGCGGTAGTTTTCTCTACCTTTTGTACAAATAAGGAGTGCAAGGCCACAAGTGTGTCATCAAGCTTCTGCACGCTTTGTTCAATACGGCAAATTGCCCCTGAACCATTGAACAATTTATTCGTTCCCCTTCCTCCCCCATTACCATATCAGAGGGAAACAAAATCAATTTGAAAACAATTTTGTGTGGTAACGAGACAAGGGGCCCCTGGTCTACCATCTGAGTGAATATGGTACATTTCGGAAGCATTTTGAACCCATCCGTCCCATCCTCACATTATACAGCATTGTTCATGGCCTAGAGAGTGCCTTGTTCATGGCCTAGAGAGTGCCTTGTTCATGGCCTAGAGAGTGCCTTTTTCATGGCCTAGAGAGTGCCTTGCTCATGGCCTAGAGAGTGCTTTGCTCATGGCATAGAGAGTGCTTTGCTCATGGCATAGAGAGTGCCTTGCTTATGGCATAGAGAGTGTTTTGCTCATGGCATAGATAATGCTTTGCTCATGGCATAGAGAGTGCCTTGCTCATGGCATAGAGAGTGCTTTGCTCATGGCATAGAGAGTGCTTTGCTCATGGCATAGAGAGTGCCTTGCTCATGGCATAGAGAGTGCTTTGCTCATGGCCTAGAGAGTGCCTTGTTCATGGCCTAGAGAGTGCGTTGTTCCTGGCGTAGAGAGTGCCTTGCTCATGGCCTAGAGAGTGCCTTGTTCATGGCCTAGAGAGTGCCTTGTTCATGGCGTAGAGAGTGCCTTGCTTATGGCATAGAGAGTGCTTTGCTCATGGCCTAGAGAGTGCCTTGTTCATGGCCTAGAGAGTGCGTTGTTCCTGGCGTAGAGAGTGCCTTGCTCATGGCCTAGAGAGTGCCTTGTTCATGGCCTAGAGAGTGCCTTGTTCATGGCGTAGAGAGTGCCTTGCTCATGGCCTAGAGAGTGCCTTGTTCATGGCGTAGAGAGTGCCTTGCTCATGGCCTAGAGAGTGCCTTGCTCATGGCCTAGAGAGTGCCTTGTTCATGGCCTAGAGAGTGCCTTGTTCATGGCGTAGAGAGTGCCTTGCTCATGGCCTAGAGAGTGCTTTGCTCATGGCATAGAGAGTGCTTTGCTCATGGCATAGAGAGTGCCTTGCTCATGGCATAGAGAGTGCTTTGCTCATGGCATAGAGAGTGCTTTGCTCATGGCATAGAGAGTGCCTTGCTCATGGCATAGAGAGTGCTTTGCTCATGGCATAGAGAGTGCTTTGCTCATGGCATAGAGAGTGCCTTGCTCATGGCATAGAGAGTGCTTTGCTCATGGCCTAGAGAGTGCCTTGTTCATGGCCTAGAGAGTGCGTTGTTCCTGGCGTAGAGAGTGCCTTGCTCATGGCATAGAGAGTGCTTTGCTCATGGCCTAGAGAGTGCCTTGTTCATGGCCTAGAGAGTGCGTTGTTCCTGGCGTAGAGAGTGCCTTGCTCATGGCCTAGAGAGTGCCTTGTTCATGGCCTAGAGAGTGCCTTGTTCATGGCGTAGAGAGTGCCTTGCTCATGGCCTAGAGAGTGCCTTGCTCATGGCCTAGAGAGTGCCTTGCTCATGGCATAGAGAGTGCCTTGTTTATGATCTAGAGAGCGAGACATAGTGCAGTAATCGCCACTGTGTTGCCGGGCTCTGAAGAGCAGCAGCAACGGGAGGAGGATAACACCGTTGATATCATGAGGCCGTGTTCATGGTCTAGAGTGCATGCCTTGTTTATGGTCTAGAGAGTGAAACGTAGTGCAGTAAACGCCACTGTGTTGCCGGGCTCTGAGTAGGAGCAACAGCAAAGGGAGGAGGATAACACCATAGGCAGTAGCAGCAATGAGGGTATAGAACAAAGGAGATATTAACAGGGAAATAGCGAAACTATGAAGAGCCAACGATCGTTCCTTTTGAAGTCCGCTCGTGATACTCGTACAATATGATAGGATCTAATAAATGCATTTTGAAGTGCTGTACTCACCAGGTCATCAAGGTCTACAGTGAAATCACAGTCCCTCGTTTGCCATGCGCCCAGCACTGCTCTTAGACGACTTTTGAGGCAACTCAAAACAGGAGACAGCTTTTTTAGGCGCCTAAAAAGGTGACTCACCAGGTCATCAAGGTCTATGGTGAGGTCTGAGTCCCTCGATGTGACCTTTGAGTCGACTCAAGACTCACCTCCTTACTACTGCACTCACTCACCAGGTCATCAAGGTCTATGGTTAAGTCTGAGTCCCTTATTCGCCGTGCCCCCCGCGCTGCTCTCACTGCTGCTCCACCGCCTGCTCTTGTTGCTCCACCGCCTGCTCTTGTTGCTCGTTCACCTATGCCCGATTGACCACCCCTCCCACACTCCTCCCCTTGCCCACCCCTTGCTGCTGCTCTGTCCCCCGCGCCGGTTGCTCCTCCTACTCCTGCTTTCGCTGTTGCATCTGCTGCGGATGCTGCTCCTGCTGTTCCTCGTACTGCTGCTCCTGCTCCTGCTCCTCCTATGACTCCCAAGTCTGCTTCCAGATTGCCAGCTTCCGAATCACCACCCATCGTGCAATCAATCATGCCATCTTCCACCATCCCCTCATGAACAGTGCCACAGCCATGGTTGCTACCTCTTCCATGAACAGCAGCGCTGTCATAATCAGTAACTTTGCCATCTGCCACACCCACACACATCCCCTCCTCTAGGTCACCCTTACACTCTACATCACCTTTCTCTCCTAACTTAGAAACGCCTTGCGGTTGCTCAGGTTTCATCTCCCTCTCTCCCCCCCTCTCCTCTCCCTTTTTATCCTCTCCCCCTGTCTCCGCTCCTCCCTTATCCTGTGTTCCCCTTCCCTCTCCCCCTTTCTCCTCCCTATCCTTCTCTGCACCCTCCCTTCCCCTCGTCTCCTCTTCCCTCGCTCCCTCCCTTTCTTCCCTCTCCCTCTCATCCCTCTCCCTCTCCTCCCTCTCCCTCTCCTCCCGTTCCTCCCGTTCCTCCTGTTCCTCAATAATCTCGAGCAGCCTCGCCATGGCGTTGGGCTTTAACCGTCGCATGCCCCGTCCCAGCCTCCGCACCTCCTCTGGTGTCATGGGTCTGGATGGTAAGTGCGTGTGAGAGGGAGGAAGCAAGGGGAGGAAGCAAGGGGAGGAAGCAAGGGGAGGAAACAAGGGGAGGAAGCAACAGGGCTTCCCAATGATCTCCAGCAGTCTCGCCATGGCGTTGGGCTCTAACTGTCGCATTCCCCTGCCCAGCCGCCTTACTTCCTCTGGTGTCATGGGTCTGGATGGGAGAAAAAGGAAGGGAGGAAGCAAGAGGGCTCCTCAATGGATCTCCAGCAGTCTCGCCATGGCGTTGGGTTTCTTTTGAGTCGACTCAAAAGGCGTTGGGCTTCAATTCAGCCATCGCATGCCCCTGCCCCGCCTCACGTGTCATGGGTCTGAATTGGGGGAAGGAAGTGAATGGGAGGAAGGGAAAGGGTAAGAGGAAGGGAGGAAGCAAGAGGGGTCCCCAATGATCTCCAGCAGTCTCGTCATGCCATTGGGCTTCAGCCTTTGCAGCCGAACCAACTGTTGATCCACATGGGGACGTGTGACGAAGGAGAGAGGAGGGCAGTGGGGCTTACCGGCAGAGCGGAGCGATGGAGTCCCTGAGCTCAAGAAGCTGCTGATCTGATCCACATGGGATGTCTGAAGCAGCAGAGAGGCGCAGTGGACCATTATCGCTTGACGCCTTGAACCTAGTGAGCGGCTCGCCTCCCCCATCTCGCCAGAAAACGGTGGGTGAGGCAACTTGGCTTACCGGCAGAGCGGAGCGATGGAGTCCCTGAGCTCAAGCAGCTGCTGATCTGATCCACGTGGGATGTCTGAAACAGCAGACAGGGGCAGGTCGCCTTCCCCACATCATGAGCAGACACACAGGTAGGCACCTTGGCTTGACATACCGGCAGAGCGGAGCGATGGAGTCTCTGAGCTCAAGCAGCTGCTGATCCACGTCGGAAGTCTGATGGCAGTGGCACAGAGAAAGGCAGCAGCCCAGTGGAAAGCGTCTACTCGTCCCACTCTCACCAGCAGGAAAGCTGACCAGGAGGCACCTCGGCATGCTTACCGGCAGAGCGGGGTGATAGAGTCCCTGATCTCAAGCAGCTGCTGGTCCACATGGGATGTCTGGAGCAGCACAGAGTGGCGAGGGGTGCCGGGCCTTGGCTTACCGGCAGAGCGGAGCGATAGAGTCCCTGAGCTCAAGCAGCTGCTGATCCACATGGGATGTGGGAAGAAGCAGAGGGAGGCAGCAGCATCACTGGAAGAGAGCGCATACCCTCGTCTCACGCTCACACGCACAGGAATTAGCGCCCCACTTACCGGCAGAGAGGGGAGATGGAGTGCCTGAGCTCAAGCAGCTGCTGATCCACATGGGATGTCTGAAACAGCAGAGAGGGGCAGTGAACCGCCTTGCACCTAGAGAGAGCGGCTCCCCTCCCTCATCTCACATGCAGTGCAGACAGTAAGGCAACCTGGCTTGGCTGGCTTACCGGCAGAGTGGGGCGATGGAGTCTCGCAGCTCAAGCAGCTGCTGATCCACATGGGATGTCTGAAGCAGCAGAGAGGGGGGACAGAGGGGATGGGATAAGAGGTTTGGGCTGATGTGAGGGGGGGAGGGCGGATGGACGGCTGATGTGAGAGGGAGGGAGGGTGGATGGACGGCTGATGTGAGAGGGAGGGAGGGTGGATGGACGGCTGATGTGAGAGGGAGGGAGGGTGGTTGGACGGCTGCTTGTCCCTCCCTTTCTCTCCCTCTCCCTTCCTTTTCACCTCTGCTGCTATCTGCCTTACACGCCCATACATTGCTGCTTCCTCGGCCTCTGCCTTCACTCCACCCGCACATCAACCCCAGTGATCGAAGCTCCCACCTCTTCGCACTCTTCCTTCAGCTCTACTCACCTCGGCTACTATATGTCTTGCACGGCCATCCATCGCTGCTTTCTCTGCCTCTGCCTTCACCCGACTCTCACATCAACCCCAATGATCAGAGCTCCCACTCACCTCTTCGCCCTCTTCCTTCAGCTCTACATCTACTCACCTCTGCAGCTATCTGCCTCGCACGCCCATCCACTGCTGCTTCTTCTGCCTCTGCCTTCACTCAAAATCCCCTGACCTAGCTCTTACTCTGGTAAACTGACATCAACCTCCCATCGGCTGCTACTTGCCTGCTCCCTCTCTTCCTCCCAACTCTTCTCACCTCAGCGGCTATCTGTCTCGCACGACCGTCCATTGCTGCTTCCTCCGCCTCTGCCTTCACCCGACTCTCAAATGCCTGCAGCTGCTCCTCCTCCGTGCGCCTTCTCTTCTCCTGCAATGGATGGAATCAGGGTAGACCCAACAGCTGCATGTAAGCATACTCAGTAGCAGCCTACTCTCGGCCTCTGCCTTCACCCGCCTCTCAAACGCCTGTAGCTGCTCCTCCTCCGTGCGCCGCCGTTTTTCCTCAGATAGGTGGGTTGCGGCTATTATTGAATATAAGGATGTTACTGCTAACACATCCAGTAAATTCTCATATATTTAAAAAAACGACCAGTTTTAAGAAGTATCGAAACCGACTTGGCCCCAACTCATCTCACCTCCTCTTGTATTCTCGGCAGCATCACAGCTTGCCACTTCTCCTCGAATCGGTCCGAGAGAGCCTGGGCCATGAGGTATACCTGGGGAGGTGGTATGGGAGGACGAATGGGAGGGTGGGTGGGTGGATGGGATGGGTGGGTGGATGGGATGGGAGGGTGGATGGGGGGATGGAGGTGGTTTTTGTGTCGACTGTAGAATGAATCCCGGCGCCATCACAGAGCCTGGGCCATGAGGTTCACCTGAGGAGGTGGGATGGGAGAGGATGAATGGGAGGGTGGGAGGGTGGATGGGATGGGTGGGTGGATGGGATGGGTGGGTGAATGGGCAAAATGGCATGGATGGGCAGATGGCATGGATGGGCAAAATGGCATGGATCGGCCAAATGGCATGGATGGGAGAATCGGTGGACAGGACACCTATTCACCACAAACCTTTCTCACTCCTCACAACAACCCCCTTTCACTCCTCTCAGCACCCTCTCATTCCCCTCAACCACCTCTCACTCCAGCCCATTAAACATCATCGCACTTGCAAACACCAGCCATGCATACAAGCTACAGTATGCAAGCATGCACTCACCTCACTGACCGCACTCAATCTCATCTCACTCCCCCCAACCACCTCTCACCTCTGACCTTGGTCTATTAACCTTCATCGCATTTGCAAACACCAGCTGCATGTCCGCTGCAATCCCGAATCACTCCCATGCACCAGCTCCCACTCCTCGCAATGCCCTCTCACTCCTTTCAACCCCCGCTCACCTCTGATCCCGGTCCATTGTACTTCATGGCATTAGCAAACACCAGCCGCACGTCCCTGGCCACCTCTGTCACGTGACTATAATGAGGGGGCTGCGATGCAGCAGCAGCAGCATCAGATGCGCCGGCTGCACCAGCAGTAGTTTCTGCTTCTCCTGCTGCTTCTTTCGCCTCTTCTCCCAATTTTCCCTCACTTGCCCCGTCCGCACGCGTGGCAGCGAGTGATTGGACGAGGTGGGAGCGGATGGTGCCCAGGTCCATGGGTTCGCTGATGATTTCATGGTAGTCGGGCAGACCTAAACTTTCCGCGTCCACAGGCTCGGCAAACACCCACCCGAACCTGTGCTTCAGAAGCTGCCAGGAAGGGGGGAGAGAAGGTAAGCGGGCAGAGAGGCTCGACCAACACTAACGAACCTGTGCTTTAGTAGCTGCCACGTAGGAACGGGTGAGATGGCATAAGAGGGGCAGAGGGACATGGGAACCGCACAGCACCACAAAGTACCGCAGAGCACCGCTCACCTGCTTCACGATGCTGCCTGCTCGCTGCAGCATGTCAGCCATTCTCTTTGCTCTCACCCTCGCCACCCTCCCCCTCTCCTCCCTCTCGCTTCATCCCCCCACGCCCAGGCCTTTCTCCCCTCGCCACCCATACAATACCACACAGTACCACACATCACCGCTCACCTGCTTCACGATGCTGCCTGCTCGCTGCAGCATGTCAGCCATTCTCTTTGCTCTCACCCTCGCCACCCTCCCCCCCTCCTCCCTCACTGCCGGATTCATCCACCCCCGTACGTAGCCCCCTCTCGCCTCACCACCCATCAGCACCGCACAGCACGAGACAGCAACCCTCAGCACCACACAGCAACGCACAGCACCGCTCACCTGCTTCACAATGCTGCCTGCGCGCTGCAGCATGTCAGCTGTTCTCTTAGCTCTCACCCTCGCCACCCTCCCCCCCCCCCCTCCTCCCTCACTGCCCGTTCAACTCTCCCCCCTCATCCCCCACACCTCCCCAGCTATCCACCTCTCCCCTCAGCACCGCACAGCACCACACAGCACCGCAAATCAACGCACAGCACCGCTCACCTGCTTCACAATGCTGCCTGCTCGCTGCAACATGTCAGCCATTCTCTTTGCTCTCACCCTCGCCACCCTCCCCCCCTCCTCCCTCACTGCCCGTTCAACTCTTCCCCCCCCCCCTGCCCACATTCCCCACCCCAGCTATCCAACTCCCCTCTCAGCACCGCACAACACCACACAGCACTGCACAGTACCATATGGTACCATACAACACCGCACAGTACCGCGCATCACCGCTCACCTGCTTAACGATGCTGCCTGCTCGCTGCAGCATGTCAGCCATTCTCTTTGCTCTCACCCTCGCCACCCTCCCCCCCTCCTCCCCCACTGCCCGCTTCACTCCCCCATGCCCCACACTTCCCCAGCTATCTCCCCCTTCCCTCAGAACCGCACAGCACCACACATCACTGCACAGTCCCATACCGTACCGCACAGCACCGCTCACCTGCTTCACGATGCTGCCTGCTCGCTGCAGCATATCAGCAATCCTCTTTGCTCTCAGCCTCGCCACCCTTTCCCCCTCCTCCCTCACTGCCCGCTTCACCCCCCCCATGCCTAGCCCCCCCAGCCCCACTCCCCCAGCAATACCCCCTCCCCCCCCCGCTGCTGCTGCTGCTATCACAGCATTCATATGTTGCTCGTGAGCCTGCTCCTGCTGCTGCTGCTGCTGCTGCTGCTGCTGCTGCTGCTGCTGCTGCTGCTGGTGACCCTGTTTCTGCTGCTGCTGCTGCTGCTGGTTCTGGTGGGTTTGCTGCTGCTGCTGTTGCTTCTTTTGCTCCTGACGATGCACCTGCTGCTGCTGTTCCTTCCCTCCTGGTCCCCTGCTCCTCCTCCGAACGTCCCTCAGCTGAGCCAATGCTGCTGCCTGCCGCTCCAACTGGTACAGGGAAGCGGGATGGGAGGAAACGAGCTCAAAGACGTGCATACCCCCCTCCCCTCCCCCTGCTCCTCCTCCGCACGTCCCTCAGGTGGGCCAATGCTGCTGCCTGCCGCTCCAACTGGCGCTCCAATCAGGATTGGGGGGGAAGGGAGGGGAAGGGACGGGGAGTAAGGAGAGGAATGAGTGGGGGAAGGGAGAAGGCGTGGAGGAACGTTAAATCCCGTCCATGGCCTCCCCTCCTCCCCTGGTCCCCTGCTCCTCCTCGTTCGCGCGATCCTCAGCTGGGCTTTTCTTTTTGAGACGTCTCAGAATTTCACTTTTTACACGTGGCCCCTCCTCCCTCCCCTGGTACTTTGCTGCTCCTCCTCCGCACGTCCCTCAGCTGGGCTAAGGCTGCTGCTGCCTGCCGCTCCAACTGGCAGGGGAGCAGGAGGGGAGGGAAAGGGTTTTCTAGAGTTGGGATGAGGAGAGGGGTAAGAGACCCAAGAGGTCCCCTCTTGCCCCCTCTCTGCTCCTCCTCCGCACGTCCCTCAGCTGGGCTAAGGCTGCTGCTGCCTGCCGCTCCAACTGGCAGGGGAGCAGGAGGGGAGGGAAAGGGTTTTCTAGAGTTGGGATGAGGAGAGGGGTAAGAGACCCAAGAGGTCCCCTCTTGCCCCCTCTCTGCTCCTCCTCCGCACGTCCCTCAGCTGGGCTAAGGCTGCTGCTGCCTGCCGCTCCAACTGGCAGGGGAGCAGGAGGGGAGGGAAAGGGTTTTCTAGAGTTGGGATGAGGAGAGGGGTAAGAGACCCAAGAGGTCCCCTCTTGCCCCCTCTCTGCTCCTCCTCCGCACGTCCCTCAGCTGGGCTAAGGCTGCTGCTGCCTGCCGCTCCAACTGGCAGGGGAGCAGGAGGGGAGGGAAAGGGTTTTCTAGAGTTGGGATGAGGAGAGGGGTAAGAGACCCAAGAGGTCCCCTCTTGCCCCCTCTCTGCTCCTCCTCCGCACGTCCCTCAGCTGGGCTAAGGCTGCTGCTGCCTGCCGCTCCAACTGGCAGGGGAGCAGGAGGGGAGGGAAAGGGTTTTCTAGAGTTGGGATGAGGAGAGGGGTAAGAGACCCAAGAGGTCCCCTCTTGCCCCCTCTCTGCTCCTCCTCCGCACGTCCCTCAGCTGGGCTAAGGGCTGCTGCCTGCCGCTCCAACTGGCACAGGGAAGAGGGAGGGGAGGAAACGAAAAGGGTTGAGGATTAGGAGTTAGTACGGATTAGGAAGTCTCGAGATATCCATAGCCCCTCCCCTCCCCTTACCCCTCCGCACATCCCTCAGCTGAGCCAATGCTGCTGCCTGCCGTTCCAACTAAAACGGGGAGCGTAGAAAGGGAGGTTGAGGGTGGGAATACAGGTTACCCGACTAAACAAATCTAATGATTATGAAAGTATGTGTAAAAACAACGATCCGCGTAAGAAACGATGTGTAAAAAAACCAATAATGTGACAGAAGTTGCGGCAAAAGCATAGGTTGGAAAAGGGAAATATTGAGGGGGTGGGGAATGGGGTGAGCAAGTGGGCAGCTCAGATCTTCCACCACAGATGTGAGTTGGTCTATCCTGTGCTTTGATGCAACTAAGGAGGTAACTAAAAAGGCGCTCACATTAGTTAAAGCGCAATAAACTCACATCTTCCACCACGGAAGTGAGTTGGTCCAGTTTCCTCTTCAGCTCCTTCTTTGACTGCTGCTGCTGTAATGCGTACTCGGCTTCTTGCTGCTGCTGCTGTAGGTTCTGCTGCTGCTGCTGCTGTTGATTCTGCTGCTGCTGTTGCTGCTGCTGCTGCTGCTGCTGCTGCTGCTGCTGCTGCTGCTGCTGCTGCTGCTGCTGCTGCTGCAACTGTAACTGCTGCTGCTGCTGGTTCTGCTGCTGTAATGGAAGGTCTGGTGGGTGCTGCTGCTGCAGCTTATGTCGGTGTTGCAAGGTGTATGGTGACTGCTGATGTTGCTCCGGCTGATGATACACCTGCTGCTGCTGCTCCTGATGCTGCTGCTGTAATGGTTGGTCTGATGGGTGCTGCGATGGCTGCTGCTGCAGCTTATGCCGGTGTTGCAAGGTGTAAGGTGACTGCTCCTGCTGATGCTGCTGATGCTGCTGCTGCTGTTGATGCTGCTCCTCTTGATGCCGATGCTGCTGCTGCAGCTTATGCCGGTGTTGCAAGGTGTATGGTGACTGCTCCTGCTGATGCTGCTGCTGCGGCTGTTGAAGCTGAAGTGGGTAGTGAGGAGAATGATACTGCGACTGGTGTTGAGTCTGGTATTGCGACAGCTGCTGAGACGAATAATGTGACAACGGAAACCGATGCGACTGGTTGTGCGACTGATTGTGCAACTGTGAGTGATTGCTTCCAATCGTAACCCCCCCTGCACCTGACACCCCCCCATGCCGTCCGCCGCCTGTCCCTGCGCCACGTGGCATGTTCTGCAACAGGCCACGTGGCATCATGTGCTGCGCCGGCTGCGGCGCAAGGGAAGCTGGGGGAGGGGCAGGTGGGACCGTGGGGTTGGAGGAAGGCGCGAGGGGGTGAGGGTGTGAGGTGGGATGGGGAGGGCGGAGGAATGCGGGAGTGTGGGGGGATGAGGGAGTGCCGAGCCATATGCGTGCGGAGGAGGAGGGTGCGCGGAGGCAAAACGGTGCGCGGAGGGGGATGTGTGCGCGGGGGCGGTGGAGGGGTGCACAGCGGCGGAGGCGTGCGGGGGAAGGTACGCGGAGGAGACCCCTTGAGGCATGTGAGTGAAGGAATATATTAGAGAGCGTAGCGATAGCGAGAGAGTCTCTGCTATGGGAATGATGTTGCGCCAGCAACTTGGTAGAGTTTTGGTAGCGTTTGCCTCTAAGGACTTTGTGAAAATTGAAGTAGCATTTGGGCCAAGTAGAATTGCAATATCAATTATCAAACACACAAGCAAACACAAACATATATAGGCAAGCAAGAGTTGCACAATTGTTGCGTGGCGCTGCGAGTAACCCAACCCACACGAAAGTGCTGTGCAGGTGGGTGAACGCGCCCCGCACATTTCCAACCCAACTCGGCACCGGAATGTCTCACCGTGCACGCTACTCCTGCCAACACAGCAAGTGAGCAGCGTGCCTCACAAGCAAGGCACCTACGACCCCCAAGACTCGTCATTCCTAGCACCGATTCCGCCGAGTTCGCTGCAGTAGCTCACAGTCACCCGTAGTCACTAATGACCGCCACCGAACTCGTGCGTCGGTGCCGAGTAGACTCAGTCGTTAGGCGCCGACCTGCCAAGTCAAAGGTCATCGAGGGCCCTTGCTGTCGTAGGGCCCTCTAACACTCCCCTGCCATACTACAGCAAGGCCCTTTATAATCACAGGGCATGCATACACACATACACACCAAAACAAAGGGATACACACAAACGAAACACGCTCAAAGTGTAAACACGCACCGCACCAGCCATGGATAGGCCATGGCACCATCCACATCATGGAGTGTCTAGGTCTCACTCCCCTCGCTCGAGAGCCGCACCTGCCCCACAGCCTCGAAGCAACGACTGAAGGCGGGGAAATGCAATGCCTTTGTGAGGTAGTCAGCAGGCTGCTCGCTCGTAGGGATGTACTGCAGCTGCAGCTTCCTGCGCTTGACCATGTGCTGCAGCCACATGTGACGACGCTCCATGTGCTTGAGGCTCCCCTTGAGCCCCATGCCACCTGCCACTGAAATGGCGGAGGAGTTGTCCACAAAGAGAGTCGTGGGCTCCTCACTCCTCAGCAGTTGAAACTCTGCCAGCAGGAAGCGCAGCCTGCGCGCCTCCTTCCCAGCCTCCACAGCAGCAACGTACTCAGACTCAGTGGAGGAAAGGGTGGCGCAACGAATCCGCTGGCTCGCCCATGAGACAGCAGCACCCCCGAGCACGAAGACATAGCCACCTGTGCTGGTCCTGTTCTGCTTGTCCCCTGCATCATCAGCATCGGCGTAGCCCACCAGCTCCAAGGACTCCGGCCCACCACCAAACTCCAGCGCCACATCCCTGCTCCCCACCAAGTACGTCAAGCACCGGTCCAACTCCTTCCAGTGCTGATCACTCCGCACAGTCTGGCCCGACCCCAGCTTGCTGCAGGCGAACGAGATGTCGGGACGGGTGGTACAGGCCGCGAACTGCAAGGATCCCACCTTCTGCCTGTACTCCTCCTCCTGGCGAGACTGCCATCCCACATCCTCGAAGGTCTGCACACTGAAAGGGTCAGAGGAAAGAGGGGTGCGAGGCACTCGCAGCGGCTGCTCCCCGTCAAAGAAGCGCCTATGGACCTTGTCCACATAGGCCCCCTGGTGCAGCCACAGCCTCCTCGTGGGCCTGTCCCGAATCAGCTGCAACCCCAGATATTTCTCCACAGGGCTAATCTCCCGCAGCTGAAAGGCACTCTGCAGCAGGTCACGCAGCTCCGCTAGCATGCTCTGACTGCGGCTGACAGCAAGCAGGTCATCCACATACACCAGCAGCCAGCACATCTCCCCCTCAGCATCAGTCTTGAAGTACAGAGCCTCATCCACCTTGCTCTTCTTCCATCCAGCCCCAAGCAGCACCCCATCCAAGGCCTCATACCATAGCATCGGGCTCTGCTTGAGCCCATACAGACTCTTCACCAACTTACAGATACGAGGAGTCCCATCCTCGTAGTAGCTCGGCTGCTCCATGTAAAGGTCTCGGTCCAGCACGCCATGGAGGAACGCGTTCTTCACATCGAGCTGCATCAGGTCCAAATCAAGTGCAGCTGCAATCGCCAGAAGCACACGCGCCGTCACATAGCTTCCCACAGGGGCGTACGTCTCCTCATAGTCCACCCCTGCCACCTGCGTGAACCCCTTCACCACCAGCCTCGCCTTCTCACGCTCCACTATCCCATCAGGTCGGAACTTGGTGTTCAAAATCCAGCGGTTCTTCATCACATTCACCCCTGGCGGACGCGGAACCAACTCCCACGTCCCCTGCTCAATCAAGCTCCGCATCTCCTCATCCATCGCCTCCTTCACCTTGTCTCCCTTCCAGCAGCCCAAGGCCTCCTTCACTGTCATTTTCGCTATGTCCCACTGCCTCTCAGGATCAGCTGCCACGTCCGGGTCCAGGTTAGTCCACTCCTCGTCCTCCTCCTCGTCATCCAAGCCCGCTGGCTCAACCACTACAGCCCAAGCGTATCGAACAGGCGGGACACCACGAGTGATGCGAGTGGAGCAACGCAGTGGTGCAGTGGTCGTCCCAGAAACCAACACACGACCACCATCTCTAATTCCCCACATCTCCTGCTCCCCTGTCTGCTGCTCCCCAATCTGCTGCTCCCCTGTCTGCTGCTCCCCTGTCTCCTGCCCCCCACTCTGCTGTACTCCATCCATACTGCTCTCGTCCTGCAGCTGCTCAATCTCAAGGCGCTGCCCGTCGGTGATCTCCACAGACGGTGGCACCTCCATCCCCCCCTCACCAACGGGCGGCGCCGTGGAAGACGAAGAAGAGGGCGGAGCAGGTGCAGGAGGGATGGAGGGTGGAAGGGGAGATGGAATAACAAGAGGAGGAGGGGAAGCCAAGGGGGGTGAGGAGGAAAAAAGGCGGGGCAGGGGGAATCACACGAGGGTAGACTGAAGGCGGAGGTGGGCTGGGGACCGAGGTAGGGACATAGGGCAGAGCAGGAGGTGCGACCACCTCCTCCTCCTCCTCCGCCTCCTCGAGAGTGATCGGGAAGAGTGAGGGAAGGGGCTCATAGGGCATCGAACGCCCCCCATGCTCCTGCTGATGCCAAGCCTTCCATCCTGCTAGGGACATGGTCTCATAGAACACAGCTTCCACAGTGGTGATGAGGCGGTTGGACTCCAAGTCCAGCACGGCCCAGCCCTTGCTCGCAGCTGACACACCCAAGTGTAACCCCCAGCGAGCCTTAGGCGCCAGCTTCCCCCCACGCTGCGACTGTGGTACCATGGACTGCAGCATGCAGCCCCAAACACGCACCATACTGACATCAGGTTTGCGTCGGAAGGCGAGCTCGTACGGCGTCACACCAGAGGATAGTGAGGCGTGCTCCACGCGGTTGCGCACCCAGACGGCCTGAGCCAACGCTAGGTGCCACCAGTGATGCTGCACACCCATGTGCAGCAACATCGTCCGCACCGCCTCCACAATGCTGCGCATCTCCCTCTCGGCCATCCCGTTCTGCTCCGGCGTGTACGGGCATGTGAGGTCATGGATGATGCCTTTACCGTCGAGGAAGAGCGTGAAGTCGTGCCCCAGGAACTCGCCACCCCGATCAGTGCGCAGCGCCTGCACCGTGGTCTTGCACTGTCGCTCTGCCATCGGGAGCCACTTCTGGAACGCCGCCAGCGCATCACTCTTCTGGGCCAAAGGGTAGGCCCAGACATATCGCGTCTTGCGATCCTTCAGCACCAAGAAGTAGCGGCTGCCGTCCTTAGCTGCTTCACGGAAAGGGCCACACACGTCAGCATGCACCACCCCGAGCAACTCATCCTCCTCCTCTCCCACAGAAGGAAAGGTATGACGAGTGATCTCTCCCCCAACACAGGAGACACAAGGTATGCCTGACTTGCCCCCCTTCTCCAAATCCAAGCCCTTCACTGACCCGTGAGCCGCTGTGCGCTCGATGGCATCAATACCAACGTGTGCCATACGCGGATGCCACAGGTCCCCCTTAGACTGTACGCCGGTCGCCAAGGTACGAAGTGCCACCGTTTCGCCTTCCTGCTGCTGCGTCGAACACGGCTGGAAGTTCGTGCAGAGAACACGCCCCTTGAACTCCGCACGACCAAGGAGCGATCCATCTGGTGCCCGCAGCAAAGTCACATCCCCGGCATCCAGCAGCTGCACACCACTATCACGCAGCTGCCCAGCAGAGAGAAGACTCGCCTGCACTCCTGGTACGTACAGCACGTCCGGCACCAAGACACGCCTGCCCCCCTCCCCAAGAAGAGCGACTGTGCCTCGCCCCTGCACCTCCTGAAGGGCGCCGTTGAAGCCGGTAACCTGCTTAATGCTGCCGCCGCTGCTCATCTCCACAAAGGCAGAACGATCTCCCATGAGATGGTGGGAGCATCCGCTATCAAGCAGCACGACGCTCGGGTTCGCCTTCACAGCAGCTGCAACAGCCTGTAAGCCCTCCCCGGCCTCAGGCTCTAGCACAACGAGAGGAGTCTGCTCCACAACTAGCTTCACCATTGCACATGATGACTGCCCGCTCCCCTTAGAGCCATCACCCCCCTTTCCGCTGCTACCTCCAGAACCCTCTCCACCGGTGTCTGCCTCCTTATCCGCCCGCTGCTGACAGTACTTAGCAACATGCCCTATTTGTCCACACACATAGCACTTCCCCTTGAAGCCCCCTTTCCCCCCCTTCGGCTGGCCATCCTTACCCCCTTTCCACTTCTCCCCTCCCCCACCAAGCCCACCCCCATTCTTAGGCTGCTGCTGCTGTGCCGTAGTGGGAGGGGAAGGGAATGAAGTCTGCTGGAATTGGGGCTTACCCTTCTTGGTAAAGACCTGGTTAGCCTGGGGAAGAAATTGGTCCTTTCGTCCCTCTGCCGCCAGCGTACACTCCTCCTCGATGATGTAGCTAGCGAGGGTGTCCTCGTCCAACTCCTTGCGAACCTGCGGCAACTTCAGCATCCTGCGTAAGAGGTTGTACTGCTGCGGCAACCCCTTCACAACGTGAGTGATGTACGACGCCTGCGAGTAATCTACACCGGCCATCCTCAGGTTCACTAGGATCTGCTGCGCACGGTTGCAATAGGACGTAGCGGACTCGTGCTCTCCCATCTCGAGGTTAGTGAGCGCCTGCTCTAACTGACCGATGTACAGATCGTCCTTCGCCATGTACGTGCGCATAATAAACTGCCATGCTTGATAGCCGGCATCGACCTTCATGCGACACGCCTTGAGGGCGATCTGTACGGTTGGGGAGCAGCATCGGGAAATGGTGGTGAATGTCAGCAACTGCATCGCGCGGAACTGAGAGAGATGCGCAAGCGCACGCGCTGGTGGAATGGGGGTGGTGCCATCTATGAATCGCTTTAGCTGAGCGATCTCAAGCTGCGGCTCGATTGATTCTGTCCACGTCGACAGGTCGTGACGTCCTTCTAACGGCCTAGTGACAACGATCTTGTCTGGAGTGAATCTGAAGTAGCCATAGTTGGGGGCTATTCCCTCGTCCCTCGACATCGATCCAATCGGGGTAACGCCCGGCATAGCCTCACTATCGAACTCTTCCGCAATTCCTCCTCCAGCAACGCTCCGCCGTCCTACATTCGCATGCTCTCGTGACGCTGCTGCACGATGAACACGCTCCTGTACACCGCCAACGCTAGCCGTACTAAACCGAGTTGGTCCTCGCAGGACCCCACGCGACATCAACCCATCAAACTCCTCGTCATCGCTATTTCCGCCATCGACAGCCATATCCCACGCACTAGTACCTCCCGCAACTTGCTCAACATTCTCTACACGTGGCGAAGGGTGCTCACGACGCCGACGCGAGCGCAATCCCTCCAACATTAGCTCGTATTCGATATCACTAATCTCACCACGAGAATGACGAGCCACGAGATCCTCCTCTAGGGCGCGCAAATTACCGGCCTCCACGTTCGCCTCCTCTGTACTCATCCTCTACGACGTCTCTATAAGGTACCACAAATTAAAATAAAGTGCCCCTTCCTTAAATCCCTCGTCTCGGGGTCACCTCACAAGGGTCCTCATACGAGTGGTAATAAATTACCAAACGCCCTATCCTTGGGTCCGAGAACGTAACTGGAGGGAAATCAAGAGAGGTTCAACTTAGATTAATAAGCGCCCTTCACTAACGCCGCACGCCAAGGCGAGTATACGAACGCGAATATCAACGACGACGGAAATCTATGCGTGTTCGTTCCACGCTCACCGCACCATGAAGGAATATATTAGAGAGCGTAGCGATAGCGAGAGAGTCTCTGCTATGGGAATGATGTTGCGCCAGCAACTTGGTAGAGTTTTGGTAGCGTTTGCCTCTAAGGACTTTGTGAGAATTGAAGTAGCATTTGGGCCAAGTAGAATTGCAATATCAATTATCAAACACACAAGCAAACACAAACATATATAGGCAAGCAAGAGTTGCACAATTGTTGCGTGGCGCTGCGAGTAACCCAACCCACACGAAAGTGCTGTGCAGGTGGGTGAACGCGCCCCGCACATTTCCAACCCAACTCGGCACCGGAATGTCTCACCGTGCACGCTACTCCTGCCAACACAGCAAGTGAGCAGCGTGCCTCACAAGCAAGGCACCTACGACCCCCAAGACTCGTCATTCCTAGCACCGATTCCGCCGAGTTCGCTGCAGTAGCTCACAGTCACCCGTAGTCACTAATGACCGCCACCGAACTCGTGCGTCGGTGCCGAGTAGACTCAGTCGTTAGGCGCCGACCTGCCAAGTCAAAGGTCATCGAGGGCCCTTGCTGTCGTAGGGCCCTCTAACAGTGAGCAGCGGCGGAGGAGCGCGGGGAATGCAATGGCGGACGCGGGGAGTTCGCGGGGAGGGCATCCGCATGGTGGTGAGCAGGGAGCGGGCGCGGAGGGGGATGCGCAAGGGGAACGCTTCCCGCTTGATTATTATGATCCGCCGTGAGGTTGCGGGAGTGAGGAAAGGGCTGGTTACCGGCTGCGCGTTGTGCTGCCATGACGAGGCATGTGAATTACAAGACGTAGCAAGCAGCAATACGTTTTTGTGGATGGGTTTGCTTTCCTGACCGATTTGCACCGCGATAGACCAGAAGGCACCATAGTGAAATAAACAGTTAACCCTAACACCTCTAAAGACCTTTCAGGTTTTGTTTTTTTCACACCGTATCTCAAAAATATATGTTGGCATCTAGTCACAAAACTAACAATTTAGTAATTCGCCAGAGGTCGTTGTGTATTTTTTAGAAATATTCGCACACCAAAATGTTAACCTAGATGTTTAAGGTTTCTAATAAACATTTTCACATGCTGGTTACGCAAATATCGTCAGACGGAAAATTGAAACGAACTGCATCTTCAGTCTGAAATCGCGCTGCATTCACGCTTCACTAAACGCATCCTTCTCCACACACGAAAGTCAGAAGCAAATCCCTCACAGTTGCGACGATGTATGTCCCAGAAGCTTACTTGAATGCGGTTCAATGGGTTTGTTTGCGTTTCAAATTCTATATATGCTGCACTTCGACTGGTTGGGTAGGGTTTTGGGCGTAACTGAACTTCAGGAAAAAACACGGGGGAAATCGTGTTTTTTTTTATGACGCACTTCGCAAATCAGCTAAGCTGCCTGACAGTTCCAGGCACCATATCAGCCATGGCGGCTCCAGTGGTGACGGCACCAGTGTCCGGTTGAGTCAATTCGAATCGCTGAGCAGCAGATTCTTGCTCGGCGCGCCTGACCGATCAGACCCGACGAGAGCAAACCAAACCAAAGGAGACCGAACCAGACCGGAAAAGAATTCGAGCCTGGAAGCAGGCATGGCGAGCGGAGTGGGTCCGATGATGACGGCGCCGGTTTCACCGGAGGAGGTGCTTCAGAAGATGATGCACGACGGCGTGTTTGATTCGCTTAAGAACCGGATCCTGCTCGACCTCAAGCATAATGTACGCGTTAATATCGTTCTCGATGTTTCGTAAGGAGCATGTCAGGGTGAAATCATGCACAACGGCGTGTTCGACTTGCTTAACAACCGAGTACTGCTCGATCCCAAGGCAGCGTAGGCATTGCTAAGTGATTCGATATTCCTGTCAAAAGCCTACACGCCGAAGTTGGTGCAGGGCCGTGAAACCCTATTGGCCCACGACGCACATTTCCCCCCCTCCCTTAGCCCCCTAACACGCCCCCTTCGTTTGGGACGTCTCAAAAGACGAAGCTGGTGCAGGGACGTAAATTTCTAATGGCCCACGACGCACGCAAACCCCCATCTATCCCCCTTCGCCGCTCCTTTCCGTGTGAGTAACAGGAGGAGCGGCAGGGGGAGCTGGTGTGGTGCGAAGCAGCGAAACTCTATCTGCTCATGATGTTCACACTCTCTCCACCACCCCGCGTGACATTGTAACGAGCTGACTCTTGAGTCGACTCAAAAGTCTTCTCATGATGTTCGAACACTCTCCCCCACCCCACCCCAACTCCTCCCCCCCCCCCCCCCCCCCCCCCCCCTCCCCCCTTGCGCAGCCTTTCTTTCAACCCCCCACTTTCTCCCTCCTCTCCCGCTCGCACATTTCCGTGTGACAGTAACAGGAGGAGCTGCGGCAGTGCGCGGCGAAGCTTCAGCGCAGATCCTGACCACATCACCCCCCTCCCCCCCCCCAGCTCTCTCCCTCTCTTCCACCCACCCACCCCATCCCTCTCCCTTTCCTCCACCCAACCCTCACCACCCCTCTCCCTTTTTTCCAACCACCCACCCCCACACCCTTCCTCCCGCCTGTCTGCAGTATTCCAACAGGAGGAGCTGCGGCGCCGGCAGTACACAGCGAAGCTGGTGCAGGGCAGCGAAACCCTGTCTGCTCACGACGCCCGCACGCGGAATCGACGGGAGCTTTTTGAAGCATTGCGGAAAGAACTGGAGTGAGTGTGATATGAGGGGGCTCGAGTGAGTTTGAAGGGGTTCTGTGGGATTGAAGGGGATCGAGTGAGTGGGACGGGGTTGGGAGTTGGGGATTTGGGAGCACATCGACTCCCAAGTTGAGGAAAAACCACCTTCCCCTGCCCACTCTCCTCCCTCCACTTCTCCCTCTCCCTCTCCCTCTCCCTCTCCCTCTCCCTCTCCCACTCCCTCTCCCTCTCCCACTCCCTCTCCCTCTCCCCTCCCCCCACATGCAGGGCGCCAGTGGTTGAGAAAGCATCAGGATTCGCGTGGTCCCTAATGCTCTCGCCTCTCTCAGGAGGCGTTGGGGAGGAAATTCACTCGCGAGTTGAAGAAACCTTCACTCGCCTGCACGCGGAGAAGGCGGCCAGTGATGCGCTGACACGTGGCGGCAGCGGCGGTGGCGCTGGTGGGAGCTTTGAGGAAGCGGTGGTGGCAGCGGGGGAGGCAACGGGGGAGGCAATGGCGGCAGCGGCACGCGTGGCAGCAGCAGCGGGTTTCAGGCCGAGGAAAGGTGGTGGTGTTGCTGCTGCGGGTGGGGGAGGGGGTGGGGGAGTGGGTGGGGAAGGAGGGGGAGGGGGGGGAGCTGCGGCTGCAGATGGGGGAGAGGCGGGGCGAGGGGAAAAGGGGTCGGATGGAGTTGGGGGGGGAGGCACTGGTGGTGCCGGGAAGGAAAGCGTTGTTGTTCCCTTAGAAATGGTCAAGGCACAGGATAAAGCGGAGGTTAATGCGGAGGGGCCGTATGGTGGGCCTGTGCTGCCTGGGATCCGGTGTATGACGGATATCACTGGGGAGGATGATGCTGATGCTGCTGCTGGTGACGCTGGCGCTGCCGCTGCCACTGCTGATAATGCTGCTGCTCCAGCTCCTGCTGCTGTGGATGGTGACCGTGGTGGTGAGAAAGCTGACGACGCCGGTCGAGATCGGAGGGACGACCCAGGCCACGGGATTCGAAGGAACAAGTGGGACGAGGGGGCAGGAGGAGGGGGCCCAGAAGCCCGAGGGGGCGACGGCAGCAGGGAGAGCTACAGGAGGGATTCGGACGGAAGCAGGCGGTTCAGAGCTGAGGACCCCCCCCCTCCTAGGAGGTCTAAGTTTTCAGCGGAGCATAGTCACAGGTGGGGAGCGGTTGGGAGGGATGGGGGACGCGGTGTGGAGTGGGGAGTGGCAGGGGAGTGGGGAGGAGGAGATGGCGCGATGGAGAGGAGGGGTAGTAGGGAGGGGTCGGCTGTAGCGCTGTCCCCTGCCTCTGCCACAGGCGCAGGTTCGGGTGGCTCCAGGTCCGGAGCCAGCCTCGGGACCGGAGGCTCGGGAGGCGCTGGGCCGGGAGGGTTTGGTCCGAACCTGGCACCGTTTCATGGCCCGGGAGGGGCCCAAGCAGCAGTGGCAGCAGCAGCAGCAGTTGCAGCGGCTGCAGCGGCAGCAGCAGGGGCAGCAGGAGGGGCAGGGGGGTCAGCGGGGGGGTATGGTCCAGCGGCTGCTGCTGCTGCCGCTGCCGCTGCCGCAGCAGCAGCAGAGGCTTATGGGTATTCCGGAGGGATGGGAGCAGCTGGGGGAGGTTTTTCTGGGGGAGGTTACATGGGCCGGGGCATGTCAATGCAGCACCTGCATTTTGGTATGGGCCGAACCCCGCCCTCTTGGTTCGGGTCAGGTTCGGCGGCCTGGGCGGCACAGTTCCAGGCGTTGCAGATGGGTCGGGGAGCTGGGAGCGTAGGGGGGTTTGGTCCGGGTGGGATGGGAGGTATGGCAGGAGGGCAGCTAGGCTCGGCAGGTTATGGTTCGGCAGGGTATGGCTCGGCAGGCGAATGGGGTACTCCAGGGGGGGGTAACCCTCATAGCCATGTGTCATCAGCTCATCCTAGTCATCTATCTGCCCAAATGACGTCACCTCGTGCTGTCACTGACTCAGCAGCGGGAGGAGAATCCAGGTACACGTCAGCACGAGGTTGGGAGAGGAGGACGAGCGGATTGCAAGCTGTTTTAGGGGGTGGGGGCAGTGGTGGTGGAAGGGAGAGTGAGGAGAGAGGCAAGGCCAGGAAGGATGGGGCTGAAGCTGCGGGCCCTTCTCCTGCTTCTCTTGATGCTAGTCCTGCTGCCGGTGCTGCTGGTGCTGCTACTGGCGGTGTTGGTGCTGCTGCTGCTGCTGCTGGTGCTGGCGCTGCTGCAGTGTGTGCTTCACCAAGCGGGGGGGAGCAAGGCGACCTACGCAAGTCCACCAGCAGAGACAGTGTGGGCAAGCCAGCACCAGGAGCAGCAGCAGAGCCATGGGACGCCCATTTGAAGGGGGCAGCTGCACCCCGATTCCACCCTGGCACGTCACACCGCATGCCAGGGAGCTCACCATTCCACCCTCCCCATGGTCATGCCAATCCCCATTCCCATCCCCATCCACATCCCCATGCGCATGGGCATGGGCATGGGCATGGGCATGGCAGTGCTGGTTCAGGTGCTCGAGCTCGGGGGCTCAGTGCTGCTGGTCTGTCTAGTGCTCCTCCCAGTCGTGCTGCTGCTGCTGCTGCTGCTGCTGCTGCTGCTCCCGGTCACGCCAGAACATGGGGAAACTCCCCGAAGTACTTCTTGAAATCCGCATCTTGAAATCTGGCCGTTTCTCGGAGAAAGGAAACAACGGATGAGATTTGATCCGGCGATGGAACGACATTGACGATCTCGTCTCGCCAGTACGATCTGGCCGTCCACCCGAAGGCTTTCGCGAGCACGGTTTCTGCGGCATCACTTTCGAGACCAAGGGTTTCAAGCATCCCTCTGCATTCTAGCCATTGCTGCAGCTGATCGCCGGAAAGCTCTTTCGATGGCGATGCAACGTTCGCTGGCTTAGTGCTGGCTCTGCAAACGAGCCTGGCTGCTCTATGATTTGAAGTGTCTGTCAGAGATTGAGGAAGCGCTCCATTATGAGCAAATGGCGACCGGGTTTGTGTAGGGAAGTCAGTGATGCTTTGTCGGGTGATAATGCACGCGGCGCCGGATACTACAACCTGTAGAGTGGCCATTACAGCTTCAGCTGATGAGGTTGAATCCTAACTAAGCAGAATCAGCTGCGAAAACGAAGCGGGAAAGCTGAGTAACGCACTTTACTCTGTGGAAAGCCAGAAGAAATTTGGTCGAGGCTGAATCCTGATTCCTAGCACCTAGGAACTCTGTCTCTTCAGTCTTATAAGTCGCAGTCTTGACTCCTTTTATCTTCAATCTCTGGTTGTGTCCTGAATTCTGATTCCTGATTCTTCCATTGAGCAGGCAATGCATCCCCTTCGCTGACAAACCTTGGGCTTGCCGTGTGGTTGGACGGGAACGTCCATGACGTGGCCGAACCAGAGCCGTTAGAAACTGGTACATGAAACAGCTGCTTGTTATGCAACATGAAATAGCAACATGGAGTGTATTATCTCGATAATATATGCTTCGATATTACTACGCGTAGCCGCCTAAATTTGACTCTGCTTGACTGTGTAAGGTGAAAATGCACCTTTCCAAACCAACTGGCCCCAAACACAAGCCTCGGAAGCGCCGCTCGCGAACGAGGCTAAATTGCAGGCACCCACCGACCAGCCTTGAGCTTTTCGCGCCGCGTGATGAGATGGAGTGGAGGCAAGCAGACTTGGCCGGGGCAGGGGGAGGGACATGGGCGCAAGCAATGCACGCGTGACGGTTGGGGGGGATGAAGGGAGGAGAGAACAGCAACTTGCCCCGGCCTATTGGTTTCGCGCAGCCTCCCTCCTTCCCCTCCGCGCTCTGTTGCGCCGTGGTGCGTGCGCGCAAACTACAGTTTGCCTTGCCTATCGCTCCTCCCCTCCCCTTGGAGCCTCAACAACAATTTTCCTTGCTGTCGCCGCAACTGGAAGGAAACCGCCCCATTTCGAGGTCATCGTGGACGTCCAAAATTCACTGAACAACTAACCTTCAATCATCCAACGGTTCAGATATGGTATTATTCAAGCCATATCACGGTTACCATGTGGTTGGTCATCGGACTTCATGACCATGCTTCTTGCCTGGGCCACACACACATCTATTGTCTCAGAACCGCCATTCGCACACATCGACTACCGACTGTATCGTGTGTTATTTCAAAGAACCACACTCCCCACCATTCCTACCCACAGCTTACACGACGGGCTCTGGACAGCACGGTCACACAGAGCTTTGAACAAGCACAGCAACCTCGAATAGTCAGCCGTTTCGCCATGGAGCATCACGTCACGACGTTTGATATTCTCGTGGCATGCAGGTACCAGTACTAGTCCGTTCTGTCAAATCCCAGAAGCTATAGCCTTCTGGCGGCTTTGAATCTCGAGCATTACATTCTGAATCTGACGCCGTGACTGACAGGTATCGCACTTGAGCGGTGAGCACTAGGTGTGTTGGATTCAGTAACGACCAGCACGTCGATCGAGGACAAATTGGACGGCATCTGCTATTGGTCCGCTGTTAGTTACGTTGCCGATTATACTTATAAGTTAGCTCAAAGTTCACTCTGTCTATTAGGTTCCCACTCGTCTTGACTGAGCTTGCGGAAGCAGTCGAACCAAGCGTCTACAGTTTATCCGTAGCTCTCCTGTCGGATCACTGCGAATTCGTACAAGCCCCTAAGTCTCGCGATAAGGAAGCCTCTTATATGGTGCTATGCTTTTCAAGTCTTAATGTGGATGACGTAGCGTAGCTATCGCCCTAGCCGACAGCTGTGTCCATCAGACAGCTGCAGCTCCATCCAATGGCGGTTGCCGTAGCCGAAGACCCGAACCTAGACGCAGGGACGCATAATTAGTACCCACGACTGTTGAGGCGTTACGCTGGCGAGTTGTTGTAACACTTAGAGCGCTCTTTAGTTCGTATTTCATTTTCCCGCCATCATGCCGTCGTCATCTCGCATTAGAATCAATGTCGGCGGGCAAATCTTCGAAACGTCCCGCGAAACGCTCGAGCTAGCGGGTCGCGGCTCGCTCCTAGGAGCCATGCTGGACCCAGTCTGGGCGTCTCGCGACGCTCGCCGTTCCCACTTTCACGAATCTGACTCGCAATCCCATCATGACACGTGTCGCACATCGGGAACTCGCCTGAGACGGATGGCGGAAGAAGAGGAAGACACACCGGAGATTTTTATCGACCGCGATCCGAAAACGTTCGGCGTGCTCCTGAATTTCCTGCGGTCCGGTGTTCTTAATATTCCGTCTGGGGTTACCGTTGATGCGGTTCTTAGCGACGCGGACTATCTCGGCCTGCTGGACGCCGTTAAGGCAGCGCTCCTGCCGCCTGCTCTGGACGCGAATGAAATGCATAGGGTGAGTTTTTCTTAGGCGCCTACTCAGAACACAGGTGGTAGGTGCGCTGAAAGGGTTGTAGTTGTTGTCGCAATCAAAGGGCGCGCTCCTGCCGCCTGCTCTGGACGCCAATGAGATGCACAGGGTGAGCCTCTTGGAACACAGGTAGAGTAGTAAGTGTGCTGTTGGTAAGAAGGCCGCGCTTGTGCCGTCTTAGACGTCTCAAAACTCTTACCTAATCTTCCCATCTTCCCCGTCCGGTTCCACAGCCCCCTCCATCCCCCCTCCATTCCCTCTTCACTCCCCGTCCTCGTCAGACGTCCGTTCTTCGCCCCAACGTGGGCCCTGCTGACGTGTGCACGGCCCTGGCCGCGCATGAAGACGGCTCTGTTGACGTGGCACATGGCGCCCGGGTGACGTGTTATGACTGGATGCTACGTCACACCGCCACCATTATCACCGACCTTCCCCAGGTGCCTAAACACGGGTGGCATTATAGTTTCCCAGAACCTGCTGTTGCACTTATGTCGTGTGGAGTTATGTGTGGGGGGTTGAGTATATAGCACAATCACAATCGAGGGATGTGGTAGGCATGTGGGGGGTTTTTGTTTTGGAGGGCTGAAACAAGCCCTATGTGCTGGGCTTGTGACAGCCCATGCTCTCCCTCCCTCATGTCCTCACTTCCATTTTCCTCCAATCCGGTGCTGCCAGGTGGACACCATTTGTCGGCTGTCAGAGTCTCGGATCATCGTGGGGGGCGGCAAGGGCTGTTACCATCTGCCCATCTACGACACACGTGGCTATGACAATACATTGAGCACACTGAGCAAATTTGACGAAGATAATTTCACGCCGGCCTTTCCTTCCTCCTATGGCTCCTCCCATCCCGCCTACCCCTCGCACTCCCCTTACTCCTCCCCCTACTACTCTTCCCGCTCCAATTCCCAGACCACTTACGGTTCTCCTGCCACCCTCCCATCCCTCTCCCCCTCCTCTCTGTCCACCTACACTCCCTCTCCCTTGACCCTCAACCAACCACCCCCCTCCTCCTCCATCTCCCCAATCATCCTCCCCCAATCCGCCTCCCACTACCCAACCCCCACCACCAACCCCCTCTACTCTCCCCCTCTCCATCCATCCCTCCTCCCTCCCTCCTCCGCGTTCCCCTCCCCCTACTCCCCATTCCCTCCAACCTGCAAAATCGGCTCAGTGGCTCTCAGAGGGGCCTCCCACCCATCTTTCCGCTCCATAGTTCAATCAGACCGCTTCTTATTCGTGGCAAGCTTGAGAAAGACTCTTGGGGTGGAGTGGGGGGTGGGGAAGGCGGTGGGGGTGGTGGATCGGGGCACGCTGCAGAGCGTGGGTGAGGCAGGACCGGCACCTATCACCACTAGACGGATGGGCGGCCCCGACAAGCTCCAGTGGCTGCCTTCCCGGAACCTTCTCATGGTCGTGCGCCGATACACTCGTGAGTCGGTCACGAATGACAGGTGGCATGCTTTGGTTGGTTGTCAGGTGGTGCAGGTAAGCAGTCGATAAAGCAGGGCGTATAAGGGGGACATAGGAGCACAAGGGAGCGCGGTGAGTGGTCTAGGAGTGTGGGGTTTCGAAGGAAAGTGGTGGGGGTGGAGTGTGGACGTTTGAGCAGTCGAATTCACGCCAGTCCCGCACCAGTTGGTTGCAGCGCGGGTCCCACAGGCGCATGTAGGATGAAACCTCACTGTCATCTTGTGGAGGTCCATCCTATCTGCGCATGTGGGACCAGCGTTGCAACCAGCTGGTGTGGGACTGGCTTGAATTCCACGTTGTGCCCTCTCGTCCCTCGTACTTCACCGTTTCCCATGCTCTTACACTCCCAATGTTCACAGCTGGCATCCAGGGGGGCAGTGAGGGGCCCGCGTGTGGGATCTGCACTGCAACCAGCTGGTGTGGGACTGGCATGATTTCAGAGGCAGATACCCTCCCCTTCTTGTGTCTATCATCTCCTTGCCCATGTCTTCATGCTTCCTCTCGTCCTTACTATATCACCTGCAGCTAGCGTTCAGGGAGGCTCGGAAGGTCCGTCCTACCTACGCCTGTGGGACCCGCGATGCAACCAGCTGGTGTGGGACTGGCGTGAATTTGACGACCCACAACCTTCTCTCGTCCCTTCCGACCGTTGGTGTGCTCTCTGCGATGCCACTGCATGCGAAGACCTCTCCTTGCTCCTCAAGGCCTCCCCTTCCGCCCCCGATTCCTCTTCCCGCCTCTCTGCTTTCGACCTGAGGAAGCTGCCGCTGCCTGGGACAGGTAATTCGGCTGGTGCTTCGATTCCGGCTCCCAGTGGTGCTGGTGCGGTTCAAATGGGTTCTGGGTTAGGGTTTGCTGGTGACGATGGTGGTGGTGCTTCTGCTGGTGGTTTTTATGTTGGCGGGGGTGGCAGCGGGAGTGGTGTTAGCACTGCAGCAGCAGCAGCAGCAGGAGCAGGAGGAGCAGGTGGAGCAGCAGGAGGAGCCGGTTTAGGGTTCTCTATCACAGGCGCACCCACAGACCCCTCAACAAGCAGCAGCAGTAGAGGCTTTGGAAATATCTACCGACCAGCAGCAGTATCAGGGCCTGTGCCAGTAGCAGGAGGGCCGGTTCCCTCCATAGGCCAGGACAGCTGGACCGTCATGCAATGGCAATCCCCTGACTCGCTGCGAATCGGAGGAACCAGCACGCAAAGAGACTCGGGCAGGGTGGAAACGAGCACGATTCGCCTGCTCGTCGTCCCGGGCAGGTCGCAAACTGTTTGCAACCGCTGCCCGTCGCTGGAAGTGTGGACTCCGGTCAGCAATCCGTTTGTTCCTGTTGCCACGGGCAGGCTAGGCAGATGGGCATCAATGGATGAAGAAAAGTTTCGAGGGGCTCTATCCGTAGGGGGGGGACAGGGTGGGATAGGGGGAATCGGGGGAATGGGGGGATTTGGAGGGGCGGGAGGAGGGGGTGGAGGAGGAAGTGGGGATGATGCGTGGGGAGGGTACCCCAGAGGGGCTTTAACTCCTGGTTCGCTCACTGCTGCGGCTGCAAGGGGGTTTGAACCGCCGCCTGTAGATGCTACAGGAGCGCGTTATACAGGGGATGAAGTGGCTGCTGGTGTTGATTCTTTGAGTTCTGCTGCTGCTGCTGCTGCTGCTGCCACTGGTGCTGGTTCTTCTGGTGGTAGTAGCAATGGAAATAGCACTGCTGCTGCTGCTGCTGCTGCTGCTGCTGCTGCTGCTGCTGCTGCTGCTGCTGCTGCCGCTCCTCCTCCCACAAGGTTCGATCCATACTCCTTCCGTAAAACCTATGGGGACACCATGGGTGAATATCAAAGGCGACGGGTAAACTTTGAAGCGCCCCCCGATCACTGGGTGTACGACATGGCCTTTGGCGGGAACCGGCTGTTTCTGGCTCGGGACGACCAGCGGCCGGGAGGTTCGGGGCTAGGTTCGGTCGAGGTTTGGGAGACCCGGACGAATCACAGAGTATGTCCCTGATCCGAGGACTTCATGTCAACGGGAGGGGATGGGGAGGAGAGAAAGGGGATAAGGAGGGGAAGAGTGGGGGAGGGTGGGATGAGGAAAGGGGAAGATGATGTGTGTATGCGCGTGCCATGCACCTTGAGAGGGTGTGCTTGTGTTTCATTTGTGCTTTGTTTTTAGGTTCATCATGAGGGCTTGATTTGATCTTCCTAATGGAGTTCGTCTGGGGTGGACGTTTGAGGCTGTTGAAAGGGTCTCCTATGGTTTGTGATGTGAGAAATTCGAGATGGATGTATTCTATGGTGTTCCGTATGGGAGGAAGGTGTAGAACTCTACCTCAGGGCTCTCTCTCACTCATCCTTCCCATATGTAAAATTGTCTGTTGTACCTAGTATCAAGGTTTTCAATAAGCTACCCTCCATCCTCTCTCTAACATCAATTCAAGGCATCCAGTCACAATCACAAAACATTTAATGAGGGAATGTTGCATTGTACATCACAACAACAGAACAGCTCCTCCAGTTCTGAGGCGCTTGCTTTCGTAAGAAAATTCCGTAACTGCATATTGTACAGGATCACTTACTTAGACAGTGAATCAGATCAGTTTTTTATTCCCACTGATTGCACGAACACAGAACTCGAGGTCAAATCTCATCACTAGCAGCCAGCTGTCGAGGCACACGAGCCAGTTTCCTGAGCTCGGACCTACTTGCCAGAATACTTTATTATGTACGGAATATGTACCGCATACATGTAGGTACCGTACATGTATGCATCGCACAAGAGACTAGGTACATGTATGTAGCGCACATTAAATCAGTTTTTGATTCCAAGTGATTGCATGAACACAGAATACGACGACTCAAGGTCAAAGCTTAGTTGTCTGGCTTGTTCCTCTGAAAGCTCTTCGCTAGCTGCCATGCCGTTGAGTCGCACCAGCCAGTCCCTGACCTTGGTGCGACCCTCAAAATCGGTTGGTAAAGATGGCACGCTGCAGAGGGAGTTGAGAAGCAGGGAGAGCAGCGGATGCACCTGGGGGAAGGGGGAAGGGCAGGGAGAGGGGAAGGGGAGAAGGGGGAAAAGGGGAGGAGACATGAGAGAAGGTCTCAAACTCTGTTGGTAAGGACGGGACGCTGCAGAGGGAGTTGAGGAGCAGGGAGAGCAGCGGGTGCACCTGGGGGGAGGAAATAGGGGATAAGGGGACGAGGGAAGGGGGGAAAGGGAAGAAGAGGACAAGGTGGAAAGGGGAGAAGAGGGCAAGGGGGAACAGGGAAAGGAAGGGGCAGCAAATGGATTGCCAGCAGCCATGCCATTGAGTCGCACGAGCCAGCCCCTGACCTTGGTGCGACCCTCAAACTCAGCTGGTAGAGATGGCACGCTGCAGAGGGAGTTGAGGAGGAGAGAGAGCAGCGGATGCACCTGGGGGAAGGGGGAAGGGCAGGGAGAGGGGAAGGGGAGAAGGGGGAAAGGGGGATGAGGCATGAGAGAAGGTCTCAAACTCAGCTGGTAGAGATGGCACGCTGCAGAGGGAGTTGAGGAGGAGAGAGAGCAGCGGATGCACCTGGGGGGAAGGGGGAAGGGCAGGGAGAGGGGAAGGGGAGAAGGGGGAAAGGGGGATGAGGCATGAGAGAAGGTCTCAAACTCAGCTGGTAGAGATGGCATGCTGCAGAGGGAGTTGAGGAGGAGAGAGAGCAGCGGATGCACCTGGGGGGAAGGGGGAAGGGCAGGGAGAGGGGAAGGGGAGAAGGGGGAAAGGGGGATGAGGCATGAGAGAAGGTCTCAAACTCAGCTGGTAGAGATGGCACGCTGCAGAGGGAGTTGAGGAGGAGAGAGAGCAGCGGATGCACCTGGGGGGAAGGGGGGGACGGGGGAAGGGGAGAAAGGGGCAAGGGGAATGGGACGTGGAAAGGTCTCAAGCTTGGCTGGTAAAGAGGGCACGCTGCAGAGGGAGTTGAGGAACAGGGAGAGCAGCGGGTGCACCTGGGGGGAGGGAAGGTGGGGGAAGGGAAGCAGGAAGGGAGCGGAAAGCTATGACACGAAGAGAGGGCACGCTGCAGAGGGGAGTCGAGGAGTAGGGTGAGCAGCGGGTGCACCTGGGGGGAGGGAAGGTGGGGGTGGGGAAGCAGGAAGGGAGCGGAAAGCTATGACACGAAGAGAGGGCACGCTGCAGAGGGGAGTCGAGGAGTAGGGTGAGCAGCGGGTGCACCTGGAAGAGGGGAGGGGAGGGGGAATGGGGGAAGAGGGAATGGGGGAAGGGGGAATGGGGGAAGGGGGGATGGGGGAAGGGGGAATGGGGGAAGGGGGAATGGGGGAAGCGGGAATGGGGGAAGGGGGAATGGGGGAAGGGGGAATGGGGGAAGCGGGAATGGGGGAAGGGGGGATGGGGGAAGGGGGGATGGGGGAAGGGGGGATGGGGGAAGGGGGAATGGGGGAAGGGGGGATGGGGGAAGGGGGGATGGGGGAAGGGGGAATGGGGGAAGGGGGAATGGGGGAAGGGGGAATGGGGGAAGGGGGGATGGGGGAAGGAGGAATGGGGGAAGGGGGAATGGGGGAAGGGGGGATGGGGGAAGGGGGGATGGGGGAAGGGGGGATGGGGGAAGGGGGGATGGGGGAAGGGGGGATGGGGGATGGGACGTGAGAAGCTCACTGAGGAGCAGGGAGAGCAGCGGGTGCACCTGGGGGTCGAGTGGATGGAAGGGGGTGCGGAAAAACGGGAGGGAAAGAGGAGGCGGGAAGAGGGGGAGGGGATGGGGGCAGGGGGAAAAAGGGGAGGGGAGGGGGAGGGGGGGAGAGGGGGAGGGGTGCGGATGCTTACCTGGTCTACCGCGAGCATATTGAGCTTGACTGTATCCATAGCTGTTATAAAGTGTTGCACCGTCTCTGCCACCGCTACAGTCGCACTACCGCTCTCCACCGTTGCAGATTTATGCTCCACCGTTGCCGGAACCCCGGCCACCAGGAGGCGGTTCTTCGCTGCAGGGCAGTCCATCTTGTAATCGCTCTATATCGGGTACGGCGCCCTGCAGCGCGGTGCGAAGCGTCCGGAATTGGCCAATCAGCTTTGCGCAAGCGGGCTCGTAATCCGCGGGGGAGATCAAATCGCGGACGTACGCCTTTTCGAGCTTCTCGGTAGTCTTTATTATCGCGTACAAATCAGCGAAACTCTCGTACTGTTCTCTCTCCGCATCGCCCTGCCATAGAGGGATTTCAGACGCTCCGCCTCCCCCGGAAATCCCGGAGCCTCCTAGCCCCGCTCGCGTGCCGTATGTCGCCATATGTGCCTATAAAAGGCTGCCTGTACCGATGCTTTAGTGAACTCGGGTTAACGCTGTACAGAATGGTGCTTCACCGAGGTCGTTGGCAGGAAAAAAAACGAGCACGTGCGTGCGATGAGTAGGAAGAAAAAGGAGAAGATAAAAACATATCAGCAAAAAAATCAGTGGATACTGCTTGATAAACTTACTGTTGATAGTTTTGTTTTCAACCCAAACGTGTCGATGTAGTTATTTATTGATAAGGGAAATACAATTACAAGTCGAATATAAGTGTTTTTCCAAAAGGAGGAAATTTCGGCATAACCACTGCTCTATGAGGACGACATATATTGTCTGTAGGGAAAAGAAGAAAGAAAGAAGAAGAAAAGGTCAAGGAGTGAAAAGAAGTAGTAGGGAAAAGAAGAGAGTGGTGGGAAGAGAAGAGAAAAGATAGATGAAGGGAAGAGAAAGAGGGAGGTGGGAAGAGGAGAGGAGAGAGGGAAAGAGACTAAGGAGGAGGAAGCACCAAAGGACCAGACACGGCAGCAACCCGCACACCAAACGCGGGCACAGCGTTTCAAGCACAGCCACTAAACTCTCTACACATATGCATCATACATATATTGCATATCGGCAACACTCTCGAAGCACCCTGTGATATGGTTCCAGGTACCCTGCCCCGCACCCAGTGGGACGGGTGTGGGCATCCATCCGTCGTCGGATCCCCCCAACTGCCGCACCGCATGCTGTAAGATGCATCGAGCCTGCGCGCGCTGCAGTGCCACGGAGAGACGTGTAGTGAGTCCTGTCTCAAATATCCGTGCTGATCCGTCATCCCCTCCTCCCCAATCCCTCCTCCGCTGTGCTATCCTCTTCGCGCAGAGCCCCAGGAACTGACGCAACGGCTCGCTCAGTAGGCCAAAGGTCTCAGCCACGCACGCGTAAAAGTGTGGTGCCGGCTGCAACCCCTCTAAGTGCGGCCCCCAGTGACGCAGCTTCTCCTGCACCCGCCTAGCTGCTGCCACTCCAATCTGTGTGGGGGTCGCCCGTCCCAGCTGCACGTTCCCCTCCCGCTGTGGGTCCGCTATGGAGACATCCACAAGAACCATCAAAGTCTGCCCGACGTCGCGGCAGGTGAGGTCTGGGATGCGGGAGGAGGTGCCTGTACGGCCTGTGCGTCCGGCTGGTCCCTGCTGCTGCGCTGGCTGCTGCCCTGTCTGGTCCCTCGATGCCTCCTCTCCTGTCGTCTCTCTCCCCCTATCCTCTCCTCCACCCACCTGTCCTCTCCCCTCCCCCTCTCTACCCTCCCCCAAACCTCCCAACCTCCCTGCTCGATCCCCTGCAGCCTCTCTCACTCCCTGAACCTCCCCTCCCAATCTCCCCGCCCCCCCTGTACCCCCGTCCGCTCTCTGCTGCTCTCGTCCCTGCCCCACCCCCGAGCCCACACCCTGAGGCGCGGTGCCCTGAGCCTGCGACCTGTGCGGGCTCTCCTGCTGCTGCCTCTGCTGTCCTCCCTCTCCGCCCTGGCTGGTCTGCACCCCCTGCCGTCCCCTCTGCCCACCTGCCCCTCGCGCCACCCGACCCCGCAGCTGATGCTGTCCCCACTGTGCCCCGCCGCCCGGCAGTCCCGCCTCAGCGCCCTGCTCCAGTGGCCCCCCAGCCCGTGTCCCCTCTCCCACCACCGGCTGTCCCAGCAGTCTCGCTCGAGCTGCCTCCAGGTGTGTGAACAGCGTAGAGTCCTCCACCTTCACCGCGAAGCCCGCCTCGACAGCGAAGTCTCGAAGCGCGAACTTCACCGTGTCGTGGATGACAGTGGCGACGCCGAATCGTGGGCACCGAACCGCGTGGTGAGGCACCGTCATGTCGTCGATCGCCTGTCCACAGGAGCACTGACCTGTGAGGGCTAACTGGGGGACAGGGAGACCAAGACGACATGATGAAGCCACCTGCCACTCCGCCTCCGGAATGCGCAGGGCGTCTGCGTATGGCACCGCCTGCAGCCACCCACCTGCACCTACGCCCTGAAGGGAAGTCAAACGGGCAAGGTGCAAGGGAGAGGTGTGACGGGCACGCACGGCCTCCAAGGCATGCGCCTCCAGAAGGCGGCTCGCTCCTGCAAAAAGGGAATCGGGGGAAGCAGAGGCACAAGAGGGCCAGGGTGGGAGGAGAGAGAGGATGTCAGGTGGAAGGCCCTCCAGCGTCGTCCGTAGGGATGGGTCGATCTGCTCCGTCTCACCGGAAGCAAAGCTCTGCCGAAAGACCTCACCGCACACAGGGAGAGAACAGAGGATGGGTGCACACTGCACCCAAGAGCACACGAAACTCACCGGGGCAATGCGCTCCATGCGACGAATGCCGAAACCCCCAAGGCCGATGGGGAGGAAGATCTGGTCGCTGGCGGCATCTTTGACGTCCTCGCGGCATGCCCATGTCCCTGACGCTAAAAGCTGCTGAAAAGTCTCTCCCACGTGTGCGTCCCAGCGTGCGAAGCTGGAGAGCACTGCGGGTGAGGGAGGGACAGTCCTCGACAGGTACTGCGGGCGAGTGCTGACACATGCCGAAAGAAGGCGAGCAGCTGTCTGGGGCTGGCGCAACCTCGGAAGCCAAGGTAGCACCCGCCCCATCTTCTCGAGACGATCCGGGACGCTGCGCTCCACAAACGAAACGGTACCCACCGGCACGCCCGTCACAGTGAATCCCCGGCGTGCGACCTCGACCCCAAGACTCGTGAAAGCCTCCACGTCCCTGGACAAAAAAGACTCAGTCTGGTAGACGAGGCACTTGTGCGGTTGGACCGCGAGGCCCATCTCGCCCAAGCGCCTCACGATCTCGGAGAAATGGTGTAGCACCCTGTCTGGGGGGCCTAGCACGTACGTGTCGTCGGCGTACGACCAGAGCTGGACATCGCCCTCCGTCAGAACCGGCTCCAGGGCAAGTCGCTGTGTCAGAGCGTACAGGAAGGGGCTGAGGGGGTCTCCCTGGCGACTGCCACGCTCCGAGTGCATCGTGACCACTCCCTCACCTGTCCTGTAGTGGAGATCCGAGGGCGTCCCGTAGAAAAGGCCGATGAAAGGGATGAGGCACTGGAACTCTGGGCTGGCCTGCAAAGCCTGGAACATCATGTCTCGGTGAAATGAGTTAAAGGCGTTCGCCACGTCTAGCTGCAGGACCACCCAGTCCGGGTGGTCAGCCAGAGCACGGCGGACACCTCTAACTACGACCTCTGTGCCACACGTCACCCCCACCCCAAACTGCTGGGACGCCAAGAAGACCCTCGCCATCTGGTCGCGTAGCTGGAGGCAAACTGCTCGCGAAAGAATGCGGACCAACACCTCGCCAATGGCAATCGGTCGACATCCATGTTCGACTTCGCCAGAGCCACGAGGGTGGAAGACGCCAGTAAAGAGCGCGTAGCTGGAGCGCAACGACCTCGGAGCCACTGCTGGTACACAGCTAGAAGAGAGGGGAGACTCTGAGGGAAAGCCAGGAAAGTGTCTCGAAGGTGCTCAGCAACCCACCCGGACGGTCCCCCCGAGGAGCCACGCGGAGCTGTGAAGATGGCCCGACGTAGGTGGTCTGTCGAGAGTACGAGAGCAGTCCCCTGGTAGTCCGACAGCCAAGCTAGGGTCGGCCTCTCAGCGTTGGGGTGCTTCGACTTCAGGCGCTGTGTCGTCCCCTGTGTATCTGGGGCGGCCTCCGCGGACTCGAGAGCCGCGCAGGCCCGTGAGGTCTCATTGCACGCTGCCAGACGGAGGCAACGAGCAATGCGACGCTCATCTGCGGTGGACTGGGTGGCGACGGGGCGTGCGCGCCGGGATGTGCGTCGAGGAAGGGGGGTGCGACGGATCAGGGCCTCAGAGAGTAGCTCTGTCCACTCACCTCGCATGAAGCGGGAGACCCGTGCTGCGATGGCAGTCGTGTGCGAGCGGTCTGGCGGGGTCGCCTGCGTGACGAGAAGTGTGGGTGCAGCGGCGAGGAGGAAGGTAGGGCCCGGAGCCTCGGGATCCTGGGATACACGGGCCAAGATCGTGCAGAGGACGTCAAGATATCCTCCGCGGACCCTAGCAGGAATGCGTCGGAGAGGGCGGGCGTGGGTGCGCTCTGGCGAGAAATACTCCGTCCAATCGAAGGATTCCAGCGTTTGCCACTGTGCATCTGTGAAATGCGTCCTCGTCCCTTGTGGCTCCGAGAGGGATGGGAGGACAGATGAGGTGTCGTGGAGGGCCTGTGCCCTACGAGCCGCGTCCGCAGGATGGCAGAAGGGCGTGTGGTGCTGAAGGGCACGTCGGTTCGCGAGAGAGCTCCTGCAGGTGGGGCATCTCACGACCTGGTCGGGTGATGTCGCCGTGTCGGTGGGGTCGATCGGGGCCGTGGCGTCGGAACTGGCTGTAGAGGGGGCCCCATGGGTGGCCTGAGCTGCAAGAGGATCGCCTGGGATAAGGGGAGGAGAGGACTCACCGGCCCCATGCCTGGGGGGTGTCTGAGAAGAAAGAGGTGGTGCCCCACAGGATGGGGCCGGGCCTCGTGGCGGTACCGGTCCCGAAGCTAGGGAGGGGGGACGTGGAGGTGAGCCTGAAGTGTGCGCCGTGGTGTGCCCCTGTCCCTCGGCGGGGTGCGGTCCAAGTGGCGGCTCTGCTACCCCAGGCGGGGGGGTCTGGGCAGGGGCAGATGTCTCATCCCTAAAGCCGGTGCCCTCCTGCGCCACGGGTTGTGTGTCGGCAACGGGCTGAACGGGGGGAGGCGCCACCACGTCTAGGTGCGAGCGACACGGCCTCGGAACCAGGTCTGTCTCCATCGGGGACGGGAGTGACGGGCCTGGATGAGTAGTGGGGGGGATAAAAGAAGGGACAGAACGGGTGACCTCCGCATACGTCCGGGTCCGGACCTGTGGGATTGATAGGGTGGGGGCAGCCGGGGAGCTGCTCGGGCTCTGTATCGCCAGCAAATCTGAGATGGCAGCCCTCACCTCCTCTGGGGTCCCGGTGACCTGCCTGCCTGCTGGTGAGGGTAGGAGGGCTGGCAGGGTAGAGGGTGGGGTGGGGCGTGCTGGCTGAGCAGAGCTCGGGTGTGGACCCTGCCCTAGAAAACCCCCTTGGCCCTCCCCTATCACCATGGGTTGCGGTAGGGGGGCGTCGACATGGATGGGGTGGGAGGCATGGGAGGGGGAGTCGGTGGCGTCTGCCATGGGCGCATCCCTCATCCCGTCGGCCTCCATCCCGGCTGCCGCCACCTGGGGGGAGTTTATTGGAAGAGAGAGGCGGCCCGGGGGTGGGTGGGCTGGATCGCTCCCATGGCCCTGTGGAGGGGCAGGTACGAGAGGGGGGTGTGAGTTTGGTGGTTGGCCTGTAGGGGTAGGGCCTGGTGCACGCTCAGTGGGATGTGGGGTGAGGAGGGGCGGCTGGAGGGGAAGGGAGGGAGGGGGGAGTAGGTGAGCTGGCCCCTTGCCGCCTTTGCCTTTCTTCTTCCGTCGACGGCTAACCTGGTTTTGGTTGTCCCCGGCTGGTTGTGAGGGAAGGGCGGGCTGAGAGGCTAAGGGGATGGGTGAGGGGAGGGTGGGTGGTTGGCTAGGTAGAGGATCCTCAGTTTGCATCCCCCCCCTCCCCATGACATCACCCTCCGTGGTGGGCTGTGTGTGGGGGGCGATGTCTGCCCAACGGGGCCACTCGTGGTGAGGCAGGCTGTAGGCGGGGGTTGTGGGTGGGGGGCGAAGGGCTGGAGCGATGTAGCGGTTAGGGCGTGGTGCTTGTGGTGGAGGGAGTGAGGTCTGTGGTGGCTGCGTGGTGGAAGGGGGGGGGTTGAGGGGGGAATGAAGTTCAGAGGTTGTGCCCCCATGCTGTAAGTTGGCACCAGAGCCCCTCCCACTGGCGGCCCCTCCTGTGGGCCCCGCGCCCATGGTGTCATCGCCTCCCTGAGCTAGGGGCAGGGGCCCTCGTGGGTGGGTCTTGGATGCTTGGGGGGGGTGGTGTGAGGAGGGTGGGAGGGTTGGGGTTGTGCGGCGAGTTGGGTGATTTGGGTGTGTGTAGGTTGTGGGGCGATGCGGGGATGGAGGCGGGTGTGGCAGGGTTGAGGTTTGAACCTCTGAAATGTGCATAGCCCCGGGTGGGGGAGGACCTGGAGGGGGTGGGGGTAGTGGGCTGGTGGGGGGTGACTGGATGGTGTTAGGGGTCGGGGAGCACGGCTCCGCCAAGAAGGCCAGGGCCCTGGCTGCTCCCCGTGATGCTAGAGGGAGCCCCTGAGGGTGGGGGCGGGAGTGTGCTGCTCTTAGGGGAGAGGAAAGGGTGGGGGAGGGTTGAGAGGCAAGGATGGGGCTGGGTGTGGGAGGCTCTGCCCTTGCCGTGCCCGCGTGCTCTCCTGGCGGACCGTCTGCAAGCGTGGTGTCAGGCATTGTGGGAAGAGGGGGGGGCTGGCCAAAACACTGCGTAGGGGTCGGGGAGCACGGCTCTGCTAAAAAGGCCAGGGCCTTGGCTGCCCCCCTGGACGCTACAGGGAGCCCCTGAGGGTGGGGGCGGGGATGTGGTGCTCCTGGGGGGGGGTGGGCTGGAGGATGAGGGGTAAGGATGGGAGCGCCCCCGAGAGGCTCTGTCCTCAAAGTCTCCTCCAGCCCCTCCATTGGTCCATCTGCCAGCATGGGGTCGGGCATGGGGGGGAAAGGGGGAACCTCGACATGAGGCTGCAGGGGGCCTGGGTCGGCCTCACCGTCAGGTGTGAGGTATTGGGCCAGTGGCCCGTCGATGTGCATCCCGTCCTCTACCACATCCTCTTCCATCACTATCACTTCCCCTCCTTCACGAACCTCCCTGGTTGGGACCCCACCCGCCCCTCTTACCCCTGTTGCCCCTATGTCCCCTGAGCCCGCTCTCCCTGCTGGCTCTTTACTGCCAGATACAGCCTCTGCAGGCCCTGCTGTGGCCTCTACCGTGTTTGCTGCGGTCCTTGCCGCCCCCAGTGGGCGTGCTAAGGCCGCAGCTGCTGCAGCTGCAGCCCCACCTTCTGTCTTTGTGGCCTCTGCTGTCCTCTCTCCCACAGCAGCACTTGCTGCGTCCTTCCCTACTACAGCCGGCACTGTACTCTCCCTTGCCCCAGACCCCGCTACACTCTCCCCCGCTGCAGCCCCCATAGTCCTCTCCCCTATACCAGCCCCAACTGTGGCCCCTGTCGCTCCTGCTGCGGTTCCTGCCGCACCACCTGCTGCAGTCCCTGCAGCCTCACCTGCTGTGGTCCCTGCAGCCCCACCTGCTGCGATCCCTGCATCCCCACCTGCTGCGGCCCTTGGAGCCTCACCCGCTGCGGTCCCTGCAGCCTCACATGCTGCGTTCCCTGCAACCTCGCCCGCTGCGGTCTCTGCCGCCTCACCTTCTGTGGTCTCTGCAGCCCCACCTGATGCGGCCCCTACGACCTCACCTTCTGCAGTCCCTGCAGCCCCACCTGATGCGGCCCCTACGGCCTCACCTTCTGCGGTCCCTGCATCCCCACCTGCTGCGGTCCCTGCAGCCTCACCTACTGCGGTCCCTGCAGCCCCACCTGCTGCGATCCCTGCAGCCACGCCTGCTGTGGTCCCTACAGCCTCACATGCTACGTTCCCTGCAACCTCGCCCGCTGCGGTCTCTGCAGCCTCACCTTCTGTGGTCCCTGCAGCCTCACCTGCTGCGGCCCCTACGGCCTCACCTGCTGCGGTCTCTGCAGCCCCACCTGATGCGAGCTGTGCAGCCTCACCTGCTGCGGCCTCCGCAGCCCCACCTGATGTGATCTGTGCAGCCTCTCTAGCTGTGGTCTCTGCAGCCTCACCTGCTACGGTCTGTGCAGCCTCACCTGCTGCGGTCTGTGCAGCCTCACCTGCTGCGGTCTGTGCAGCCTCACCTGCTGCGGTCTGTGCAGCCTCACCTGCTACGGTCTGTGCAGCCTCACCTGCTGCGGTCTGTGTAGACCCACCTGCTGGGGCCTCTGCAGCCCCCCCTGATGTGATCTGTGCAGCCTCATCTGCTGCGGTCTGTGCACCCTCACCTGCTATGGTCCCTGCAGCCTCACCTGCTGCGCTTCCCACAGCCAACTCAGCTGTGGGTCCTGCTGCCCCATCTCCTGCGAAATCCGTCTCCATGGCTATGGCATCTGCCCTTTCCGTGGCTAAAATCACCCCCTCTAGCGTGCCTCTTTCAGCAGCCTCTGCTGTCCTTACTGTGTCCTCTGCTGTCCCCACCGTAACCCTTGCTGTCCTCCCGGCGTCCCTAGCTGTAGCTCCCGCATCCCTCGCCCCATTTCCTGCAGCAGTCCCGCCCGCCTCGGTCTCACGCTCGGCATTACCCTCATGCACGTCCAGGTCCAGAGCCCTGGCTTTCCCTTTCCCCTCCTCTCCTCTCTTGGCCACGGGTGGGGCATGCTTTGCTCCCCCTTTCAGCCCCCCAGTGGGGGTGGGGCCAGCTGTGTTCCCCAGGTTTGGGTCCGGTGCTTGTGTTTTTTTGTGCGACTTGGCCTTTCGGGTATGGGTGCGGGTGGGTGCGGTGGAAAGCGGCTCCGCGTCCTGCTGGGCTGCACTGTTGACGCATCCTGAAGAGGGGGGCTGTGGGGGGACAGGAGGATTGTGGCGCGTCTTAGAGCGTGGGTGTGCCCCCTCTCGTTCCTCGACATGCGCAGGTGGGTGTGGTTGTGTTCCTGCCTCTTCCAGGGCACGTTTTTTACCCCGGGGGTCAGTATGTGTGTCGCCGGTGACTGCCTGGTCGCTAGTGACCGGGTTTTTCTTAGCAGATGAAGGGGGAGGGTAGGGGGTGCGGCGGCTCGAGGTCCTGCCCGAGCGTCGGGCTGATCCGGACTCCGCCTCCTCCCCCCTGGGGGGACGGCGTGGCATGAATGACTACGGTGGCTGCATGGTCAGGGAAGGGAAGTGGTATGAAGGGGTGGGGTGTGGGAGAAAAGGGAGGACTCTGCGGGAGGGGATGGGCACTGGACAGGGGGAAAAGGTGGAGTAGGGGGTGAGCTGTAGGGTGCCAGTTCGGGGACTGCCAAGACAGGAAGAGAGGGAGTGGGGGAGATGGAGGAGCAGGGTGAGAGGAGGGGTGAAGACACAGAGTGGGACAGGGATGACAAAGGACAGTGCACAGGAGGTGCAGGGGGGCAGGGAGAGTAGGGGGGCTGGTGGTGGGAACTGGGAAGAGCCTGCAGGGGGCCGTGGAGGGGAAGTGAAGGATGGTGGTGGGATGGTGGTGGGGAGAAAACTTGGGTATGGGGCCGAGTGGGGGACTGAAAAGAGGTGTTGAAGATCACATGGACCTGTATTTCGGAATGTACTTTTGTTTTTGAAAATTTTCTTGCTTTTAAGCAATTTTCTTTGGTTTTTTATTTATTTTCTCTGAGCTGCGGGTATGCAGGTGGTGCTAGCTGCGGGGTATGCAGGTCGTGTTAGCTGCGGGGAGTGCGCGTACTACTGGCAGCGGGGTATGCGAGCTGTGATGGCGGCGGCTAAGCGGGCAGTGCTGGCGGCGGCTGTGCAGGTAGTCCTACTAGCGGCAACTAAACGGGCAGAGCTAACGGCGGCGGGCAGTGCTAGTAACGGCGGCTATGCGGGCTGTGCTAACGGCGGCTATACGGGTGTGCTGGCGGTGGCTATGCGGGCCGTGCTAGCAGCTTAAACTAAGGCCGCGGCGCGGCTAGTGTCATGCGCGACAGAGGAGAGGCTAGGGATGCCGCATACGCGATGCGCGGGCACCCGCGTTCGCGGCCTCCTGGCCCTCCGTTCAGCCTCGCTAAACAGCTAGCGCGTTTACGACTAGGACAAACGGGAAAACGGGAAAATGAGTAAAAATAGCCGAAGCGCGCGACTAATGTCTGAAAATTAGGGTTTCGGCAATGACGCAGACGGGGAAAACGGTGCTTAGGGAACTAGATCGCGGGTCTACGACGTGAGAGGGCGGCGCTAAGCGTGGTGGTTGCTTATCGATCGTATGGAAAACGGGAATAATCGCTACCCCGGGTGGAAGTTGATAACTTCGAAATGAAAAGCAGCGGGAAGAATGGAGCGGGGGGGTGGGAGGGAGTGTCGAGAGAGGAGGAAGGGCGGGTACACCGTGATTGGCGGGGTTGGAGAAGTGGGCCGCGCGCAGTGTTACTCGTCGCAGTGAACTTCGCGTCACCGCACCACTTCGCGTTACACCCGCTGCAGCGCGTCCGTAACGTCCCCACGATGGCGGGGTCCGACAGCCGATCCCGTTACATGCGGTAAGTACCGTTTCCGAGTGCCGAGAGGGTCGCGCCCGAAACTCGCGACCCTCCTCCCGTCGAACTCGACTATCGAAAATGGAAAACCAACCGTTGAAAATGCTTATAACTATAACATAAACAACTATCACGATCACTTTGTCCTTAAGCAACCCGAAATAGTAGGCTTAGCAACCTCCTTAGGGGGCAGCCATGGGTAGATGGGCGAGAGCAGTACTGGGCTGCCCAACGTAGTATAATGGTCAGTATCTCCGCCTGTCACGCGGAAGATCCGGGTTCGATCCCCGGCATCGGCAGTTTCGCTTTTGGCGATGTGCGGCAGATGCTGGGATATACGGCGGGTTCGACCCTCCTGCTACTGAGGAACTTCCGGACTGGCTGTCCGACTTCTCGCCTTCTGAAGTGCCTCAGCTCACCATTCCACTTCTTCATCAGGCCTTGCGGTCAGCCCCTCGCGGCACAGCTGCTGGCCCTTCTGGTTGGCTCATTGAGCACCTTCGCGATACCTTCCTTTCGTACCAGTCACACCTACCGCATCTTCTCCGCCTGTTCCAGAACTGGCTGCAAGGCGACCTCCCGCAAACAGTTCGACCTTACTTCACCGCATCTACTCTTGTTGCCCTTCAGAAGCCGCAAGGGGGCGTTCGCCCGATTGCCATCGGCGAGATACTGCCGCGCCTGCTGTCCCGTTGTGTTACTCTTCACTTCAAACAGCAGATCCGAGACTTCTTCCTTCCCTCCCTACAGTTTGGGGTCGCTGTCTCCGCAGGGATCGAGGTTATGGCCCATGCAGTCCAGTCGGCCCTTTCCCTCCACCCAGAGTGGGTTGTGCTGGAACTGGATGTTGCCAACGCCTTCAACTCCTTCAGCCGTTCTGCTATGTTCAACGCCCTGCGAGACTCCCCGTTCTCCAGCCTCATCCCTTTCTTCCGCCTCTTCTATGCCTCCCCCTCTTCTCTCCATTACCGCAGCGGCCCATTAATCGAGACACTGCAGTCATCATCGGGTGTTCGACAGGGTGACCCATGTGGGCCATTCTTGTTCGCCCTCACCCAGCACCTAGCCATTCGCCCCATCCAGCGTCAATCTCCAGCCCTTTTCATCACCTCCTACGCGGACGACACGTATATGGTCGGCCCTGCGCATGACGTGTTTCCTGCCTACACAGCGCTTACAGCTCGTCTCAATAACCTGGGCCTGAGGGTGCAACCATCAAAATGCTCCCTCTGGGCCCCTTTGGACCTCCCTTCGGACCTGACACCTCCATCAGACATCGTCATTGCCCCTAACGGACTCACGGTTGCAGGAGTGCCTATCGGATCGGACACCCACATTATCTCTACAGTTCGAGACAAACTGCACTCTTTCTCTTCATCACTGCCTCTCCTGCATGACCTTCATGATCCACAGACTGCCTCTCGCCTCCTTACTCTCTGCATTTCCGCCCGTCCCTCATTCCTCCTCCGCACAGTGGCACCATTTCCCTAGGTAGAAGAGCTTTACACTGACTGGGACAACACCTTGCTCGATCACTTTGTTCGCCTCATCGGCTCTGACTACTGGCCTCCTGCATTTGACCACACTGCCACAGCACACCGACAGCCATTCCTTCCCATTCGCCTTGGTGGGTTCGGCCTCCGTTCTTCAGCTGCAACTGCTTCTCTCAGTTACTTGTGCAGCTGGGCACAGACAGTTTCACTCCTCTCGTCATGCTTCACCATTCATGGCTCCCCTATCTTCCGCCCCTTCATCACTTCAGACACCATGGACCGCCTTGACCCATGCATTCCTACAGCCATGTCCAAACTTCATCCTACCATTCGGCAGCACTTCCCTACCTGGCCCGCACTTCACGCTGGCTATCCACAGAAGCTATACTCCTACCTTTCACAGCACTTGGAGGCTGTCATGCTCGAGCGCGTGCGATCCACAGTAACCTCTCCCCAACATTTGGCCCGTTTAACCTCCTTACAAGGGCCCCATGCTGGCGATTGGCTTTCTGTGGCTCCATGTTCTTCGCATATGCAGCTGTCACCTACGGAGTGGTGTATTGCAGCCGCTATTCGTCTTGGCCTCCCCATTCCACACCTCACGACCACCCGCACATGCACTTGTGGCTCGGCATTCACAGACCCTTCAGTCGTCTCTCACGTCCTCCGCTGCCCATCCTCTAACGAGCCTACCAGGGTCCACGACGCCATCAAGCATGAGGTCCATCGCATCACGTCCGAGCTTGGTTACGTTGTGCAGCTGGAGGACTCCCACCTTCTTTCAGGTCGTCGCCCAGACATCAGCTGCCGTGACATCAGCTCTGGGACTACGTGGGCATTAGATGTTTCTGTTGCAGACCCCCAGCATGGTCCCCCAAACTCCAAGACTGCATCAGTAATCGGTTCAGCTGCATCTGCTCGCGAAACTGAGAAGCGGACCCAGTATGCATCTTCGTTACAAAACCGCCCAGACGTGAAGCTTCTTCCTCTTGTTCTTTAAACCTTCGGTTGCTTCAGCACGGCATTTCTCAGCTTCATCAAAGACTGCAGCAGACGAGGGGCGACTCGACTTCGTGACATGGGTGGTGCATCTGACCTGATTCCAGAGCTCTTCGAGACTAGCTACTTCAAGAGGATTTCCTTGGTGCACCAGCGTGAGCAGGCTCGAACCATCTGCCGTCGGACACAAATTCGTTACAGTGTTGACACACCCTCCGCCCCACCAGATCCCACCCCACCTTCCTTGGCTGATTTTGCGTACCTTGGTGTTGGTTCTTGAGACCTCATTGGGGGTCTCAGCCTAGGGTTGCAGTTGGGCCATTTCTAGTTAGCTAGCCTTCTGATGCTCAAATCCGTCTGTATCTTTTGTACACATATACATTGTAAATAAAGCGGTCAGTATCTCCGCCTGTCACGCGGAAGATCCGGGTTCGATCCCCGGCATCGGCGGTTTCGCTTTTGGCGATGTACGGCAGATGCTGGGATGGGGGGTTGAAAAGCTTGTGGGAAAACTCCAATCCAGGGATGGGGGGTTGAAAAGCTTGCCCTAAACTCCAATTCAAAAGGCTGCATGCTCTTAAAGCCCCCTCTGTTTTTCTGAGTTGAGAGCGCAATCGGTGGTAATGTGTCAAACATCATTCACCCATGCTCCTCAGATTGCTGCAAGCACTAGCTTCTGCTGAAGCATGCATCAGTTTCAATAACATAGAAGATGCATGGTATGTCTACTGTACACATGGGCTTGACACACTGAACAAGAATCTTAACCTTGTATACACCCATTGGATACATGTCAGATGGTAACATGGCAGATGCTGACGTGGCATATGGTAGTGCAACGGATGATGATGTGGCAGATGGTGATGTGGAACTAAAAGTTCAGGTATTGTTGAAAGTAGACGCACGTTTGAGGGGAAATGATGCCACCATCCGAGCACTCGTTGATCACCTGCATTTGTGACAATAGTAAAGGAAGCGACAGAAAGAAAAAGGCAAAGAAAGAAAGACCAAGGGAAGAAAGAAGAAAAAGACCCAAAACTTATACATACAGGGCAGACGTAGAAAAAAAGTGGTACTCACAGGGCAGCCTAGTTTTGAGGCGCCTCAAAATCGGTACTCACAGGGCACACCTCGCAGGGTATGTTGGTGAATGCAGATGTTTGAGCGAGGGGCACTCAAGCAGAAAAGGCAGAAAAACAATTGTTCACCGATAAGACAAATGAAACACTGCAATGACTCACAGGGCACACCCCGCAGGGTATGTTGGTGAATGCGGATGATTCTGGAGCTCGAGATCTTGATGGTCGATACACCTCCGCTCCCTGGTGGGTGTGGTGTGGTGGAGATGTGCGAAGGGAGGCGGAGAGGTGCTGAACTAGGTGGACAGGTGTGTGAACACATGGGTTTCGATTTGAACAATCACGTGCTTGAAGTAGTGTTTTGAGACGTCTCAAAAAAACTACTTCAAACACGAAGGGAGGCGAAGAGGTGCTGAACTAGGTGGACAGGTGTGTGAACACATGGGTGTTGAACAATCTGGTCTGGTCGCACACCAATGCTTCACTATAGGATGTTGCATTATATGAATCATGTGGCAATCATGAATCCCGTGGTTAATACGCTGCATAAAGTAAACAACTAGACAATTAGACAAGGCTGTGTACTCAGAGAGATGACTTTTGAATTCCAATGGAACACCATGTAGGTGCCATGGTTCAATACGTGGCAGCAACTGTTAGTAAAGAACACCTTGAGAGTAGTTTGTTTGAGTGCTTGTTTGAAAACTCGTGTGTAAAAAATCCGGTGGTAACCGGTTTCGGCGTATGAGCCTTCTTCAGACAAGAATAGACATTTAAACAAGGCTGTGTACTCAGAGAGATGACTTTTGAGTCGATTCAAATGTCACCTCATTACAATGTCACACAGAAATAAGAGATGACTCGAATCAAGAGTGGGGGCGCGAGGGAATTCTCACCACTTTTTTGAGGCGCCTGAAAAGACGATTTTTAAGGCGCCTCAAAAAGAGATGAGTCAAATCAAGAGTGGGGGCGCGAGGGAATTCTCTCTCACCACAGGGAAGCGTGAGTCCTTGCCAGAGCCGGTGCTGATAAACACGTCTAGCTCGCGATCAAACACGAGCGTGCTGATGACCTGGCGTGGCATGTGGAGGGTGGGGGGCAGGGGGGTATGATTGGATTGGATGGATGCTTGTGGCTTGTGGCTTGCAGCCGGTGCTGATAAACACGTCCAGCTCACGATCGAACACGAGCGTGCTGATGACCTGGCGTGGCATGTGGAGGGGGGCATGTGAGCGAGTGGATGATTGTGGCTCATGTATTGTGCGGTACAGCCAGCCAGTGCTTATGAAGACGCCCAGCTCTCGATCAAACACGCGCGTGCTGATGACCTGGTGTCTGTGTGCGTGTGGGGAGGGGGGCAGAGGGGGATGATTGGGTCAATGCATATGGCATGTGGCATATGGCATGTGGCGTGTTGCATGTGGCATGTGGCATGTGGCATGTGGCATATAGCATGAGATAGTCTTCCTTTCTCAGGTCCTCTTCTCCACAACCCCACAACCCCCACAAGCCCTTTGGTTCAAATCCAGACTTTTGAGTCGACTCAAAAGTCAGCTCCTTTTCTAACTAAACACAGCCGCTGCCACGCAACGTCATGCCTCCTAAGTGGGGTTCCCTTAGTCCTCCTCTGCCACACAACCCCACAACCCCCACAACCCCACAACCCCCACAACCCCCCCTTTGCTTCAAATGGCTTGAACAAACCACAAGGATACAGCACTCCCTTCATCTCCCCATCTCAATCCACCCACCTGTCTAAAATCTTCCATTCTCAGGTCTTCTCTGCCCCCACTGCCAGCCCTCCTCACTGCCTCCACCACCCCCTCGAGCGTATCGCCTCCCTGCCCCAACAGGGCAAGGGGAAAGGGGAAAATGGAAACAGGCAGAAGGGAAAAGGGAAAGCGAAGTATATAAGAGTCTGCCCCCACTGCCTGCCCTCCTACCTTCCTCCACCAGCCCTTGGAGCATATTGCCTCCCTGCTCTGCCCCATACAGTGGGAAAAGGAGAATGCAAGGGTGGAAATAAGAAACAAAAGGGAACCACGTAAGAGTTTATATATATATATATATATATATATTTTTTTTTCATTTCATTTTTTTTTCTTTTCATTTCATACAACCACGAAACGGAATCTCATACAAGCAGTGAAGGCATAGCAATCGTACCAGCTTGACAATGTGTAAGAGGCACAGCTGCCTTAGCGCTTGAATAAACCCGGCGTCGAACTCAGCATGGGTGTACCATGCCACCCCTGTCACCTCTAACTTTCAAAAGCCAACACGCCACACACAGTACCACATACAGACCCACTGTAAGGCACAGGTATGATGCATACAGACCCACTGTAAGGCACAGGTATGATGCATACAGACCCACTGTAAGGCACAGGTATGATGCATACAGACCCACTGTAAGGCACAGGTATGATGCATACAGACCCACTGTAAGGCACAGGTATGATGCATACAGACCCACTGTAAGGCACAGGTACGATGCATACAGACCCACTGTACACACCAGCTTCACAATGTGTGTCAGGCACAGCTGCCTTAAAGCCGAAATGAACTCGGCGTCGAACTCCGCATCGGTGTACCACGCGCCTCCTGTCACCTCCCGGGATGGCTCGAGCTCATATAGCATGTATAGCTTGCGGCTCTTGTTCTGCATGGGAGAGGGGAGAGACGAGCGAGGGGAGAAACACGGGTCAGGGAGTAAGGAGAGGAAGGCACGAGGAGAATGGCTCGAGCTCAAATAGCATGTAGAGCTTACGGCTCTTGTTCTGAGAAAGCAGAAGCACAGGGAGCGCAGGGAAGCACGGAGGAGCAGAGGGAGCAGAGGGAGCAGAGGGAGACATTAGGTATCGGTGACTCGTGTTGACCGCTTTGGCTTGCATTGACCGCTTTGGCTTGCATTGACCGCTTTGGCTCGCGTCGCGTTGACCGCTTTGACTCGCGTTTTACCGATTTTAATGCACTTGTAATGTTGACTGCCTTGACTCACGTTGACTGCCTTGACTCACGTTGACTGCCTTGACTCACGTTGACTGCCTTGACTCACGTTGACTGCCTTGACTCACGTTGACTGCCTTGACTCACGTTGACTGCCTTGACTCACGTTGACTGCCTTGACTCACGTTGACCGACTTGACTGCCTTTATCAGCTTCCTTCCCTCCAGTGTCTTGATGATCTTGGTGATCTGCGGCTGCTGCAGGTTGATTGTTTTGTGGACCGACTTTACTGCAACCTCTCACATTGACTATTTTGACTCACGTTGACTGATTTGACAGCCTTTATCAGCTTCCTTCCCTCCAGAGTTTTGATGATCTTGGTGATCTGCGGCTGCTGCAGGTTGGTGCGCGTCTTCATGTCACGCGTCCAGATGCCTGTTAAACGGGGGTTTAGGGTATGGCAGGGGGTATATATTAAAGCTTGGTGGTGCGGGTGAGAGGGAAGGCAGAGTGGGGGCAGCAGGACAGGGTGATCTGTGGCTGCTGCAGGTTGGTGCGGGTCTTCATGTCCTGCGCCCAGATGCCTGTTGGATGGAAAGTTGATGTCCGGGGGAGGGGGGGATGAAGTATGGTGGGGTTGAGAGGTAAGGCACAGTGGGGCCAGCAAGGGAGGGAGATCTGTGGCTGCAGCCTGCAGCAGGTTGGTGCGGGTCTTCATGTCCCGCGCCCAGATGCCTAAGGCGCGAGGTACGGTACAGGGAGGTGATGAAGAGTTGGAGGGAAGTAAGGAGGCGAAAAGGGGAATGAAGAGGGAAGGAGGAATACAGAAGCCTTCGGCTCGGCGGCATCTTCACTCCACGAGTCAAGATGCCTGCGGCAGTAAATCAAAGTAAAAATGACAGGAGACAGAAATGCTAATATGCACACGTGAAATAAGAAGTGTTTTGAGACGTCTCAAAACACTTCTGATTACAAGATGCCTGCGGCAGTAAATAAAGGTAAAAAAATGAAAGGCGACAGAAATGCTAAATCTGAGTCGCTTTTGGGAATTCTCGAAGGGAGAAAGAAATGTGGGCAGCAGCCAAGGCAGCCAGATAGGGCTGGCACCCACCCAGCACCGACTTTTGAGGCCGTCAAGAACCCAGCACCGCAAGCAGCAAGCAGGCAAACTGCTGACAGTGCTAGCAGCAAGAGGGAGGGTGCATACCTGCGTTGCCTGCGTGCTTGATGGCATGATACAGAAGCAGATCCTCTGAACTCAACCCCTTCACAGCACCAAGGAAGCGCGCGTACATGTGTTTTGCCTGCTTCATTTCATACCTGCACTGCCTGCTTGCCTACCTGCGTTGCCTCCCTGCTTGATGGCTTGATACAGAAGCAGATCCTCTGGACTCAATCCCTTGAACCTGGTGGGATGGGGATGCGAAGGGAGGAGGGGGGAAACGGCAGGTTTGAAATGGCAGGTATGGAAAGGGATGTATGGAATTGCAGGCATGGCATGGAATGGGGGTATGGAAATCAAGGTAGAGAACAGTAGGTATGGGAATGGCAGGTAAAAAGTCAGAGGTATGGAATGGGGGGTGTGGAATGGCAGGTAGGGAAAGGGAGGTTTGGAACGGTATGTATGGAATGGCACGCATAGGGAGGAAAAACCAGCACTCACTGCATGGCTTGGTCTTGGCTGACGCGTGTGTACAGGAGAGTGTTCACCCGATGAGAGGTGGCGGGTGGATTTCTCGCATTGCTACATTGAATCATGGTTACCTTGCACCACTCTCATCAGCACCACTGGTCTTGACTGACGTGCTTGTACAGAAGAGTGCCACCCCATTTGAGGTGGCGGGTGGATTTCTCGCATTGCTACATTGAATCATGGTTACCTTGCACCACTCTCATCAGCAGCACTCACTGCACGGCTTGGTCTTGGCTCACGTGCTTGTACAGGAGCGTATCACCCGATTTGAACAGCTGAAGCGCTCTCTAAAGAGGATAAGATACAGCACAGAGCGATCCGGAGGGGAAAGGGGGAGGCAGCTGGGAATTTGGCGCCTTGAGAACCGATTTGAACAGCTGGGAATAAAACGGAGTGCAGAGGGATCCAAGGGGTACGAGAAAAGGGGGCATGCGGGGGACGGGGGAAGGAGAAAGAGGGTTGGGGAGAGAAGGAGAGGGTAGTTGGGAAAGAAGAATGACATCTGACTTACACTCACAAACCGGCATCATGCTGGTTGAACAGGTGTACTGGTATGATTGAGTGTACACAGATTAACATACACACACAACCGCGCACACAAGTTACAACACACAGAAAAGCCATACCTTTTGCAGCAGCCCCCATCACACATGCGAGTGTATGACATTCCTTAACAACCATAAACAACCGCAAACAACCGCACACAACCGCACAGACAACAGCTGTACCTTTTGCAGCAGCCCATTGATGGCATTAACTCGGTCAGCCAGAGGCGGCAAGCATGAATCCTCAAACATATACACGCACACAACCGCACACAACCACAAACAACCGCACACAAGTTAACATACACACGAAAGCCATACCTTTTGCAGCAGCCCATTGATGGCTTGGACTCGGTCGGCCAGAGGCACGTATGAGAGCTCGGACTCGAGAATCTTATCCGATAGACCCTGGATTGGATTTGATGGGGTGGATTGGATACACAAAATTAGATTGGATAAGATAACACTGAGGTGGATAAGAGAGAGTTGAGGTCCACACGACGGCATTAAGGTGAATAAGAGGGATATTAATCGAGAAGAGAGCACTAGATTGGATATTAAAGCAAATGTGATACCACAGCATTGGATGACATAGGAATAACCCCGCCATTGCCACTCACCTTCCCCAAAGCTAGCACGTGATTCCTCCCTACCTCGGTGTCCTCCTCCTGGCATTCCCAGGAGTCCCTCATCCGGCTAACCTCTTGAAGCCATACCTCGGGGTTCTCCTGGCACAGACAGCTCCAGAATGCTCTTCTCTTCTCTTCTCCAGCGATGAAAGCGACGGCAGCCACGACAGCGACGAGACGACCCCAATGACACCTCGGATTAGAGTGCTTTCTCAGAAACTCGCACGCGATCTTTACCTCAGAGTTCCCTTAAAGCCCTACCTCGGGGTTCTCCTGGCACAGACAGCTCCAGGATACTCTTCTCCAGCGACGACAGCGACGACAGCGACGACAGCGACGACAGCGACGACAGCGACGACAGCGACGACAGCGACGACAGCGACGACAGCGGTGACAGTTTGATTATGACGCCTTCTCGGCAACTTGCATGTAAGTTTTACTCCCCGGGTTCTTCTGGCATTAACCCTTCACCCATCTGCTTCATACCTCGGGGTTCTCCTGGCACAGCTCGAGGATACTCGTCTCCAGCGACGACAGCGGTGACAGCTCAGGTTATAGAGCCTTTTTTCTCCACACAGTTCAATTCAACTATGCCCAAGAGTTCTCTTAAAGCCCTACCTCGGGGTTCTCCTGGCACAGCTCCAGAATGCTCTTCTCCAGCGACGACAGCGATGATCCCGCCATTGCTTCCTAGCAGTCGCTTTCCGAGCCTCCTAGCTCACAAGCCTCCAAGCCTCCAAGCCTCCAAGCCTCCTACCCTCCAAGCCTCCTAGCTTCCGAGCCTCCTATCTTCCAAGCCTCCTATCTTCCAAGCCTCCTTTCTTCCAAGCCTCCTATCTTTCAAGCCTCCTAGCTTCCAAGCCTCCTATCTTCCAAGCCTCCTAGTTTCCAAGCCTCCAATCTTCCAAGCCTCCTATCTTCCAAGCCTCCTATCTTCCAAGCCTCCTATCTTCCAAGCCTCCTAGCTTCCAAGCCTCCTATCTTCCAAGCCTCCTATCTTCCAAGCCTCCTATCTTCCAAACCTCCTGGACTCCAAGCCTCCTATCGTCCAAGCCTCCTGGACTCCAAGCCTCCTATCTTCCTTCCTAGCCTCCTAGACACCAAGCCTCGTAGCTTCGAAGTCTCCTAGCCTCCTAGCGTCCCCCTTTTTCTTCATCCCCTCTGGAATGACTTCTGAGTCGATTAAGGGTACAAGCTCCCTAGCCTTCTAGCATCCTAACCTCCTAGCCTCCGAGCAATCCCCCCCTCTTCAAACCCCTCCCCTGCTTCTTCTTTTTGGTGTGCTGACGGTTCGCGTGCTGCCCAGGCGACTGCGATCTAGCCAGCACGATTGCCCGGTAAGACACCGCGCTATCAGTGTTCTGATCAGACAGCTAGCTGTAAGACACTGTGCTATCAATGTCCTTAAAGTGACTGTCAGCTACGACACTGTCCCAAACTGCCACTCCGCGTCCTGACAGTTACCGATCGTTCTGGCCGATCGCCGGTCTGAGACGACTCTAACACGTAAAGCGGCTGTCGCCTTTTGAGGCGCCTCAAAAGTCAGCTATGACACTGTCTCGAACTGCCACTTCGCTATCAATGTCCTGACAGTTACCGGTCGTTCTGGCCGATCGGTCTGAGACGACTCTAACACGTAAAGCGGCTGTAGTCTAGGCGAAAGGGCAAGAAAACGGAAGGAGTGTTTAACACTAGCAACAACGTAGCTGGACACGAAATCAGGAGCTAATGCGGGCTTTTTTATCGGCGCGCCGATGACGGAAACAGCGTCAGAAGAGAGAACGGGAGAAGCGGTAAAAGGCACAATTAACGAATATTTGTGAGAGTCTGAAGCCAATAAAGGACTGTGGGCGGGAGCAGCGCCACTCAGAACACGGGACTTGCAAAAGGAAGCAAAAGGAATGTGTGCTGTTGGCGGGATTCTGGAAAACTCAACTTAGGAATCATTCAAGGTGTGGTATTTTCCGTTTGCTGCACTACGTACCAGTAAGTTGGAAACCGCTTAACTAAGAAGTCACAGCATCTGGTAGGTATTACCAAACCCTTATACCATCGACGAAACAAATTCATCTCTCTGGCTGACACAGGTTCACTGTCTCTTGCTTCACGATTCACGACCTCATCGGCGCATCTGAAAAACAGTTCCACTTCGAACTTCGCCAAGCCAAGCCGAATTTCGAAACTGAACTGAAAATATATGTAAGCTTCTCAATAAACATTCTCTACAGTCTTGGGCTTGCTCCACTCCTACAACCTCGGAAAACCCGTTACAAGCTCACAAATGCATCCCATCCCATCACATCACATCACATCACATCACATCACATCACATCACATCACATCAAAATACGTCAATCTGCAGGCCAGGGAATAATGGGAGGCTCGACTATGCGGCATTCTTCGATTTAGTCTCATTAGGGTTTATTTTCCTTCACCACGTGCTTAGCCCACTTTAGCTTAGCTGCACTCTTGCCGTCCATGGCGACGATAGAGTCTAGCAGCAACTTGGACGCAGCAGGCGATCCCTCCGCGTCCGCCGCTAACGAACCCGCGAGTTTCGACGCGGCTCCAGCATCGTTTGAAGAAGCCCCATCTGCGTTTCAAGAGTCTTCGTCAAGCGCAGATGGTGCTTCGAATCAGCTGCCGGAATCTTCTCCGCAGGGACCCACGGGGCCCTCCATCGGTCCTGACTCGGCGACGTATACCGGCGAACCGACAACATATAATGGCGAATCTGCACCGTATAACGGCGACTCGGCGACGTATAATAACGAATCTGCACCGTATAACGGCGAATCGACGACCTACGGTCCAGATTCCACGCAAGATCAGATCGACGGAGGATCCGAATCAAATTCCAACTTCCCGTCGTCCTTATCCGTATCTTCCAGCCTCCCAGCATCCCTATCCGCCTCCTCCCCATATCCCGCCGTAATCGCTCCGCAAGGGATCAACCCAGCTCCTTACCCTCCTCAGAACATGGCGCTCTCTCAGCCTAGCCCGGGACCCCAGGCCGTTCCTGTAACGAACGTAGTCTCTCCTTATCAGCACTTTCCCGGATCGTCACCGGATCAGTACCCGTCGCTATTTCAGCAGTACCAGCCCTGGAACAGCCACGCGGGGGGGCCTTTCGGTATGCCTCCGCTGCTCCCCGGCGCTCCGCAACAGTTCCCCCCCGCCTCCCCGCAGCAGTATTCCCCCGCCCCCCCGCAGTTTCCCCCCGCTTCCCCCCAACAGTTCGCCCCGCCCTCCCCGCAGTTTCCGCCAGGGTCCGCGCAGCAGTTCCCCCCAGCGTCCCCCCATCAGTTCCCCCCAGCATCTCCGCAGTTCCCCCAAGGCTCCGCGCAGCAGTTTCCGCCGCAACAGTTTCCCCCGCAGCAGTTTCCGCCGCAGCAGATGTTTGGAATGGGGTTTGCGCGGGGACCGCCGGGACAGTTTTCCCCTTCCCCCAATTTCTCTCCGCCAACCATGTCCGCGCAAAACGTTCCCCCCGGTCTGGGCGCGCAAGCCATGAGTCCGCTGATGGGTCCGCCTTCAGGTTTCGGCCCCCATAACATCCCCCGTAACGTAAACGCTAACGTTAACGTTAACGGGCCCGCTGGTTACAATGCTCCCGGCCAAGGGTTTGGTAACCCGGGTCAGGGAAATTTCGCGAATCGGAATCCTAATAACCCTAGAAGAGGGCCGTATCAGCAGCAGCAAAAACATCATTATCAGCAGCAGCAGCAGCAGCAGCAGCAGGGGAATTACCGTAATAACCCCCCGCACACGCAGGGAAACGCTAATTATAACCATGCAAAGAATATGGACGAATTAGAGGAGATGTTGAAAAAGCTGAATCCGGATGCTAAGGCGTATTCTCCGCCTTCGGGGGGAGCTGGGGGGGGAAGAGGCGGAGGAAGGAGGGGGGGCGGGGAGGACAACAGGAGCAACGGCGGAGGGAGGGGGAAGGGGGGACGGGGAGGAGAAGGGGGAGGAGGATCCGGGGGTGGAAACGCAGACGGTCAGCAGCAGGGTGACGTGGCGGCTTCTGATGGTGCCACGTCAGCACGGAACGGACAGGTGTCTCCGAATGGGAGGCAGCAGGGGATGGAGGGGCGGCAGAGTCAGCAGCAGCAGGGGCAGATGAAGGTGTGTTGAGGTGGTAACCAGGAGGTGTGTGGTGGTGGTAACCAGTGGTTGAGGTTACTTTTCGTCCATCAAGGCTTTTGAAGAGTTGTTTCATGTGCCAAGAGCTCAATTGCAAGCTATTGTCTTAATTGTTGCTGCTTTCACTTGAAAAGACAGAGGCAGAGGGAGGATGAGAGAGGAGCTGAGAGAGGGGCAGAGAGAGAGGGGCAGAAGGAAAGAAAAGCAGAGAGAGAGGGGCAGAAGGAAAGAAAAGCAGAGAGAGAGGGGCAGTGGGAAAGAAGGGCAGAGAAAGAGGGGCAGATGGAAAGAAAGGCAGAGAGAGAGGGGCAGAGGGACAGGTTCAAACAGACATTCTTATTGGTGCTCACGTCTTTTGGCCCTGGTATCGAATGTGTGTTTCTCAAAATCCCGTGCCACTGTTATACACATACAGAATAAAGGTTCTGGCGCTGAAAACGCGGGGATGGCTTTTGAGGCGGTTCAAAAGTTGTTTCGAACTCTTTCCCACGCCATGCATACACGTGCAGAATAAAGGTCCTGGCGCTGGCAACGCGGGGATGGGAGGGGGTGGCGCTGGTGGCGGCGGTGGTGGCAGCGCTGCTGGTGGTGGTGGGGGTGCGAATCAGCGGAGGGGGCAGCAGGCGAGGGCGGGGCAGCAGCCCACGGAGGAGAGCACTCAGAGGACAGTCTATGTGTCTGACATTGACCACCAGGTGAGCTGATTGGATTGGTTGTTGGTTGGTTGGTTGGAATGGCGAAACCAGTGGTGTGTTGTTGACATGACAACAAGCACAGAGGGCAGCAGCAAACGGAGGAGAGCACTCAGAGAACGGTCTATGTGTCTGACATTGACCACCAGGTGAGCTGTTTCTGGAACTAATGGTGGAAAATCAGCACATGGGCAGCAAGCAACAGTGGAGAGAACCCGTACAGCACAGGACGGCCTACGTGCCTGAAATTGACCACCAGGTGAGTTATTGCTGGAACGGTGGAACCAATGGTGCTGCTGCTGCTGGCATTGGATGCGATGGTGTGTAAGTACCAATACTGTTGCCATTGCCAACAGCCCACGGAGGAGAGCTCCCAGAGGATGTCCTATGTGTCTGACACTGGGTTGGATTGGTTGTCAGTTGGAATGGAATAGTGAGATTATCCCCCCGTCCCTTTTTGCGAGCCGATTGAAAAAACTCTGTGCACCTTATCCCATCCCATACCTGCCTGTGATCACGTCCGCAGGTGACAGAGGAGCAGCTGGCTACCCTCTTTCTCTCCTGTGGCCAGGTGAGTTTTCAGGTGCCTCGAAGCTTCAGGTGAATCTTCAGGTGCATCATAGCTTCAGGTGAGTTTCCAGGTGCCTCCGTATTTCCTGGTGAGTTTTCATTCAGGTGCCTCATAACTTCACCTGAGTTGTCAGGTGCGTCAAAAGTTCCCACATGCCTCCTAAATCCATGCACCCTCCTAAATCCATGCACCCTCCTAAATCCATGCACTTTCTTTCCATGCATGCCATGTCTCTGTCTATCTCAGGTGATGGACTTGTTCATCGGATCTGTTGGGGGGGAGTGGGGTGTGCAACTGACGTTTGAGTTGACGCAGAAGTTATATTTTTATTTGTATATATATATACACGTATATATAAAGACACACCTCTTTCCATGTTTTCGTGCCTCTGTCTGTCTCAGGTGGTGGACTGTCGGATCTGTGGGGACCCCAACTCGGTGCTCCGATTTGCGTTTGTGGAGTTCACAGACGAAGGTAGGTACGCTGCAAGTGAGCAAAGGTGACTTTCGAGTCGAGTAAAAAGGGAACCCCAACTCAAAAAGGGGATCCCAACTCAAAAAGAGGACCCCAACTCAAAAAGGGAACCCCAACTCAAAAAGGGGACCCCAACTCAAAAAGGGAACCCCAACTCAAAAAGGGGATCCCAACTCAAAAAGGGGACCCCAACTCAAAAAGGGAACCCCAACTCAAAAAGGGGATCCCAACTCAAAAAGGGGACCCCAACTCAAAAAGGGGACCCCAACTCAAAAAGGGAACCCCAACTCGGTGCTCCGATTTGCGTTTGTAGAGTTTACAGATGAAGGTACGCTGCAAGCTGGCATGGCAGTACGTCAATCAGTGTCAGGTCAACTAGTGCCGACGTGTCAACAGCCAGTCAGTGAGTGAAAAAAGCGAGTAACTTAACTTGTCCCCCGTGTAAAAGCCATAACGTTATTCCTTTTCTCCGCACCTCTCTTGCCTTGTCTCGTCCGTCCCTCTCATTTCACCAGAGGGGGCCAAGAACGCTCTGAGCATCGCAGGCACGATGCTGGGATACTACCCTCTCAGATTGCTCCCCTCGTTTCCCTCATCTCTTTCCTCGTCCGTCTCCTCTGCTAATCCCTTCTTGTCTCTTCCCTCTCATTTCACCAGAGGGTGCCAAGAACGCATTGAGCATCGCAGGCACGATGCTAGGGTACTACCCTCTCAGGGTGCTCCCTTCCAAGACCGCCATTCTGCCTGTCAACCCCACCTACCTCCCCAAGGTGCTGTAACCTTTCCGATGCATAGTATGGTGTTGCTGGGTGCTGCTGGGTGTTGCTGGTTGTTGCTGGGTGTTGCTGGTTGTTGCTGGGTGTTGCTGGTTGTTGCTGGGTGCTGCTGGGTGCTGCTGGGTGCTGCTGGGTGCTACTGTTGGAGGAATGACCCCATTGAAGATTTAGCTAGTGGTAGTTGCTCTGTTAACCGTTGTTAACCGTTGTTAAACGTTGGTAACCATAGGGACTTCAAATATTCTCTCCCCCCCCTCTTCCCTGCCACACCCTTTTGCTGCACCATGCACTGCGCTTCGTTCGTCCCCCGTGTTTGTCACATCGGAGTCAGGAGGAGAGGGAGATGTGTGCTCGCACTGTAACTTTGAGTTGACTCAAAAATCTCCCCCTTCCCCCCCACCTGCTCGCATACCCCATACTGGTTGTTGCACTGTGCATCTCGTTTCCTTCGTCCCCCGTGTTTGTCACATCAGAGTCAGGAGGAGAGGGAGATGTGTGCTCGCACTGTTTATTGCACCAACATTGATAAGAAGGTGAGGCGAGAGGAAAGGCAAGAATGTGAGGCGAGAGGGTAAGGGGAACAAGGGGAGATAGCACAGAGTCAAGAGGAGAGGGAGGTGTGTGCTCGCACGGTGTATTGCACCAACAAGAAGGTGAAAAGAAGAAGAGGGGAAATGGAAAAAGGTGAAAGGGAGGAAATGCAAAAAGGTGAAAGGGAGTGGTGGTAAGAAGGCGAGGCGAGAGGAAAGGCAAAGAGGGGAGGCGGGGTGAGAGTTGAGGTGATAGTCAAGACGTGGATTCCTCCGTTCTGCTGCTCGGCTGGTAAGGTTTTGCTTCTCCCTTGAGAGATTCTCCTCAATAGAGAGCAACCAGTCGGCTGGATGGGATTCAATAGATTCTCCTCGGCTGCTCACCTTCTGAATTGCTAACCCCACCCACCCACTCAGTAGAGAGATTGTTGAGAGATTCTTCCAGCAGTTGACATGCTTTCGTTTTCATCATCAATTACCAGTCGAACTCTTTCGTTTCTTCCATCACCCCCTCGCTCACCACCCTCCCTCCCTCACTCCCTCACTCACTCCCTCACTCACTCCCTCACTCACCGCAGGTCACCCAGGCAGACGTGAAGCTCTTCTTTGAGTCACTCTGCGGAGAGGTAAGCCAAGGTTTAGTGCGGTTGAGGGGAAGATGGAGAAGAGGATAGGGGAGAGGAGGGGAGGGGAAGAGCAGTCATCCTGCTTGATTCTATCCAGACTGTGTGTTTCTGCCTTGCTTCCATGTATACTGGTGCGACTTTTGAGAATTCTCGAAAGTCGCTTCCATGTATACATGAGCTCCGTCTGCTGGGAAATCACCTCACTCCTCCATCCGCATTGTGTTCCTTGCCTTTCCACCCGTCCTCGCCTCCGCATCTCCCCTCCCAACCCAACACCCCTCCCATCGTCTCTCTTCTTTTTCAGCTCTCTCGACTCCATCTGTTGTGCGATTACCATCACTTCACCTACCCGCGTAGATTCTTTACCTGTCCTCCTGTCCCCCCCCTGTTTTCTCCCCCCCTTTTCGTCCCCTTCCTGCCTCTCAGATCTCTCGCCTTCGTCTGTTGGGCGATTACCATCACTCCACCTGCATTGCATTCCTTACCGCTCCCCCCCATCTCCTGTCCCACTCCTCCTTTCCATCTTCCCTCCTCTTTCTCAGATCTCCCGCCTTCGTCTGCTGGGCGATTACCATCACTCTACCCGCATCGCCTTTGTTGAATTCGTGATGGTGGGTGATGTGGCAGGGTGGTTGAGGGGTGGTGAGAGGTGATGATTGGTGAGGGGTGATGGTGGGTTGATGGTGGGTGATGGTGTTTTCTTTTGTCACATCCAATAGGTGACTCCACTTGCTATACAAGGCATCTTGATTCTTCACACCTGGATAAGCTCCCTGCACCTGGATAAGCTACCTGCACAAAGCTCCCCCCCTTCCTAGCTAACCTCCGCTTTCTAACTGAACATCTCTTCACCTCTGTTCAACTCTCTGCACCCCTCTGCATCTCTTTGCACCTTTCCCTCCTCCAGGCTGAGAGCGCCATGGCGGCGCTTAACTGCAGTGGAGCTATTCTGGGCTCACTCCCCATCAGGTCCGTTTCGCACCTCTCTTCACCTCTCTGCACCGTCCCGCACCTATCCTCACCTCTATTTCTTTCACAAGCAGTGAGCGCCATGGCGGCTCTTAACTGCAGTGGGGCCATTCTGGGCTCGCTCCCCATCAGGTCCGTTCCGAAGCTCCCTGCACCACTCCGCACTTCCCTGCACCACTCCGCACTTCCCTGCACCACTCCGCACTTCCCTGCGCCACTCTGCACCACTCTGCACTTCCCTGTACTTCTCTGCTCAAAGATCCCATGTGTATCAATCGTCTCGTCAAACCCCCTTTGTGCCCACTGGCGTTCAACTTTACCCCCCCCTGATCCATCAGAGTGAGTCCTTCCAAGACCCCTTTTCTGTGCGCCATCGAGCGGCCAGGCAACACCTGCTGTCCCCTTTGGCTCCACCCTTACCCCTTCCCCCCATGTTGTCCCCGTCCCCCTCTTCCCCGTCCCACAACCCTCCCCCCCATCAGAGTGAGTCCTTCCGAGACCCCTGCGCTGTGCGCCATCGAGCGGCCAGGCAACACTTGCTCTGCTGCCCACCCCAACCCCCCTTTCTTCCGCCCTTTCCCCTCCCTCTTCCCCCAACCCTCCCCCCCATCAGGGTGAGTCCCTCCAAGACCCCTGTGCGCCCACGAGCGCCCAGGCAGCATGGGGGGAGGTAGTGACTGGGGGAGGGGAGGGGAGGCATGGGGGGAGGTAGTGACTGGGGGAGGAGGATGCTTGGGGGGAGGTAGCAAGTGGGGGAGGGGCAGCATGGGGAAGGTAGCAACTGGGGCAGGGGCGGCATGAGGGGAGGTAGTGGCTTGGGGAGGGATATCATTGGGGGAGGTAGCATAGGGCCTTGAGACGAATCAAACACTCGGTACAATAGGATGGGTGCGCCAGTCAAAACGCGGAGGACTGGGGAAAGAGGGGAAGGGATGGGGAACAAGATGGGATGTGGAAAGGGAGGGCCAGTGTAAGATGACTTCTGCGACGTCTCAAAGGACATGTGAAGCAGGGATGGGGGGGGGAGGGGGGATGGACAACAAAGGAGAGAAGAGAAAACGGGTTCCAAAGACGCAGAAGGAGGAGCAAAGGCCGCAAGAGGGTGGTTCTGGCAGAGGGGGTTTATCAGGCGATATTATTCAGCACCCGGGTATTTATTGGGGCGGACATTGCAAGCCCCTTATCATCTGGATGCGGGGGAGAAGGTTCAAAAGAGGCTCGAGTCGAACAGAGTCGGCCGATGTTTTTGAGGTGCCTCAAAAGTCGACCGATGAAGCTGCGTGCTTTTGAAGACGGTGTGCGATGATCCGAAAGTAGGGCGGGCGGCGTGTGATATATTTCTGGAGGTTTCTCAAGAGACCAAGGTGTAGTCCCAGGGGCGCTTCTAGCGCTTCAAAAGAACCCCTGAGTGACAGGTTTCCCAGGGGCGATTCTAGCAGTTCCCAGGGGCCCTCACCAGGACCTCGCTGCTTTCCCCACGAATTACAGCCCCTGAAACATTTCGGTCGCCGCAAGAAACGTGTCGCTGCTGGGTTGGTTGAGCCGTCAGTAGAATTGACCAGGGAAGTTGAAGAAGCTGCCTTCTGCTGTGCGGTTCGGTATGGTGCGTGGCGATGCAACGGGTGGGTGGATGGGGTTCTGTTTGGAGGCGCCTCAGAAATAAGCTGCTGATTTGGCTGGGCCGAATTTGAAGGAGGAGCTGCTAGCTGCGGTGCGGTTCGAAATGGTGGGTGGCGGTGCAATGGGAATAATGATAATAATAATTGCAGTGCACGAATAATAAGGGAGAGGTAAATAAGGGTGTGGAATAACGGCAAGCAGCAGCAGCAGCAGCAGCAGCAGCAGCAGTTTCAGTGAGGTGATTGCGTGAACGGGTAGCAGGTGCAAGGGAAGCAGCAGTGGCTGTAAGAATAATGAGCGAGGAGAACAAGGCAAGAGCAGCACTGCGGGGAAGGAAAACTGGGACGGTGGGTGTGTAGGAACGGCAGCAGCAGCAGCAGCAGCAGCAGCAGCAGCAGCAGCAGCAGCAGCAGCAGCAGCGTTTTCAGTGAGGCGATTGTGTGAGGTGTTGCAGGTGCAAGGGCAGTAGCAGTGGTTGCAGAATAAGGATTGAGGAGAACAAGGCAACAGCAGCACTGCAGCGAGGGATAGTAGGTGGGTGGATGGCTGTGTGTGTGTGTAGGAGGAGGAGAAACAGCAGCTGCAGCAGCAGCAGTTTCAGTGAGGCGATTGTGTGAAGAGGTAGCAGGTGCAAGGGCAGCAGCAGTGGTTTCAAGAATAAGAATTGGGGAGTTGACAAGGCAACAGCAGCACTGCAGAAGCATGGGTGACGTGAATGTGGGAGGAGCAGCAGCAACAGCAGCATCAGCACAGGGAGGACCTGTGTAGTCCGGGCGAGCAGCAGCAGCAGCAGCAGCAGCAGCAGCAGCAACAACATTCAGTGAAGGTGGGGCAGTCATGGCAGTGGGGTGGACTGGTTGGTTCCACGTCCACTCTTCTAGTACATGAGCAGTGAGCACTTTCACCATTGGGCTGGTTCATCTGATACTACGAACCAGTAATAAATTATTTAGAGAAATTGGGCTAAAGAAATGGGGTTGTTGTGAAGTTGGCGACAACCACGGGCGGCCCAGGTGTCAGAATGCCGGGCCGCCCGTGGTTGTCGCCAAATGTATTTATCATTGGGTGACGTGAAACACGGAGCCGTCGCCAGCAAATTGCAACACAACCCATCAGTCCCACGCGGTGCCAAATGTCAACACATGCAGCATGTATCTAAACGACTTCTCCCCAAGCCCACTGTCCCCATCAACGCGTTCCCTGCGTCGTGATTGGTCCAGACGACACAAACGTGTTGACAGGGATATGCACGTCCCCGCCAGCGCGCCTTCCCCCAGTTCCAATGCTCCTTCCCCACAACTCCTCCACCTCCCAACACCTTACGGGTTCTTCATCTTGCACCATCCTGCCTGTTCCAATCTGTTCATTTCTCTCTTCTCCCGCTTCCTACAGAACTAGATCTAGAAGCACTCTAAGCGCCAGCATGGCTCGTAAGCGTAAGGGGCAGGCCCTTAACGACTGCCCCAAGGATCTTAACGACATTCCTTACATCCGCTGGATGAACCAGCAGATCGCCAACGGGCGCCATCCGAAGGGATTATCCGCGCCGCCCGTGCTTGACGGCCAGGGATCCAGTGCACAGTCGCCCAGTGCGGCCCCGTCACGTGTGCGCCGTCAGCCTGCAAGGACGGCTGCAACACAGCGGCCTGTCGTGGAGCAAGATGCTGACGATGACGATGATGATGACCCCGATCAAGGCCTCGACACCGACGACGACGAGGAAGAACCGGAAGACGCTGGTATGTCGCCCAGCGACGACGACGACGTTGAGGACGCCAAGGACGACGCCGAGGACGACGCCGAGGAGGAAGCGCAACCTGTGTCTCAGCCGCCGAAACGGAGCGCCGCACGCGCATCCGGGAAGAACAAAGGCAAAGGCAAGGCGGCGACACCACCGCCACGACAGGAGCCACGCAAGAAGCGGGCGGCTGCACTAGTCGAGAGGGGCTTATGGTCGGACAAGGAGAGCACCATATTCGCCGCCGCGAAATGGTTCATGAAAGAGGAGCTCGAGACTCTCAAGGGGAAGCAGGGGACGCAATACTGGGTCCGACTACTCGCGCACATCAAGGAGTCGAACCCTGAATGGTGCAGGAGTGTCAATGCGTTGCAGAAGCAGTGGCGTAACTTGACGCTCCTCTGGCGGGAGTACAAGCGTGCCGACGGGGGGTCAGGCAACGGCTCGGTTGAGAAACCACCGTGGTATCCGTACCTGGAGCTGCACAACCAGGACACCGCCGCAGCCGCACCGCATGCGGTGGACGGCGGAGGCGCCACTGACGTCAACGTGCCCGCCGGCATGGAGGTTCCCAGTTCGTCTCACCCAGGCACGTCAACACCAACCTTTACGGGTGAGTCGTCCTTCTAACACCTCTACCTTGACATGCGTTTAACTCTTCGTTGTTTGAATGGGAAGAATCCGTTTATTATGTTAGCCAACATGCGTGTTACAACAAACAGAAATAGTCAGACTAATCGACTATACTATTTTCCCATATCCCCTATCACAGCTCCGCCGACGCCGAACACCGCAACACCTAAGCGCGCACGGGTGCATGAGACGGCCACCATGCAAGCAGCCATGCTGGTCTCCGCGACCATCAAGGACTGTCACGGTGACGCGATGACGCGCATCGAGAGCCTCGTCCGCGAATGGATGGCGCAGGACATGCGACTTGCCCGCGAGCGCACGACTGAATCGGCGCCCCCGGACGTGCACCGTGCGCCGCCGGATTTCAGCCCTCCTCCGCCACGCGGGGAGTCCGCGCCACCTCCCGAAGCCCCACAGCATGGCGACGATGTTGGCGACGTCAACACCGTCACTCCGGGTGCGGAGGATGTGGAGATATGGGTGCGTGGCGCCGACGATTAGCGTAAGAGTCCTGTACGGCCTCGCCCAGTCTTTTCCGCCTCTCTCTCAAAGACTGTTGTGTTGGGGGAACACAGGGTTCCCACTTGTGTGTCGCAATGGCACCCCGTGTCCACCAAGGGTCGCGGTTGCGGGGTAGGTTGAACCAGGCCATGTTCATGCGCCTTACGTCTGCCATCTCTTCACACATGTTGTGCAGGATCACACAACACGCGGCTCCTGCGAGAATGCGCCACAACCTGCAGTCGTTGCGCCCGCCGAAGATGCGCCATCTCCCTTTGAAGGCGCCGATGCACCTTTCCACCGCCATGCGCGTGGCGCTCTGGCAGTAGTTGAAATATTGGGCCCAATCGTCCATTAGCTCCTCTCCGCGCGGAGCATGCAGGGGGGTTAGGTAGTATTCTCGTAGCGGGTAGGCCGCATCCCCAACAATCTGGCATGGGGCTATGTCCCCGTTGTGTAACCTCTCAAGTAGTGCAGAATCTTTGAAAACCCGCATGTCGTGCGCGCTGCCGGGATATCCGATGATGTAATCCCATATCCTGCCTCGCGCATCACATGTGATTTGGAGCTGAACGACGTAGGCCGACTTCCTTGTCCAGTACTCTGCCCTGTGCCCTTCCATCCCTTTCATGTGGATGTGACTCCCGTCCACAGCTCCCACCACTGCAGGTACACCTTTGATGTCTGCGAATTCACGCGCCATCTTGGGCAGTTCATCGCGTGTGGGAAAGCGCACCCAGGCGGCCTTGAAGACTGAGGGGAACTGGGTGAGGAACACGTCAACAAGCTCGTGGCAGAGTGTCTTGGAGACACCGAACAGGTACGACATGTCGACGTATGATATCCCACTCGCCAAGTACTTTATTGGGATGAGCAGAGCAGTGTCCATTGTGACTATCGACCGATGGACGATGGGCTCTAGATATTGTCGCATCCCAGTCTTCACATGCTCAAGTATGGCGCGGTTGATCCGGAATATGTCTTGGAAATCATTCTCCCGCATGTGTTGCAGGTCTTCAACCCACAAAGCATGACGTCGCCGCCGTACACTCGCTCTGTGACGGCGGTTCTCCCCGCTGTCGTCACTGGACGATGAGGACTGCTCGTCCTCGTCCTCAAACACACCGGACTCTATGAGGCCTACGAAGGACTTGGCTACATTTTCGTAGAAAATGGTGTAGTAGTAGGTGACCCAGGCGACGAGGAGGCGTAGGATGAAGGGGATGGCTCTAGGCTCTGCCATCATCCGTAGGGATTACGCGTGTGTTGTGAATGTGTCTGTGCTGTGGTTGATTATAAAATGACAGCAATCGAGAAGGGGAGTTGCATATGTACGTGTTGTTGCCGCAATTATTGACACTGCGGATGAGTACTGTACCCTCCGCGGCCTCCCTGGACATCACCGAGGATCACCCGCGGACCTTTGGGTGTTGTAGAGTGTGCTGCGCAAGGACGAGTGGGCATGTTTATTCTCTGACCAATCGCAGACGTTCGCACATAGTTGTCGCCCCATGTGTACAGAGTCGCAATGCATCTATCGATTGGGACATGCAAACTCGAAACATTTGAGCGCGACTCGGGCAAATCGTGATTGGGACACATCGATTGGGACATGGTCCACAGCAGAATGTACCATAAAATCGTAGAATTACATAAATCGTAGCCTGCCCAACCCAACCAGAAGCCGTTGAGCAATAAAATCCGTCTCACAGAAGTACCATAAATCATGTTACCGTCATCGCCCGGATAGAAGACATATACAGTATGTCTTATCTTATACATTAGAAAAAAAGCTTGCTGTGTCTTGTATTTGGGACGGTTTAGGGTGTCTTATAATTCTTATAAATGGACAAAAAAACCGTTTAGAAGATACCCCCTCGTCATAAGATTACCCCTAACCCCTACATTGGCTATACTCGTACACACCGACAGGTGTCTTATGATCAGGAACACCCATCTATAAGATACACCCGTTTTAAAGACACCCCTTGTCTTCAATTTCGACACTATCTTATATCCGGGCAATGACGGTATTGATTGATGCATTCGCCTAGGTCGGGTTAGGGCTATTTCAAGGGAACTGAACTGACGTGATCCATTCATTGATAATATCCTAGTGTTTTAATATCCGATGTACCGTACTATATTAATAATCTACAATGCAAAAACCTCAGCACCGTTGTCAGGTAGAGTCGACCCAAGCAGCAAACGGCACCACCGCTGTTTCAGGTGAAAATAGCGACATCTAGGAAATCACCCGTCTGTTGAAGGGGAGAAGAGGAAGGGGGCGGAGAAAGGGAGAGGAAGGTGCTCTTGATTCAGAATCCTTGGAACAAGGATCAAATGTCTTCCAGGATTATGGTCGGGTTGATCTACCCTAGCAGCGAAGGGCACCACCTATGTGCTGTTTCACGTGAAGATATCGACATCTAGGAAATCACCCGTCTGTAGAGGAGGGAAGAAGGGTGGGGTGGGGGGAGGGTGGGGAAAAGAGGGGAAAGAAGGAAGAGCAGGAGGTGTGCAGGGCGGTTAACAGTGGGGAGGAAAAGTGAGTGGAGTGAAAGGAGTTTCTCTGCTTCACAGGGAGGTAAACATGTTCACAGAAATGCTCTGTAAATTCCCATCTGTGAAGGGCTTGCTGCATGTGAAAGGGAATGTGGGGGACAGCAGGGGGTGTGGGGGGCGGTTGAGAGGTGTGGGGGAAAAGGGAGTGAAGTGAAAGGATGTGCTGTGTGTCATGAGGAAATAGTGACATTGAGTAAACCCCCACGTGTGAACGGCTTGCTGTATGTGGTAGGGAAATGTGGGAAAAACGGGAAGCGTTGGGGAGCGGTGGGAAAAGGAAAACTGATGTCACACTGATGCCATACTGATGAACATTCAAACTCACCTGGAACCCCAGCTCATGCAGAGTCCTTTTGTCATCCGGTGTTGGGTCCTCACCTCACCAAGTAACATCATGTAATTATGATCCCATAAAGGCGCTCTGCTCACCTGGAACCAAGCTCATGCAGAGTCCTGTTGTCATCAGGTGTTGTATGACAACATTATGCTGATGTCACCGTGATGCCATGCTGATGTCACCGTGATGCCATGCTGATGTCACCGTGATGCCATGCTGATGTCACCGTGATGCCATGCTGATGTCACCGTGATGCCATGCTGACGTCACCGTGATGCCATGCTGATGTCACCATGATGCCATGCTGATGTCACCATGATGCTATGCTGATGTCACCATGATGCCAACCTCATGAACAGCCAACCTCACCTGGAACCCCAGCTCCTGCAGAGTCCTGTTGTCATCCGGTGTTGGTCTACGCGTCATTGAGTTGGTGATTCCAGCCTGGCATGGGAGCGAGATTGCATAGGGAAGAGGTAAGGAGAGGTATAAGGAGAGATGCAGAGGTCGTGTTGGTCTGCGATTCATGCAGTTATTAATCCCGGCCTGGCACAGGGCAAGAGAGGAGAGAGGCACGGAGTCAGGAGAGAGGCACGGAGTGAGGAGAGGAGGATGCATAACGGGGACTGGCTTGAGGGAACGAAAGAAAATGTAGCCAGGAGGGATTGTTTGGGACATGTTTGCTCACTCAACAGGCTCGTAAAAAGCGAATAAACGAGCCAACGTGATAGCATGGGAATAATATGATAGCATGAATGAAGACCAGTTTCGTTTTTAGAACCCACCATGAAAACCACCAGATTTTCGCATGAAAACATTTGATCCTTTCCTCCCCCTCACCTGTTTCATCACGTTCCTCCCCTGCCTATTTGGATACACAAATGCAAACGATAAACGAGCCTCCCTCCGACGGGCCTCCGGCACCACCTCCTTCAACTGAAACAGCCAATAACGAGTACAGGGGTAGAAAAAAAGACGCGTCAGAGAGGACGTGTGCAGGGGTAGTGCAGAGCAGCAGAGTGCGTTGATGAAAGGGACATGAAAGGAAGAGAGGAGACGGATGTGCTGGGAGAGCGTAGCTGGATGGGAGGGACACGGAATGCTGGCTTGCAACATTTGCAATGTGCCCTCAACTCACAGATGAGCTGACGGAATGATGGGATGCGAGGGACACGGATGAGACGGCTTTTGAGGCGCTTCAAAAGTCGGAATGATGGGATGCGAGGGACACGGATGAGACGGTCACGAAGGATGTGCCGAGGACGTGTGTGGGGTTGGAGGTGTGGAGTATAGAGAGTGGATGGATGGGTTGTGACTTGTGGGATGGGATGGGATGGTCATGAGACATTGTAAGAGGGTAGCAGTCAGATATGAGATGTGAATGCAAGTCGTTTGATTTGATCTGCTCGCACCCTTCCACGTGTAGGTCTGATATTCATTAGAATCTGTCAGCTCTGTAGGGTTCCACGTGTACAACTCAACGTTTCATGTGCATGAATCTTCAGTGAACACTCTCTCAAGGTCACAGTGAGTGAATGCTCAGAGAACAAACCTCCTCCTTCACTTCCTGCCCTCTCAACACGACACACTGGCACTCTCACAGTGAGTGAAATTTCAGTGAACACTTGCCTACTCCTTCAGCTCTCGCAAGGTAGCATCCTTCCAACGTGCACGTATACATCTGCAGCTCCTCCTTTTAGCTCCTGCCCTCTTACACCCTTAGTGACACACCGTCACTATTCTCAAAAAGAATGCTCTCAACTCAATGTCCCTCACCAGATCGGTTTGCTCTCTCAAGGTAGCTGCCTTCCACGTATCTGCACCTCCCCCTTGGGCTCCTGCCCTCTCAGAGTGACACTCTTCTCACAGTGAGTGAATATTCAGTGAATTCTCACCAGGTGCCACCCCTGCACTGACTGAATGTTCAGTGAACATTCCCAACGTCACTCACCAGATCTGTCAGTTCTCTCAGGGTAGCGTCCTTCCATGTGTACATCTGCACCTCCTCCTTGGGCTACTTCCCAGCACCCTCACATTGTGAATGTTCAGTGAATACTCACCAGATCTGTCAGTTCTCTCAGGGTAGCGTCCTTCCATGTGTACATCTGCACCTCCTCCTTGGGCTCCTGCCCTCTCGTTGCGAATGCTTCCAAATCGTGATGCCCCCCGTGCTGCTAGTTACAACACGAGCACAAAACACAAGGCGGAAGGGAGAAAGCGAAAAGGAAAGGTCAGACAATGCATCCCTCCTTGGGCTCCTGCCCCCCCCTCTCACTGCCATGAGGTAGAGAAAGGGAGAAGAAGGGAGAAAGGGAGAAGAAGGGAGAAAGGGAGAAGAAGGGAGAAAGGGAGATAATGAATTCAGACAATGCATCCCTCCTTGGGCTCCTGCCCCTCTCACTGCCAAGGCGTCCTAATCGTGATGCCCCCCGTGCTGCCATGAGGTAGAGAAAGGGAGAAGAAGGGAGAAAGCGAACAGGAAAGGTCAGACAATGCATCCCTCCTTGGGCTCCCGCCCCCTCTCCCTGCAGAGGCGTCCAAATCTGATCCGTGCTGTTATTTGCAACAAGAGCAGTAGGGAAACATGAGGAGAAAGGGAGAAAGGGAGAGAAGGAGACGACTCAACTCATCTCTCCTTGGGCTCCTGCCCCTCTCACTGCAGTGCAGAGGCGTCCAAATCGGATCCGTGCTGCTAATTGCAAGAACACAATGGAAACACGAGAACGAAAGGAGGAAATGAGAAAAGAGATCAGTCAACACATCTCTCATTATTATTTTGGAAGGGGGGGAAAGAGGTGAGGGAACTCAGAACGACAAACTCACGGTGTCATGTAAACGGGCAGAGGGACATGACATATTGAGAAAGGACCTAGTTTTTAGTCGAATCAAAACTAGGAAGAGGTGAGGGAACTCAGAACAAAAAACTCACGGTGTCATGTAAACGGGCAGAGGGACATGACATATTGAGAAAGGACTGACATAGGAGTGACATATTGGGAAAGGGGAGACATATTGGGAAAGGGGAGACATATTGGGAAAGGGGAGACATATCGGGAAAGGGGTCATACTGGGAAAGGGGTGCCATAGTCGAAAAGGGGTGCCATAGTCGAAAAGGGGTGCCATATTCGAAAAGGGTGCCATTTAAAAAAAGGGTTAACACTCTCAGAAAGGGGAGCACATGGGGAGCAATGGTGAAAATTGGTATTGCCAAATGGGGATGGTTACATGGCATGTGTTGGCTACTTAGCATGGGGGGCTTATGTAGTATGGGCATGCATGGCCCATGGACGGACGGCTACATGATAAGGAAAGAGAAATAGTTTTTTTCTTTGTCCTAACGCTTTGTTGTCTTCAACTGACCTTGTGAAATACTCGTAGCAGCAGCGGACACGTCTGTAATGATGAGATAAACAGGATCGGTTTGGAAAGGGAGGGGGGGGAGGGGTGGGGAGTTGGAAAGAGGGAAAGAAAAGTGAGTGACCACCGGCAGGGGAATAAAAAGCGCATTAGGAAAATCGAAAAAGGAAAAGGAAAAACGGACGGGCATGGGGAGGAAGTGTAATTTCAGCAGGGGAATATGTGAAAGTAGGGTTCCTGGCACGCAAAAGTAGACTGCCCCACAGCTTCCATTTTAAGTACATTCTCCCACCCCATCAGTCAGACCTATTTGCATCTCGCATCGTCTCGCAGCCCAATGGTCAATATCGGGATCACCTTCTATAGGCGAAGCGCGCACTTCCCCCCACCCAAAAACAGTCAACACCGAAGCGCGCACCTTCTCCCGGTCCACGACGATTGGCTGATGCGGCACGGCCATCATGGGCGCCGCGGCTCGAGCCAGGTTCGGTATTCTCGAGGCCCGATTCTGCGCGTCCGCCGCCGCCGCAGCCGCCGCCATTTGGATCGACATCAGCGCCGCCAGATTCGATAAGCGAATAGACCGACCGTGCTCGCGTAATGGAGCCGCCGCCGCCGCTGCTGCACGAAACGTGCTCGCGTAAACGCCGTCAGATGGCGGAACGAAACCGAGAATGAAGATCAACGGCTGTGATGATGACCGAGACTCTCCGAAAAGCGCTTGTGAGGTGGTGCGTCTGCAAACACGAAGCTCACGCAACGAAAGTGAAAGGTGCGAGCACAACGAGACAGCGGAGACGCTAGGATAGCATGCTATAGCTACTGCCTATAGCTAATGCTATCAGTTGCCTATAGCGAGGCGCAGTGAGCGAAGCAAAGAAGCAACTCGACGAAGGCGAAGTGGAATACTCGAGAAATATTTGTTATGCGTATCCTCGTTGCAGAACAAAACTTCCAAAGGACTAAATGGAAACTCATCCGTTCAGGATCACAAGGTGATTCTCTATACCATATACCAGTAATTAATGAGTGAGAAACTAACACACGACTAGCATGGAAGAGGCTTACATCAGACATATTACCACGATCAACACCTTCCCCACCCACACTACCACAAACAGAATGAAGGGATTTTTTTTCGTATAAAACTAAATACATATAAATAATCTACACACATGAGCAGGCCCTCAGATATCAGTGTAAAACACGCTGATTAGGCTGATTCTGTAGCTGTGATTTTCGTTTTCCCTGAAGTTTCAGTATCTTCTTTATGTTTGCACTGATTTTTCAGTTTAAAGTATAGGACTACACTGACGAATTAGTGTTTAGGTGTACCAGTAACACTGAAGCATCAGTGTAGTGTACCGAGTCACACTGATTCGGACTTACCAAAATGTGTTATGGCACAGGGAATGGGTTGCCGGTACTTAGAGCTTTAGGCCCAAATTCCCGCCACATAGTAGCAAACCTGTCATGCATGGGACTCGAACTCAGGACCTTTTGCGGCAGCAGGGCGAACGTTAGACAACTACGCTAATAGTACTGGATACTAACTTCAAGTTAATTAAGTACAATGATGATTCAGTTAGCCATGAAATTTCACCCTGACCAAATCAGCATAAGCTTAACCCCCAACGCTGATTTGGTCACTACTTTGGGCAGGGCACGCTGATCCATCAGCATACCCTGAAACCAATCTGAGGGCCTGCACATGAGCGATGAAACCTAAACCTCAACTTGGTGACTCAATGTTGGGATGAGTGAGACACGGTGACCAAGAGAGGCTTTAATTAAGTGCCAGGTAGACCAGCAGCCTCCACCTAACCAGATCTTTTGCAACAGGCTGTCACGCATGCAAGCCTGTCGTGTGGCCATGCCACTCATGCATGCACCCGTAAGATCCCTTTGACTTGCATTTGTATATCCATACTTCTTCCGCGCACTACTGCCACCCCGCTTTCCACTCCATCTGCATCAGCAGTAAGGATGTTTCATCCTAGCTCACTGCCCCCCTTCTTTCCGTTCCATCTGAGTCAGCAACGATGTAATCTCCTCCAGCTTGGACAGCACTTCTGATAGGACAACTCGAAAGCGACTCCGCTGACTATCCCACTTCCCCCCAACCCTCCCCGGCTCACTGTCCCCCTTCTTTCCGTTCCATCTGCATCAGCAGCGTGGTTATTTCCTCCAGTTTGTCCAGCCGTTGCCGCTCGCTCTCCGTCACAATCTGATGCGGTAAAAGGGATGAGAAGGGAGAAGGGATGAGGGTGGGGTGGGGAGGGTGTGAAAGGGATGCCTCTACAGTCAGCAGCGTGGTTATCTCTTCCAGCTTGCCCAGCCGTTGCCGCTCGCTCTCCGTCACAATCTGATGCGGTCATAGGGATAAAACGAGGGGAGGGAGAGATAAGATGAGGGGATGTAGTGAACATGTGAAGGGGGTTGACTCATTAAGTTTGCAACGTCGTGATCTCTTCCAATGGCCAACCGCTGCCGCTCGCTCTCTGTCACAACCGTATACAGTGGATCAGGTGGGGAGGGGTGGGGACAGTGTGAAGGGGATGGTTTGAACGCTACCTGCCATGGCCTGCCGCCCAACAAGTGTGGCCATGCCAGCCATTGCCGCTCATCCCATCACACTAGGTGACACACTGGGTGTCACAGTAGGTGACACTGGGTGGGCGGCACACTGGGTTCAAACTCCTTGGAACTCTAAATGGGGCAAAACGTGTGGATTCCCGATACTCACACTACTCACACTACTCACACGGGACCAGCTTCACGAAGTTTTTGAGATTATTCTTGAGGCGCCTCAAAAATCGTCGCTGGGTGGGAGGCACACTGGGTTCAAACACTTTGGAACTCTGAATGGGGCTAAACGTGTGGGTTCCCGATACTCACACACAGGGGACCAGCTTCACGGTGTTTTTGAGATATTTAAAAAAACACCCTGCAGCTGCAGGCCTGCCTCTGGGAATTCCCAAAATGCTGCTCACCTCGAAAAGCTTCCCAACCAGCTCTGACTTCTGTGCATTCTTGTTGTTGTATGCTGTGGTGGCATCTTTCAGCTCCTTCTCCTGTTGTGGGACAAGGGCATGGGGGGCATGGGAACATGGGGGGCAGGGTATAGGGGCTATGGTCATGTGGTGGAGCGAACAGCTTCCCAACCAGCTCCGAATTCTGTGTGTTCTTGTAATGAGGTTTTTTTTTAGATGTCTCAAGTGTAATGAGGTTATTTTTGAATCGTCTCAAACATGGTCATGTGGTGGAGCGAACAGCTTTCCAACCAGCTCCGAATTCTGTGAGTTCTGGTTGTTGTTCGCCATGGTCGCATCCTTCAGCTCCTTTTCCTGTGGCAGGGGTCAGGGGGCTTGGAGGACGGGTTATGGGCATGCAGGGCATTTGAGGCAACTCATGAGCCATTCCGTGCTTCTTGTTGTTGTATGCAGTGGTTGCATCCTGCAGCTCCTTCTCCTGCAGCAGGGGTCAGGAGGCGTTATGGGAGGTGTTGTGGGAGTGTTGGGGATGGGACGGGGGAGGTGTTATGCACAGCTCGATCCACTTCTGCAGTTTTTTTAGTCGACTCCCGAATGGGCAGGAGTTATAGGATGCACAGATCGAGTCCACAGATCCCATCAGCAGAACATGCATCTATATTGCTTGTGTGCATCACAGGAGCAATAGGTGTGCATCACAGGAGCAATAGGTGTGCATCACAGGAGCAATAGGTGTGCATCACAGGAGCAATAGGTGTGCATCACAGGAGCAATAGGTGTGCATCACAGGAGCAATAGGTGTGCATCACAGGAGCAATAGGTGTGCATCACAGGAGCAATAGGTGTGCATCACAGGAGCAATAGGTGTGCATCACAGGAGCAATAGGTGTGCATCACAGGAGCAATAGGTGTGCATCACAGGAGCAATAGGTGTGCATCACAGGAGCAATAGGTGTGCATCACAGGAGCAATAGGTGTGCATCACAGGAGCAATAGGTGTGCATCACAGGAGCAATAGGTGTGCATCACAGGAGCAATAGGTGTCCATCACAGGAGCAATAGGTGTGCATCACAGGAGCAATAGGTGTGCATCACAGGAGCAATAGGTGTGCATCACAGGAGCAATAGGTGTGCATCACAGGAGCAATAGGTGTGCATCACAGGAGCAATAGGTGTGCATCACAGGAGCAATAGGTGTGCATCACAGGAGCAATAGGTGTGCATCACAGGAGCAATAGGTGTGCATCACAGGAGCAATAGGTGTGCATCACAGGAGCAATAGGTGTGCATCACAGGAGCAATAGGTGTGCATCACAGGAGCAATAGGTGTGCATCACAGGAGCAATAGGTGTGCATCACAGGAGCAATAGGTGTGCATCACAGGAGCAATAGGTGTGCATCACAGGAGCAATAGGTGTGCATCACAGGAGCAATAGGTGTGCATCACAGGAGCAATAGGTGTGCATCACAGGAGCAATAGGTGTGCATCACAGGAGCAATAGGTGTGCATCACAGGAGCAATAGGTGTGCATCACAGGAGCAATAGGTGTGCATCACAGGAGCAATAGGTGTGCATCACAGGAGCAATAGGTGTGCATCACAGGAGCAATAGGTGTGCATCACAGGAGCAATAGGTGTGCATCACAGGAGCAATAGGTGTGCATCACAGGAGCAATAGGTGTGCATCACAGGAGCAATAGGTGTGCATCACAGGAGCAATAGGTGTGCATCACAGGAGCAATAGGTGTGCATCACAGGAGCAATAGGTGTGCATCACAGGAGCAATAGGTGTGCATCACAGGAGCAATAGGTGTGCATCACCACGGATTCCCTCTCACCCACCTTCCCTCTCACCCACCTTCCCTCTCACCCACCTTCCCTCTCACCCACCTTCCCTTTCACCCACCTTCCCTCTCACCCACCTTCCCTCTCACCCACCTTCCCTCTCACCCACCTTCCCTCTCACCCACCTTCCCTCTCACCCACCTTCCCTCTCACCCACCTTCCCTCTCACCCACCTTCCCTCTCACCCACCTTCCCTCTCACCCACCTTCCCTCTCACCCACCTTCCCTCTCACCCACCTTCCCTCTCACCCACCTTCCCTCTCACCCACCTTCCCTCTCACCCACCTTCCCTCTCACCCACCTTCCTCTCCACCAGTGCACGCATGGACCTAAGCTCCCAATCCACCAGCTCGATTCGCTTCCTCAAACCCATCAGCTCAAACTCCCTGCATCACACATGCATCAAAGTCACTGCCTGCATGACCACACATCCCCTCCCATCCACCCACCTTCCTCTCAACAAGAGCCCGCATGGGCCGCAGCTCCCGATCCACCAGCTCGATCCGCTTCCTCAAATCCGCCACCTCCTTCTTGGTCGGATCCTCTATCGTCTCCAGCTCCTGATGGGTTTTTGGGGGGGGGTGACAGGAGGAAAGAGCACGACCTGAGCTCCCGATCCACGAGCTCAATCCGCTTCGTCAAATCCGCCACCTCCTTCTTGGTCGGATCCTCTATCGTCTCCAGCTCCTGATGGGTAAAAAGGGGGAGGAGGACAAGAGAAAAGTGGTGAAAAGGGAGGTACGATGAGGGTAAAGCTGTCAACTGAATCCTTCTTGGTCGACTCCTCTACTGCCTCCAACTGCAGATCGGTATTTTGGGAAAGGACAGGAGGGAAGGTGGTAAAAACGGGATAAGTTGAGTGCTTCTTCTTCCTTCTCGCAACACTCTTCCCGTTCCTTCTTCCCTGCTTCCCTCCACGACCACTGTAACCCTTTCAAGACCCCAAAAAAAAAAAAAAAAAAAAAAAAAAACTGCTGTTTCTCAATTGACCTGCCTTCCTGAGCTGCTCCAGTAACTTCGCCTTATGCGCCACACGCCTGCTGCCTAACAAGTCAGCTCACAGGCTTTGCAGGGTCACAACAACTCTCCCCCCTCCATCAACATCCCCCTTTCCCCCCTCTCCCCATACCTTCCGCAGCTGCTCCAGTTTCTTTGCCTCCTGCGCCACGCCTTTCTCCACCGCCTCCTGCATCCTCCTTAACTCCTCCTCCTTGGTTCGCTCACTCCTCTCCTCTCCACCCTTGCACCCCTCTCAACTCCCTTGTCCATCACCTGCCCCCCTTACCGACTTGACGAGCCCTTTCCGTCTCCTCTTCGCCTGCTCTCCTTCATACCACCCCACCCCCCCCTTCCCCCACACACCTCCCGCCTGGTGGCCCTCCGTACCTTCCGCAGCTGCTCCAGCTTCTTCGCCTCCTGAGCCACGCGAGTCACCTGCTGCACCACACGTTTCTCCACCGCCTCCTGCAAGCGCCGCAGCTCCTCCTCCTTGCTGCGCAGACTCGCCTCCTCTCCACCTTAACAGCCACTCACCTGCTCCCCTCCCCCTTACTTTCCTGACAAGCCCTTTCCATCACTCTTCGCCTGCTCCCTTCCATACTCTTTTCCCCCCAACCCCACTTCACCCCCGGTGGCCGTACCTTCCTGAGCTGCTCCAGCTTTTTCGCCTCCTGTGCCACGCGAGTCACCTGCTGCGCCACGCGTTTCTCCACCGCCTCCTGCATCCTCCTCAGCTCCTCCTCCTTGGTCCTCAGGCTCGTCTCCGTGGCGTGCAGCTGCTGATCCTTGGCTGCGCGCTCCTGGCTCGCCGGGTTGTCCAACGGCACTTGGGTCAGCTGCCCGTCCGCCAGTGGTGGCGCCGCCACTGGGGGTGCGGACTGCGGAGTACGGGTGGGGGGGAAGGAAGGGGTGGGGGGGAAGGAAGGGGTGGGGGGGAAGAGAGACTCGTCTCCGTGGCGTGCAGCTGCTGATCCTTGGCTGCGCGCTCCTGGCTCGCCGGGTTGTCCAACGGCACTTGAGTCAGCTGCCCGTCCGCCAGCGGCGGTGCTGCCACTGGCGGGGCGGACTGAGTAGACGGGCGCGCCGAGGGGGGGGGAGTGGGGAGGGGGAAAGAGGGGGCTGGGAAAGTGAAGCTCCTGGAAAGACATTCTGCAGCAAATTTTAAATGCTGAAAAAACACAAGGCAGCATTGTGAGGCTTCATTGCCGTCCCGGCGAGAGTCTGAGTCCTACACTTGAAAACACGCTGATTGTCGAGATTCGGGAATTTGGTAATCTGAAGACCTAAAAATGCAAGGATTCGGGAATATGAATATTTGGAGATATGGGGGATCGGGCGGCTTGGCGGAGTCATCGCGCAGCGGGATTGTCCCCAGAATTCTCAATAGTAATTAACCAGGAGAACGCGTTGGGCACAGTTTACATCCATCGCGTAATAGAATAGCGGGAATCGCTGTGTACCGAGTCGATTCATTGCGCATCAAAAGAGTTCATGAGTCACCCTTTGAGAGGCGGAGCCGCCCCACGCTTCCATTCAAACGGACATGGCTCGTTGCTTGGCGGGAATTTTGAGATGTCTCAAAATTGAGTTGATTCATGGCGTATCAGAAGAGCTGATTACTCACCCTTTGGGAAGCGGAGCCGCCCCACGCTTCCATTTGAACGGACATGGCTCGTTGCTTGGCGGGATCCGGCGAACCGGACAGCCTTGTCGGCTCCCCCAATCCCAACCCTGCGGGTCCCGAGTGACCGTTAAGACTCGCCATTCCATACTGTCCGCTCTGGTTTGCCATACCGAACTGTGCGGCCTGGTTCTGCATCCCGAACTGTCCGGCCTGGTTCGGCATCCCGAACTGCGCGGCTTGGTTCGGCATCCCGAACTGCCCGGCCTGGTTCGGCATTCCGAACTGCCCGGATGGGTTCTGCATGGAACCACGCAGGCTCTGGTCTAATCCTGATAGAATGTTCTGCTCCATTGTCAGCAGACGTGGTCAGCAGACGTGAGTCAGAAGACGAAAGTTAGCAGCCGCGAGTCAGCAGACGGAACAAGTCGGATTTCGTATCCAAGCTCTAATTTTGCAGATGGGAAATGACAATCTACGCGACGAGCTCCGCGCTTAGGAGTGGAACTCCGAGGCGCCTGAAAACGAGTCTGAACGAGGTGCCGATAACTTAGATTCGGCACAGAAGAGGAACTATTATAAATATGGATGAGCTTTGAATTAGTAGTTTTTGGCGATGCTGTTCACCGACACCAATTTCTAAGACGCTGTTAGGAAAGAACAGGAAGAATGCGAGAAAGCTGAGCCGAAACGATGCCGCGATAGTTGCTAGCTCACGGAACCCGTTCCTTGCAAAGAGAATGGAGTGGAATTCAACACAGACAACGGAGAGCAGGCAGTGAGAATCCCGTGAAACACGGCGAGCATGGAGCGGAGTGCTGCTTTACAAAAGGAGGAATCTAGGAATCGTGTGATGTGAATGATGGATGAGAGGGTGTTTCAAGCATTCGTCAGATAATCTTTCCCATTTTACCTGCTTGGAGGGGACGGGCCTAAACCAGGCCTCAATCAAAACGAACCGTTGTATATTCTATAGGTAAGCGTTCTAACCTCATCGAATCCCACTGAAACGCAATGGGGGTCGGTGTATTCCCTGATGGGTAGGTGAAAGCTGTTCGCTTCGCGGCAATCTCAAGGCGCGTGCTCATGTCACCTCGCAGGTCTTCTGCGCGGCAACCTTGAGATTTCTGGTTCGGCCTGTCCCAGGTCTGGTTCGGTTGACGGCTCGGACGGGAAGCATCCCTGACATCAGTGTGCTGTCGTTCGGCCCTGCCAGTTTTCCTCGTCCTGGTGAGTTTCGCCAATAAGAAAACGCACGTTACCAGTAATGAGCGTGATTCGCACATCCGTCTGCGATTAAACGGTGGGAGCATGGGAGTGAGAGATGGAAGGCGGCGGTCAAAGTCTTCTGGAAGTCGCCCCTTGCGTCCCTGCCGGAACCTGCGAGTAGATGGGAGGTGGAGGGACAGTTCATCTGTTTCAACCGGCACATCATGCACAGAGGAAATAGCCCCTTCGGTCACCAGTTGGGCACGGAGAGTCTCCTCTGCACGCGGTTACGCGACTTGCTTACCGACGGCTTGAGGGGTAGCAGGGTGCTGAAGGGTGAAGCGTTACTAACGGTGGAGCTGGGATCCAAGGAGGCGGCGGTCATGGCTGTCAAATTATATATATATGCTTGTTTAGGTTATCTAGGCTGAATGGGGGTTAGCACTAGGGGGTACACAAACTTTCTCGATACCCTAGTCTTGTACCCTAGCCTTCACCTAATCCAATCATCCTTGCCTTAGGTTCTTAACATGGTAACTAGAGCAGGAGGTCTCTAGGACCTACGAATCGGGCCCACCTAACTGTCTGCCTTGCCTACTGCTCGCGCGCGCCTCGGCGGCAGCGCGCGTCACTTATTTTTTTCCCGCGCGCGCCTCGGTTTCTAGCGCGCGCGTCTCTGATTTTTAGCGCGCGCCACTGCTGTAGAGCCGCGCGCCGGTCCGCGTCGCCCGCGTAGCCCTCGTAGAGCCCGCGCGCCCCTTACGCCGCCCGCGCGCAGCCTAAGCAGAGCCCACCGCCCGCGCGCGACGTAGAGCCCGCCGCCCGCGCGCGCGCTGCCCGTCGCCACGTGCAGCCAGGAGCCGCGCGCAGCACGTAGCCACGCACAGCAGAGAGCCACGCGCGGCCCTTAGCCGCACGCAGCCAGCAGCCGCGCGCGCCCTACGTGTGTACTTGCCTGTGAGGCTTACTGCTGCCGAACTCACTGCCTTCGAACTGTACGGCCTGCCACTGTCTAGAGCCCCACCGTAGGAGCTCGGGTGCAGCAAGCTACTGCCCTGCACGTTGCCTGTACTGCCTACTGCCTACTGCCTACTGCCTCAGTTTTAGCCTTCTGTCTACTGCCTACTGCCTCGTGTCTACTGCCTGCCTGCTTTCTGCTGCCTTTGCCTACTGCTGTTATGACGACGCCTAATGTTCTCGCGTTCGAACCTGACGGTCGCCCCATAGAGTTCACTGTGTGGCTAGACGACCTGCAACTGTTCCTTCTGACCGATGCCAAAGAGGGCGTTTCACTGTTCGATTACGTGTCTGGCACTACCGTTGCTCCTGCTGCTGATGCTCCTGCTCTCGAACGCTCGCAGTGGCAGACTCGCGATGCTGCTGCACGCCTAGCTATTAGGAACCATCTGCCGATCACTGAGCGCGCGCATTTCAGCCAGCACAAAACTGCTAAGACACTGTACGATGCTGTAGTTGCACGCTACTCCTCCCCGGCCACTGCAGCCATAGGTCGGCTCATGCTACCCTACCTGTTCCCCGACCTTTCCTCGTTCACCACTGCTGAGGACCTCATTTCTCACCTCCGCGCTACTGACACTCGCTTTCGTGCCGCCCTCTCAGCCGAGTTCTGCGCCGCAAACCCCCCCCGATGTACTTCACTCTCTATTTCCTCGTTACGCGCCTCCCTGACACTCTTAGCTCGGTCAGGGACCACTTCCTAGCGCTAGACCCCCCCACTCTCACTGTCGACGACTTCGAGAAGCACCTCCTTGCAGCAGAGAAGAACATCCTCGCTGTAGGTGCTGCTCGTGGCACTCCTCGCTCTCCCCTCTTTGAGGGGTGCTCCCCCTCCCCTCTCATCCCCTCCTACGCCTCCGCAGCTGCTGCTCACGACTACCTTGGTGCTGAGGAGGTCGGGGCTGCTTCCGCTCCTAGTGGGAAGCGTCGCAGCGGCAGGGGCGGCAGGGGTGGCAGGGGCGGTGGGGGCGGCGGTGGAGGCGGCGGTGGTGCAGGCGGCGGGGGCGGTGGAGGTGGTGGGGGTGGTCGTGGGGGTGGAGGGGGTGGAGGTGGTGGTGGGGGCGGCGGAGGCACTGGGGGCGGTGGAGGGGGCAGCAGCGGCGGTGGGGGAGGAGGGAGCGATGGTGCCAGTGGTGGTCAGGGCCAGCAGCAGCAGCCGCAGCAGCAGCAGCAGCAGCAGCAGCAGCAGCAGCAGCAGCAGCAGCAGCAGCAGCAGCAGCAGCGTCAGCGCCAGACCCCCACTTCCCAGCAGCTTCTTGACTGGTATGCCGGGCGTGGGGCTTCTGGGGGTCCTGGTCGCTGCCCCTATATCATCCGCACAGGTCCCCGCGCTAATCGCCAGTGCACAGGGTTTCACACTGAGCAGCGCTGCTTCGCTCGACTTAGCGACGCCTGGCGCGCCAAGTTTCCTGATGCTACTGAGTTCCCCAACTGGGCAGACTTGCTTAGGCGTGATGTACCAATCTTTGATCTTGACTATGAGGCTATTCTTGCTGCTATGTATGCATTGACTGTTAGTGCTGAGGGTGACTGCTACTTGTGTGTGCTGCCTGACCCAAGTATAGCCCCAGGTATAGCGCCTGTGGCACTAGGTGCTTGTGAGTCTGCTCCCCCTGGTACTGCGTCCGCACAGGCCTTGCACACCTTCACACTTGACTCTGGTGCTTCCCGCTGTTTCTTTCGCGACAGCACCACAGTCACTCCCCTCCCTGCACCTGTTCCTGTCTCGCTGGCTGACCCCTCTGGGGGCCCAGTGCTTGCACGGTCTTCCACTGTGCTTCCGTGTCCGGCGGTCCCGTCTGGTGAGCTGTCTGGTCTCCACCTCCCCTCGTTCTCTACGAACTTGGTGAGCAACGCCGTCCTTCAGGATCACTGGGTTGACACCTTTACTCCTGGAGGACAGCGTGTGGCGATCTGCACGTGCTCCCGGACCGGCCGTCACCTGGCCACGTTCACACGTGCGCCTGGGTCTAGTCTGTACACCCTCACCACTGCGTCACGCTACACCCCTTTGTCCCCCCAGCTGTACGCGTCTGCTCAGGTAGCTACCCAGTGTGAGTGTCGCCGCCTGTCGCACGACACTCTTCTGTGGCACCACCGCCTTGGTCACCCCTCCCTGCCTCGCCTTCGTAGCATGCACTCTCGCTACCTGGTCTCTGGCCTTCCTGAGTCTCTGCCTGCCCTCCCTCCCTCGCCTGCGCCGCCCTGCATTCCTTGCGTCGAGGGGCCGCAGCGCGCCGCTCCTCACTCCTCCTCGTTTCCTCCCACAGAGGCTCCCCTGCAGACTCTCCACATGGACGTGTGGGGCCCAGCCCGCGTCCGTGGACAGGGCCACGAGCGGTACTTCCTGCTGGTCGTCGACGACTACACGCGTTACACCACGGTCTTCCCCTTGCGCAGCAAGGGGGAGGTCCCTGATGTTTTGATCCCCTGGATCCGCGCTGTTCGTCTCCAGCTCCGCGAGCGGTTCCGGTCGGACTTTCCTGTCCTGCGTCTGCACTCTGACAGAGGTGGTGAGTTCTCCTCAGACCTCTTGGCAGCCTACTGTGCGGAGCACGGCATCCGCCAGTCGTTCACGCTTCCGGCCTCTCCGTAGCAGAATGGGGTTGCTGAGCGCCGCATTGGCTTAGTCATGGAGGTCGCTTGTACCTCCATGATCCATGCGGCTGCCCCCCATTTTCTGTGGCCGTTTGCGGTCCGGTACGCCGCGCATCAGCTCAACCTCTGGCCCCGTGTCTCCTTGCCGGAGACCTCGCCCACACTGCTGTGGACGGGGAAGGTTGGCGATGCGTCGCGTTTCCGGGTCTGGGGTGCTCGTGCCTTTGTCCGCGATACCACTGCGGACAAGCTCTCCGCTCGCGCCATTCCCTGCGTCTTCCTTGGCTTTGTCCCTGACGCGCCTGGCTGGCAGTTTTACGACCCCGCCTCGCGCCGTGTCTTTCCGTCTCAGGACGTCACCTTTGACGAGTCCGTCCCCTTTTACCGTCTCTTTCCCTACCGCACTGCTCCTCGCCCCCCCCCGCCGCTCTTTCTCGCCCCAGGTCCTCCCCAGGTAGACCCCCTCCCCGCGCCAGGTCCTGCTCCTTCAGGTGTTTCTCAGGTAGACCCTCCCGTGCCTGCGCCTGTTGAGGTCACTGGTGACTCAGGTCCTACTGGGGGTGGTGCTGTCTTTGGGGGTGCTGAGCCTGGGGGTGCGGAGCTTGGGGGTGCTGAGCCTGGGGGTGCGGAGCTTGGGGGTGCTGAGCCTGGGGGTGCGGAGCTTGGGGGTGCTGAGCCTGGGGGTGCGGAGCTTGAGGGTGCTGAGCCGGGGGGTGCGGAGTCTCGGGGTGCTGAGCCTGAGCGTGAGGAGCATGGAGGTCCTGAGCCTGGGGGTGCTGAGTCTGGGGGTGCGACGCCTGAGGGTTCTGAGTCTGCTCCTGCGCGGTCTCCTTGGAGTAGCCGCCTTCGTACGCGTGTGCCTCTCACCTCACAGCAGCTGCACGACTGGTACGGTCGCCGTCAGGGTCGTGCTTCTGGAGCTCGGGGCTCTGCCGCTGGAGGTACTTCTGCTGACACCGCTGGAGCTGGGAGTGGTGCTGGTCCCGGAGGTGCTCGCACTGGAGGTGCTGGAGCTGCTGGGGCTGGAGGTACTGCTGAGCCTGAGGGTGCTACTGCTGGAGACCCTGGGTCTGGGGGTGCTGTTGCTGGAGACACGGAGGCTGGAGACCCTGGTTCTGGGGGTGCTGCTGAGGGTACTGGAGCTGCTGAGGGTGCTGGAGCTGCTGGAGGTGCTGGAGCTACTGAGGGTGCTGGAGCTGCTGGAGGTACTGGAGCTGCTGCGGGTGCTGGAGCTGCAGGAGGTGCTGGAGCTGCTGAGGGTACTGGAGCTGCTGGAGGCGCTGGAGCTGCTGCGGGTGCTAGAGCTGCTGGTGCTGGTGGCACTGCACAGCCGCGCCTGTTCTTTGCTCCACCGTCTCCGTCGTCTCTGCCACCGCCTGACTCCGTACTTCGCCAGGTTCCTAGCCTCCCGTCGTCTACTGGTCTTCCGTTACAGCCTGGCTCACCTCTGCCTGCTCCTTCTCCTTACGCTGAGCAGACAGGGAGCTTTACTGAGCGTCGTGAGCCTGCGTCGCGTCCTGTCTCACCTGTCCGTTCTGGTCGTTCCAGTCGTCGTGTTCCTCGTCAGCGTCCGCCGGCTGTCCCCGGCCCTTCCCTTGTAGTCCGTCGTCCTGCCTCTCCTCCGCAGCGTGTTCCTCTGCCGTCTCCTCCTGAGTCTTCTCTGCCTGTTGTTCCGGACCCTGAGTCTGACCGGTTTCGTGCTGAGCACCCTACTGTCACGCGTCTGCTAGCCACTGTTGTCACTGACCCGTCGCTTGAGTCTGCTGCTGCGTCTGCCTTAGTCGCTGAGCTTGTTGACTTTGCTGCTGCCTGTCGTCTAGACTACGCTGCTAGTCTTGTTGCTGAGTCTGAGTCTGTCTGTCCTCCGTCCGTCGGGGGTGAGTGTGCTCTTGGCACGGACGTCCTTGAGGACAGGCACGAGGACCTTGAGTGTTTTGCAGCCGCTGCGCCTCATCTTGTGTCCATGCTGCTTGCCCCTGAGGGAGACCCGGATGCACCAGACATCCCGACCCCGCGCTCTTACGCTGAGGCGATCGCGGGTGAGTACTCCTCTCAGTGGCAGACAGCGATGGATGCAGAGATGGCATCCTGAAAGTCCACAGGCACCTACGTCGACGAGGTTCCCCCTCCTGGGGCGAACATCGTCAGTGGCATGTGGATTTTCAGGGTGAAGCGGCCGCCAGGTTCTCCGCCTATCTTCAAGGCGCGTTACGTTGCACGAGGTTTCAGCCAGCGAGAGGGAGTAGACTTCTTTCAGACCTTCTCCCCCACCCCGAAGATGACCACTCTTCGGGTGCTGCTGCACGTTGCCGCTCAGCGTGACTACGAGCTTCACTCTCTTGACTTCAGCATAGCCTTCTTACAGGGCAGTCTGCACGAGGAGATCTGGCTACGCCGCCCTCCTGGATTCACTGGGTCGTTCCCTCCTGGTACCCAGTGGAGCCTCAGGCGGCCGGTCTACGGTCTCCGCCAGGCGCCACGTGAGTGGCACGACACACTGAGGACGACACTTGCGGCTCTTGGTTTGCTCCGTCGACTGCTGACCCGTCGCTGTTTCTTCGCACCGACACTTCGCTGCCGCCGTTCTACATCCTCGTGTACGTCGACGACTTGGTCTTTGCCACTGCTGACACTGAGGCTCTCGCCCTAGTGAAGTCGGAGCTGCAGAAGAGACACACGTGCACAGACCAGGGTGAGCTGACAAGCTATCTTGGCTTGCGGATCACCCGGGACAGAGCACGCCGCACCATCACACTGACTCAGTCACACATGGTGCAGCAGGTCCTTCAGCGCTTCGGCTTCACCTGGTCCTCGGCACAGCCCACTCCTCTGGCTACAGGTCACTCGCTCTCAGCTCCACCTTCGGACGAGTCCGTAGAGCCGAGTGGTCCTTACCCAGAGCTAGTGGGCTGCCTCATGTACCTGATGACCTGCACTCGTCCTGACCTTGCGTACCCTCTTGGCCTTCTGGCTCGCTACGTGGCTCCTGGTCGGCACCGAAAGGTGCACATGGATGCTGCCAAGAGGGTACTACGCTACTTGTGCAGTACTTCAGGCATGGGGCTCGTGCTTGGAGGACGGAGCGACGTTGTCCTCACTGGTCACTCGGACGCCTCTTGGGTTGACGACCAGGCTACGCAGCGGTCGTCATAGGGTTACACCTTCAGCCTTGGTTCTGATTCAGTTTCCTGGCGTTCTACACGTTCGTCTTCAGTTCTCGGCTCCAGCTGTGAGGCCGAGATCTACGCCACAGCCATGGCTGCACAGGAGCTACGCTGGCTCACCTACCTGCTGACCGACTTGGGAGAGCGGCCTCGTTCTCCTCCAGTTCTGTACGTCGACAACAAGGCCGCCATTGCCTTGTGTCAGGAGCACAGACTGGAGCACAGAACGAAGCACATCGCTCTGCGTTACTTCCTTGCTCGAGAGCTGCAGCAGCGTGGCCAGCTTCGTCTTGCTTACGTGGCCACTCGGGCCAACACTGCTGATATATTCACCAAGGCGCTTCCGCCTGGTGATCATCAGCGTTTCTGCACCTTGTTAGGCCTAGTGCCCACACTTCCTCACTTGCTGTAGGCTTTGTTTGTACTGTGATCTATATATATATATCTCTGCATGTGAACTGGCCTTGTGGTCTTTTGCTTGTGCTCAGACTGCGTGGTGACGTTGTGATCCACCCTGAGCTGTGTTTTGTTTCTTCTCTTGACTGGTCTTGTGACCGTTGCTTGCTCTGGCTATCCCCCATTTTGCCTATGGGGGTGTGTCAAATTATATATATATGCTTGTTTAGGTTATCTAGGCTGTATGGGGGTTAGCACTAGGGGGTACACAAACTTTCTCGATACCCTAGTCTTGTACCCTAGCCTTCACCTAATCCAATCATCCTTGCGTTAGGTTCTTAACAATGGCACGCAAAGCGTACGCGGCCACGCCACCGGAGTGGAAGAAGCTGGTTGAGGAGCCAGTGACACCAGAGGCAGTGGTGGCGGCGTCAGGGGTGGTGAAGTTCATCCTTTGGGGCGAGCTTACAGGGCCTCCGTGGGCAGTGAAGGGCATAGACAAGGGGGGAATCCTTGCCTCATACATGGAGGTCGGCGGTGATGGAACGCTTCTCGCCCCGGCAAGGAACAGGGAGACCTGCTTCGAAGCATGTAGTCTGCAGCCATTAATCGTCCAAGAGGGTAGGCTGCTAGGGCCGGCGGGTGACCCGAAAGTGAAGCTGCTATCCTGCTGTGGGCTGTTCGACGAGGGAGGACTGGCGCCTCTGCGTAAGATACGGGCGACGCTCACCAAAGCGGTGGGGCGTTCGTGGAGGCAGGCGGAGTGGGAAGTGGCGTGGGGCAAGAAGATTGACTAGAAAAGGGCGATCGATACATGTGATTCTATCAGCGTCCCACTCAAGGCGAGGGATGTGTTGCTCCGGATACACAGCAAGAACCTCCAGGTGGGGGGGAGGTTTGATTTTTTCCAGAACAGGATCAGCTGCGCGCACTGTGGGGGGGAGGAAACCCTAGCCCACTGCCTCTACAGTTGCCCGGTCATTCAACCAGTGATTGGCGCGCTTAAGCGTTCTTTGCGCATGCTGAACCCGGTCAGACAGGTGGACTCGCTGGGTGACTTGCTTTTTGGGGAGGGGGGGACAGCGTCAGGTTTCCCGGAGATGACGATGACGGCGGCGGTGCTGCGACAGATTTGGCTGGCAAGATGCAATGCAGTTTGGAGGGCTGAAGTTTTCGAGCGGAAGAAAGTGGGTCGCGGTGCGGTGCTGGATTTTATGACACATGCGAGGGTGGTGCTGGCAGCACGCGGGAGAGGCAAGGCCACGGGTGAGGTGGCTTGCGGTATGAGAACAGATAGATGGCGACATGTGGCAAAGGATGAGAGGGAACAACTGCAGGGAATCTGCAACGTGGATGGTCCTGCATGCTGGTCGGGTCAATTTCTGTCCATCTGGCGCAACCCACGCACATGCCACCAGCCACCATAGACCTCCATGGGGGGATATGCGACATCCCATTGAGGTGTAGCATAGGCCCTCCAAGTATACAGTTACGACTGTGGATGTATCTATGTTTGATAATATAGTTACAAAAAAAAAAAAAAAATGAGCGTGATTATCACACTGTTGTAGTGCACCCATTACAATATGAGAGAGACTCTTTAGAGTCCTTGCACTTTACCCGTATTAACATATCTAAATCTACATGTGTGAAGTAAATATTCAGAAACATTCAAATTCATATTGTCCGAGTCTTTATGGGAGTCTAAAGAAGTAGCCTGACGTCATCCCCTGTTCCTGCACGTTTTCTTCTGGAACTCGTCATGATACCACCACTGCTGCTCTCCTCACCAGGACGGCTCAACAGCACTTCTGCCATATCACCCTCTTCCACTCCACCACCCCCTGGCAGCGAACCCATCACCCCAGACTCCGCATTCAGCTCGCAATCTGAGCCGTCCATTTGACTTCTCAGATCTGCTCCTCGAATAAGAGACGAGAGCGAGCTCAATAGCAGAGATCGTGAATCCGTTTCCACAGCTGCTACTGGTGATGACAATACAACTGCGCTTTCTGCACCAACTGCTGTTCCAGCTGCTCCTTCCCCTGCTGCTGTTCCTGCACCCGCCACTCCTGCTGCTGCAGCATCTTTCCCAGAAGCATCTTCCGCAGCTGCTTCTGCTGCTGGGAGGACAACAGATGGTCCAGCAGCAGCAGGGGAACCCTGCGGGACAGCAAATAGAGCTGCCACCTCTGCATCTGTTGCACTCCCATGCTCTCCAATGCTGTCCCCACCTCTTCCATTACTCAAATTTTGTGTGATTTCAGGAGGCACATATCTTCTACTATTGCTTCCACTCGCATTACCCATGGCACTTGTTTCCGCAATGTTGTTGCTGCTGCTGCTGCCACTAATGCCGCTACTGGGATTCCGGCGAACCGGAACAGAGGAGAGGACAGCAGAGGAGGAGGACGTATACACCAAGGGACCTTCAGCCGAGCCGAAATCCCTGCCCGATAGGTGCTGCTTGTTCTGCTCGCTTTCCTGACTCCCATTCACCTTCCCATTCTGCTGCTGCTGCTTCTTTTTTGGCTGAAGCAGCTTCTGCTGCTGCTGCTGCTTGTGCAGCCTGGAAGGAGGAGGAGCCTCCAGCACCCCAACCACAGCAACCGCTCTGCTGCTGCGCCTGCGCTCGCGCGAGTGGTACACGAAGCAGAGCGAGACGACCCACACGAAGACCAAAGCACCGAGGAGGGCGAAGAAGGTGTGAAAGTACTTGTCCCGTTCATCCACTATCAGATCGAGCGTGGAGTTGGAGGGGATGATGAGCGGTGACGTGAAGTTGGTCCTTAGCTGCTCCGATGGACCTGGGGGGTGGGGGGAGGCCGAAGAGGAAGGGCAAAGGGTTGAAAGGGATAACAAGGGGTGAGGTGGAGTTGGAGGGGATGATGAGCAGCGAAGTGAAGTTGGTCCTCAGCTGCTCCGATAAGCCCGGGGGGTTGGGGAGGGGAGGGGATTGGGAAAGGTGCGGGGAGGGAGTTGAGGGGATTGGGTGGGAAGGCCGATACAGCAAGGGGCGGAGAGATCAGAGAAATGATGAGGTGCGAGGTGAAAATGGTGGGGGAAGGAGAAGGCACCTGCAGATGGTGGCATTGGCCTCCTCTGAGACCTCATACTCGTTATAGCCATCCCCTGTGGTGGAGTTAACATTACATGTTCTACACTCACCAAAATCCTACTCACCAGCATCTGACAACTCGCCCAGTGTGCGTGGAGGGGCAATTGCAGATTGGGGCGTTGGCCTCCTCTGAGAACACATACTCGGTATGAGTAGCTTGCACTAGAATGCACTATAATGCACGCTACACTCACCAAAGTCTTGTGCTTCCACCAGCGTCTGACAGCTGGCGCCAGTGTGCGTGGAAGGGCACTTGCAGATGGCGTTGGCCTCCTCTGAGAACACGCACATGCCTCCGTTGGCCCTTGCAGATTGTACTCTTTACAATCATCCCCGTTACTGAGAGAACCCCAAGACTCACCGAAATCCTGTGCTTCCACCAGGGTTTGACAACTGGCGCCCGTATGGGTAGAGGGACACTTGCAGATGGTGGCGTTGGCCTCCTCTGAAAACACACACATGCCTCCGTTGGCGCACCAGAGACCCGTGCTGCAGGCGACCACGGGCGTCTGACACTTGGAACCCTGCGAGTAGGGCAAGAAAGCACAGAGAAGTAGGGAGAAACGCAGAAAGACGTTCGATCAGACCATGCTCATGCCTCCGTTGGCATACCAGAGACCCGTGCTGCAAACCACCATGGGCGTCTGGCACTTGGAGCCCCGCGATGGGAGCAGGAATAGGGGGATAGAGAGAGCCAAGAAGGCACGAGTGCACATACATTCGATCAGACAAAACACGCACGTGCCACCATTAGCGCACCAGAGACCCGTGCTGCAGGCCACCACAGGCGTCTGACACTTGGAGCCCGGAAGGCAAACCACGAGATGGGAGGGCGTTGGATGGGTGGTTGTTGGGTGGGTGAGAAGGGGTGGTTGAGGGGCAGAGGCAATATAGCAGAGAAAGCCCATCACTTGATTTGGGTTGTATCAATCCAGAGGAAACCCCTCCTCATGCCCCTGTTTTGCTCCCTGACGCCTTACCTGGATCCTGTGAGGGCTCTCCTGCTTCTCTTATTGACTTATGAAACAAGCGGACGGGAAAGACGCACCTGGAACTTGTGACGGCACGAGCAAAGGAACCCCTGAGCGCCCATCCCTGATCGGGACTCCCGCTGTTCTAATCGACTCAAGAACCAAGTAGAGGTGAGGGACGCACCTGGAACTTGTGTGGGCACGAGCAGAGAAACCCCTGAGCACCCATGGCGACGCATTTCCCGCCGTTCTCGCACCACCACGTGCCGTTGCATCGTACGGCCTCCGTTTGACACGATTTCCCGCGGAAGTACAGCCCGGTCTCGTGATCGTACGGCTGACACTCGCACTCGGGTTCCTTGGTCTTAGGGCTCAGCTTGCAGGTGCCGTTGTGCAGACATCCCGGCTCGCACACGAGGTGTAGGTTTCGCGGAACGGACCGAGCTATAACGGGAGATGATTGTGATAATAACGAGAGGACGACAACGAAGATGGAGGCTACGAGGACGGGTGGAGAGTAAAAACTTTTCATACGCGGAAGCCGTAAGTTGGAGCATAGCCGTAAGTTTCTGAGGGATCGATGCATGGCTGCGAGTCGTAAGTTGGTTCTAAAAATGCATCTGTACTAATAGCCCGGACTACCGCCAAGCCTTCGACGCCGATGCTTTCTAATCGGCCCTGGACGCAAGAATATGGTAGAGAAAACACCCGTAGATTCAAGGAGGCTTGTGGAGTGGAGTGCTCGAAACGACTTCGTACTGGATTCTAATAATCTCGATTAATCTCTAGACCGGAGCTGCAGAACGAGCCTACGGAACGATCGTTCACTCGTGCAAAGGTAGTGCGCAAGTATTCGTGGTGAGAACGAGTGCAAGCTAGCAGTGAAAGAAAGGCCCAAAGGCCAAATGCTATTCGAGGGACCAGTTATCAGTCTGACTAAACTGAGCAACAAAACGCAGACTATTGCCTACCTAGAAGCAGCAACAGCAGCTTCGCTTCGAGTATGGCTCGCTCAGAGCTTTTTATCAATAATTGCTGAAAGATCGAGATTGGCTGCTGAACGCCATGCAATGCACATAGCCAATATCAGATGAATGACGCGAGCAGTCGAGCTGACTTGCTAGACGGAACGGGACTGTCTCCGTCTAAAGAAATGTGCCTAGAAAATATCCAACGCGTTCGTGTCATGTATCACGGGTTTGTAAGGTTTTTAAACTACCCATAGTGGTATTGCGCGTTGGTAACCGGCTGACACGCGTGAAAGAGGAGCGTCAGAAGGCGACAAAGACTCCCCGGAAGATGTGCTTATGTGGAAGGATGCTCTTGTCGAATGCTGAACAAGACGGAACGTAAACAGACTTGTCACATCCAAATCTGGGTGAAGATATCAGAATGGAGCTCTTGCACCGTGTGGAAAATCCTTCGACCGTTTCCTAACTTCACAAAATGCTGTCTTCACCAGCGCCAACACGACAGCGTGACGGTTAGAAGTAGTATAGACTTCGGTTAGCTGACCGAAATTCTCCAGCTATGCCAACGACCAGCCAATCAGTCCGTGGGAAAAAACATTTCGTCCGTCAACTGCTCGCAACCATAACGAGATACAGTGCTCAAAGCTGGCAGTTCCGACCTTCTAGGAGCCAAAAACGCGGTGCGCGTTTAACGAACGACTAGGTAAACCGTCGATGGCAGAAGCCGAACGGTTGGATAGGCCGCTTCACTCAGCGCGGCGGACCTACGGGTGTCCCCACAGTTACCGCAAACGGACTTGCTGTTGTGAAACTGGTACGCGTTTCTGGCGCATCCTGTGTAAGAAAGATACAACACTGTACTTGGGGTCGCGCTGAATCACTTGCAAACCCAAAATCTCAACACATGTTCTGCTTGATTTCCTCAACCCTGAGGATACCACAACGAATCCCAACTTGCACAACGAATCCCAACGCAGCTCAATTTTACCGCTATGGTAAAGCCCTTTATAGTACTTCCTTTTTTTTCGTCGTAGTTGCATTTGATACAGCTGCTAATGGCCGTGCAGAATCGCGTGTAGTTGCTCACTAATAAAGTGGCCCGACAATGTGGAGACAACACCAAGCTACACCAGACGCTCAAGCGCGCCATGAGACTCTCGCTATGGACGAGGAGGGTGCCAGCAAAGCAGGAACGAGTCAGTTCCGTGCTCGTACGTGAGCTCGATCCAGAAAACGAGCTGCGTTTGACAGCGGAAGCAACAGCTACGCCAACGCCCATGAACAACTCCAAGGTACGGACGGCATCACTAGACTACTGCTTACATGGTATTGCTTGCTGCCTGCTGTAAAACCCAGCAGGAAGAACTCGCTTCGCCTGAGCCGACGTGGCATAAGATGTCTTCGATAGACAACTCGGCACTCGTGACTTCGACCATTTAGTCGTGTAAGGGTACGTTCTCAGCCCATGTCAGGAAGGCTGACATGAAGCTGTGTAGGGTTTGGATTTGATTGATGATGACGTGGAACGATCGGAGCTGTCGATAGCCTTGTGTCACGAAACTTGACACAGGCTAAGAACGTACCCTAACGCTCGCACCTTGCCTCTAAACGCAACTCCCGACCAAACAGGACAAGGAAAGGGGAAATCCCCAGAAAGAATTTACCCACGGTTCACGAGTGCCACTGCAAAGACGTTCACGAACGTACAGAAATACATGTACTAGGACTTGAGTTACAGCATTGGTACAAGCAAAGTAAGAATACAACAACAACCTAACTACCACAATCAAGTATATTTCTTATTTCTTTCCACCCTTCCCGCCCTTCCCACCCTTGCCCCCCTTCCCTCCTTTCCCACCTTTTCCGCCCTTCCCAGCCTTTCCGCTCTTCCCGCTGGTCGTCGTGCCCGCGGTCTGGCCCTGATCCTGCCCCCCTGCCCCCCCCTGCTCTCCGCCAGCCCCCCCCTGCTCTCCGCCAGCACCCCCCTGCTCTCCTCCAGGGCCCCCCTGCTCTCCGCCGGATCCCCCCTGCTCTCCGCCGGATCCCCCCTGCTCTCCACCAGGGCCCCCCTGCTCTCCGCCAGAGCCCCCCTGCTCTCCACCAGGGCCCCCCTGCTCGCCGCCAGGGCCCCCCTGCTCGCCTCCAGGGCCCCCCTGCTCGCCTCCAGGGCCCCCCTGCTCGCCACCAGGCCCGCCCTGCGCTCCGCCAGGCCCGCCCTGCTGGTTACCAGGCTTCCCTCCCTTTCCCCCCTTGCCCCCTTTCCCTCCCTTTCCGCCCTTGCCTCCCTTCCCACCTTTCCCTCCCTTTCCGCCCTTTCCGCCCTTCCCTCCCTTTCCGCCCTTTCCGCCCTTCCCTCCCTTTCCGCCCTTTCCGCCCACGTCCCCGCCGGGACCGCCTACCCCAACGTCGCCGCCACTGCCGGTATCTCCGCCGGTATCTCCGCCATTGCCGGTATCTCCGCCAATGTCGCCGCCAATGTCTCCGCCAATGTCCCCGCCAATATCTCCGCCACTGCCGGTATCTCCGCCGCTGCCGGTATCTCCGTCGATGTCTCCGCCAATATCTCCTCCACTGCCAGTGTCTCCGCCGTTGCCGGTGTCTCCGCCAAAATCTCCGCCAGGCTCTCCGCCAACAGACGAGGTAGAGCGATATAGAATGTTTGTCGAGAGATCCGCCTTCAAGAGCGAGAGCGCCCTGAGTGCCAGACTGCGCCGCGGAGAGAAGCTCCTTCCGAACGCTGCGCAAATAGCAAAAGATGAAAGCGTCAGTTGAGACTCATAGTGATTCAGAGTATTTCAAGTCGGAATGAAAGGAAGAGAAGTGGAGAGAAGGACCTTCCAAACGCTGCGCGAATCGGAGAAAATACGAGAGTATTGAAACGACATTTTGAGCTCTGGATGTTGAGTATCTGTAACAGGACGGAATTCACCATGCGAGATGCATGGGAATTTCCGAACGGGACTTGCCTAGCTACCTACGAACTGCACCACTTGCTAGCCTAGAACGTACTCCCGTATCCCTGTAAGGAAGAATAGTACAGCAGGGCATGGCATCGAGGCGCTATGCCAAGATGCCATGCTAGATTGAGTGGCGATGCGGTTTTCCTCCCAAGTCGCCATCCTTTCTTCCTAGCATAAATATCCATCTCTGAATCTTGTATTATGATCTCTTGCTAATCTAATTTCAGATCCTTCTTATTGATCTCTCTTCTACGTCTCCAGAGCTGGGTTTCTCTCACTAGCCTAGCTTCTCTCCCTTCCGCTGCAACGTTCTTCTCTCTATTCTCGCTACGGCGCCGCCCTCTTCCTAGTCGCCATGGCCGGCCAGGCCAGCCGCGCCGTGCGCGGCAGCAGCGCCGTAGCCCTGTTTCAGTATCGGAAACTAAGTAAGAACCGCGCAAGAAGAACAGCGCAAAAGGAAGAACGTGAGAGGAAACGGAAGCGGTATTCGGTGTAAGGAATGTGAGGTGTTGGCGGTTGAGACGAGCGTGAACTTACCAGGTGCGAAACAGATTTGTTTTTTCAGAGGAAGGAAACTGAGGTGTTGGTGAAACAAGTGGTGATACGAGGTGCGTATCTTACCAGGCGCGACGGACCTTCGTGTTAGCCATATGTTTTTTATTCTCAGTCCTCAAAACGGATCTGTTGTTTAAAGGAAGGATACTGAGGCATGAAAAGGAGGCGTTTCGAGGTGCAAGATCTTACCAGGCGCGACGGAGACTGACGCTACGGCAAGGACATGCCTCGCATCGTGTACCCCATTGTGGCGGCGGGATACCGGCGCTTGTCAAAAGTGCTAGGAACTAACGGAAAGAGTGGATGTCGCGAGGCGAAGGAAAGCGACTCCAAGGGAACAGGGAATCGCTGTCGAAGAGCTTAGAGAATGATGAGAAGATCTGCTGGTGCTGATGATGATGTAGTGACGAGTGGTTTTTATAGGAGAGCGGTGAGAACGCGGCTCGCACACGATTTCCTTTGTGGGGGTTGGGTTGGTTTGGATTGGAATGCACATTTGGCGGGGAATGTGTTTTCGCGCCAGGTAGATTCCGTGAGTTTCGCTGTTCTCGTGTTCAACACAAGCCAGGGGGGAGGTGTGTTGCGACGGAGGCGTGACGAGCGTCGCGAGTCCCGAAGCTGGTTCGCGATGGGCTTGGCAAAATCGAATACAGTACAACCTGCGAGGGCAATCAGGAACACAAAATGCACGGCCGATAGTCACGGCTGGCTGCAAGGTCAGATCGCAGGGAGAATTCTACTGGTCGCGCGCCTGTTGAAAGTGGTTGACCGATCCCACCTGGGAGAGTCCAGCTCGTCGATGGAAAATGCGGAAGATGCGGCACCAAGTGTCAGAGCAAAGTGACTGAACTGTAGATGACGGGTATACATACAGTTTCGCTATCTTGCATTCGGCTACACTTTCACATTTTTGTATTTCGGAGATTTGTACTGCAATACTTTCGTCAGACTGGGTGTCGACAACAAATGAGAGGTTCCCTGACTGCCTTCAATTTGTTCGCGAGCGCAGATGTTTCGCGTAAACGTTTCGCCAAGCCCTTCGCAGCATTATCGAGCTTGCAGCTCCCTTCCCCATTCGACTCGCCACCGCCAGCATGTTTTTCGTGAAGTTATTGCCGAGTTACTTGGTGAGATCACTTGCTACAACTCACTGCTCGCCATAAACTTCCAGAGGGATTAGAGGAACGTCGACACTATCGTAGCATTGTGCTGCTCGCCATCTCGCCGTGGCTACTAGCTTGGTAAAAGGACGAGTCCAGAGGACAACTCTTTTTTAGACGACATATCGACGTCGGATATGTTTCTTATCGCGACAGATTGGTGACGGCGCAAGCATGAAACTGCGTATCGACAGCGTCGTCGTCGCAAGAGTTCGGTAAAAGGCTACGATCACCGAGGTGACATTCGAGTTTGATGCTGGCGAAAATGCAAAAGGCTAAACATTTACGTCAGGTTACTACCCTGCATGAGAGCTGCTTTTGCATTCCCACACGAAGGATACGGAACGTACAATATATATGGACTTGGCTGCAATAGTAGTAGAAGAAGAAGAATGGTACAATGGCACAACCTATCTATTGCAAAAGTTTTTTATTTCTTTCCACCCTTCCCGCCCTTTCCACCCTTGCCCCCCTTCCCTCCTTTGCCTCCTTTCCCCCCCTTCCCAGCCTTTCCGCCCTTTCCGGTGTTTGTCGCGCCCGCGGTCTGGCTACCATCCGCCCCCCCTGACCCCCCCTGTTCCCCGCCAGTCCCGCCCTGCTCTCCACCAGATCCCCCCTGCTGTCCGCCAGACCCCCCCTGCTCACCGCCGGATCCCTCCTGATCCCCGCCGGATCCCCCTTGCTCTCCACCAGCTCCCCCTTGCTCTCCGCCAGGTCCCCCCTGCTGGTTACCAGGGTACCCTACCTTTCCCCCCTTGCCCCCTTTCCCTCCCTTTCCGCCCTTTCCTCCCTTTCCGCCCTTCCCACCTTTCCCTCCCTTTCCGCCCTTCCCTCCCTTTCCGCCAGCGCCGATCGGTGGCGGGCCGTCCTCACCTCCCCCAACGTCGCCGCCACTGCCGGTATCTCCGCCGCTGGCTGAATCCCCATTATCGTCACCAGTGGGGCCCTCCGGACCGCCCTAATCGCCGCCGACGTCGCCGCCTGGACCGCCTGTTTCTCCGCCAACGTCGCCGCCACTGCCGGTATCTCCGCCACTGCCGGTGTCTCCGCCAGTGTCTCCGGGATTGGCGAGTAGAGTAATGGTTGTCGACCCCGGGAAGCTCATGAGCGAGAGGGCCTTGAGGGCGAGGCTGCGACGTGAAGGTAAGGTCCTTCCAAACGCTGCGCGAAAAGGAGAGAATGCGAGAGTAATGAGGCGACATGTTATGAGTCAGAACAATACAGAGTATCGAAATAAAAAACGGCGAGAAAGGGAAGAACGTGCGAGGAAATGGAAGTTTCTTATGGGAGAAGGAAACTGATGTTGGTGAAAAAGCGGTGATACAAGTCGTGGAATCTTACCAGGCGCGATGGAGGCTGACGCTACGAAAAGCGCAAGAAGCAGCAGCGGCAAAGATATGCCTCGCATCGTGTAACCCATTGTGAATTCGATGCTTGTCGAAGCGGAACGAACTAACGACAGGAGTGGATCACGCGAAGCGAAAGAAGAGGGAATCGAAGCGATCAGGGAGTGGCTGGAGAAGAGCTTGTAGTTTGAAATGAGAACTGATGATAACGATAGGAGGGACGAGTGGTTTATGTAGTAGGGTGGTGAGAACGCGGCTCGCACAACATTCTATTCACAGGAATGGGTGGGAAAACGCACTGTTGGCGGGAAAGGTGTTTTCGCGCCAGGTGGAATCCGTGAGATTCGCTGTATGTGTTTCACAGGCCAAGGAGTTGCGACTGTGGCGATGCGACTGTCGCGACACTGGTTACTGTGACGACGGGTCTGGCGAATTCGAATCCCTAAAATTCTACCAGCCTGCGAGGACAAAGCTAATCGCAACGAACCACGATTCACAACGTGCTCCACCGATGGACACGGCGCGCTTCAAGTTCAGATTGCAGGTGAAAACTCCATTCGCCATGCTTGTTGAAACCTGTTGACCTGATTCCGTCTGGGATGGGCGCGTCGAGCTCCTTGATGTAACATGCGGATGATGCGGCAGCAAATGCTGCGGCAAAAAGCAACAAGCGACTGTACCTATCATTCTTGCATTCCTCTACACTCGGACATTTGCATTTCATATTTTTCTGCAGTCCTTTGCAGAACGGCAAATTACCAAAGCTAGGGTACTTGTGGAAACATTGTAAACCAGCACAGCTTGGCTTTCGGTGCCCCCACAAGTGGTAAGGGCAAACAGAATATGCTTGGTACGCATTACTAGCACCATGTGCTCTTACAGCCCTGGTTACAAGGCATGATTGTGCATCCTATACAAGTTCCACATAGCATGGTAGCATGTCATGTACAATGAGTACACTCATACATCATGATGATGACGTGTGGGTCGGGATTCGGGACTCGGGACTCCGGGTAGTTCATGCATGGGAAAACATTATAGATGAAGTCAGGGAGACGAGAAGAAGGAAAGAGCCACCGTAAAGTACACTAGTGAGAATACGATGGTGGCGAGTGACTTGTTGTTGGTGCCGGAGGTGCAGATGTGAGGCGAGACGATGGGAGGAGAGAGGATGTGAGGCGAGAGTTTGTGAGGGAAATGGGAGAAGCAGGCGGAGAAGGTTTGAGAGAATGGCCTCTCCATCTAGGAAGAAAATCTGAGGAGCGGACAGGTCGAGGAGGGGGTGGGGACAGATGAAGAAATACCAGTAGATGAATGGGTTTGGCATTTTAATGCTTTTACTGAATCAGATTAAGCAATCAGATTAAGCCATGGGCGTGGTGATTGACAGAGAGCTTTATAATGGCAAAGGGAAGAGAAAAGGAAATGTGAGAGAAAAAAAAGGGGTTCGAGGCAATGAATTGTAACGAATAGTTGAGGTTTGGAGTGTAGACAACGAATCGTAGCAGGAAGTGAAGTAGGGTACACAGGCACCTCGAGTGCAACATGTAAACGCCAATATTCTCTGAATTCTTGCAATAGCCACGACACTAATACTTTTTTTTTCGGTCTGATTTGATCAAAGTAATATAGTACACTCACCGGTGCAGCGTTCATGAGGGCAAGAGCATTGGACACGTGGAAGACAAAGAGAGTGCCACGTGTCACCACCATAGGGCCCCACAACGGCGCTGAAATCCGAATCATTGATGGTGGCGATGCTGGTAACAGGGATGAACGGTTACGATTCTGCTCTTCCCCTCCCTCCCTCTCGTGCTGATCCTGCTCTTTCTGCTGTTGCTCCTGCACCTGCTGCCATTGCTGCTGCTGCTCCAGTCCCTGCTGTGGCTGTTGCTTCCTTTGCTGCCATTGCTGCCATTGCTGCTGCTGCTGCAATTCTATCTGAAGCATGCTTGCAGCAGCAGGCTGACTTCCTGCACGCAGCAATCTCCTGGGTTCCAGCGCCGCATGTGTAGGCATGTGCGACACATGGTTAGCTTTTTGAGGCGCCTCAGAAACAGCAGCAGCCAGGCTTGGTGCATGCAGCAATCTCCTGGGTTCCACCTTGTGTGTAGGCATGTGTGTCGCAGGTTTAGGCAGTGTGAGGGGAAGAGTGAGGGTGCGAGGGTGCCATGAGGAGAGAGAGATACCCTGCGCAAAGGACTCAATGGTTCCCACAAACACTAGAGAGGAGGGAGGGGAGTGAGAGGAGGAGAAGGGAGAGAAACTGGAAGAGGAGGAGGAGGTGGAGGAGGAGGGTGAGTAGCGGGAAGAGGAGGAGGAGGTGGAGGAGGAGGGTGAGTAGCAGGAAGAGGAGGAGGAGGTGGAGGAGGAGGGTGAGTAGCGGGAAGAGGAGGAGGAGGTGGAGGAGGAGGGTGAGTAGCGGGAAGAGGAGGAGGAGGTGGAGGAGGAGGGTGAGTAGCGGGAAGAGGAGGAGGAGGTGGAGGAGGAGGGTGAGTAGCGGGAAGAGGAGGAGGAGGTGGAGGAGGAGGGTGAGTAGCGGGAAGAGGAGGAGGAGGTGGAGGAGGAGGGTGAGTAGCGGGAAGAGGAGGAGGAGGTGGAGGAGGAGGGTGAGTAGCGGGAAGAGGAGGAGGAGGTGGAGGAGGAGGGTGAGTAGCGGGAAGAGGAGGAGGAGGTGGAGGAGGAGGGTGAGTAGCGGGAGGGCTGAGACTCCACGTGGAGCAGCAGATGGTGATGGGGAAGCACGGGGGCCATGCAGACGGATCCCTGGTGGTGAAGGGAGGGCAAAACAAGGAGAGAGAGAAGAAAGATATCCGAAACCGTACGAGGAGCAGCAGACGGTGAGGAGCAGCAGATGGTGAGGAGCAGCAGATGGTGAGGAGCAGCTGATGGTGAGGAGCAGCTGACAGGGATGGGGAAGGACAGGATGCAAACATGCCATGGTGGGGTGGGGACCATATGAGAGTAAATCTCTCATTGCTCCTTCATACTCACCGTTTCGCATTGTCGTTGATCGTTCCCCTCATCATCCACCCACCCCCATCTGCATCTCCTCCCTCTCTCCACCACTTCTCTCGGACGCAAACACGCCATGGTAGGAGGAACCATCTCAGAAGCTTCTTGTTGGTGTTGCGATTCATGAACAGGAAATTGAACGGAAGCTTCCTCTTGGCGCGGTTCACTTCTAGGAAGCTGCAAGGAAGGTTCAGGGGCATCGCCAGCTGGAGCTCGCCGGAAAAGGATGGTTCCAGGAAACGAGGAATCACAGGAGATTGGCCGATGTGGTGGGAATGGCTCCATGTTGGAATGATGGTGGAGGTGGGAAGGTTCTAGGAAAGAGCTGGAGATTGGTGCAGATGAAGCTATCGGTGGGGGGCTACTATTGGCTGGAAAGGCTGGAGTCAGGAATCCAGGTGGCAGCTCGTGATTGGCCGAAAGGGAAATGCAATACCCACGAGAAGGAGGTGAGGGAGGGATCGAAGAAGGCACAGGGAAGGAGAGATGGGAGAGATGGGAGAGGTGGGAGAGGTGGGAGAGGTGGGAGAGGTGGGAGAGGAGGCGAGAATAATCGGCAGGAGATGAAAGGGGAGTGTGGTCGAGTGCTAGTAAGGTGTCTCCTGGGCGAATGTGACTGTAGAGAGGTGAGAGCGGATGCACTGATGTAACCTGAGGATGAGAGGGGAGTGAAACAAGAAAGGAGCGCGTTTCAGAATTCTCAAAACCTGAGGACGGGAGGGAGTGGAACAAGAAAGGAGCGCGTTTCAGAATTCTCAAAACCTGAGGACGGGAGGGAGTGGAACAAGAAAGGAGCGCGTTTCAGAATTCTCAAAACCTGAGGACGGGAGGGAGTGGAACAAGAAAGGAGCGCGTTTCAGAATTCTCAAAACCTGAGGACGGGAGGGAGTGGAACAAGAAAGGAGCGCGTTTCAGAATTCTCAAAACCTGAGGACGGGAGGGAGTGGAACAAGAAAGGAGCGCGTTTCAGAATTCTCAAAACCTGAGGACGGGAGGGAGTGGAACAAGAAAGGAGCGCGTTTCAGAATTCTCAAAACCTGAGGACGGGAGGGAGTGGAACAAGAAAGGAGCGCGTTTCAGAATTCTCAAAACCTGAGGACGGGAGGGAGTGGAACAAGAAAGGAGCGCGTTTCAGAATTCTCAAAACCTGAGGACGGGAGGGAGTGGAACAAGAAAGGAGCGCGTTTCAGAATTCTCAAAACCTGAGGACGGGAGGGAGTGGAACAAGAAAGGAGCGCGTTTCAGAATTCTCAAAACCTGAGGACGGGAGGGAGTGGAACAAGAAAGGAGCGCGTTTCAGAATTCTCAAAACCTGAGGACGGGAGGGAGTGGAACAAGAAAGGAGCGCGTTTCAGAATTCTCAAAACCTGAGGACGGGAGGGAGTGGAACAAGAAAGGAGCGCGTTTCAGAATTCTCAAAACCTGAGGACGGGAGGGAGTGGAACAAGAAAGGAGCGCGTTTCAGAATTCTCAAAACCTGAGGACGGGAGGGAGTGGAACAAGAAAGGAGCGCGTTTCAGAATTCTCAAAACCTGAGGACGGGAGGGAGTGGAACAAGAAAGGAGCGCGTTTCAGAATTCTCAAAACCTGAGGACGGGAGGGAGTGGAACAAGAAAGGAGCGCGTTTCAGAATTCTCAAAACCTGAGGACGGGAGGGAGTGGAACAAGAAAGGAGCGCGTTTCAGAATTCTCAAAACCTGAGGACGGGAGGGAGTGGAACAAGAAAGGAGCGCGTTTCAGAATTCTCAAAACCTGAGGACGGGAGGGAGTGGAACAAGAAAGGAGCGCGTTTCAGAATTCTCAAAACCTGAGGACGGGAGGGAGTGGAACAAGAAAGGAGCGCGTTTCAGAATTCTCAAAACCTGAGGACGGGAGGGAGTGGAACGAGGGTAGGGTAGGGTAGCATGTGCGCGTCTCACGAGCATGCAAGAAAAAGAGGAGTTTCCGTGCAAGAAAAAGATACATGCATGTAGTTTTGATTGAGGAGCACGGCTTTAGGCACACGCAGAGTCGTTCTTTCGTGGGAAATGGGATGTGCAGGGTCCTACTTTGAGGCCGGGGGTGACTGGGAGTAGATTGGAAGGAAGAGCAGTGCTTGGAGGGGAGGGGAAAGGAGCAAATGAATGTCGGAGAGATGGATTTATTGCAGGGAAGAGGACGCGCAGCTTACTTTGAGGCCTGGGGGCGACTGGGAGTAGAGTGGAAGGAAGAGCATTGCTTGGAGGGGAGAGGAGAGGAGCAGCAGAGCGAGCAGAGACAGCTGCACAGGTGGGAGTGGGGCCAGGGGGTAGGGAAAGATGGGGACGGGAAGGGTCAGGTCAGGGGGTAGAAAGGAAGGAAGAGGGCCGCCATGGAGGGGAGAAGAGAGGAGCAGCAGAGCGAGCAGAGACAGCTGCACAGGTGGGAGTGGGGCCAGGGTGTAGGGGGCGAGGGGGACAGGGAGGGCCAGCGGGGAGAGGGGTGAGGGTGAGTTGGGGATGCAAGACGGAGGAATGCAGAAATGCACTGCACTCTCAGGAGGTGAGAGCTGGTTTTTGAGAATTCTAAAAAACCGACTCACCACGATGCTGTGCCAGATGGTGGCAGAAAGCACTCTCAGGAGGCGAGTGAGAGGGAGTGAGTGGAAGTCGCAAGGGTGGAATGGAAGAAAACAAGGGGGGGCTGTGGTGCCGTGCCATGCCATGCCATACACTCACCACGATGCTGTGCCTGATGGTGGCGGAAAGCACTCTCAGGAGGTGAGTGAGAGGGACTGAGTGGAAGGCGACGTGTGGGTGTGTGTGCTCAAGGGTCGTCGTCACTCATGGTTGGAAGGGCAGCAGTACAAGAGAAAAAAATGACGACGACCAGGGAGTGAGTGGAAGGCGACGTGTGTGTGTGCTCGAGGGAGGGAGCAGCATGTGAGTGAGTGAGTGAGAGCACGGCGATAAGGTGTGAAGTCTCAAGGAGCCGCAATGCACAAGACTCACGACTATGTAGTGCAGGAGGGAAGCCCCAACCCAACCCACACTCACGTGCATTGAGGTGTATTTTGAGGCGCCTCAAAATACACCTTTTGAGGAGCCGCAATGCACAACACTCACGACTATGTTGTGCAGGAGGGAAGTCCCAACCCAACCCACACTCACCACTATGTTGTGCCAGATTCCAGCAGAAAGAACCCTCAAGAGCCGAGCGGGAGGCCGGGAGCGGGATGGAAGCCACGTGTGCTCCGGGAAGGAAGAGGGTGTGAGGCACAGTGATGTGATGTGATGTGATGTGATGTGATGTGATGTGATGTGATGTGATGTGATGTGATGTTATGTGATGTGATGTGATGTGATGTGATGTGATGTGATGTGAAGCTTAGAGAAGCCCCAATCAGCACTCACAACTATGTTGTGCCAGATGCCAGCGGAAAGCACCCTCAGCAGGCGAGCAGGAGGCAGGGAGTGGAAGTCGGCGGGATGGAAGGCCACGTGTGCTCCGGGGAGGAGCAGGGCGAGGAGGAAGCATGCCACGTGCTGCACTCGCACTCCCTCCCTGTGGTTGGGAGGAGGCGAGGGGGCAGAGGGGAGAGCAAGAACAGAGAAGCAAGCTACATGTTGAACTGCAAGCGGGACGGAAGGCGACGTGTGCTCCGGGGAGCAGCAGGGCGAGGAGGAGCACGCCACCGTGCTGCACTCGCACGCCCTCCCTGTAGTGAGCAGAGAAATGGGGAATGGGGCGGAAGGACGAAGAAATGGGCCAGAAGGGAGGGATGGAAGGTGGTGGGTGCTCCTGGGAGCAGCAGGGCGAGGAGGAGCACGCCACCGTGCCATGTGCTGCACCCGCACTCCCTCCCTGTGGGCAGGGGACAGGGGTGGGGAAGTGTGCGGGAAAGGGGCGGTTGGGGTGAGGTGAAGGGATTGGGAGAGTTACAACGGATTAAGGAGCAGGGCGAGGAGGACACATGCCACATGCTGCACTCGCACTCCCACATGCTGCACTCGCACTCCCTCCCACACACACTCATGTGACATTCAAACGCGACAGCTTACACTCATGCGCACAATCCCACACTCCCACGCACAAGCTGACTTTTGAGGCGACTCACTCACACGGCCACACTTCAACCCAGAATCACACACGCACATGACAACTTCTGAGGCGCCTAAAAACCCCAGAATCACACACGCATATGGCAACTTCTGAGGCGCCTAAAAAACCCAGCATCACACACGCATATGACACTTACACTCACACAACAGCAGCAACAGAATGGCCTGTTTTGTGCCACGCCAGGGTGATAAGCAGCCCCCTATGTTAGCATATCATATATTATCACACCACTAGATACACACACACACACACACACACACACACACACACACACACACACACACACACACACACACTCCCACGACACTTACACTCACACAGCAGCAGCTACAGCGTGCCCAGCCTCATGCCACGCCAGGCTGATAAGCAACCCTATGTTTGCACCTCGTATCACACCAACTGTTACAGCCACACACACTCCCACGACACTAACACTCACACAGCAGCAGCTACAGCATGCCCTGCCTCATGCCACGCCAGGCTGATAAGCAACCCTATGTTTGCACCTCGTATCACACCAACTGTTACAGCCACACACACTCCCACGACACTTACACTCACACGGCAGCAGCTACGGCGTGCCCTGCCTCATGCCACGCCAGACTGATAAGCGTGGCCATAAAGAGGTAGCCGAGATCGGCCAATGGCATGTTGACACCTGGCAGCTGTTGCTCCACATGCGGGCAGATGGGGAGTGGGTCGGGAAGGAGAGGAAGGCGATGTGGGGCGGAAATGGATGAGGGAGAGATGGGGGGGAGTTAATGAGATGAGAGGGAGAGATGAGGGGAGGTGGAGTGAAGGAAGGACAAAGGAGAAGAGGTGGGTAAGTATGGAACGGAAAGAAATACCCACTAATACTCAGCACCCATCCACTCACTCACTCCTGCTCACCCACTCGCTCACCCACTCTTACCCACTCACTTACTCACTACCGCTCACTCACTCAATCACTCACACGCTCACCCACTCTCACACTCATTCACTAACTTCCTCACTCACTCTCACTCACTCAATCACTCACTCGCTCACCCACTCTCACACACTCACTCACTCAATGGGGGCTGCCTCTGCTGCAGGGCCAGTGGGAGCTGCTCCCTCTGCTGCAGAGGTGACTTTTGAGTCGACTCAAAAGTCGCCAGTGGGAGCTGCTGCCTCTGCAACTTCTTGAAAGGCTTGCTGTGCTGCTCTGCATTGGACGCTTGCATTACCAACCAGGGTCAGTGTCAGCCCTCCTTGACACTCACTCACTCACTCACTCACTCACCACAGGCTGAAGCACGTGCAGCGAGGCAGTAGATGCCTGCTTTGCAGGATAGGGGTTTGCCTCTGCAGGAGCAGTGGGAGCTGCTGCCTCTGCTACTTCCTGAAAGGCTTGCTGTGCTGCGTGGAATGCCGAAGCACTCGCCGCTCCAGAGCGGCCAATGGAGGAATCTTCGAACGAAAAGTTCACAGTAGAAAGGTTGTGATTGTAATAAGAGTGGTTGTGCGTATAGGTGTGAGGGTAAAAGCGCTGCTGCTTTTCTAGGTGTTGAGATGATGTGGACAGGTATCGCAGGAGAGGCACGAGGAGGGAAGCAACGAGGCCGTCCCACAGAAGAACCTGGGGAGGGGATGGAGGGAAGAAGCAGGAAAGGGAGGGAGCGAGGGTGGGATGGAGGGAGGGAGGGAGGGAGCGAGGAAGTGAGGGAGCGAGGGTGGGAGGGAGGGAGGGAGGGAGGGAGCGAGGAAGTGAGGGAGCGAGGGTGGGTGGGAAGGAGGGAGGGAGGGATGGAGGGAGGGAGAGAAAGAGGAAGAGAGAGGGGGAGAAAGCGATAGGGAGAGAGGGATGTAGGGAGAGAAACTCATGGAATTGGAAGTGGCTGTGTGTAAAGTGTTGGAAGCAAGTGTGGAGAGCGGAGCGCATTGTGCTGTGCCGTGATAAGAAGCAATACGATAAGAAAGATGAGCAATGAAGGCGAGACCAGTATCAAAGGTAGTTGTGATTTATGTACGCACTAGCGAGGCCAGTATGAATGAAGGCGATGCAGGCTGCAATAACGCCCCATGTGAAACGGAGGCTCATATACACGTGCGGATGAGAGATGTGATGTGATGTGATGTGATGTGATGTGATGTGATGTGATGTGATGTGATGTGATGTGATGTGATGTGATGTGATTGACGCATGCACGCACCAGAGAGGCCAGTATGAAGGCGATGCATGCTGCTATGACGCCCCATGTGAAACGGTTGGAGGCTCATAAACACGTGCGGATGAGAGATGTGATGTGATGTGATGTGATGTGATGTGATGTGATTGACGCATGCACGCACCAGAGAGGCCAGTATGAAGGCGATGCATGCTGCTATGACGCCCCATGTGAAACGGTTGGAGGCTCATAAACACGTGCGGATGAGAGATGTGATGTGATGTGACGTGATGTGATGTGATGTGATGTGATGTGATGTGATGTGATGTGATGTGATGTGATGTGATGATGTGATGTGATGTGATGTGATGTGATGTGATGTGATGTGATGTGATGTGATGTGATGTGATTGACGCATGCACGCACCAGAGAGGCCAGTATGAAGGCGATGCATGCTGCTATGACGCCCCATGTGAAACGGTTGGAGGCTCATAAACACGTGTGGATGAGAGATGTGATGTGATGTGATGTGATTGACGCATGCACGCACCAGAGAGGCCAGTATGAAGGCGATGCATGCTGCTATGACGCCCCATGTGAAACGGTTGGAGGCTCATAAACACGTGCGGATGAGAGATGTGATGTGATGTGATGTGATGTGATGTGATGTGATGTGATGTGATGTGATTTGATGTGATGTGATGTGATTGACGCATGCACGCACCAGAGAGGCCAGTATGAAGGCGATGCATGCTGCTATGACGCCCCATGTGAAACGGTTGGAGGCTCATAAACACGTGCGGATGAGAGATGTGATGTGATGTGATGTGATGTGATGTGATGTGATGTGATGTGATGTGATGTGATGTGATGTGATGTGATGTGATGTGATTGACGCATGCACGCACCAGAGAGGCCAGTATGAAGGCGATGCATGCTGCTATGACGCCCCATGTGAAACGGTTGGAGGCTCATAAACACGTGCAGATGAGAGATGTGATGTGATGTGATGTGATGTGATTGACGCATGCACGCACCAGAGAGGCCAGTATGAAGGCGATGCATGCTGCTATGACGCCCCATGTGAAACGGTTGGAGGCTCATAAACACGTGCGGATGAGAGATGTGATGTGATGTGATGTGATGTGATGTGATGTGATGTGATGTGATGTGATGTGATTGACGCATGCACGCACCAGAGAGGCCAGTATGAAGGCGATGCATGCTGCTATGACGCCCCATGTGAACCATGCCCGGAGCATCCTGGGACGGAGGGAAGGGGGGGAAAGAGAAACGGAAAGAGAAAGGGAAAGAGAAATGGAAAGAGAAATGGGAAGAGAAAGAGTTTTGTATACTTTTTGTGATGTTACTGTTGGGTTACTGACGGGCGAGCAAACGAGTTTCAGACGTTTTGTTGGAATACAGAGAGCAAAGGCGTAGTCTGAAGAAAGAAAGAAGCGAAAAAAGAAGAAGAAGCAAAAAGAAGAGCGTCAAGCACACCCTGAATGGAACAAAAGAAACAACCACTTTGGAACAAGCACTTCAAGTCCAGACCGTCCGTAGGTAGCCCACAACCCAACACCCACACACCTCTTGGTAGCTGACTTGGCAGGCAGCAACCGCAGACGCTCCAGGCAAGGGTTGAAGCACGTGGTGTGGATCTGAATGTACCTGGTGGATGGGATGGGAGGGGGGGAAGAGGGAGGGGGGAATCACTAAGAAACAGGGAAAGGCACCTCACATGCAAAGACGCTCCGGGCAAGGGTTGAAGCACGTGGTGTGGATCTGAATGTACCTGGTGGTGCGAGGGAGGGAAGAGGGGAAACGAGGGGGGTTCTGATCTGTTTTCAAGCGTGCCAAAGCGTGCCGCCCAAGGGTTGAAGCATGTGGTGTGGATCTGAATGTACCTGGTGGAAGCAAAAACGTAAAAAGTATCTCTCCACATTGCTTGTTAGCAGTATTATTTGTTGTGCTTGACTTTTGAGTCGACTCAAAAGTCACCTCGTTAACAGTATCATTTGTTGTGCTTGTGCAGATCATATCATACTGCTAGCATTAGACACCAAGCCCTATGATTTGTATACACCTATGTATATTATATATATACGCGACAAGAACGGACATAACTTACCCTATGCTGGATGTAACCCCACTTGTGAGGGTAACCCCTTCTTGCTCCCTTTCGCCCTGTGCTCTCCCATCGTTTCCCCCTGCCTCTCCCCTACTCCCCCTCATCTCCCCTCCATCCGCCCCTCCCCTTCTCCCACCACTCTCCCCCCGACTCTCCTCTCCGCTGCTATCCAAGCCTCCTCCAGCCCCTTTATTAGCACATTCGCTTTGGGCACTTCCTCCCCCTTTACTATCACAATCGCCTCCCCTTGCCCTGCGCTTCCGCTTGAAGCCCCCCCTCCTCCTGACCCCGTGAAGCCAGCACCAGTGCAGGGGGGATGAGCGGAGAGAGAGTTCCGCACACTGGGGGGATGGACAGGGGGGAGAGAGGGGCGAGGGGCGGAAGGGTTGGGGGGAACTCCCGCTTTGGCGCACGTAGCTGAGGCTCCCCTCCCCCTCCTCCTGGCTCCGCGCTGCCAGCGCCAGTGCAGGGGGGATGAGCGGAGAGAGAGTTCCGCGCACTGGGGGGAGGGGATGGACAGGGGGCAGGGGGAGGGGGAGGGTGGGGAGGCGCGGGGGAGAGAAGGGAGAAGGGAGAAGGGAGTGGGGAAGGGGAGGATGCGCGTATTGGTGCAATTGAGAAGAGCGGAGAGTGAAATCCGCGCATGAGGCTCCCCCTCCCCTTTGAGTTGAGACTCCTCCTCCTGCCTCCGCCAAGCCAGCGCCAGTGCAGGGGGGATGAGCTGAGAGAGAGTTCCGCGCACTGGGGGGATGGAGCAGGGGGCAGGGGGGAGGGGGGGGGAGGGGGAGGAGGAATGGGAGAAGGGTTGGGGGAATTCGCGCATTGGCGTAACTGAGGCTCCCCCTCCTCCTGCCTCCGCACAGCCAGCGCCAGTGCAGGGGGGATGGGCGGAAACAGAATTCCGCGCACTAGGGGGATGGACAGGGGGAGGGGAGGGGGGGAGGGGGGGAGGGGGGAGCGGGGGCGGTGCGGGGGGTAGGTGGGCGGAAAGGGGTTGAATGGGATCTCCGAACGGCGGCTTACCAGACGTCGGCTGAGACGGCACTAGAGAGAAATCAAATGAGGAGTCGCGTAAGTACCTTAAAGATAGAAGGAACGAGGAGATTGAGGATTCCTAAGTCAAACAGCTTTACCAGACGTCAATTGAGGAGGCTACACTTGTTATCTGAGATTCATCAGACGTCAGTATTAGGTACCGTACCTTGACCAGCAGGGAAACGAGGAGATTGAGCAGCAGCCAAAGGAAAACAGCTCTACCAGGCGTCAACTGAGACGACATTTGTCATCTGAGACAAAACTAAAAAGAAATTTATCTGAGACGTCAGGTACTAAGTACCTTGACGAGCAGCGGAACGAGGAGATTGAGCAGCAGCCAAACGGCGACGCCGGTAACCAGCTCTGCAGACACCGCCATTTCGCATTCGCGAAGAATGACGATGGCGTGAAAGACTCTCCGCAAATGTTGCTGACATTACTGGCGGCAAAACGTCACGTTGGTCGCGTCGCGTCTGATTCACATTCTAGTGACCATTGATTGGTGATGGTGGGATATGGGAACTTTGCTCGCATTGTAACTGCGTACCACGGTTAAGCTTGGTGCGTTGTGTTCCAAAGCGGTGAAGAGCGCTAACCACTGTTCAGAGATTTGGTGAATTGTGAGAACCCTCTCTTCGCTATTTCTTCGCCATAGTTCGCAATCAGCGCTGCTGGGCTGAGCTGTTGACTAGAGATTAGAACCTGGTAACCAGTTGCGAGGTGGAAGAGGGGGGAGTGGTTATCAAGGCACCTGCTGTCCCGCATTCTTGAATTTGGATGCTCTGAACGTGGGCGAGTCTGAAAAAATACGTACTCGTGACTATACCCTACCCAACCATTCTAATTCTATACCAGACCGCTCTTCAACAAGATATATCTCTCATAACCTCTTCAAACATAGCGCTTTGTGACATCCTCTCACCTGACCAAGTCCAATGTACAAGCCATTCCCAATAGATGGAAACTGCATTCCATGATTCAACAGACACTCTTATCATCAGCCATTGATTTTCCCTCAAGCCTTGAGGTCTGCGAATCCGTGTGTCCAGTGTCTGCAGATATTCCTTCGTCAACCGTCCGTCGCGTGTAGGTCGCTTAGTTACCGATCTCAGTAGACAAAAAGCCCAATTTCCTGATTGCTCCGTTTCATGTATTTCCCAAATGCAATACTGATCGATTAGTTCCGCGTTGACCTCGAGCAGCCAGGATCATGCTCTAAGACGCCTGTCGCTACGGCTATGTCTCCTATTAAGCCAGTGGTCAGCCCGGTTTCGGATCGCGTGGATTTTTCGCGGTGCGATTCGGCTTAAAATTGTTATTGCGAACGATCTTCGCTACTGTCGCACTCGTTAAAAGCACAGCAACGATGTCTCGCTTCGCCATTCCGTTCCTCGCTATAATCTCGATCTCTGCCTTCGTCGCCTCCTACAATGTCGTCGGCATGATCCTCAGTACCACGCGTCAGCGCATCTCTATCCGCTCTAAAAGCACCCTCGGTAAAGCCACCTTCAGTAGTAGTCGCCTTCAAAAAGGTGGTCGACCGCTTCTCGGAAAACCACTTCCCCAAACCAGCGGCTCTGGTTCGGATTCCGTAGGCTCGGATGGAGGCTCGGCAGTGGTGAAACGGCCGGAAGGTCCGAGCTCCGGTGTGAAAAAGAAGCGGTATTTTCACACGGCGATGACGTGTAACGACTCGCCGTACACCAAGTGGCAGTCTCGGATCATGTACTTTTACTATAACAAGTATCGAAACGATCCTGAATCGGAGATGGGGGGATTCACTCGCGTGCTACACTCGGGAAAGCCGGACAACCTGATGGACGAGATTCCAACGGTCGTCGTCGATCCCCTGCCTCCGGGAATGGATAAGGTCAGCAAAAGCTCCTGTCTTGTAATCTGAGGAGTCTCGGAATACGAGATTCCGACGGTCGTCGTCGATCCCCTGCCTCTGGGCGTGGATAAGGTCAGCAAAAGGCTTTGAAACATCTCACAGTCTGAGGAGTCTCGAAGTTCAAATATTTCAAATGCCAAACAGACCTGACAGATAAGGTTTTCACTGTCCTTGTTGATTCCCCTTGTCTAAGAGAATGGATATGGCCAGGAAAAGGCTCTGAGACGCCTCACATTGTAAAAAAACAGACGCCTTGATGGATGCAATCCAACGGTCGACGTTAATCCGCTGCCACCTGGGATGGATAGGGTCAGCTGACGCGGCTGACTGTCTGACTGTGCCCTATTCTCCCTATCCTCCTCCAGTAACCACTTGAGAGTCGTCGTGATTCAATGCCTTTCATCATTTCCTCCTCTCCTCCTCCGTTCTCCGAAACCCAATCTTCCCCTTCAAGCACCATTCTTCGCCCCTTCTTTGCGCTAAATTCAGGTCATGTTGAGTCCGCCATGGGCGTTCGTGCAGTGACTTTTGATTTGACTCAGCCCTCTATCCATCCTTCTCCCCCCGCATTTCCCCTTCACCCTCTGTCTATTACTCGTAGGGCTACGTGGTGTTAAATCGGCCATGGGCGTTCGTGCAGTGGATACAGAAGGCTGAGATCGAGGAAGAGTAAGTGCAAGGCTGCAAGCACGCATGCGTGTTTCCATTTGTGTGTGCTGGTTGCAAAAAGTGAGTGCAGTGGCTACAGAAGGCGCAGATCGAGGAAGAGTGAGTGCCCACGAACACACAGACAAACGCATGCATGTGCTGGTTCGTTGCTTAGTCAGTCCTGAGTCGACTCAGCAGTCACCGTGTGTGGGCGTTCGTGCAGTGGATACAGAAGGCTGAGATCGAGGAAGAGTGAGTGCATGCAAGTGCTGGGTATGTACTCATCATGGTGTTACTTTGAAGAATTCTCAAAAGGTGTTACTTTGGTTCTGCTTTTGAGAATTCTTAAAAGTGCGTGCAAGTGCTGGGTATGTATCATCATGGTAACGAGTCATTCTGCTTGCTCGCATGCTCGAAAACTCTCATGTTTGCAAATGCCTCTGAGCGTTTACGGCAGACTGCGATCACCCACACCCACAGGATGTTATTTTTTAGGCGCCTCAAAAATAGACTCTGAGCGTTTACAGCAGACTGCGATCACCCACACCCACGCCCACAGGATGTGTTCAAGCTGATGATCACCCACAGTTGCCCAATGCCCATCCACGCTGCTATCCGTTCTCTCACTATGTGGCCAGCCAGGCGATCCGCACTGCTATGATCTATCTGTCCCCTCCCATCACCTGCCTGGGCTGTGCAGTTATGTGTGGATGGCAGAGCCGGATCACATCATTCTGAAGCCCATTCCCAACCTCACATGCTGTCTGCTGCCTTCCCCTTCGTCTATCCATCCATGCTGCCATCCCCTCTCTTACCCCCTTGTGCCTGTGGCTCTGTGCATGTACGTGTGGATGGCTGAGCCGGATCACATCATTCCTGAGTCGTCTCGTGAATCATGATCTCCCACAGCTGTCCTCACTGCTCTTCCCTCTCTTACCCCCTTGTGCCTGTGGCTCTGGGCAGGTACGTCTGGATGGCCGAGCCGGATCACATCATTCTGAAGCCCATTCCCAACCTGGCGTCTGACATGCTGCCTGCTGCCTTCCCCTTCTTCTACATTGTGCCCAAAGACCAAGAGCGTGAGTGGAACCACTCATTCCCTGCATCTGCAATGTGAGTTGAAACACCCGTTTCCTGCATCTGCAATGTGAGTACGAGAAGAGAGTGCGTCAAGTGTGCGTTGAATCAATCAAAATTCAGGCCGGATCACATCAGTCTGAATCCCACTCCCAACCTCGCGTCTGGCATGCTGCCTGCTGCGTTTCCCTTCTTCTATATCGCACCCAAGGACCAAGAGCGTGAGTTGAAGCCCCGATGCATCACATCACTGGGTTCTCCCTTCCCCTTCTTCTACATTGTGCCCAACGACCAAGAAAGTGAGTCAACCCCCCCCCAATGCGTGATGTTTAATCACTCGTATCACCCTAAACCCTAACCCCTTTCCCTTCTTCTATATCGCACCCAAGGACCAAGAGCGTGAGATAAAGCCCCGCATCACTGGGTTCTCCCTTCCCTTCTTCTACATTGTGCCCAACGACCAAGAAGAGCGTGAGTTGAGAAAGTGAGTGAAGCAATTGAGGGAGCAAAGGGAGAAAGTGAGAGACCAAGTTTTGGCGGTGGGAGATATTGCATGGTTGCCGAAGCAGTCATTGGCAATGCAAGTGTGTACAGTGAAGTTTTTAGACGTCTCAAAAAATCACTGTACACACGTTGCAGAAGCAGTCATTGGCAAGGCAGCATCCTCCTTTTCCCTTCCTTGCCCTAGGTAGGGTTCAGGCTGCCATCCCCCTACCCTGAACCCTGCCACTCTCTCCAATCCCATCCCTCTCTGCCCTTAAGCCAGGTTGCGAAACGACCAATCTCCACCACCTCATCGCGCCTCTCCACCGTGCTTCACCGCGTTCAACCCCCTTCCAAGTTCCACCTCTTTCGTTCTCCAAGGGTTCTTGAGGCAATTGTAACATGCTGAGGAAGGACCATTCTCCACCACCTCATCCCCCAGTAGCACCGCTCTTCACCGCATTCCAACCCTTTCAACCCCTCTCACTCTCCAGGGTTCCTGAGACGCTGGTACCCAGCGGAGAAAGGACCAATCACAAACATCGATCCGATTGGCAACTCTCCCGTGATTATGAAGAAGGTGAGCTTACCTGGACTATTCAGAAACGTGAGTCTACCTGCAATCGCATGATTCTGACTTCCTCCTATTTTTGCTCAATATTGCCCACCTGTGGCACAAGGTGCTGCTGCCTCATTGTGTTTTCTCAGCTGCAACCCTTCCTTTCCGCTTTCTGCACTCCCCTCCCACTCCCACACCACCCATCCCATCACCCACCAGAAAGACCTGCTGAAAATCTCCCGCCTGTGGCACAACGTGTCTCTGCAGTTCAAGAGCGACCCGGAGATACTCCCTCCCTCAGATACCACCGTTTTTTTCGTCTTCCTAATGCTGCCCCTCTTTCCGTTTCCCTTTGCCCTTCCTCTCCTTGCCCCACCATCATCTCTTAGAAGCGACCTGAGGTTCTTCTCCCCCCTTCAAGTACCACCATCTCTTTGCGCTCTCCTCGGCCTCCCTCACCTTCTCGTGTATGAAGATTGGTTTTGAGACGTCTCAAAACCAATCTTCATACACGTGGTTCTCCCCCCTTCAAATACCACCGTCTCTTTGCGTTCTCCTCGGCCTCCCTCACCTTCTCTCCTCCTCACGTTTCTTTGCGTTCTCCCCTTTTCCCACCACCCACCACCACCACCCCCCACCAGAAAGACCTGCTCAAAATCGCCCCCCGGTGGCACAACGTGTCTCTCCAGTTCAGTCTTGCTAATGCTACCATCGTCGTCGT